TTCGCATTCGACTGACGCGACTTTGCCATGATTTTTCGGTTTTTGAAAAACTGCATACCGGTAGCAAAAATTCCAGTGGTGCAAACGACGAAAGTTACTAGTACTCTGCCTCCCTGGCTATTGCCGTATGCTCGGAGGTCAAAATGATCGCATATTGACACCTCGATCCAACGAAACCCTGCCTTGTTTGGGGTAGAAGGATCCGACAATGAAGACCAATGGCCAAAGATCGCAAAGCAAGTGTTTCGGCATTGAAAGCATTGGAGGGACCCGGAAGAGTTAAAGCCTTGTCCCAAAGCACTCATGGCGAATTGACGAAGCATCTGCGTCAGTTCCGTAATGCGTCCTTTACAGCAGTTGATGGTGATTGTTTGCATTCTCAATTGCAGCAGAGTGCAAGAACCACCCACGGAACTGACCGTATTTCAATCGAAGATTTTAAGGCTTTTCTCCAGATCAGCCGCGAAACTTCAAGAATTAATAAAAACAAAAGACATCTAAGAATACCTCCAAACGAGAGAAATCTTTCACTATTGGGATCCATCAACCCAGTAACCTTCTTGGGTCTTTTTCCACGAACGACTTGCGAACGCCTCGAAGACGTAAAAAGAAAAATTATTTGAAACCAAAAGACAAACCTATCGCTTGGAGAAACTCTTTTGACGTTGATGCACCACGCAAACCGGTGCATAAGATTGAGACCACTTTGACTCGGTCTCGGTCCCATCGCACACTGGACTCTCATGTGGGTAATGAAGGTTGGGAGCGAATCGGTCATTTACTTTTGGACGATCGCAGTGCTGATTCGAGTACTGCTCTTTCGACTAGCGATATTTTGCCCAAGGAAATCGTCACTGCTTTACGAATGGTTGAAAAGAGGGATAGCAAGAAGAACTTGCAAGATTATGAAGCATCCTTGTGTTCAAAACCAACATCAAAACCGCGATCGATAACACCATCTAGATCTAACGTAGCCAACGCGCGAGGCTCGGGATCAGGCAAGTCACCGAGATCCGATATAACAAACAAGAGGGACCCGATCGCCTCGATTCCATGGAAGAAACAAGAGAGGATCGGGTAGGCTTAGGGGAAAGCTGACTCCGTCAAAGAGCCGTAAACGAAAAGTTGACAAGGCCGTCTTTAAAATGTTTGACTGGAGTTCAAGTTCCAACACGGACTTGGCAAACGAAACCATTAAAAGCGGCCATTCTCCAAAATGAGAGACAAAACCACGTCCACTCCCACAGAGGAGGTCGCTCCAAAGACTTCCCCTTACAGCGCAACTTGAAGTTCGCTTCATAAATGGATTGAACATACTGTACGATGAGATGCGCGAAGAAGCTGGATCAAGTCAGCTTCAACTTCCAGGTACCCATGTCTATGACCATTCATTTTGGTGCGATTGTATTGCTCCGAAAATCCGTTTGGCGCCTTGAGACACATCGGTATCACCTTGCGAGATGAAAGCTTCATAGCTCCCAATGTTTAAAATTGTGTAGCATGATGTAAAATATGATAAAGTACAGTATTATACCACCAACCTCGTCCTTTGTGCAAAGCGTTTTATGATTCAACGTTACTAGTGTCGAAAGTGTAAAGTGCCCCTGTCATTTGGACCAAGGACTTGATGCAACTAAACTATTATGGCAAAACTAGAAATGGCCACCGTCATTCCAGTTCCTACTATATTCTATGTGTATAAAAAATAAAACGAAGGTTATTGCCAGTTCGAACAGAAACCACACGAGAATTGTCGAAGTGTCCAAGTGTCCCCTAATCCCTAATTCCTATTTTAAGTCGAACTGTTCGGATATGCCCGGCGCGCAACAGTCATAGTGCTACGGAGACCTTCTACGTACAGTATGCAGCCATCCGTAGGTAACTGGTAATAGGAGGCTGCTCGCTACGGCCGTTCGATTGCGCAAGACATCGACTGCAGCAGCGGCGCTGTGGGTTTGGGTGTGTATCAAGAAGTGACCTTGAACTAAAAGAGAAAAACAAAACCTACTGAATTAGAGTTTGAAAGTGATATGGTGAAAAGCGCAGAGTCTAGGAGGATAAGATGAATAGCCAAGAAGTCTCGGACAGTTCTCTTGACGGGGATGACAGCACAGTTTCGTCAAAGAGCAACCGGAATAGGCTGTTTGATGATGTGAATGGAGACGGCAATACTGGGGGAAGTTCTCATCAAGTAGCTGATTTCTCGGATATGCCAAGTCTGGCGTCTTATAGAGGAGATGAAGTCAGTCTTGCGTCTACTTTGTGGACGGATTGCGATCAGTCACTTCCCAGTCTTTCATCTTATCGAACGAAAGATATGAGTGTTGCTTCTGGGTCTACTAGAAGAAACAATCGTGACAAACCTAGAATCAATGATAACGACAGCGATGGATCTGGCACGGAACGGACGAGGGGGAATATAAGCACCTCCGATAGACTGCAGCCTCCTGCTCCTATTGAATCAACTGGTGAGGAAGGGGGTCAGAATGCAAAACCCTTTTCTTCCTCTTCTTCACGAGATGAGGATCCTCCAAATGCTGCAGCTCTGCAGAGGGGAGGCGATAGTATGCCTCGATTGCCAACTAGAAGGTCGATGGATGACTCAGTACGGAGTGGAAGTAGACGATCTGAATCAGACTCTGAATCTGATATGACAGACGACTCTCCTGATGTTTCCATTGATACGGACGAAGAAAACGATGATGAGGTAGAGCCAGCACATGGACCGAGTCACATTGTCACGCCGCCAACGAGACAGCTGAGTCCGCAGTCTCCAAAGTCACCACTTAGAGTTAATGGTGTCTTGCCGGACATGGCGAATCCACCTCTACGAGTGGAGGATGGAAACAGTGAGCCAGCTACAGAAAGTGAGAAATCAAAGAGGCCGGCCTCAGAGAATCCGGAAGCTGGTGTGGCACCAGAAGAAGTTGAACCACCAGCAATCATTGCAACGCCTCCTGCAACCGGCAAACATTCAAAAAGTGCAAAACGAAGTCCCAAGAAGAGTCCTAGAAAGAAAAAAGTCAAGGACAAAGAAAAAGACAAGGATGGTACGCAACCTCACTCTGAAATCGGATCCCCTGGGATCGTTGAAGAAAAAGGACAGAAGAAGTGGCGGAAAAAGAGATCAACCCAAGATGCTAATAAAATACAAAAAACTCCTGATCGATCGGCTTCTGGTAATGATACCACTAGGTTTTTCGGAAAGAAGAATCAAAGTGACAGATCACTTGGTGTCAGAAGGGCCAATTCTGAGATGGCATCTGTCCTCGATTCCATCAAACCCGAAGAGGAAAAGAAGCGAGGAATTTTGAAACGATTTTCGAGCTCATTGAAACAGATGGTTCGACCAAGTAGAACATTATCTGGTACTCTTGGACATATGGCGAAAATACCGTCAGGAGGGAAGAAACGATCAAAGTTAAAAAAGTTGTCGACAAATTCTGAGAAACCAAAGGCGGCAAATACATAGCAGCAGCACATGTGATGATGATCTCAATTTTAAAATCTCCAATTTGCTTCTCATGCTCCCAACAATAATATGAGCATGGTGTCCTGGGATCATTCAAGGTCCTTTAACTAATTATAGTAGTGAGGTGAAGCATTCAGTGTATCAATATTTTCTATTCTGGCTAGAGTATGAGGTGAATAATTCAGTGTTCGAAAAGTGAAGAAATTACTCTCTTTCCGTCAAATGGGTCGTTTTGAGTGGATTTGTACGTATCTGCCTACAGGTATTGGTACCGGTACTGTACTGTACAGTGCCAGGGGGTACCGATGTATGAATGCGTACCGGTACGGTATGTAAGCCTGGGCAGCGCAGATAGCGCGAAAGAAAATGGCACGTGTTTTTTAAGTCGAATGGGTCATTTGAAAAAGTACTCCTCGCTCGCTTTTGGGGGAAGCTATCCTCGGATGGAAGCTTGCCCACAGCTTGCCCCAGCTTGCCCACCAGTCAACACGGTTGCATCATTTTTGAATGTGCGAAATAAGAAACAATGGACTTGGGATTCGGAAGTCAGAACCATACAATCGGCAATGCCGCCGCTCAGGCACTTTTGGAAGGAGCCAAAGCACAAGAGGAAACTGTAGAAGCCGAACTTGCCCGTTTCGATCGACTCTTGGACGACGAAGAAGGCTTGGAGGAAATACGACGCCAACGCATTGCTCAGCTGCAAAAGAAACATTCCCAACAAAAGAAATGGAGAGATTTGGGACATGGCTCATACCAAGAACTTGGTGGAAGTCATGATGCTCGTGACGTGGCCCGTGACTTTTTCCAGGCATCAAAAGAAAGTGATCGTATGATTGTTCATTTCTACCGACCGAGTACACGGTACTGTGACGTCTTTCATGCTCATTTGGAAAAGTTGGCGCCGAAGCATATGGAAACCAAGTTTGTGAAGATCAATGTAGAAGACTGTGATCACCAAGGCGGTGGTGCATCGTGAGTCAGACCTGTGGTGGATTTATTGAAACGGTGACAGGATTTTTGTAATATTATCTTACGCTCTTTTGCCCTTAGGTATTTGGTGGAAAAACTTGGAATTGTGATCATGCCAACCCTTCTACTAGTAAAGAATCGAAAGGCAATTCATCATATTCAAGGTTTCGATGAAGTTGGTGGGACAGAAGATTTTTCGGCCACTATGCTTGCGTACGTGCTCGGACACCATGGTATTATTGATCCATCCGATGACGAAGACGCTTCGGAGGAGGTTTTCAAAATGAAAGGAGTCAATTCCATCAGATTAAATAAAGGGGCTCGCCGGGGTTACCACTATGGTGACGAAGAGTTTGACTAATGTCTGTTAGAATCAATTTCAGTTTTGGTTCAAGAACTTGTTACAAAGTGTTGCTTGATGTTATGTTTAGATTGTATTATGAGAGGCAGGTGCTGTGCGACAAAAGGGAAACGTTGAATCATTTGACCAGTTTACCATGGGTGTCCGCCGTCTTCCAATTCGATCCAAACTTCACCTCGTCGCTTTCCGAGAGTGAAGATTGCATCATACTGCGCAAACTTGACAGATGTTTCACTTCCCTTCGGTATCGAAATGCCATCGTTTTGGAGGGCGGCACGAAGATTCTTGTCCGCTTTTCTAACAATGGGAGCGACACTAGCGTCAGAAAAGCTCCCGACTGCTACTACTGTGCCCGGCAGTGTCGTTATTTCACAATCGCTCCACATTGGGTCCTTCATTCTCTCTTGAACCTTGCTGCTAAGCGGGGGCGGAGAAGTCTCTCCAGGTGCAGCATACCCAAGCGGCCAAGCCATTGTTTTTTTGTCATCGTCATTGAATACTTCCATAATCGCAGGAGCCAGTGGGTCCATCCCTGATAATTTGTTGTCGCACAGAGAAATAGACTATGAGCTCATCGCCAATTTCACAATCCAACCTTCAAAGAAAACAGACAACTTACCTTGTGTAACTGATGCAAGAAGGTCATACCCTTCATCGCGACGAGTGTATGGGATCTTGGCATACGAATAGCTGGGGTACTTTCTCACTTCGTATCCATTTCCGCGACGAAGCAAAGAGTACGGAACTTCTGGTCCAGCGGCAGCCGCATTTCCGTTTTCCGGTTTTAGTTGATCAAGGAAATCCTTGATAGCGATTCCCTTATCAACTTTTGCGTATTTGCCACCTTTTTGGATATTGATAGAGTCCCAGTAATCTGTTTGGTGTTGCACGAGAACACCTTCTGAGCCACCAGGAACAACTTCGTATTCTGAAATCCCTGTAAATCTGGCTGTTGGTTTCCATGGGATGGCTTGAACGGTGACTCGAAGAGACCATCGTGTGATAATATTGGAGATATTACCATTTTCCTCGTCCACTTCCCCACCGGTGATTGAGTGAAGAACAATACCCGCATCTTTGAAGAAGAATTTTCCAAAGAGAGTTCGACTGCTCAACATGTCCACGTTTTTCTGGTACGAATCAACTCCACTCAGGGATGTCATAGGGTCGTCAAATGAAACAATATCTGCGTAGAATTCCCGTTGCATCGGATCGAAGAAAGAAACATACTCTCTTTGCAGGACCTTTTTGAGCTTCTTGACGGCTTCTGTTGTGCTGACTATTGAATCACTGACAGGTGTTGCTCCCAACGCTAAGGAACTGCCAACAGCACCGAGATGACGGGATTGCAATGCAGTGGAGAAGGCGTTGGTATTGCCCCAATGCAGATTCAAGATGAGGATACCGACAAAAGTTTTCATGGTTTCAATGTTAGATCTGGTTTGAGCTGGTATGAAACAACAAAACGAAATTGAAAATGAGATGGTGTGAATGCGTCACTCACGGGTCGAACTAGTCGATGTGGGCATCTCCACTTTTCGTATTTCAACGATTATTCATTCATGCTATTGCTACATCACGTATCAACTGATTCATCACTCTATTCACTGTTCACTATCGACAATGTCTACTCTAAAGACCTTCTTTAGACTTCCAGCAACATCTTGGTAGGATCGGAAATCTTTTCAGCAATACTTCTCAAGAAAGTAACTCCTTCCCTACCGTCAATCAAACGATGGTCATATGTAAGAGCAAGGTACATCATAGGCCGAGCCACGACTTCGCCCTTTTCGTTAACGGTAGCCCTCATCTTTGTTGCATGCATACCCAAAACAGCAGATTGAGGAGGGTTGATGATTGGTGTTCCCATCAAGGATCCGAAAACTCCGCCGTTGGAAATTGTGAAAGTTCCTCCAGCCATATCATCCAATCCCAATGTTCCTTCCTTGGCCTTTTCGGCATACATGGCAATGTTGTGTTCAACATCAGCGAACGACATGTTCTCAGTGTTTCTCAAGACTGGCACGACCAATCCATTGGGGCTTGCAACGGCAACAGAAATATCGCAATATTCCCTGTAGACAACTTCTTTGGTCTCATCATCAATGTATGCATTGACAACGGGGACCTCTTGCAAAGCAGCAGTTGCTGCTTGGACAAAGGCAGACATGAAACCAAGCTTGATGCCATGCTTGGCAGTGAAAGCGTCTTGGTGCTTTTTGCGCATCTCCATCAGGGCACCCATATCACACTCTTGGAAAGTAGTCAACATGGCAGCGGTATTTTGGGCATCCTTTAGCCTCGTAGCAATGCGTTGACGCATGCGAGACATCTTCGTGCGACGTTCAGTGCGCTGTCCCATGAATGCAGGAGTTTCTGGTTGTGGGGGTGCAACCTTTGGTGCTTTCGGAGGTGCTGTGTATGCAGCATCAGCTGGAGTTGGAGGCGTTTTTGGAGGAGGGGGCGCTGGAGTTGGTTCGGCAGGAGTTTCAGCCCCTGACATTGGTGTTAGTGTGTCCTCTTCCTTGATTGGAGCAGCTTCCTCGACTTCGGGCGCATCAGCATCGGTGTCAAGACGAAAAAGATTGCTTCCAACCTCAACAACGTCATCAATTTCACCAAAAATTTCTACAAGAGCTCCACCCTCTGGTGCACGAACATCGACTGAAACCTTGTCTGTTTCGAGTATCACGACAACATCATCAGGTTGCACGTAATCTCCTGGAGCCACAGGCATGTCGACAATAGTACCTTCTGTGATACTATCTCCCATCGTTGGCACCTGTTATGAAAAGAATTGTAAGTATCGGATCACCAAAAGATGAAATGCAACTCGATTGTCTATTCGGGAAAAGGCAATTCGGAGGTCTTACATCAATGGTTTTGATGGGCATCAATAGCTGCATGCTTGGTGTCGCGATGAACCTAGCTTGCGACATCAAAGGGCTGCCATGACGGGCAGACAAACGTGCCGCAGACTTCAAGACGAATCTGCCTCTTGCGATCATCGTGTTTGGTTTTGTATCAAGTGTGTGCCACCACCGTGATGCAGTGCCCGAATTTTCACTGCTCGCAACGATGGAGAAGGCGCAAAGATCTTCGCACTGCCGGCGGCGCCGATCCTTTTGAAAGCCGCTCGATACCTTCGAACCAATTAGAGTTCGGAAAATGTACAGCTGACTTAGTACCATTCCCCTTTTAGTCGGACGGCTCAACGACAGCCCGATGCGATCTTCATCTCATGCAGAAAAAATTCGTCATCGTCATCTTGTAATCTACCATCCAACACCCATCACAAAGGCAACTCGTTCAAACAACCGATAAATTAATAGTCGGATTGATGATTGGCCTTTAGACTTTAAGTTGTGCCTACCTAGAGTGAACCAGCAAAATGGATCAACACGAACGATATTCCACAGAGTTTCGAGAGGATGGCACCTCTGTTAAGAGTTCGTCTCCTTTAGCAATGATCATTCAGGATCTGCGGAGGAAAAACCTGGTGACTGCAACTTTGAACTCGGGGCCATTTGCTTCTCATCTAGATTCTACTGATCCCTGGGGATCTTCGGATGCTTTGGACGGTGAGGAAGAACAGCAAACCGCATACCGGAACAATTTCCAGCCGTCTCGTCCTACTGCCGAAACGACTCAGCCAAATCCATGGGTGGCCACACGGCGAAATTCTTGGATTGGATCTCGGCAGTCGCCTGGGAAGATCTCTAGGAGACGTAGATCGAACAGCAAAATTCTTCAAGGGGGAAGCATAAGAGTCAGAAGAAGTGATGTCGACATGCAATCAGTCAGTCCCTCGCAACAGAGACTCTTGTCTTGGTTAAACTCGACAAGATTACCGCAACGGGAATCACCCCAACATGCAGAGGCGCTACTGCAAGACACACCACAGCTACGAGTTATTTCCCCAGCGTCCACAGATATGCAGGGTGTTGGCGCTGTATCTCAAAATGGCTTTCTAGGCATGTTGCTTCCATCACAACAAGGCATAAATGGAAGCAATTCCGGAGGCAGTGATATGAATGGTAGTACAAGAACGGAATACATGAAAAGTCTGGCCCGTGAAAGAGCAAACAAAGAGGCAGCTACAGAGTTGTCGTCTGTCTTATGGATTTTGGCGCACGAAATGTCGCTGGAAGAATACGGTATAATTGAAAGTGAGGTGTTCACTTCCGTTTTCGCCCTCATCCATGCACAAGAAATCGAAAAGAGAGTGGCTGGACTGGCGGCGCTGGATGCCATGATTGATGCTCCAAGTGCCGACGAGGAGAAGAAGGCAATCAAATTTGCGAACACACTAAGCAAAGGACTTCGTTCGGCTCTAGGTGACTATGAATTTCTGTCGGCAGCGTCCAAGGCGCTTGGTCACATGGCTATGCGTAGTACAAATGTGGATTTTGTGGAATCTGAGATTACAACCGCACTGGAATGGCTTCGGACAGAAAGATCTGATAGAAGGTAAGGCACGAAGTACTTTTGTTCGTGGTTTCAAGGGTTGTTCTCAATATTTTATCATCCAATGGACAGACTAGCGGCAGCACTATCCCTGAAGCAACTTGCCATCCATGCGCCTACAACTCTCTACTCGAAAACGAGTCAAGCAGAATTGGGTCATGGAGGCTCGAACGATTTTCTCGAATACATCTTGCTTGCTGTTCACGATCCTCAACCGATAGTCCGTGTCTGTGCTGCCGATGCACTATCACGATATCTCAAAATTTTGGTGGAACGGCAGCAGGTTTCTTTGACTTCTCTGCTTTGGCAGGTTCACCAAGCTGTCTTGGAGGGTTTCAAGAATGATCAATCAAAGAAGAATCGTGCGTCTATTAGTAAGATAGAGGCTTCTCAACACGGTTCGCTGCTTGTGGTTGGGACAATGATATCACTAGCAGGTGACTTTATGTTACCGCGATACGATGAAGTATGCCAAGAGATCATGGCATTTATGGATCATGAAAAAGCCCTAATGCGACTCGAGATTATCCGATTGATCCCCCGACTTGCAAGACGATGTCCTCGAGTATTTGCGAGAAGATATCTTGAGCCGAGTTTGGTTTTTCTGATCCATTGTGCGTCTGCTCCAACACAACCTAGGATGGGAATTGAGTTGCGACCCTCGGCATATAGTGCGATCGGGGGACTAGTGCTTGCCATGGTCGATGACGAGACAGGCTCTGTGATCGGCGGTGGCTCTCTCCCAACCATCAAGATTACAAATGATTCAGAAACATCAGGCGGGCCTGTAGTCGAGATGCATGACTCAGGTGCCATTTATCAAAGAGTCGATGTAATTTTTCGCTTGGTGAGCGATGGTTTGAACTACAGATCTGTGGCTTCTCCGAAGACGACTTCAAAAATGCATATTGCAGCATTTCATTGTGGGGCTGACCTTGTTGAAGCTCTTGGGAGTCTTGCTGAACCATACATCACACGACTGATCAACGATATTTTCAAAACAGGTCTCAGCAATGATCTCATTCAATGCTTGCATGCAATTGCAGAGTGTCTTCCTGCCCAGCAAGGTACAATCGAAGATAGGTTACTCCAAGCAGTGTCCTACAGGTTGGCAGGAATCAAGTCTGCAAGAGACGTTTGCGATCCTTTAATCCCTCTTCGAACCATCTACTCGAATGAACCTAAGCATGGTGGTCTTCCAAGAGTGTCTCATGAAACACAGGTTGAGGGTGCCCCAAGGGTGCAAGTAGTGAGGATCAACATGTCGACAAATGCAAACGTCGTAGCCGATCTAGTGCTGTCTCTTCAGACGCTTAGCTCGTTTGGAGACTCTATGGGTCGCGTGACGACACTTGGAGCTGTCGTTCCACTCCTACCATTCGTACAAAATGTTGCTGCCAAATATTTGTCGCATCCCTCAAATGAAGTGCGGAGAGCAGCAGCGTTGACATGCTGCCTGTTGCTTGTCCCGCCACAAATCGTCAGCAAAAATAGGGTAGGGCAGTTTTCAGGCCAGATCATTCAGGACATTTTGGACACCATCCTCAGGGTGGCAGTGTCTGATTCATCACCAGAAGTCAGACTTTGTGCTGTAAAGGCTCTTGACAAGCGATACGATCCATTCTTGTGTCAGTCGCGACATCTACAAACACTGTTTCTTTTGCTACAGGACGAAGTGCTTGCAACACGTGCCGCAGGAGTGAGGTTGTTGGGGCGACTAGCTCAGTTGAATCCTGCTCCAATTCTACCATTCATGAGAAAGTTTTTGCTCGGCTTAATTGTAGAGATACGATGTGGGGTAGACACAGGGAGGGGGAGAGAAGAAGCAACTAGACTTCTCGTGGTATTTCTGCGATCTGGATCGGTACAACGACTCATCCAACCTGTCCTTCCTGTGCTTGTTGCATCTCTACCTTTGGACGGTGGGGCTCCGAGGTTAGCATCGGCCGCATTGGAAGCTCTTGGTGAGCTATCTAGAGCTGCTGGTGCTTCGCTTCAGCCATGGGTCAAGGAAGTTGTACCCACTATTTTGGACACACTTCAGGATCAAAGTAGTGCAAGCAAACAAAGGATCAGTCTCAGAACGCTTGCGCAGATTGCAGGGTCTACTGGATACGTTATCCAGCCATATATGGACTATCCAAAGTTGCTTCTACAAGCTACCGATATACTGCCGGGTACCAAGAGGGCTCCTTGGGCGCTACGGCGAGAGGTTATTAGGACTCTCGGGGTGCTTGGTGCTTTGGATCCTGATCGGTATCATGCGGTTGGACCAAAAGCCAGGAAAGGTGGTGCAGTTGGAGGCGCATATTTTGTTGTCCAGGATGAAGTGGAACAACCCACTGCAGACGTCGACATGAATGGAGCAGTTGCTGGCAGGTCCTTGGCTCTACGAAATTTCGGTGGAAACTCTGTGGCTGTAGGGAGTGTACTAACGAAGCCATTGCCACCCCATGTCGCGACTGTCAGGAAGCAAGATGAATCTGGACGAACAAACGTGCCTTGGAGTGTAACTGAGTCAATTGAAGGTGATGATAATCTCCCTGCTTATCTTTCAATGTATGAACAATATGCAATGGTTGCCCAACCAGTATCGACACTACCTCCAGCACGTCGAATGACCCCTGGGGACGAAGAATTCTACCCAACTGTTGCCATTCAGGCTCTAATGCGAATTTTTAAGGATCCTGCACTAGCTGTGCACCATGGTATGGTCATGCAAGCAATTATGTTCATTTTTCAGTCTCTGGGGCTGCGTTGCGTCCAGTTCCTTAATGATGTCGTCCCACACATCATGCTAACGATTCGCACCTGCGGGCCATCGAACCTAAGGGAATCCCTTTTGAAGCAAGTTGCAACATTGAGTGGTATCGTCAAGGAGCACCTACGGCCATATGTCGCGGACGTTTTTGATATCGTGGAACAGCTTTGGGAGTCTAAACATTTGGGCACCATTTTCAGCTTGGTGCTCCACATTGCTGTTGGTGTTCCCGACGAATTCCGAAATTTCATTCCACGTCTCATTCGTCGTGTGTTGACGAGTCTTGACGAGTTGCAGGTAGCGGAATGGGCAAACAACGACCCGCGCTCGACGCACACAGCTCGTCTGAAGGAGACGGAAAGGCTTCGACTGATCCTTTTTAGTGTAAAGCGCCTGCGAGGTGTACTCGGAGACTATGTGCACGTCTTGGTCCCTGCTCTCTTGAAGCTGACTGATTCACTTGTAAGGCTGCAATCCAGCACCAGCGCAAAAAACTCCGATTGGGTGACCGAAACCGATTTGACTAGCATTGCTATTCTCGGACTAGACACAATTTCCGCACTTCTTGAATGTGAAGGGACTGGCGCAGGTGTCAGGCCCGTAACTCTCTTCTGGGGAGAAAAGAGTGGATCAGACATCCGATCGGGTAGTCTTGCTTCACGAGTTGTTCAACCCTTGATTAGGCTGTTGAAACATAATCAACGATCGCATAGAAATGTTGGGATGGCAATCGTCGAAACACTTTGTGTCTCCGCCAGACAACTTGGCACGACAATCTGGATGAATTTGTATCATGATGTTGCCAAGCAAGCCATCAACGAATGGCACTATTCTACACCTGAGCTTGACAATCTAAGTATGGAAGATGAATACCATGTGTCTACTGCGAGCGTGAACACGGGTGGGGTGAAGTTATACGATGCAATGATTCAAGAATTACAGCACTCTCCCAACAAAAGGAGCTACAATTCTCCGTACGTTGCTGAAACTTTCACATCAATACAGCGAATAGAATCTAGTATGTTCCATGCGATGGATCCTTTGCAGCAACCCGTTTTTGCGGAGAATCCAGGCACCCCAGCAACCTTTGATGCAGCTGCAGATGTATTTGAGAATCCTATTCCGTCGCAACCTCTTTCTATTCAGACAAATAAGAAGAAGATCAATCAATTGCATCTACAGCGAGCATGGGATGTGTCCCAGTGTGCATCTAGAGAAGACTGGGATGAATGGATGCGCCGACTTGGTATTCAACTTCTCCGGGAAGCGCCATCACCATCTCTACGAGCGGCAGCAAGTCTCGCAAATGCATACCAACCACTTGCGAGAGAGTTGTTTAGTGCTGGTTTCGTTTGTTGCTGGAAAGATCTTAGCCCACCATACCGAGCGAACTTGGTTCACTGTTTGGAAACAGCTTTTGCTGCTGATGTTTCACCAGAAATACTTCAAACCTTGCTAAATCTTGCAGAGTTTATGGAACATGATCCAAGTGGAGGCTTGCCGATTGATATACCAATCCTTGCCGAGCTCGCACTCAAGTGTAGAGCATATGCAAAGGCCCTGCACTACAAGGAACGAGAGCATAGTATGGGAGTGACCAATTCATGTGTGGAATCATTGATTAGTATCAACCGCAAGTTGGGTCTTCAAGGTACGTTAGAAACACAACTCATGTCGAGCTACTGCTCCCTTCTCATATTGTTGTATCAGATGCGGCATTGGGTGTCCTGAAGTCAGCGACAATGTCGTTCGAAGACAAACGCCTTAATTCGGACCAGGTTCGGCGTGAGATATCTTCCAGATTAGGCCCGGATCACGGAAGACATGAGATGTACTATGGAGTTGTTTGGAGTGCTGAAGATCACAGTACTTCAAATACCGAAAGACTTGATTTAGCGGAAAACAAAGAGTTGTGGCTAGCAAAGCTTGGGTCGTGGTCTGATGCTCTTGAGGTCTACGAGGAAAAGCTAGCAAGAAATCCAAATGATTTTGGTGCAGTACTGGGTTGTATGCGATGCCTGAGTGCGACCGGTGACTGGCGTCGTGTTCTGGAACTTGCAGAGTACAATTGGGATATATTAAAGACTGATTTCGCCGGCACACACACTGGAAAGAAGAATAACATTGCAAGGGGCCAGAAGAAGGCATTCAGAATGTGCTCAGAAGCAGCTTGGCGACTAGGTAGCTGGGATGATCTGGAAAAGTACTCTTCCGAATTGGTGCATGGTCGTGGTTCATCAGCACCACCAAGTTCTGCTATAATCTACCCTGCCAGTGGAAACCGAGAAGGATCCACTCCTCTCATCGATTTTGAAGGGTCCTTTTTCTCCGCTGTTTTGCATGTCCACAGACAGGAATGGACCAGAGCAGCAGAAGCGATCGATGATGCGAGGAAGGCGATGGACAGTCGTTTCACGGCTCTAATGGCCGAGTCGTACAACCGTGCATACTCCAGCATGGTTACGGCACAAACTCTAGCAGAACTTGAAGAGGTGATTGAATATAACAAAATTGAGAAAGGTTTTAATGAGGTGCATCAGAGTCACCCTTCGAATAGAATGGACCCGTCCCAAGCACGCGAGAAATTGCTTTCTGTGTGGCGTGCTAGGCTAGCTGGCTGCCGTGTTGATGCCGATGTCCATTCTTCAATTCTTGCTGTTCGATCACTTGTCTTGGGACCTACAGACGAGGTTGATGCAACTTTGACTTTGAGCGAGCTGTCGCGACAGGCACAGCGTTTCAGACTCGCAGAACGCGTATTGCTCAATCCTCTTGAAGCGCTTGAAGCTGACCTTGATGGAAGCGTATTTGGATTCGGACTTCGTGAGTCTCTTGGGCTGCACACAGAGCTACAAGAAGCAATGTCAGAACTCTCAGTACCACGCATCGTTAATGATTTGTTAACAAATACATCAAGGGCATTCTTACCAGAATATGGAATGGCACACAATCAGTGGAGCAAAGAACTTGTTCGTGAAGCTGGAGGTCTCGATAGGTATGTTTCTTTCTTTTCTCGCAACAGCTTCTTCTTCGTGCACTCTTGCTGACTCCTTGAAAGACTGAAGATTCAGCACAAGCTTTATTTTGCATATTTGAAGCATCTTTGGCTCACTGATCGGAGAGGCGAAGCAATTGATCGCCTTGGTCGCCTCTGTGATGTTGTCGACCTTGTTTCAAACTGCGAATCGGCAGGCAATGATTACATCCGTGCCTCGTGTTGGTTGGAGCTAGGGGAGTGGAAGGTGGAAGAAAAGATAACTCCAGGCAAGCATATACCAGGGCCATTACAAGTGGAGATCCTCTGTGACTTCAAAAGAGCGTCAATGATCGTTGGCTGTGGATACAAGGCATGGCATGCGTGGGCGTTGCTAAATTTTCGTCTTGCATTGCAAATGGATGAGCGCGAAGATAATACTCTTGATGGATCTTTGCATAGCAGTGATGACCAAGATCCTGATGCACAGAGGAAGCATGTAGTTTCGGCAATAAAGGGGTTCTTTAGCGCCATCAGTCTTGGAACGAAGCGATGGAGCGCCTCAGTTCAGCAAGATATGCTAAATCTGCTAACTTGTCTTTTCAAGTATGGTGATCAACCCGCAATTGCAAGCATAATCAAAGACGGTGTGGATACAGTGGCCATAGAGACTTGGTTGGGAGTGTTGCCGCAGCTTCTCGCCAGGATTCAAATAAAGAACCCTGCAATACGGTCTGTGTTGCATCCATTGCTTGTGCGGCTCGGTGAAAAACATCCACAAGCACTGATGTATCCGCTGTCGGTTCTACTTAAGAGTCCAGTATTGGAAAGAAAAAGCGCGGCAGAAAGTCTGATGACCTCTCTTAGGTCGCACTCAAGCGCCCTGGTAGAAGAAGCATTAATGGTATCCTCCGAACTAATCAGAGTAGCAATTCTTTGGTTGGAGACTTGGCACGAAGGACTGGAAGAAGCATCGCGCCTTCATTTTGGTGAAGGCAATGTTGCTGGTATGCTTGATCTACTCTTGCCATTGCATCAGCATTTGGAGAATGGAGCGGATACTCAGAAAGAAATCGAATTTGTCAAGGCCTTTGGACGTGATTTAGCGCAGGCTCACAGTCACCTCAAGGATTATGTGAGGCTGGTAACTGAAGGCGGGGGTACAATACCAGGCGGGACTTCTACTGCAAACGCCCGTGACGCCACCTCCACCCAAGTGCGTCAAAACGAAGAAGCAGAAACAGCAATGAACAAAGCATGGGATATATACTATACAGTGTTCCGAAGAATCAACAAGCAGCTGCCAGCGCTAACAAAACTGGAATTATCACAGTGCTCCCCTGCTTTGAGCCGAGCACAGGGTCTAGAGCTCGGTGTTCCAGGATCCTACCGGGTTGATGGGAGTTACGTCAAAATCGAAAGGTTTATTCCAAGTGTTCAGGTCATTACCAGCAAACAACGTCCGAGGAAGATTACATTGCGTGGTAGTGATGGGAAAGATTATGTGTTCCTTCTGAAGGGTCACGAGTAAGTTTTGGAGCGAGACAGCATACTCTTCTCTTTATCTTTCTAACTTTCTAATTTGCATTAACAGGGATCTCCGCCAAGATGAACGCGTGATGCAACTATTCGGGCTTGTTAATGCTTTGCTTGAACGAGACCGTCAGACAAAGAAGCATGATCTGAGGATCCAGAGATATGCTATCTCACCGCTGTCTCATAATTGTGGTCTCGTTGGCTGGGTACCTCACACTGATACACTTCACAGTCTCATCAGAGACTATCGGCAATCAAAGAAGACTCCATTAAACCTCGAGCACCGTGAAATGACAAAATTGGCGCCCGATTATGACATGTTAACTGTCATGCAAAAAGTCGAAGTATTTTGTAGTGCGCTTCGCCGAACGAAAGGTGGAGGTAATGATCTTTACGAGATTCTTTGGTTGAAGAGTACAAATAGCGAAGAATGGTTGGAGAGACGGACAAAGTTCACTCGGAGTTTGGCAGTGATGTCAATGGTTGGGTATATATTGGGTCTTGGTGATAGACATCCTTCAAATCTCATGTTGGACAAGCGCAGTGGACGAGTTCTCCACATTGACTTTGGTACGTTGTATATTGTCATATATTGTCATGTCTCTTGAAAGGTGACATGGGGACTCATGAAATTTTCGATGCGATCGCGCAGGTGACTGTTTCGAGGTTGCGATGAATCGGGATAAATACCCTGAGAAGGTGCCGTTTCGCCTCACGAGAATGTTGATCAAGGCAATGGAGGTTTCTGGCATAGAGGGAAGCTACCGAACAACTTGCGAACGGACAATGACTGTTCTTCGCGAAAGTAGGGACTCGCTAGTAGCAATGCTGGAAGCATTTGTTCATGATCCGCTGATAAGTTGGCGTTTGGTAGATCTCTCTACAGAAGATATCGATAGACAGTCTTCTGTTACTGACACGGAAGCACCTACAACGAGAAACGCGACAAGGGGCGCAAAATCAAACCTTTTGAACAACCCAATCACCGAGGCACCCGACGAGGATGGAGAAGATGCCGATGCTGCCGTTGCTCCTAATGAAGCTTTGGATGATGTAGACCAACAAATGGCTACATCCTTCAGAAATCCGCCGAACGAATCTGTGGTGGATGCGCGAAGAGCACGATCTCTCCAGATGTATGCCAATATCCAAGAATGGGCCGCCAATGGACGCAACAACGGGAAAAAGGACCAAGTGGCCGCGTCCGGTTCTGTTGCACGGTCAAGGATGGGAAGATCTATACGCCAACGAGAACTCCTTAGTATTTTAGAAGATGGTCTCGCTCACGACGAAGTGCTCAACGAGAAAGCGTTGACAGTGATTAGACGAGTTCAAGACAAGCTAACCGGCACAGACTTTCCTGATCGAGAAGACGACCTTGGAGCATTGGACGTCAGCGACCAAGTTCAGCGATTGATCGTCCAGGCAACTTCAGTCGAAAATTTGTGTCAGCTTTTCATCGGGTGGTGAGTTTTACAGTAGTTTTCTGAATTGTCTATTCTTACAGAGAAATCATGTCTCACACTTCAACGAAATAGGTGTGCTTTTTGGTGATTTCTCTTGATTCAAAATTTGGTTGTGAGGTTCCATCTTCGAGCCATTATGTCAAGCCAAGTAGAAATTTGGTTTGGTCCGCTTCGACAGCCTCCACATTATCCATAGTTTCTCCGGAAACATCTCGAAGTGGGGCAAACAACGTCTTTTCTTCATTCGATTTGCTTTGGTTATTCTCGAATCGATGCCTCCACTCTAGGAGTCTGCTTTCTACCGAGACTGGGGCGAAATAAACCTTGCAGAAGACTTCTTTTTCCTGTCCGTATCTGTGTCCGATTCAGTGATGGGTTCAACATAAATAATGAATGCAATGACGACAAAGACACTGACTGTTTGTTGCTTACCGATGGATTCTTGCGTATGCTTGCTTCTCCTCTTCATGGCTTCGCAAGGGGTGAAGAAAGAACATGCGCCGTGCCGCTGTTAGCGTTAAGCCACAAGCAGCAACGCCACTTTGAACAATCAAAACATAAATATCAGAGCTTCCCTTCCAATTAGAGACCGCTGTCTCGCTATCTTTCTCAGTCTCAGAACCATAGAGCCCGCGGGCGCTAATGCCATGTTTTTTCATCACAGCCATGAGATGTGCCGCAGCAATCTTTGACGAGACGAACACTACTGATTTTTCGTCTCTTGGTATGTCGGCGAGTAGGGCCCTAACCTTGCTTGACAACGTGAATTGGTCGTTGTCTGGGTATTGGCCTGAAGTACAGTGAACTGGCATGGAAGTTGCGTTCCGTATGTGGGCCAACACGAGGGGTGGTATTGCAGTGTACTTGTAGTGCGATGAATGGCTCACGCTGCTTGGCAAGGGCATTGCCAGATAGAGAGCCTCCCACAAATGCGGCTCGAGGTGCCCGTGATTATTGTCCAGCATTTCCGCTGCCTGTTGTACAAGTGTTTTTGCTTCCACCCTCCGCTTTTCAAGCTCGTCTTGGTCACCTGTTTTCTTCGGATCAACAAACACAAGCTGGTCGTAGGAAATTGGTTTTCGACATTCTATACATGACGGGGTTTGCATACGTGTTTCTTTCTGTTGTATCCAACTCGTCATGCAATCCATACACGACAAGTGACCACATCTTGTCAACGCTACAAGACCACCACCTGTCCCATGTGTCTCAAAACATATTGGGCACAAGGTTTTTTCACTTTGACCCGTCTTCAAGGCTTCTAAAACCTCAACAGTTGTCATGTTCTTGATAAGTTCATTTACACCTTTTCCAATCTGCTTCTTCATCTCCCCAAGCTGCCGTTCCTTTAGTTGGACCATTGAGTAGTTGCTCTTGAGGTAATTGGAAGAATCTCGAATGCGGTCCCAGGCACCTGAAACCAAGCCTTGAGCTGTCGATGGCGTCACGGATCGAATCGGACCCTGCGCGTTTGTGCATTGGACATGTCCTGAATCTCCGCAACCGAGAGAAAATATTCTCAAACCAAGCTTTGCCATTCGATATCGCCTTTTTGCATCACCCAGCCTTTGAGTACTCATTCTACAAGGGTGAACTCGATGCGCAGCAGTAGCTTCCTCTAGCATTGTCGTTGCCTGTGTGATTTCACAATCTACCCATTCAGGATAGTTCTCACAGCTCAACTTAACACCCTCGACAGTCTTCGTTTTGTTCAGAATGTAAGAGTGCATATCTTTGGTGCCCAATCGTACGACTGCCTTCCAGCTGCCAACTTCTGATATGCTGCGATCAGAGAGCGTGAAAACTTCCAAATCGCTCGCCCCCACACTGTGCCGGACAGAAAGACAAGCCAACAAAGCTTCTTGAATTTCTGTGATAGTGATAGCGTTTGGAACATCGACGAGAATTAGGGTGTATGGATGGGCCCAGTATAGCTTCGATTCGCGTCGAAACAGTGTCATCAATGCATCATCCCTATCTCGTGACGGTGAGCAACCGAAGTATTTATCCGATGGTCGCCATCCTCGAATGAGCATTTGTGGGAGTACTCCGGTCGCTACAGCGGAGCGAGATGTTGGATGCTTGTTTGTGAGTGATTTTTTGGATGATCTGGTGGAGCTGGTGAGCGCCAATGCACAAGATCTCCAATTCCAAAGATTGCGAATTTTTGAGCTGACGGGCAAGTTGCAGTAGTCATCATTGCTCAGCAACTTGCCTGTTGTTATTTCTTCCAGAGCCAAGTGCCAGTACGCTTTCGCTCTTGTTCTTATGGCCTTCTCACACTGCTTTTTCGTACTTTTTAGCTCTGCAGATTCCCTTTCGTACCGCACTTCTAAAGTATCAAAAGCACGTTGTCGATTGCTTACTCCACCATCGCCTCCAACTCTTGCGTCTGTCACAAACTCAGCATCAGTTCGTGCCAAGTCTTCAACTTGGGACAAAAAAGTAATGGCTTCATTACAGGACAATATCACGCGGGAGGGACTTCGATGCGAGCCTCTGCCCAAAGTAGGGTCATTTCTCGACGGTTGCGGTGCCTTGTTCTCGTGCAATAGTTTGTTGTACTCCTTCATCCAACGATTCAGTGTATCGAGCTGAGAAGGACAACCAAGACCCCCGTTCAACATGGTTGGAGACAAACAAGTCTCGAATAAGAAGCGAAGAAAGTTCTTTTTTTTCTTTTTCTGTTGCACCTCCGCCTGAAGTGTTGAGTTGTCGGTATCGCGCTGGATTGTAGCATCATTTCGCATAAGGCTGTGCGTTACAAACTCGAGGAAGCAATATAATGCACGCTCTGAGCTATCTTGTGGCACAGGCTCGTAAGTCACTGTCATTGGCGGCAGACCCAACAAGGGTAGTCCAGTGTGCCGCACGACCATACCTTTGGAACGACGAAGAATAATCAGCGCAGCCAGCTTTTGCAGAACTGATAATCCATATTGGCTTCTTTGATGCCAATGATTGGCTACCGCGAAATCAAAGAATCCATCATCATTCGAAAAAGCAAATGGCTCCAAGCCTAGGAAGCTCAATTCGCCCCTCAGATCAGAAATATCATCTACAAGAGGTGTCCCCGAAAGCATCCATCTGCATTTGCTTTTTAGCGTATTTACGACCTTTGAAATGCGAGATGTCGAAGATCTAATCTCTTGCATCTCATCCAGCACAATTCTGCCCCATGTTTGCTCGACAAGGCACATCAGCTCATTGTCAGAGCTTTGTCTTTTGCGCGATCTCTTTTTCTTTGTACCAGCGACATTGTCTTCCAAGGCGTGGTATGTAGTCAACACAATGTCAGCCTTGGCTTGTGATTCGGCTGAAGAAGGCTGTTGTACGCGTTGCATCGTGTCGCCACCATAAAGCACAGAATCTACTACCAGGCATGGAGCAATCTTCCTAATTTCAGCTGCCCATTGAGCCAAGAGTGCCGGTGGAACTACAATCAGTGTTGCATGATGAATCGATTTTCTATCTTCTTCGGTTGCGCATCTCTTGACCTCTTCGCGAGCCTTTTGCTTCACATCTTCCAATGTCGCCACAACAAGGGCTAATATCTCAACAGTTTTACCCAGACCCATTTCATCAGAAAGGACTCCTGCGCGGGGTGGACAGTTTTGTTAGAATGCAACAAGGGAATTGGAACGTCCATCGCGAGCACACATACCTCCACCTCCCCAACCAGTGTCGAATGTCGAAACCGCATCGTTCGAGAGAGAAAGTCTCACCTGTCCAAGAGCAGGACTATAGTAGTATGTATCTCCTTCGTGGAACTTTCTTTTCTCCCATATTAGCCGATTCAAGTTTCCCAGGCGCTCCATGTGATACATCCAACAAACGCCATGCTTCTGATGCAACAAGAGTTCCGTTTGCAGCCCGCTACTATCTCCTTGAGTCTCTACAAGTCGTGGCTCTAGGATGTTCTCCCATAGATCACTGTCGAAGGTCCCCGTGTTTTCGATCATTTTGAGAAAGCCTGGAATGGAAAAGGCGCTAAGAGTCTTCCCATCTTGTTTTTTCGATCCTTCGGCTACTTCATCGGCATCATCATACTCTTCATCGTCCTCTTCACTGTCAAAAACAAGGGCCGGAAACTCCGCGCTTTGGAATTCATTTGTTTGAAGCGTTGTGCTTGGTGGCTCTTGGATATGCTGGTCAACTTGAAAGCTGGAATCATCAAGGGCCGTCATGACGACTTGTAGTTCCTGTGTCATGCATTCAAAGAGCAGTCTGTTTGCATATACACCGATTGATAACTCGTGACTTTGGCTACCTCGGATGGGAGTCAGGGTCACTTTTGCGACCAGTAGTGGCTGGTTGTACAATGTTGGGACCGGGACCATTAGAGCCACAAGAGCTTCGAGTACCTGAATAGTATCATTGCTCGAGGGTGTATCATCACACAGCACGGGCTGGTTTTGTTTCATAAATCGAAGCAATTGGTGGCAAGAAATGGAAGGATAAACGCGTGTCAACTCTCCAGTTTTGTTGTCCCACCCGGGCGAAAAAGCTCCATTTTTGCGAATGTTATGCCATACCTGGTGGAATCTGTGTGCCTTCTGTTCGAGCTCTGTCTCACTTTCAACAGTTTCTGACTGAAGAATTTGAGATTTTGCTTGCTTCAAGCTTGGGATCGGTATTTTACGGCGAACTTCTTTCTTCCTTTTCTTGTTCACTGACGGTTGTTCTGACGGTAGTTTCGAAGATGACTTGGTGGAGAGACTGCATTGAAGCTTGGACATGTCAAAGTCTGCACTAGCAACAAGCGTTCGATTGATGATTCCTAAGCGTCGACATGTTCGTACATACAATCCAGCTGCGAATTTGGCAGCGGCTGGAGACTTCCAGATCATAGATCCCGCTTTGCCGAAAGCGGACTCTTTGGCATCAGCAGCAATGGAAAGGTTCGGAGGCATGACATTGTCATCACAATCCGAGGAATCAATCAACGATTCAAGCGGCCGTTTCTTTGGCGCCATTGTGAATGAATAAGGCACAGCTTCTGCAGCTAGGTCAACAGACCGTCGCTGCAATGGATTATTTGCCACCGTACCGGTAGTGGTTTCGAAATCGAAACTTGCTTGTGTCGAATGAATCAAATAATGAATCAATTTCATTTTATTGTGATCTGCAAATTATGGCGCAAAAGTTCGAAGTAGGTCAATTAATAGATTGTAAGCGGAGTTTTCCATGGTACCTACAGTATCTATCCATTCGTTCCATCCAAAAACTTGAATTGGACAAAGTTTCAAAGAAAAGAGTGATAACTATGATAACTACACTGTACAGTACACGTACGTGTACGGGCATATTCAAAAAGTTTTTTCACCTTGTTCAAGTTTTCAAGATCCGGGAGCAATAGCAGTTCCTTATCCCACTTGGGAAAAGCACTCCTCTGCCTCCTGGTTGTTTGGTTTCAGAGAAACCAATTATCAGACCACAAAATTCTGCTGCACAGCGTTGAATTAAAAAAATGTGCACGCAACGGGGCGTCATGCAAAATAATTTAGTTGTTTGCTGTTTCTGCGGCACGTAAGCTCTCTCGTAGTTTCTCTGGATCTCTGACCCTTTTCCGTCGGTCGTCTAGGAGTCGTCTCCAAATGAGGAAGCCTCGAAGTTTTCGCTTCGCTCTTTGCAGCGTCAAGAAGTATTTGAGTTCCAATTCGGCAAGATCCATAGCCGCTGTTCCCTCTGTTTCTTCTTCTTTGGAATCGTCGGTGCCTCCAGTCTTTCGTTGGAACCCATCCGGGAAGCGCTTGTTGATGTCTTCTATCTTGTCCAATAATCCAGATCCTGGAGGGTACCAGACTTTGATTGAATCTTGAACGTAAGAGGCATTGCTTGCGCGCAATTGATCAAAAACATCCTTCCAACCAGGATCACATAGAATCCACTTGGGATTGATTGGGAATGTGTATCCCTGGTCTATTTTTTCTTTCAAAATTTCTTGCAGTCCAGTCTGGTCCACATACTTCCAAGGCAGTGATTGGCCCGCCAAACGATCTGAGATGACTAAGAACTCCTCGTCCAACTCTTGCGGGAAGTAGTAATTGAAACACTCTGCACCATGTCGAACTGCGCCTTCTTTTTGTAATCTATGAATCGCATGTTTCATAATGGAATGACTTTTGGGGTCACTGAAACCAAGGGGAGGAATGGTAGGATGGAAACCTTTCGAAGCCGCGGTCTTGAGGACATCGAGCCACCGACTGGTCCAGGAGCTACTAGTCTTTTCACTCTCCAAAATGGATTCAATTTGTGAAATGCACCACTTGGACACCTCTAGTTGATCACTGGGCAACGGAGCATCGTATTTGACCCCTCTTGTTCCGACAATAAAACAGTCAAAGTCACTCACCACCGGCATGACGCGACTGGGTTCTTCGTAGGCCATAAGAAAGTCCCGTGGATCCAATGGATCCTGGTTATCGTCAAGAGGATCATTGTATAGAAGGATAACGGCTTGCGGTGTAGGCTTGTCTGCATCTCCGTGAGGTCGCAATGCACCAAAGTTCATATTTTGAAAGTTTGGTTCTGATGGCCGCCCAGTGTCATCCACACTTCCGGTTTCTCGACGAATGTCTTGTCGAACGACGAGACCTTCCCAAAAGAGACGCTCTGCGACTTCAATTCCAAAGACCTTTGGTGCGTAATCATCTATAAGATTGATCGTACTATCGGTCATATCCCATATCAGCTTGCTCAATGCCCATTCATTTGTTTCGTCGTCCTCAATCGAGTCGTCTTCGACAATTTCCTTGGCCTTCTTTACAGTATCCACCATTTCGACTCGTACGCCTTGAAGGAAAGCTACAACTTTTTCACGATTTGGCTTTGAGTTATAGAAAACGCGAATCTTTCCGTCTTTTGGTAGGGTACGAATTTGTTTCTTGTGTTCTTCTTGATGAATTTGAAGAAATGGTACAAATCCAGATAAACGGCCCTTCTTCGCTGACTTTCCCTTAATGTCCAATCCTTTCCCTACACCTTCCCCAAGCATCATCCTTCGTATCGCATCATAACTAGTAGGCCTCCAAACTGTGAACACCGAAGACTTGTAAAAGGCTCGCAGTAATGGACTAACCAGGTGCGTATTTGCACCCATTTGATCCATATTTTTGGCTCCTTCTTGCGCTACATCATTGAAAAAGTTTAAGATTTGATATCTAGGATCTGAGCGGCGAAATTGTCGGGCCCATTCTCGAATCCGCTGGCTTTTGACAAACTGGATCATTTCTTCTTCCAACTCCTCAGAGATTCCAAGCAATTCAGATAAGCTGTTTGACGCCATGGCACCGGCATCCAAATTCGAAGAAGACGAAAAGTTGTCTCTTCTAGTTCGGTGATCACGTTCGGGTTGGAGTGGAATCATGCTGCGCAAAAAGAGAAGAAGATGATTGTTAGTCCACCAAATGCGAATTCTGATTGGAAGTCATAGCATAATCACCGCACCTCTCATCTTCCTTCAACGTGGTGTTCATGTAATATTGATCCATGATGAAAAACAAATCTTATATCCGCTTGACTATTCACGTGACCAAATCTAGATTTATGAAAACCGCAGACAGTTTTCAGATCCTCAAATTCACCAACGATGAATGAATCAATCGTAAGTCTACTAGAGTATTTTCCAATGGAGTGCAAAGGTCTGTTTACTGTGGCCTCTGATAGTTGTATTTGGTCTGGGTTCGCTACAGTACTGTATGCAGTTTCCTTCGTTTGTGCCACACCGATGAAGGAGATGCGATGCCTTCGCCTGCCCGGAAAAGCTGTGACCGGCAGCTCTAAGACCCGGATATATGTCCGCCGACATGATTTTGTGACATCTGACGTCAGTCGATGGAATCGACAATGCAAAAAGCCAACATCATGATCTCGTGACAGACACTTTTACAGTAGATCTACGAAAATGGCCCGCCTTCTGCTCTCTTCCATCATGTTGCTTTCGGTATCTCGCTTCTCGAGTGCCTTTGCTCCAGCTACCAGACGTTTCAGCCGCAATGCCATGTCCCTAGCCGCCAGCGACAGCGACTTTGATGACTTCTCATCCAAAGTCGCGTTCATGTTCCCTGGCCAAGGCGCCCAATTCGTGGGAATGTGCAGTGAAGTTTGCAAGGATGTTCCAGAAGCCAAGGCTCTTTTTGACGAAGCTTCCGAAATTCTTGGATACGATCTCTTGGAGGTCTGCACTGAGGGTCCCAAGGAGAAGCTTGACTCTACCGTCATTTCCCAACCTGCTATCTTTGTGGCTTCCATGGCTGCTGTCGAGAAACTAAAGTCTGAGAAGGGACAAGAAGCACTCGATGAAGCCACTTGCGCCATGGGTTTGAGTTTGGGAGAATACTCGGCCCTTTGCTTCTCTGGAGCCATCTCGTTTGCCGACGGTGTCAAGATCACCAAGGCGCGTGGTGAAGCTATGCAAGCCGCTTCCGACGCTGTCGACACTGGAATGGTTTCCATCATCGGTCTAGATAGTGACACAGTGAAAGAAGTTTGCAAAGCTGCGAGCGAAAAGAGTGGAGAAAAGATCCAAATCGCCAACTACTTGTGCAAGGGAAACTACGCTGTCAGCGGTGCCTCCAAGGCCTGCGATGTCGTTGCTGAAATTGCCAAGCCTGACTTCAAGGCACGAATGACTGTCAAGCTTGCTGTTGCCGGTGCTTTCCACACTGGTAAGTACTTTATCGCTCTCCCTACTTTATGCTTACCCAAATGGAGAATCCTTTTTTCTCACCTTTTGTTTTTGTGATGTTTCCCCATAGATTTCATGGCACCTGCTGTGGCGGCTTTGGAAGAAGTTCTTGCCGACGTTGAGATCAAGAAGCCTTCTATTCCTGTCATCAGCAACGTTGATGCCAAGCCACACTCCGACCCTGATACCATCAAGAAATTGTTGGCCACCCAAGTCACTTCCCCTGTCTTGTGGGAGAATACCATGGACTTGATTCTTGGAAAGGACTTTGAAAAGGCATGCGAACTTGGACCTGGAAAGGTTACTTCTGGAATCTTGAAGCGCTTTTCCAAGAAAGCTGAGTGCACAAACGTTGAGGTCTAATTTTGCAAGGTACTATAATCTGCTACTCGTACACATTCTATAGATTTTACGTCGTTTAGTGTAGTGATGCCATCGACCTGAAAATGTACTGGGAAAAAATGGATTCAGTCTGTCAGTCTATCAGCGGTAGCCGGCACCACGGGCAGACATTGGCTGAACCCCCATCCAAGCCGAATGACGATGGTGATTGGAATACAAAGCCTTGACCAAGACCTCCTGAGGAACAACCAAAAGCGTGATTGATTGACAGAGTATCCATACCGAACGACTGTAAACTCCTTCGCGATCTACTGTCGAAATGTCTGTCGTTGGAAACAATCGAGTAGGAATTCCAATTGTTGTCTTGCACGATGCCGAGGGTGCAGTCATCGAAGTCGAGACCAAAAAGGGAGAGCTGATCCGAGGAATGCTCTTCGAAGCTGAAGATCAAATGAATCTGTATATCAAGAATGCAGTGATCCGGGACCCAAATGGTGTGAAGCGAAAAATAAATCAAGTGTATGTCCGGGGACCTGAAATTGTATTCATTGTACTACCTGACATGTTGAAACATGCTCCTATGTTCAACCGGTAAGTGGTCAAGAAGAATAGAAACGCAGCCAATACTGTATCCAGCAGAAATCAGTGATTAAGTGCACACTATATTGATCTCAATTCATCTAACGTTTTATATTTGCAATGCAGGATTAAACATTGGAGAAAACATGGTGGAGCGCCGCCAGAAGGGGTTGGCCAAGCAGTTGGTCAAGCAGCTGCTATCCTCAGAAAGGCGAACGAGAGGCGACGGGGAGGTTTTGGTGGTCGATTTGGAGGGCGCGGCAGAGGTGGATTCGGTGGTAGAGGAGGAGGCGGTGGTCGTGGAGGAGGTCCACCTCCACCAATGGGGCGCGGTCCACCAATGGGGCGCGGTCCACCACCAGGTCAATACGGTCCAAGATGAGACCAAGATCAAAATTATGGGAGCTTTCAACGGCTCGTGTTATTGTCTTTTTAGATTTTCCAGCGAAATAGAAACAATGATTGGTAAGATAATGAAAATTCAATGGCAATCGATTGGATGCGATCAATATCACACTCTTCGGCAAAAAGAGTCATATTGGTTCAATCGATCATTCGATTTGCCATCGGTTAGTATATCAAGTGAAATTTGACTATTTCATTCGACGGCAAAATATACCTAGAAGCTGCAATCAGTCTATGCTAGCGGAGTGTCAGCAACACTGACAATCGATTGGTGTATGATTACTACCATAGTGGATATCAGACCTTGTCATCTCTAACTGGAATTGCATTTTGTAAAATATACAATAAAGATCTGGGAATACTGTGTAGGTATATCGCGACAAGCACGTGTTGGTTGTTGGAACGACAAAGGAAGAAGGGAAGCCGAACGTTTGGGGGTAGGATACGAATTCGAACTAAAAAGCTTTCACGTAACATGGTACTGTAAAATTTGGGACAGAATAAAGGGGGGACACCGCTTTCCTCTTCTTCCTTTTGCTACGAGTACCATCAGGTACAATTTTGTGCTGACTTTTCGACCCCTCTTTCAATGTTTCTGACAGAACAAGTATCTTTGAAGGCGTGTCATCAATTCATACAATATTCGCAGAGGGTCAACGGATAAACGAGACGCCGACCTTCCACATATCTCTAACAAAGTAGAAAGAATACTGTATCAGTTTCAACTTGTGTTATGGATAGAATGGGAAGTTCGTGTTCGAAGAGCCGCATGTCAACTAGACGACAACAGATCATTGATGATGTAAGTTTTCTTGCAACCAACATGATTCGTGTCTGCAAAGATGCTAACACTAACTGAATCTTCAGACACATCAAGAAACGTGTAGAGAAAGAATGAGAAGCCCTCATTCCATTTCCCGCCATTCCATTCCTGCAGCACTGCCGGACGATTCCATATCGAATCAATACCCACCATCGGAGAATTTCATCATCGAAGACAGCGGTACTCATTCCCCCAAAACTCTAGCACAACTTGCCACGGAGACTCTTTGTCGATCCCTGGCCTATTTGGATGGGGAACTCCCTCTAGGATTGCCTCAGGACGTAGTGGATGAAATTGTCGAATCGCTTACGGAGCATAATGCTCTGAACGAAACAACCATGAAGGTGCTCCGGAATTGCGAGATTTCTGCTCTGAATCTGTCTGGATGTAGAGGTGTCAGCGATTCTTGGCTCAAGTCTTTCAATACATATGCTACTGATACTGGCTCATCCGATGATTCTGGAATCGCTTTGTCCGACGTGGACGATGGTATGGAAATTGATGATGGATCTAGTGATGTCTTTTACAACACGACTAGCAATTTCGAAGAAAGGCAGAATTTCTTGGACGAATCGCCTCCTTCATCGACATCGTCGTCATTTAAATCAGCACATTCAAGACCGTGGACACCCGCAAAGGAGGATACAATTGAATGTGATGACATGGTTGTCTATCACGATGAGTTTACATTCGATGATCCAGCACTTGCTTCTGCCTTTGGCAACTTGACAGTACTCGATCTTCGAGGCTCGCATGGACTCACAGATACAGGGTTAAGTTACCTTAATGACCTACGCAACCTCGAAGTTGCCAGATTTGACAACTGTCATTCGATAGTTGGTGATGGGTTGTCTGTTTTGCACTCCTCACAGCGCTTGCACACTCTCTCGCTGGCGAACTGCCGCCGCTTGACAGACGAAGCAATCGTGCATATTTCGCATCTCAAATCATTGGAGGCTCTATCCCTGGATGGGTGTCGATGTTTGACTGACCGATCGTTGGATGCAATTTCTGGCCTAGTCTTGATAAAAAAGCTCGATCTCTCACAGTGTGATTTAATCACTGATGATGGATTAACATATCTGTCAGGCTTGGAAGAACTAGAAGAGCTGAGTCTTGGCTGGTGCAGGAACCTTACTAGTTTTGGAATTGATATCCTAACATCCCAAGGTGGAAGACAATTTTCACTTCGCATGTTGTGCCTAGCACGATGTGCCATTGGCAACTCGGGAGTCGAGTGTCTCAACAGACTGGAGCAGCTAGAAGAATTGAATCTTAGCGGTTGCACAGCTATTAGCAGTGCTGTGCTTGGACGATCAATCGGAGCTTTGTCGATGCTCTCTGTCTTGGACGTCTCCTATTGTCCCGGCATTCTGTGAGTACCAGCTTTCGTGTTGTTCTGTACATTGAAGCATAAACCCGCCAGCTAATAGCTTCACCTTAGGCGTGCCCCATGGCAGGGAAGAATCAGCAATGTCAAGTCATTATGCCTTTCCTACGCTGGAGTTCGAGACAATCAAATGTTACACTTCGATAATTTGCCTTGCCTCGAAGAATTGAACTTGGATTCCTGTTTGGTGAGCGATTGGACTATTGCCCACCTGGCCCAAAACGATGTGACTCCAAACCTGGTATCGTTGGACTTGGCCGACACAGATCTTTCAGATTCTGGTATGCGCCACCTCGCCAAGTTTACTAAGCTCAAGCGTCTTTCTCTGTTTTACTGTAATGTCTCCAACTCTGGACTCCACCACCTTGCACAGCTTACCTCTTTGGAATCTTTGAATCTGGACAGTCGTGACATTGGAGACGAAGGATTGTATCATCTTCGGCATTTAAAGAACTTGAAGGCACTAGATATATTTTCGGGAAGAATCACGGATAGCGGCTGTGCACTGATTTCAAAGATCAAGTCGTTGGAGTCTCTCGAGCTTTGCGGTGGGATGATTAGTGATCTTGGCTGTGCCATGTTGGCCAGTTTGGAGAATTTGACATCTTTGAATCTGTCTCAGAATGAATTCATCACCGATCGAGGAGCCGCAGCTCTATCCGCACTGAGAAATCTCACAGCACTGAATCTGAGCAATACGAGAGTAACTTCATCTGCTTTGGATCATTTTGAGAGTTTTACCAAATTGCAGTCGTTGGCTCTTTACGGTTGTGAAGGATTGGAGGATCATGGAAGCATCGACCGGCTGCAAAGCCAACTCCCAACCTTGAAATGCATGCGACTGAACAATGGAATGGATGAGAGTGGCACACTGATTCAAGTCGAGAGTGCCAGTTAGAATAATGGGGAACTATAATTTCAATAAGAAGTGTATTTTGCATAGTTTTATAGCTTGTCTACATGGTCCGGAACCTGGTACCAGAACCGGTACCTGGTACAGTACGGTACCGTAGAATGAAGCTCCAATTTTTAAAATTTCAATTGGGATATAGTTTCTTTACAAACTAAATCAGCACCTTTGTCCGCGCCATTTTGCCTGCAAGTCAGTCAGTCTGCACATGGTTGCGGCAAAGACAAGAAAATGAAACAGAACTATGATAACAAACACACAATACAATCAGAACGTACAGTAGCACAACGATGACAGCCACCGTTGTTGCAAACAGCAGCCAAGATAACCGCCCAAAGCGAGCATACGCTGCTCGTACTCCCAAATGGCAACGATTTCAAGCAAAATTGTTGGTTCCCTCTACGAAAGCAGCAGGAGCTGTATCCAAGGAGGAAAGCTCCGTCTTTCCCTACCAACGCCAATATTCCAGCGTCTACTACCAACGACTCATGGCACTCAAGCCTCGATGTTGGAAAGCCATGGAAAATGAAACCTACAAGAAGATTGACCGTGTGTTGGGTCTGCGCGAAAAGGTTCCCAGCCTTGTTGTTGGTACTTTGGTGAAGGAATCCACGGACCCAAAGGAAGATCCAATGGTCTCTGATTCCGAGTGCCGACCCTCCGATCAACTCTATCTCGAAGACGAGAGTGGTCGCGTTTCATTAGAACTTAAGGAAACTCATCAGTTTTGCACCGGAGTCGTCATTGGGGTCAAAGGGGTGGTGGATGCCAGTGGAACTTTTCAGGTGGAAGGATTGTTCCCTCCGGCTACTCCCGACCCAGTGACATTGACTGGGGGCATTACACAGTCAACGCCTGCCTCCCACAGTCCCCACCTTTTGATTGTATCGTCGCTTCTTTGCGCTGACGCGGACGTTTCCTCGCTCTCACGAGAAATGCTTGTTGCATACCTCCAAGGGCAGTTCACTTTGGACGCTGCCAAGGTCTGCCGAGTTTTGGTCGCTGGCAACGGACCTGGAGCGCAAGATGTACTACAGGGAGTGAAGGATCTAGATTGTTTCGGTATGCAATTGAAATCCTGTGGTATCCCGATGGATATCATGCCTGGCAAAAATGATCCAACCACTGCCAACTGGCCTCAGCGACCGCTACATTCCTCTCTAATTCCAAACTCTGGAAATTTTATTTCTCGAGTCCCGAATCCCTATGCAGCAGGTCATGGAAAGCAGCTCGTCGTCGGTACTGATGGGGCCAACATTTTCGATTTGCAAAAATTCATTTTGAACGATCAGAGTGAAAGGATATCGGAGCTGGATGCTTTGGAGAAGACCTTGGAGTGGAGCCATCTTTGTCCAACTGGCCCCAGCAGTGTGCCAACTGTTCCGCATACTGAACGTGACCCAATGGTGTTGGAACAAAAGCCACAAGTTTACTTTTGTGGAAATGCCAGCAAGTTTGCTCACAAGGTCTGGGAGGATGGCACTGTCTTGTTGTGTGTTCCCAAGTTTAGCGAGACATCGGAAGCTGTCTTGCTCAATCTCGAAACTCGAAAAGTGGAACTTTTGAGGTTTGATAGCAATGAATCATCCTAATTTAAAATATTGTTTTGTTTACTTTTATTTGTCCTATTATACAGCGCTGTAGAAAGACTTTCAAAACAAATCTCGTGTTGTCCAGTACTGTACATCGAGAAAGCGGTTTGTAATCATCACCTAGCGGTACGAACTGTATGCAAATAATAAGCAAACTTCAAACTGTACGACGGTACTTGTCGTCCGACCGTCATCCCGCTGTCTTCCAGGATACTGTCGGTCGCACGTAAACGAGCGAAGGACTCTGCATCGCCTCTGAACGCAACCAGAGTTGAGATATTGAGTCGATTGCGTCAAATAACCTTGCACACCCCACACCCACACCCCACACCCCACCCCACCCCACACCCACACCCCACACACCCCCACCCCACCCCCACCCCACCCCACACCACACCACACCACCCACACACCACACACCACACACCACACACCACACCCACACACCACACACCACACACCACCACACACCCACACACCACACACCACACACCACACACACACCACACACCACCACACACACACACCACACCACACACACACACCACACACCACACACCACACACCACACACCACACACCACACACCACACACCACACACCACACACCACACACCACACACCACACCCACACACCACCACACACACACACCACACACCACACACACCACACACACACACCACACACACCACACACACCACACACACCACACACACCACACCACACCACACCACACCACACCACACCACACACACCACACACACACACACCACACCACACCACACCACACCACACACACCACACCACACCACACCACACCACACCACACCACACCACACCACACCACACCACACCACACCACCACACCACACCTCAATAAAAACAAGCATATAAGCTCGCAGCCAACAGGGGTTCCTTTGGTGACTAGCGCCTGTGTATCTAGTCTACTTTCAGCTTTGCCATCAACCCAACAAAATGAAACGAATTCTTCTCTTTGTCAACAATCAAATGAACGAGAACAGGATTTCGGATCAGGGCTAGTAACTCGTGAAGCACAGTCTGTTTGAGACGCTAGTAGCACAGCTTGTTGCCTTGCGATTACAATCAGTAATAAAGGCGACGACAGAGGACAAGAAGTTCATGAATGGTTTGGGAATTCAGAACAATCTACGAGCGATGAGATACGGACATGCATCCAAATATTCCAAAGTAGCTAAAGTATCCAATAAATAATTTGAATTTGAGTTACGGAGGTGCTTCATTTTACCATCGCGAGTTGTGCTTGATTTTGTTGGTACCGGTACGATGATGGTTTGTCATTTGCAAGGTTGTATTTTTGACGCAATCTCAAGTCTCGGAAAACGCAAGAAGGCAGCTTTTTGGTTGGGCGCTTTGCGTTCAGAGTCTCAGGGAGACCCTTCGCTCGTTTACGTGCGACCTACAGACTATGTGGGTTGACTGCAAGACGATGGCTGCAGAGTGTCAGTCGATGTCAGATCGAATGAACAAAATGGATCATTCAACTTCGACCCATGCTCTTATTGGCTCTGTCAAATTTCAGAGCCATCAATTTGTAAAATGGTTAAAATTTTGACTCGAGTTTTAACCGCATCCTTACCAAGCGTTGGAGCCTTTGTCAGCCCATTGGGCTCCCGCAGTGCCAACAAGATCATCAACGACGTTTCACGTCGAACCAAAGTCCCTGTCCAAGCAGTAGATGCCGAAGCTAAAGATACCTTCGCCGCTGGATCATCCAAAGGCTCGTTCGCCAACTTTGACTACGAAGCCCATTGGTATCCTGTCAGTTGGGCACGCGATCTCCAGGTGAACGACCCAACGAAAGTCACAGTCTTCGATGTAGACTATGTCGTTTCCAAAACTGCCAATGGAGAAATCATTTGCATGGAAGACAAGTGTGCACACAAGGGTGCTGCCTTGTCACAGGGACGAGTTACTGGCAACGGCAAGAATTTTCAATGCGCTTATCACGGCTGGAGTTTTGATGGGAAATCTGGAGAATGCACCGAAATTCCACAACTCGTTCAAGCCGATGGATCGTCCACTCAGATTCCATCTCGGGCATGTGGTACGGCTGTTCCAGCCCAAATTCAACAAGAAATGGTGTGGATATTCCCTGGAGGAGGCTTGGAAAAGGCTCTCCAGGCCCCATCACCACCATTGGTCCAAGAAGTAGAGACTGGAGGCTTTAAGCTTGGTCAATTCGTCCGAGACTTTCCTGTCGATTGGCCAATCGTTGTCAGCAACATTTTTGATCCCGACCATGGACTGTTCGCACACCAGGCTACTACCTTTGACATGTACTCTGCATCTTCCATGTACCCCCTTGAGATTCAAAACAACTATCCAGACGACGGCAAAGGTTGGGTCTTGGAGAGCAAAGTCCAGGCCCAAGACAAACTATTGGATGTGAATGCCAAATTGCGAGAGGCACAAGGGGAATCCAAAAAGAAGGAGAAAAAGAAGGACGAAAAAGAACTCTGGGCATCTTCCTACTTCCAAGCCCCCTTTCATTTGCAACTCAAGCGGGTGGATCCTGAGACTGGCTCGACAAACTTTGTTTCAACTTTCTACATTTGTCCTGTCGGAGTTGGAAGAACTCGATTCATGGCAGCACAAGGGTCTAAAACAGCAACCCCCCGTTGGTTGACCAAGCTCTTTACCGATAACTTCTTGGATCAAGATACTTATCTTCTTGCCACCCAACAGAAAAATATTTTGACGGCAGAAGCCAAAGAAGTAGAGGAGCTTTTGAAGACTGTGTCATCGGCTGAAGAACTGAAATCAGTGTCCATGAAAACCCGTAAGAAAATGTTTTGTTTGACAAGTCCTACGGAAAAGGTTGGTGCTAGGCTGGAGAACTTTTGGGACGACACTCTGCTGCGTGTTCCCAACCGCATTCAGCGTCTCCTACAACTGAACGCTGTTGGAGCTTTTGCAACTACACCACCTCGCGAAGTAGTCTTGGACCGCAAATCACAGCAATATGATATTAGCAATGATTCCAAAGATGTCGTCAAGAATTGCCAAAAAGTATCTAAATACTCAAAGTTGGCTGCAGTTGCAAGCATTGCACTCAGATTCACTAACAAGGCTCCCAAAGCGCTTACTTCGCCCACCGCTACCATTGCAACTCTAGGACTTTGTTTCCTAGTCTCGTCGATTGCACAGAAGCTTGAGCGTGAATACTACTTCAAATACACTGACGATTATCGACGAAAAGATTTGGCCAAGATCCCCAAGAAAATCTGGATTGACAAGGAGTACATTGAGGGTGACCATCGCGATTGCATCCCATTTACGAATTATTCAGACTAGTAAACTATGGAGTCACTAATAGATTACTAATGGGACTTGGTAGGACTTTGTCAGTTTTTTCTATTTCTATTGTAAGTTTCTACTTTATTGCGTTGAATCAAGTACCTAGTACTGTTGGCTTGAGCATTTTGAATTTGATTCAGATTCACAAAATTAGTTCTTTAGTCCTATCCACCACTGCCAACTCATGTCTTTCTTCTTGGATTTCACCTTCTCCTCGACAATGTAGAAGGCCTCTTTATCAGATATACAACGGAGAACCACAGCGAAGTGCTCTTGTCCCATCCTTCAACATGTAATCCATGTTTGCAATAGAGTTCAATTTTTTAAGAACGGCGAAGAATCGCGATGATGCAATTCCCATGTTCATAAATAGATCAAGTCTAACTTTGTAGACGGAGATGTCATCATGAGAATTTCGAACCATGAGTACACGGGGTGCACCACTGTCACGCAGTTTGATGCCAATACAAACAAGCGCGCTATAGTATCTGTCTGATTGGTTCTTTGGTCTCTATTACAAATCCGTGGAGGTCCGAATGTTTCCCGAAATATAGTGGCTTGCTTCGACCTGCAAGAGCTTCGGCCATCTAAATCGTGAAGACAGCTGCTTCGCCAGAATTCACATAGATTTATAGCTGACAAAAGCAGCAGCATTCGGAGTTGTTCGGCGTGTTGGAATCACAAGTACTAGAATCAGTGATAAATCCACAGAGTGTCTTCTCGAAATCGGATCCTGTCTTCTCTGCTAATCTTCCGTCCCGAAGATTCGTCTCCAATGTACTTCGAAATATGAAGCTTGAAGGTCAAAGTATCGTCGCTGTCGTGTACCCGTTGTTTCGTGCACCAGAAGTAGTACAACAACGATGAGCAAGCAGAAGATGTACAGAGCTACGAATCTGAATGCGGAACAAAGGACACACCCCAATTGTCTATTTGCGCGAAAGATGGTGGTTGCGCTCTCGGCCTTCCATGCTTTTCGTTTTTGGACATACGCCGAGTATTTCAAATAGCGGTTCTTCAAATTAAGATTTTTGACGGCGCTACAGCGAATATCCCCACCACTACGGACGAAGCTCATCATTCATCTAAAATCCGACGATTCATTCAGGTCGCAAAATTCCGACGATCGCTTGTGCTGGCATGTGCTGCTTTCTGGCGTCATGGCTCAAAGACGTCGTCCATCTCCTTTGCAACTATGAAAATCATGAGAATTTTCGGATTATTGCTGAGGTCATTAAAGTGTAAAATGGTTTGGGTTTGTTTTTTCGCCCACCAACGAGAAGTTTGATGAGGACTTCAAGTGTGACATAGTACATCGAATATTTGCGATAATTCTAATTATGAACATCTCTTTTTGGCTATCGAAGATAGCCAACTGGCGCCTGCCGCCTGGTTTCTTCCGTGAGGGATTCTTTCTTGGTGTGACTCTGGTGGGTTGTGGTGTGAAGCTGGTCTTTTGGATTGCGCGCGAAGCGTGCGGTTCCAAAAGGCCAGTCTTTGATATTCCGCGAAGCGGAATATCAAAGACTTGCTTGCCTACTAGGCCTTACAGAGACGTAGAATGCGTCGATGTAAGGCCCAACAGGGATGTGGAGGGAGGGAAAGAAAGAAATAAACCTTATTTCTTGACGTATACTCGCACACAAGTTCGATAAACTGATCGGACTTGGTGTTGCTGAGCAATGCTATTGTGACGGTCGTTCGACCGTCGTCAGTATGATGAAAGGAATCCAATGATTCGTTCTCGAGCTTTCGTCTACGTTAGACAATCGTGTTTCGATTTCGAAGTCAGTTCAAAATCATCAGACCTTTCCAACAAAGAACCCCCCCTACAACATCATTACGAACGTAAACCTCATACAAAAAAATCCTTCACATTCGTCATAGATTACCATGGACGAAACTAGTATCAGCGGCATCAGCGGCATCAGCGACATCAACGACATCAACGACATGAGTGCCTGCAAGATGGAACCCAAAAATGAAAATGATCTTTCAGTGTCAACGACGGCGACACACTCCTATTGTATCGATGCGAATACCTATTGATTCCATTCCAACCAGGCTAACCGAGAACCATGCTAAAGATCTTCGCGACGACAATGAGGTTCTATGAAAACAAGAATACGGTGAAAAGCGAACACCTCCAAAAGCCACCAAGCAAGCACAATATAACGAAACCATGGAAATGTGTCAACACTATCCCAAAGTATCCGGGTTCAGACAGTCCTTTGACGAGCTTACAGAGCTCACAGAAAAGAAGCGAGCTGTCTGGATTCTCACGATCTTCAATAAGATGTACGTCGGCCTGATCAGAACCGACGAAGAGGCAGCCAAGACCTTGGACACTAAGGGAGGGGACCAGAAGTGTCTGACGAATTGGTTCATGCAGACACAATACTTGCTGTTGACAAGAGCATGCATAATGTCTTTCATCTACTGCCAGGATCCTGCTTCCTTCATTTGTTCGTTTTGTGCTAGTGCAGCACTCCTGCACTTGACTTGTTGCAACTCACAAAGCCAAAGCTGACCGGCGGAATGTCTTCTCTCTTCAAGGTGAGCATTTCTCGGTAGAGGCCCTTCTCTGAAATCAGTCTTGATCTGTATATGGCCATGGATATCGACAGCCTAGAGTTCTTGGCCATCCCTCGTAATTGGCGCTTCAAAAAGGACATCAGCTACGAGGTGGATCAAGAAAACATACCGGTAACACAATATTGTGGCTAAAAAACTGTACCTCGATGAAAACGGTGCTACCTGCGTTAGCGCTAGCGAGGTAGAGAGAATTGACCGATGCAACCAGAAACGTGATAACAGTGGATATTTTGAGCCGATGGATCCAAACGAATTTCATGCCTACGTACATGGTACAGAGGTTGGAGTTGTGGGAGCTTTTTGTATGAGCCCGAGTGCAACACTTGTAATGATAGGTACTGATAGACCACTAATATTTCGGTTTTCGATATCGTTTATGTTGGGAGTTTCTAGTTTCTTATTTTGAAAACGCCACTACTACTCCTGTTAGCCAAGTCGAGAGTAGGGACCGACCCAACCACCACCGCGGTTGTAGTCGATGTTTGGACGGTGGAGCAGAACGAGCTTCGTGCCTGCAATGCATAGATTCAATATGAGAGCCTGGTGATCAGAGAGTTTACTCGAAGTTGTGTAGTACTCCACCAGACACCGAAGTGTAGTTTTGGAGATTATTTAGTCCCTCAAATCGAAACAAAACAACACGCATGTTACCGAGTTTCACGACAAGAAAAGTACAGCAATATAAAGGCAAAGCGGTCTCCTTGTCAAGTCTTTTCAGATCCGCACTCTCTCAGAACAAAATTATCATGTCAAGAAAAGTTGCTCCCATTTTGCTGCGCGGTTTACGCCACCGCGATTGTGGGTTGCAGTCAGTAAACCAACCCTTTGTATATTTCAGTGGTTCAAGTTGGAACAAGAAACAGGTCGAGAAGATTGAAAAGAAATTCACAGAACCAACGCAAAATGTGGATTCAGATGAAGACCTTCAGCAAATGTGGAAACAAATGGAGAGCCGTGTGACAAAGAGACGACCTAGAACGCTACAGGACACGAAAGGTAAGACGGGCAGAGAGAACATTCGCAAGACCGACGAAGAAATGTGGTTGCAGGAAGGCCTTTATCCAGACCAAGAAAAGCCAGATACAAAGTAGATACCGGTAGAACTATCTTGGCTGAACCATGCAACTGGAATCAAAGTAAGTCAAATTGACTGTTTGCCATAGATTGATGATGGATTTTGCTTTTTCCGTTTTGCAGGTTGCTCGTCGATGATGACAGCAGTCTGCTGAGAAAAGCTTTCCTATAGCGATGCTGCCTTACTGATGACTAGGCCGAGGGAGCATTTCGTGACCTGGACAGTTACGGGGCAAACAAAGCCTGACTTCATGCAAACGAACCATTCAAACATAGATTTCTAACACCGCAGTTCTCTCCCTTCATGCACACAGTTGAAATGAAATATGGCTCGTCAAAGTTTTGAATATTAAATCCATACTATAGATACAATTGAAAATGGTCGTTGGTCGTATGTGGTAGCCCCCTTCAGTGCGCACCACACCCCCCTATCCTTGACGCTTATATTTTTTGTTCGCCCCATCACCTGCTACAAAGTTCTCGTATTTGCTGTTATCCCGCAAACCTAAGTTTTTCTTTATTTGAACGCGCTAAAGTTTGTAAAAAGGAAGCAGTGAGAACACAGATGTAGTGGTAGTTGATGATTGATCCATGCATTCATGTCATCTTGATCGACGCCTTATACCTTTGTATTGTACCATCGCCGAATTCGCAATGGGGTTCCAGTCTCTCCTGTGCTGATCCATCGAAAAGTAAGGATTGCGGCTATCACTAAGAATGGAGCCCATGATCCTCCCGAGCTTGGTGCTTCAACCGCTGTCGTCATCTGATCAGTTTGGAGTTTTCTCATGACGACGATGTCGCTTAGCAAAATGTTTCACGTACTAATTTAGTTCTTTATTCCCGTACAAAATGATTGTTCTTCACAGCACTTCAATAGAAAATCACAGATACCGAGAGGCCGGTAAAATAATCGTCTTTACATCGACCTTTTACGTTTATCACGAAGAGCGCTATCGTTCAATGCCAGGGCGGGCATCCAGCGGTCAAAATGATGCATCCAAGCAGGGTAAAACCATCTATGAAGAATTTCGCTTCGCCCGCCTTGGTACCCCAATCTCCATGCTCAAACTCCCCCGTCGAGATCCACCAGTCTCCGGGCCCAAATTTCCAAAGCTTTCGTGGCTCTGAGAGGAGCGCGTGCGTCGTATCCGACTAGATCCGCTGTTCCGTTTAGACGCACTGCTATTCCGTTTCGACGCTCCGCTATTCCGTCTAGATCCACTGTTCTGTCTAGACCCGCCATTTTCCAGCTTAAGATTTCCGAAGCTTTCTTCGCTCTGAGCCGAAAGAGTGCGCTTAATCTGACTAGATCCACTGTTTTCTAAACTCAAAACCCGGCGACCTTCTTTGCTTCTGGTAGAAACAGTCCGATGTCTTCGCTTCGACCCGTTATTGTCCAAACTCAGTTCGCCAAGACCTTCTTTACTTCGGGAGGAAATCGTCCGATTTCGTCTGTCAGATCGGTCAAATTCCAAACTTAGATCTCCAAGACCTTCCTTGACACGCGAGGGGAAATTTCGGTTTCTTCCGTTGAAATGCTCAATCTTTGAGCCGGCAACAAAAGAACCTCTCCGGCTTATCATCGTTCTACCACCAGTACGTGCAAGCACATCACCTGGATCAGCATCTGATGCACTTTTTTGGGGTGGGAAATTTCTTCTTTTGCCCCCATAGGAAAGTGCTTCGGCTCTCGAACTGGCACTGCCTGACCTCAACCGTTGATGATTCTTGGATCCATTCGACAATCTATGATTGAGAATCTCAGAGCTTATCATTTGTCCCACACTGCTTTCTCTTGCATCCGAAGAAGGGTCGGCACTAGAAACTGAAACATGGTGGGGTCCACTTCCATCGAAACGATTGATTTTTGAACCAGCAACAAAGGACATTCTCCGTACTGTCCTTTCGCGATCACGGTGCGGCGATACACCATCCACCGATGAACTTTCATTTGGCGTAATCTCCGATTTATCGTGCGAGTTGTCTCGGCTTAGAGGCATAGGAAAAGGAGCTACATACTTTGGTGTCCTATCCGACGCATCTGAACCCGTCGAAAGGTTCTGTCGACGGAGATTTGCGATTTGTTTCGGACTCTTTGTTTTCAACCCAGAAAGAGTGCGGTCCACTTGCCTTTGTCGTGTTTGACGAAGCTTTTTCGATTTGGGTACCCGCAAGAAAAATTGAACTTTTCCATCATTTTCAGATTGCTGTTCCAGCCTAGTGATGTCGCTTTCTGTCAGAGGGGTATCTTCTTCCGCGTTCAAACTTTGCATGTACTCGGTTTTTTTTGGAACCGGAGCGATGCGAGCCATGCTTGCAGGTGAAAGATATGGCAGTTCCCCAGTCGTCTTTGAGTAATCCCGCAGTCTAGAAACCTCGGGAACCTCCCAAGGAAATTGAGGAAATTGAGGTTCCACAACATCTGATTCCTCTTCGTCTACAACTTCTTCCGGGGTCGATGTTTCGTTGACTAGGTTTGGCTCAGACTCTGTACTTTCGTCATCAGAATCTTTGGCTGTTTCTTCCACCGTATCGGAACTATTCGCTAGAGGAGACATCGGCGCTTTTAAATTTGCATTTAAACTCGCAATTGACGACGTAGCAATTTTGTGTTCTGGGACAGGTGAAAGATGCAGTTGAATAGCCTGCAACGAGTTGCTAGAACTTGAGCGATCCATTTCCTGTTTCTGAGGTATACAATCTTGAGAAACGTAGGTTTCTTCGTGACTTTCACCACTCAATGGAGTTCTCTCTGTTGTTGATGCGGTTGATGAATCTTCGTCAGTAATGGAAAAGTAATCACTGCAAAAAGAGTACGCCTGCATGATCGTTGATCTTGCCAGTCCCGAAAGCTGTTGTTGTTGCATAAATCCATGACCTCTGTAAAGCATATCCCCAAATTCTCTCTCTATCCGCATTATTCTCCCTTTTATAGATGAACAACAGGTGCAGGATGACATCATTTGGTCAAGACGAGATTTGACACTGCCATTTTGGGAAGAACAAGACTGCTCATCGTTGGAATTATCCCGTTTCCTTGCTCTTGCGTTTGCTGCCTTCTCCTCCTTCTTTCTCCCTCGCTTTTTCCGGTTCTGGCGCCTGGTGAGCCCACTCGCCATCTTCCACGAGAAGGTTGTTGTTCCTGTTTTGTGCGTTGTTGGTTGGGAGTTTGGAATGGCGATGCCTCGTCACTTGTTGGGCCGGATTTTTGTCCACACTACAGGTGTTTCGCTGTAGCGAAATGTACCAGTATTATCACTGGCCGAAAAGGAAATTCAAAATTGTGACCCTCAAAAGCGACCAATAGGAAGGCGCTCAATAATGATCAGAAACTACCTGGTATTGTACATGGTACGTGTACCTGGTACCGGTACGAGTACACACGGAACACCTTTAATTTTTGCAAGTGATAGTTACCATTTCACATGAAATGCCAAACTGATTGCGCCTACAGAAGTAAAAAACAAAACCTACATCTCCAAAATGGTATGTAGAATCTAGTACCAGTTATCTCTGATTACCCTGTCGGATGTGGATCGAATCTGAGCAACTTCTCGCGGAATGCCTTGTTGCCTCCACAATAGTTCAAGTGCCCGATACCGGGCGTCGTTGAGAAACAGTGGACGTCCACGTCTGAGTCCAGGATCTTCTTCGCCATGTTCATCAACATACAAACTTGCAGAATACGCGGACTTGTTGTTGTGCATTAGCAGTACAGTACACTTCTGGACCAAGAAGAAAATCCCAATCCCTGATCCGTTCTTTCTCGCATGGATTGTACAGGCACCAGGAGGGCGCTGTGAACGATGGAATGGCCTTCGTGTGGAACCAGATCTCATGACTGCTCCTGTCAAGAGACAGATTGCAGTTTCAGAATTTCCGATTTCCTCTGAATCTTCAAGTGTTGCTTCATCTCTTCCTTTGACTTTATTAACAATCCCATAAAGCTCGACAAACGACTTCGGAAGTCGGATAAGACTGAATATCGGTTCGCCCTTTTTGTGAACGAGACCAAGGTGGCTCAAGTCAGCCATTACTGCGCTTGCAGCTTTGGCATCAAATAATGAACCTTGTCTTCCAGGACCAATAGACTCAACTCCAAGCAGACTGGGTTGGTATGAAATTAGAGGCGACTGTGAAACACCGGCAAAAATCAATGCAATATCGTTTCCATCCCCGTCTTCAGATCCCGAGCTGCTGGGATCATCGGCTGAGTCCTCTGCATCATTTCCGCTGCCGTGACCTCTACCACCAAACCCTTGTTCGAGTGCCTGGTTCGCAAAGTCGACAATTTCTTCGGCTTCGTCCATGTCCATATCTTCTATCAACTCTTCGTCAGAATCTCCAAGGTGTTGATCAACAACAAATCCCATACCATCACCTCCGTTGTTCATCGTGGGATTATCATCAATCATGATGTCCTCCTCGTCAGAACTATTTCCGCCATGCCGACTGGAACTGCCCCCACGGTTGCTAGGATGAGACCCTAAAGTTGATGCACTTGTTGTTTGGGCACTCTTTGTTATGTTTTGATCATCCAAAATGGTAACGGAGGACAGCCCAGGCAAGATTGAACTTCCTCTGGAGCCATGGTGCGCTTCGTATACCGTTGCTGAATCCACCCAGCGATTGATTTGCTGCCACCAGGTGCCTGATTCATCAACAAGCTGTGAAGGCATTGGTCCTCGCATGGCTTTCAATATATAGAACCCATCGTTCGTTGTAAGTGTTTCAGACCCATCTAGTAGTTCGTCCAGAGCCTTTGCTTCCACTGACGACTCCTTGAACGAATGCTGACTTTGATTCTTGCGGTCTTCAATGGCGAGCGTAAATGCTCTCATCATCAGGATCATTGACCTTGCAAACGGTAGTATGGCACGACCCAGATTGCTAAATATACTGGTGGCAGCTCCAGATTGATTTTCCTCCAAGAGCTTACAAACGCGCTCGAGAGTGCTTGACTTGATTTTATTCCTGCAGTGGGACAAAAGTTTTAGCAGCTCAGTTCCCTCCATTCCCATTTCGCCTGCTGCCCAACGTCCTTCCTCGTCTTCTTCGTCCGTGTCCATACCACTTGGAGTTTGGAAACCATGTGGTGTCACCAGCGCTTGCATTAATCTTCCAACAACTAACAGTTGGCCGATTTGCAGAATCTCTGCGCTACTTGGTAGATCTTCCACACGGTTCAGAAGGACCGTGGAAAAGATTGCTCCAGCCAATGAGTTCAAATCCCATGCTAGTAATGGAGTGTACAGGTAGGCACTTGTGATCCCGGGACGGAATAACGACATGGATGAGGCTGCCTCAGACTTCAAAAACGGGGAAAGAGTTCCCCAATTGCTTTCAATCTCTGGTTGCTCATTGGTTATGGTAGATACAATCATATTGATAGCAAGGGGAACTGGAGGTTGACCAACTGCTTGAGTTGAGTTTCCAACTCCTCCAACTGTCCACATTGCAGCAGCAGCGGATCGAGCTTCGTGTCGCTGCGACAGCATGCCATCCCGGGCAACGTGACATGGGGTAGACGCCATTTGTGCCGTCAATTGACTCCAAAGAACCATTGTTTTGTCGTCATTTGGTACGCTCCCATCCTGTAGAAATGTATACCAGCCATGACCTTCAATGATGTCCGCAAGGCACCTTCCAATAATCGATGAGTACCCAGCATTTGGGGCCTTTCCTTCATTCAAATTTTTTGTCATTTCGACTAGAAGCACCTCAAGAAGACCGGACACTCCGGTCATAGTTCGCGTCAACTCAAGAAGCATTGGGTCAGAATTTTTCGACTTAGTGTACGAGGTCCAGGGGTCTTCTGTTTTTGAAAAACTTCCAAATGGAAGTATTTCCTCTAGCCCTCTTACTGATGCTTCTGCTGCAGCTGCAGAGTGCCCAATAGTTGCCCATGCTACATGTTGCTGTCGCAGGAGTCTGAGAAGATCCTTGATACCAGAGGTCTCATCTTCTAGTTCGCTGTCATCTTCCACATAATCCCACTGTTGAATTGCAGGATGCCACTTTCGATGCTTCTTTTTTCTGGCGCCTGTTGTTCGTTCCCATGAGACGCTCATCGCTTGTAGCAAGTGAGCTCCGAAATCTGCAAGAGCCTTCTGCCCATGACGACTTATGGATTTCAAATTGCTTGATCGAAGTGTTGTGCCCTCAATCAGTAGTCGACTTGTACGATGCTCCCCCACCGCATCTGCAATTTTCATCTCAGTATCTTCCTCATTCTCTTCAGAAGATTTATCTCGGATGCAACCATCACGAGGGACAAGAATGTTAGAGAGCTGCTTGCAAAGGGGACACAAGTACTCTCCATCGTCAATATTAGCTGCAAACCGACCATCATACGGTTGTTCACCAGCAGCCCTCTGGTGTAGAGACAAAGTATGCTTCTCAACGCATTTCAAGTGTGCGGCATGTCCACAAAGCCGGATAATAGGTCTTGTGTTGCCCCATCTCGTGTTTTCGTAGCAAAGCGAGAGTAGGGGGCTGAGAATCACATAGCCTTGAGAAGACTGCACACTTGCCCAACCTTCTACAACCTGGCCAGTTTCTTCGGAGACATGCTTTACAAGCACTCGCCGAGACAAGATGTCATAATTGTCAGAAACTGCGACTTTCTTCACTGAAACAATACTACCTCTCGGTAAACAGAACACTGGTTTCGAATCCATAGCCTCCGTTTCACGAACTTGGCATCCCATATGTCCAACAACTCGGTATTTCTGGTAAATCGAAGAACTCTCAGAATCTCTAGGAATTTCGATACATCCTCTCATTTGTGAAACTCGTGAACGTTGGACATGTCCCAGAAAGCCGAGTGGTCCATTATTCTCACCATCGGCATCGTCGCATCTGCAAATGATGCATAGCTCTTCCTCCTGATCCGAGGCTCCAGGTTTCTTCTCAGAAGTGGAATCTGCTGGTCCCATGGCTGCTGCAAACGCATTTTGCTTCATTTTCATCATGGCTAACATTTTTTGCTGTGCAGCCTTTCCACGCTCCTTGCTCTTCGTATCTGCACTGGATGATTTGTTTGGGGACTCATCAACTGGCTTGGGCCAGAGATCTGCCAGATTTGACAGCATACCTCTCACTGATTGGAGAACTTCGTCGTCGATTGTCCAAATGGTTCTACTAGCGTCACCACCTGTTGGGGAAGCATTGGCTGTTTTGTGGATTGGAATTCCAGTTGTTGCACTCTTCACAGCTGTGGCAACACTAGGCGCATTATCGACAAGAGCATGCACAAAGCGCAAGAGCCATTTTAGACCGCTTGCAGCAAGTGCTCGCGCACCTCCGTGGTCGTCTCCTTGATCCGAACCATGTCCAGATGAACCGTCAGCGCCGCGATCTGCCCTGTGTTCATAGAGCGCAATTAGGAGACCCAGAACCGAACCACGATTGGCTCCGCTACCCGTGGAATTTAGTGGACCTTCAGGGGAAGGGCGTAGGGCCCAGATGTCCTTCAGGCTCTCTGGAACAACGACCAGTCGACGAAGGTACGAATTGATAGACAAGCTAGATGAAAGTGCTTTCGCTTCATCATCAAGGTCTGGTTGTACACGATGGAGAGAGGCGCATTCTTCGAGGGTATGAACTTGCAAAGTGAGAAGTTGAAGAACCTCAAGAAATGACACAGATGAGGCGGTGAGAACCTCAGCAGAGAATGGAGGTAAAGTGTCTGTCTCAGAAAAGGAAGAACCGCGACGTGATGGAGATGCTCCTGGTTGGAATCCCCGGCGGCTAAATGTCAACACTGGGACATCGCCATTGCTACCACGAGACACCAGAACTCCATTACTGTCACTCTCGCCAGAAGAAGACATGCCATCATCACTCTCTGTCTTTGGTAGAGGCTCATTTGGTGGAAGCCATGAGCCAGCAAACAATGCAAATAGCAGTGAACGCCGAATGGCAGCATCCATCGGAGCCAGGTGTAGCATGAGGCGACAAGGAAGAAATCGAGGATGCGCCTTTGGAGGTGGACAGACAATAGGAAAGCAATACGAGTCTTTTGCTCCTTTTCCCTTCTCTTTGTTCAGTTTCTGTTTTCTTAGATTCACAATCACGTCCATTGCATGCTGATGCTCTGATCGACGCAGATGGAAGAAGGCTGGATCATACTCATCGCAACACGATTCGTCGAGTTCGAACAATGACGGGCCAGAAGTTGCACGTGTCCCACGACTTTTCTGTTTCCCAACGTTCTTCAAGACTCGAGCAAACACTTCCCTAAACAGGCCACCACCTGCACTGGTTCCTGCACTGCCGTCGCTTTCGTCCCTCTTTCCAACCGCGCAAGAAGCAGCAGAGATTGCAGAGCTGTGAGATCGGGGCTCTGCTGCTAATGCATGAATCAACTCTCTCCGGATACTTTGTCGAAGCCAAGTTTCATCCGATGATGAAATTGGCGGAGGCGTCGGAAGTTCAGTCACCAAGACACAAAGCGTTGCAAAGAAAGATTCAGAGAGAACAACAGCATGGTCAGGGTCTTGTAATCTTGGGGGATTGACCCAAGAACCTGTGGTTGATCTTCTCTCAGGATCGCACAAATACCCATCCATATTAAATCGACTGACTAGAAGAGCAAAAACTCGACGTGCACCAAGACCAGCACTCATTCCCGATGCAGAGAGCTGAACCAAAGTCAGGTCAAGGTCTTTGAATGAGCGGCATAATGGAGCATTCGAGTAGTTTAATGCCATTCCAGCAGTTGAGCTCCCATTTCTTGCCCATAAGTGGCGTTCGATCTGTTGAGCAGCTGCTAGGCAACGAATAGGGTGATCAGCAACAGAGTGAATGATCTTTGCAACGGCGATATTTGCGGACACAGCCCTTGAGCGAGAACGTCTTTGTTGTGCCTCTTGGCTAGAACACTCTGGACCTGCTGACCAGACGACCCGGCAATTGGAAGAACGCAGAATTGGACGTATTATGGGAACAAGTGGGTGTTGCAGTGATTTTGAACCGATGTTTGAAGCATCGCCGATCTCCTCCTCGTCTAGAATTGGCAACTTCCACCATCCCTTTGGATTATTATTCCTGACGACTTCCGGTACAACCACCCCGCAGAAGCTTCTAACGGTTTTCGCCAGAGCTCTATGCAAAGGAAGATGAAACGACAAAGAGTCTCCTGCTAGTGGAGAGTGGGGAACTCGAAGCCAGTCTCCCATCACCGCTCCACTTACTCCCGGTTTTGTCGATGCGTCTGCCGTCAAACCAGCTTTATACTGGCGTTGGGCTCCCTCAACGCGAAGAGCACTCTCAATCAGATCCAGCTGCGCTTCTGTCATCTTAACTGTAGTTGCACACGATAGTGCGATAGTACTCTTACTACCAGCCGAAGGTGATTGCGACTCGCTCGATCCACCAAGCTGGGAAGCCGACACATGCAGCGTACTCCGTTGTAGAGCTTCTATTTGCGACAAGTCGGAAGTACCGTGTGCACCTCCAGGTGGCATAGGCAGCCCGGTTTCAAGCATTTCTTCTCGATATAACCAGTGCTTCATTTCCTTCAAAACAGCAGCAATGATATTGCCCATTGCATCGTGAATGAACTCCAGATGAGATCCGTCTTCTGAGACCGGCGCAAGAGCTGCACTGCTGCTGTTTGTTGGACTCTCTGCCAACGCATCCCTCGTTCCAGCAAAGTTTAGACTCAGACCAAAAGCCTCCAACCATCGATTTTGCTCATACTCGACATGCCCTCCAGATATTTTTCTCTTTTGCGGATCCATACCCTGGGCTAGACGAAGTAGCCTTGCCCAAACAGTCGCGAAAGTCAAAATCTCTTCACCGCGAGAAGATATTGATTCCCCTTCGTATGCTGGAAACCTATGTGGAAGAAGTAGTCGCATGGCTGTACCAGGGGTTTCAATCACATACTCAAGATCCCGCAAAAGATGTGGCAGCCTCTTGTGTCTGGTCGATCTGGAGTCTAGGAATCCATCGTCAGGAGCTGCTGGAAGAGATGTCATTAGTGGATGCTCTCCTGCAACATAGGTCAATGCTGGCAGCAAGCTATCATTTGCATTTTGATTCGCTTCGTGGTCGCTCACATCGTCATTCGCGGATCCAGTATTTTTCAAAATCATATGCACCTCTTTCGTCGCCCCAAGAAGATTGGTGTGGATACACCGAACAACAGTCAATCCGATTGGCATGGTAAAGACTCCAATTGAAGCATCGTCATTCTTCGATTCGGCATTATCTGACAAAACAAGCTTCTCAATCGCTGGAGCACTTCCAAGCGCCCGTACTAAGCTCCCTGCTGTAAAGATTTGTACAGTGAATCCCAATGGAGTGTCTGCCTCCGTTCCGACGCCGGCACAGAAGAGTGTACTCAACGGTCGATAAGCAATTCCCAATGCCGCCGCAAACCGGCACTTGAACCGTGCATCAGTAAGAAGAGACAAAAAGAGAGCGTGGATTGAACCGCGTAGTTGTTTCGTTGGGTATGGATCGAGGAGCAGTAGCAGAATGATAGGTGACATTGGCGCCCGAAAAGACGATGTTGCCAGCAAATGTCTGAATTCCATGGGATTTGGTAGTGGGGATTGAGAGTTCAGAGCTTGCACCCGAGTTGTACCTACACCGCTGATGAGGTGAAGTCCTGGTAATCGGTGGGGGAAAACACTGGATGTAATCAGATCAGCTTCATGTTGTTTCCTTAGATCAGTGTCAACAACGAATACGGTCTCTGTGAGTTCATTTGACGGCAAAAATGCAGTATTCGGGTGTTCTGGGTTTGATAAGCGGTGCAGCAAAGGATGCTTTTCAGTAAGCGGTGTTGAGTCAACATAGCGAGATGGCAGTGTGCCCCAAAGAGCATGCGGTGATTTGCGATATTGCTCAGATGGCAAATAATAAGGAACTTGCGAGTAAAACTGCAGATCTGCAATCACACAAACAAGCAAAAATATCAGATACAGCAGTGCATATAGACTGTCTCCCGTGAGCTACATACCAGTGATCTCTGACAACGCTGCTGGGTTGATTTTCTTTGCCATAGTATGAAGTTTCTCGGCTTCGTCGCTTGATAAGAAGCTTGACTGTAGATGCGGAGGAAATGCATTGAATCGCTTTCTGCAAGCTTCCACAGCATCTTTTTCGTCAGCTCCAACCCAAGAAGGGATAGTTCTCGGTTCACTCCAGACAGAAATTCCACCTATTTCTTGAGCTGGTGTCACTTGTACCAAGGCATGCACGACTAGAACTGCGGCAGCTGGGTGAGCAGAGCTAATTTCAGTCAACCATGACGCAAGAGTTTTTGCTCTCAGTTCCATATCCACCTGTGGTGTGCTTGTCACGGCACAATGGAGACCACGGGACTTTAGCCTTCTGAATCCTTGCATGGCAGTCGTCAGCGAGTTGAAGGCTTTGACATTCACCTGTCCGTCTGAATCCACATGATGCGTCATTTCATTTGCAGCTTCTCGAAGTGTGACGAGGGATGGGTTTGCGTTTTCTTCCCCAGGAGCTGTATTGCGGCGACTGCGTGGCTCATGGAGAGCATCAATAACCTCATCAAAAGTGTGAACGTCATCATTGTGCAATCTCAGGTGCAGGCGAAAGTTCTGAGGAAGTTGTTGTGGAAGGGAGCTTCGCAGAAATGCTTCTGGAGTCACTGAAGATCCAGTACGATGATAGTCGTCGTTGGAAAGAACCGAGTTCCAGATTTTGGTTGCTTCATCTGCCCACCTGAGCTTCCATTGCACCGGGTCGGCTGCAATACCTGCACCATCAACTGCTTGAACAAGACAGTTCACCGCTGCACCGATAACCACCCCCAATGCAGCTGCAAACTTTGGTGGCAATGCAGTTGTAGGATCCTTTAACACTTCTTTGCCATCCTTCAATCCCTGGTTTGCCATTCTGACTGCCTCTTCCGGATCATCAGTGTTTGATTCAATAATAGTATTGGTCCGGGGTCGATGGGTGGGGCAACAGCCTTCCACTTTCCACGCCTCTGGATCACCACAATCGCAGCAACCCCCTGGAGTCGTTCTGTGAAAATACACTTCATGTCCTTCGTGGTCCGAAGCACGAAAGCAACTATCACAGATAACACAGGTCGAATCAGTCTGACAAGTCCGACAGTTCCATGCAATATCTCCACGTTTAAAGACGTATCCACAAGGTCTAGGTCGCAAAGCAGAGGACGCATCCGACGCTTCCGCGATCATTGCACCTTCCATTTCCAGACGTTTAAGCGCAACGACTAGTGATTCACCCGTGACTTTCATGGATGATGGCTTCATGTTGTGAACCTCTTCTTCTGATCGTGGCATTGGGATAGCATCCGCGTCCAAGTATTGAAGTACCATTGCGTCGGCCCAGGCTTTTGCCGCATCCGGTGGAACACCCGACAATCTTCCAAACGCAGCATTTGCCAACACACTCAAGGACGGCAAGTGATGTGGCGTTTCTGGATTTCCATTGCTCGATAGCAACGCAAATTGATGGAGACGGTCATCTGAAATCTTTGCTTTGTGCACCAAAACATCGGGAGACTGGCCGCGACGGGATCGTGGAGTGGAAGGTGGGCTCGGTCTCGAATTTGATTGACTTTGGGAATATGATTCAAGCTGATATGTGTGGGATTCAGTGTCATCAGATGTGTTTAGTACACCGCCAGGAAAGAAATTGAGGTAGGCAGGCATTGGATAGCTAGGCACGGAACCAACCGGAGGCCCTGAAGGTAGGTCCATATTGAAACTCATTTGGGAAACACCAATGTTTCAAACCTTGATCCCTAAAAGTTGTTGTTGCTGATGGATTTAACGATAATGAATCTAGTGTACCAGCCGAAGTCTCGTTTCAAACCTCGATTGGTTCTTGGACTTGCAGTGTCCGTAGATAAGGGGTAATAGCGCTGGAATGCCCCTTGATGGTTACACAAATAACCAAATTCTTGGTGGTGGTCTAGGAACGTCGGTTGAATTCAGCAGGCATCGCTGATTTGTGAGATATGACCGTTAAATGTTGTCTTACTGATGACTTCTTTGACTACTTGCAAGGAACTATAAAAGGCCTTTGACTTTTGACGGTCAGCATTTTTTGCAGGAATTTCATGAAACCAATCAACCCATACAAGGGCAATCAATCGATCATCATCCACACTTCAAGCATACAACAAGCCAAGAGTAGAGGATAATTGCGGCACCATGATAAACACCATCGTTAGAATTCTATTCATGGCTTATATGGCCCATGCGAGCATTGATCGAGAGACAGTGTCAACCGACGACTACGAGAGCTACTCCATTTGGACGTCGGAAGAGATCAAAGTGAAATTGGACAAATGGAAAGATGTCTACCCTGATTTTTTTCACATGACATCGGCTCAAGAAAAATATGGACTTCCTGCAGCCGGATCTGACGCAGATTGCCCGTTTCACGATGTGACGGGATGCCACAATTTCATCATTACAATACAAGACTTTATCACGCACCCAGAAGGCTCTTATACCTCAGCACGACTGCCTGAGGTCTATTGGAGTGGTTGTTTGCACGGGAATGAACGAGTTGGTCCTACTTCTGTCATGCATGCTGCTTCGTTGTTGCTCCAGGCTGCATCTTGTGAAGCATTGCCTCGCACAAAGGACAAAGACGAAATAGCGGCTGCAAGAAAATGTCGACACGAACTGGAAAAGAAAGGAATTAGCGAGCATCAGCGGAAATGGTTGGCTCGATTAGTTAGTACTCGAAGGATCGTCATGACTCCAACCAGTAAGTTGATAGAATGTTTCATCGTCAAAGTCAATGGCAGTTTTGCGTGTCAAAGTTGTAAAAAAGGGCCTTTCTAAACTGACTGCTCGGTACACACAGCAAACGCACTGGGATACTATAAAAATAAGCGAGAAGAAGGGAGGATCGATCCGAATCGTGACTTTCCTTACGATGTAAAGGACCCCGAGGACTGTATGCAGACAATTGCAGGGCGGACGGTCAATGAAATCTACCGAGAGCACTTGTTCCAACTGTCTTTGACCTTTCACGCTGGTACAGAGGTTGTGGGTTATGAATGGGGTGCACCGCATTGGCTAGGTAAATTGAGTCCAGATGATGTAGCGCAAGTCTCGGTTGGCTCTGCATACAGCAACTATGGTGGTGGGTGGTCTGCCTCGAAAGCATATGCCTATGGCACAATGAACGATTTAGGTAAGCTGTGCGCCGTGATCATGTCACCAATGTCGATTGATTTAGTAATCTGATTGATTCTCGCCACTGTTCCCAACAACGATAGTGTATTATGTGAGGGGTGGAATGGAAGATTGGGCGTATGCAGGATCATGGGATCCAGATCGTGTAGTACAATGTGAACCGACAAGTTTTGATGGGTACCCAAAGGAAAAAACAAGATACAACAACTCCACACTCCGCATCTTTAATATGCTGATAGAAACAAGTGATGATAAGGAACCCAAATTACACCTTGGGAATTCGGTGGATGTATTGAATAAGGATACAAAAGGAAATGGTCATATATCTCGAAATATCCGGTTAGCCCTTCTCGCCGCAGAGCTCGTGGAGCCATATGTTTCTGTCTTCAAGGTCAATGAACTGCGTTTGTCGGATGACGTCGTGCCCCTTTTGACTGCTGGAGAAGAAAGCTGCAGAAAAGGCAATACAGTCATGGTAGCGAAGAATACCCAACAAGTGGATATTTCTTGGACAGTTGGTGGTTCGATGACAATTGACAATACAGAAGTATGGTATGCAAAACTAGATGATGTTGAAGGCCGTGACCTTGATTGTCTAAAGCATCCAAGTGACATGGCTGGCTTCGTGAAGGGCGAGATTATTGGAGGAACGAACGGTACCAGCGCGTTTTCGTCAAATGGGGCATTCCCTACACCAAAAGTTGACGAGCCGGATGGACCAATTTTCACTGGACGGATATCGATTCCTTCATCTACGAAACCACTGGATCAAATCGTAATATATGTCTCGGCCCGAGTAGATCAAGATTGGAAGAATGCTCCTTCCGAAACTTATGCTCCACTCGTGGGTCCTCAAAGTCACATTGCAAATGTTCGAACAAACCCAGACTGGCATCATGAGAGTGCAGGAAAGTTTGTTGATGGACGACTTGACTGGTTTTCGAGGCCTCTTTACGTCATCCTTGGAGACTTTGAAGATGCAATTGGGACGCAGTCAGGGCACACCGTTGGCACACTAGAGCACAACGTTCGATTCGAGAATCACAACGCAGGCCAAGGTGGGGTCTTGCCAAAGTCTGCGCGCAAAGAGAGAATGTGGTTTCCAGTCGACATGACTTTCCTACTACTCTTGGGTGCGCTGGTTTTGGCACTGTGCCTTTTTTGTGCTTGCCTGTGTCGGTCAGATGGTTCTGAAAAGTTTGCACCTGTCGTCCAGATGGACGACGAAGATGATTATGCGTTCGATTCGGCGCCTTTTTCAGACAGAGCCGACACAGAACTCGAGTTGCGACCAATGTCGTGATTACTTTGGTTTTGAACCAAAAACACAGAAATGTGTTTTGTGACCCAAAAAGTTAAGCCTGTACCTCTAAGTTTTATATTTATAGACCTCTACGCGTCAACTGATTCTTTCTCTTCAACGTCGAGAGCCTTTGCCAGTCTACGATTCATATCAGCTAGCTGATTTCTGGCGTCTTCGGGAAGCGCATGAGCTCTATCCGTGCGATAAGCAGCTCTTCGAAGTAGACCAGCACCTAACCTCCTACCAAGTGCTGCAAACCCTGGAACTTGCTCCAGAATCAAATTTCGCGTCTTTTCGTCTGCTAGGAGCTCTCGAATTGCGGAAGCGTCCAAGGATGCATTTGGGGACGATATTCTCTCTCCTTCCCTATCTTCCTGTGCTGCCAAACGCGAAGAGAGGATATCTCTGAGTTCGGTCGCGGTCGACAAAATCCTTTCATCCTCTTCGTTATGACTCAAAAGAGATTCGATCAGGTCTGGCAATTCAGCTGGTCTGTCTACGATAGCCTCCTTCAAAAACTTGGGAAATACCGATACCAGTGGACTCTGCTGCAACAAATCTCTTGGTGTTCGTAGTACATTGGCTGCTACTTTGGCAGCTGCACTGTCGACAAATCCAGCCTTCAGAGCAGATCGCGTCGCAGCATCTCCAAGCCTTGCTGTTTCCTCTACCAAAATGTCTTGCAATGTTGATCCCTCTTCATCTACCAACAGCTTCACAAACTCCAAGACAGCTGCTTCTTGACCAGCACCGTCGCGATCAACATTTGCCGTAGCCGCAGTGTAACTGGCGAAGCCATCCGACATTTCAAAGAGTTTACTGGGTGAAAGTGCGCCGCTCTTATTCCCAGTTTCCATCAAGTTCATAGCCACGAGTGTTTGCTCAGGGTCTGCATCTTCAGCCAAACCAAGCATTGCACGAAGAGCGCGCTTGGCTCTTGGACTACGATCGGTGAATAATCTCCTTGCAAGATATGGGTAACACTCTTGAACAATGGCATAGTTCTCATCGATTGACAATCCAATACCTTCAAGGGTCGAAAATGCACGCGCAACATACAAAACGTATGGTGGAAGTTTAAATAGATCTCGGTTTCGCTTCGAGACTTCTTCCATAATATTGCTCACTCCCTGAACGTCAACTCCCTCAGATGCAAGCTGTTTCTGCATCTGTTGAACCATATCTTCCCGAGCAGCAAGTCGAAGCTCCTCATCAGACAGATCAGACCCATAGCGAGATTTGAATTCATCTTTGACGCGCTCTTGGATCTTCTTCGGACCACCTCCTTGACTCAACTGGCGGAAGGCAAAAGTCAAGCCTTCTGTGATTCCACTACTCTTCAAACGATCAGCCGTGACACCTTCGGGAGAAAATCCAAGGTTTATGAAATCCTGTGGGATGGCATCATAATCTTCAATGTTGATATGCGCAATCAACTCCAACAAAGCATATTGAAGATTTGGGGGCACATCGAGCTGGGAGGAAACGAAATGGGTGAGGCCCAACACGAAACATACAACTGTTAGCGATACAAATTCATCTCGTACCGTCATTCCCCAATCCAGGATGCAAAGCTTTCCGTCAGTAGTTCGCAACAAGTCTTGTACAAGGTAGAGATGATTCAACTGCTGTTAGTCAATGGGTTTTTCAACAACAAAAAATCAATTTGGACAAAGCTACTTACTACCTGGGTGTGGATCGCAGTCTACCAATGACGGGTAGGACAAGAAAAGTGTTAGTAAAAAATGTCTGGCAACTTCGTGATCTCGTAAACATTCATGATTTGACTTACGAAGGACTCCAGTGTCGAGAAGCATGGTCAAATAAGCGTTGATAGCAACTCCACACAATCTTGGAATGTCTGGCGATGCATCCCTATCAAGACGGGTACCCTCGATCCACTCTGTAACCAAGATCTTGTCCCTAACCAATTCAGTGACGACAGGTGGTGCACAGACTGCGTCCAATCCTCGCTTTCTCATAGCACTTTCAAAGTTGATGGTATTCTCCGCCTCTAAGCGATAGTCTGTTTCCGCTACGAATCCTCTTCCCCATTCGTCTACTAAAGAAATCGCAGCCTGAATATCTTCGGGAGATGTTTTTGCCCCGTTGGCGGCGTTCTGGAGCGTCGTTTGGATAGGGGTCAATATTCTCAATACATGGAGATCGAGAGCAATTTCTGCCAGGATTCCTGGCCGTTGGACCTTCACTGCGACCTCCTTTCCTGTAGCGACCAGTGTGCCTTTATACACTTGCCCAATACTTGCAGATGCAACAGGTTTATCACTGAGACTGGAAAATACAAGGTTCAAATCTGATACTCCAAGCTCGTTCTTAAGCACTTCTCTTGCGATATCGCTATCAAAAGGCGGGACGGCGTCCTGAAGTTGTCTCAACTCTAAAGCATATGGTTCTGGGATAAGATCAGTTCTGATACTCAATGCTTGTCCCAGTTTAATGAATGTGGGGCCAAGCTTCTCACACAGTGAAAGAGCAACCTTCGCTCGACGAGGTTCGTTTCTCCGAAGGGCAGTGTAGTCTTCGTCCTTCAAGAGTTTTCCCAACACCAACCAGTCGAATAGGACCCCAGCATTGAACATTCCAGTCAAAAAGGCGAGTTTCAATACTCTCTTTCCCACTTGCAAGGGACGCTTAGCATAAAACTCGGCTGCTTTCTCTGGACTGTATGTGGTAGTTCCTGGTTCATATGGTGCGTCATCAAACTTTTCAGGGGTTGTAACAAACCACAGCAATGCACTACCAATACCAAATGCTAGGATTGCTTCCAAGTGCCACGCCGTCGTTGCAAGGTGAAAGAGCTCGGAATTGAGAATTTTGTTGACTGTTTCTTCTACGTTCACGGGCATCATGACGGAATCTGAAGATACTTGGCTAGAGAGTGTGTCCTTGAAATCTTTCAGATCATTGAGACTTGTAGATGCTGCATTAGCGTTTTCTACAAGCCAGCTTGGAAATGTTGCTTCGAAGCTCAACTTGGTTGGGATATCCGACAGCTTGGAGCTTGAAGTTGCCTTGCCTCTGCTTTGTGGGGCAAAGGCATTCCCCAATCCCGCGATAACACAAAGTATCCCAGCTGAAAGCTTCATTGCAAGATTTCGTTGGCTAAGATTTTGAATAAAGTTTACAGGCGCAAGGTGCCAATTGTCTACCTCAGAAAGGTGTTGTACGTTTTTGTAAATTTATGATGGAAGCATTGGATGACGACGATTGAATTCTGAGAAACAATGAAATACATACCAGCTCAGATCGTGACTGAAGTTGATCGATTGATTCATTCATTCCATTTTATTGAGTGACTGAGTTTGAAGTTGCTTGATACATGCTCATGCGTCCATACTGCGTACGGGTTGGACAACTGCTATAAATATTGGCTTTTAGCGATGGATGTGCGATCAGATAAGTGCACGAAAATCTATCATCGACCACAAGAATGGTGGAAGGAATACATCAGCTTCCTCATCATTGTCATTCCCAAGAATGCAGTCATCAGCTCCCCTATATCGAGTCCTCATATCTGTAACGCTCTGCGTAATATTGGGACTACCTGCAGCACTTGGATTATCGCAAGAAGAAAGAATATGGTCACCCAAATTGGTGAAAGAAACACTTGATAACTGGTCCGAGAAGTATCCACAACTTTTCCGTACGGCATCAGTGCAAGAGAAATACAGTATCCCACATGCAGGAAATGTCACGGATTGCTCGTATGATGAAAACGATGGCTGTAGCCAATATTTCTTCACAGTCCAAGACTTCATTAGACATCCTGAAGGGTCTCGATCTTCGGCGCACCTACCAGAAGTGTTTTGGAGCGGCACATTACACGGAGATGAAATAGAAGGACCGTCTGTTGTAATGGAAGCTACTAAAATGCTCCTCGAATCGGCGGCATGCGAAGCAACTCCAGGTCCGAACCCCTCTGCTTCGGATATTCAAGCAGCCAAAGCTTGTAGAATCGGGCTTGGAGAACGTGGCATAAGTGATGCAAGAAGGCAATGGCTAGCTCGATTAGCTGCTACAAGAAGGGTAGTAGTACTTCCCAGTGCCAATGCTCTTGGATATAGCTCTGGTACACGTGACGAAGATGGTATTGACCCCGCTCGAGACTTTCCATATGCGGTTGGATCGGAATCAACAGAATGCATGCAATCAACAGCTTCAAGAGCGATCAACGAAATTTTCAGGGACCATATGTTTCAAATTGCTCTTTCGTTTTACAGTGGAAGCGGGGCGATCGGCTTCTCATGGAGAGGCGAACAATACACTGCTCCCGACAAGCAGACGCAGATCCAAATTGCAAAAGCGCTTGGTTCAACTGCAGTAGACGGAGAACTAATTTACGAAGGGGCAAGGCCAAACACTTTCTTTGAAAATGGGGATACTCTTGTTGATTATGTTACCACACGGGGTCCAAGTGAACTTCGAGGCTATCAGGGTTCGTTTGAAGACTGGGCATACGCTGGATCTTGGGGAAAAAACACTAGCACTTGCTCTCCTCAAACTTACGGTGGCTACCTACCCGAGAAAACGCAATACAACAATTCTACGAATCGTGCGTTGGCTTTGATGACATCAATCAACAAAGCAACTATCGAAAAGTCGATGGCATCCAATGTAAACTTGGCGTTGGCTTCACTGGACCTCGTCCAACCGTACGTGAATGTTTTTGGAGTGAACAATCTCGCCCTCGCCGATGATATAGTTCCGATGAATGAAGCAATGTCAAGCTCATGCCTTAAAACGAGAAGTGTTGTTTCATCGGCAAGAGGCGATTCATTGGCTATCGAATGGACAGTAGGAGGGTCGCTTTACATTGACTACACAGATCTGTTCTATGCCGTCAACTTGAGCGAAGACGAAGAGCAGGCGCTAGATTGCCTAACGCAACCAGATGATGTTGATCTAAGCAATTTTGTACAAGCTACGTCCGACAGCAAATCAGGTGGAAGCGGTCTCTATTCGGAGCCTGGTGCAGATCCAAGTCCTGACAGTTCGAGGACAAAGAAGGGGGACGTGCTGGGTCCTGTTTTCAAAGCTGAGATTGACATCAAGGATATGAAAGCTGGAGATCGAATTGTCATAATTGCCTCGGCCAGGGTTGATCAAAACTGGAACCTTCCGCATGCCCCAAATGTGATAGTACCAAGTCCCGAAAGTCACCTAGCCAACGCCCGAACCAACCCAGACTGGAATCACCTTCACAATGGTAAGAGAATCAGGGGTAGAATCAACTGGTTTTCAATACCATTGGCAGTTGTTCTCGAAGATTTCGACAATAGCCTTGGAACTCTCGAGATGGAGAATCGGTTTAGCCAGAGCACTGATTCTGATACTGAAAAAGTGCAAGACCAAGAAGAAGCAACGCAAGAGCCCCTGCAGAAGAAACCAAAGATCGACGAACAAGTGCATGGGGATACAGAAGAATACACCATCGCTTCAAAGATAAATGAAAACGTTGCCTCGAGGCTTATTTGGCACTCGCTAACAACCCTCGTTCTCTTTCTTGTCTTGATTGTACTGATTTATCAAGCCAAAAAAAGAAAACTGATGGATCAAATGCAGAGTGTGATGCATGCGCAAAGAAGCGCTGAAGAACGAGCAGACCCACACAGTCCAAATGAAGAGGAGATCATTGAGTTTGGTAACATTGGAATCTATAACAAGAAAATCAACCGCACAACTGCCCGGAGTGACCATTTGGCAAATTACGAATGTGAAGTTGTTGGTGATATCGAGGATGACACCATCGGAATCTACAGGGAGAAGAGGAGCAAACGAACGACTCTTAGCATCGACCGTTTTACCGATGCTGACTCTGCGGTTGTAGGCGATGTAGAGAATGACACCGTCGGAATCGAAAAGGCAAGGAGCAAACGCGCACCTGTCAGTCTTGACCATTTTATAGGAGATTATGACTCTGCAGTTATTGGAGACATTGAGGATGATACCAGCAGAATCTATGAGAAGAAGCAGAGCAAACGCACACCTGTTAGCATGGACCATTTCATAGATTATGACTCTGCACTTGTTGGCGACATTGACAACGATGAAAACCATGTCACTGAAGTTGTGGGCGATATCGAAGACGATGATTCGGATTTTGATTCAGACGGTGCTTCCGATGGTGATTCGAATGATGATTCGGATGATGATGATGATCACTGGGATGATGAGTATGCCCCGGCAGCGACTCTATACGCCCCACCATCACCAACACGATATTCTTCACAATCGATGCCATATACCTCACCAGAAGATTTGGACGACGTATACATCGCATAGGGCTTATTTACAACCAGGGGACACATCACGACTGCAATTCGGCGCAACATAGTTTTCATACACGATGGGTTGATTCGGGAACTCGGCGGCAGTCTTTTGTTGTCATGAATTGCATCAATCGGGTAAAAATTGATAATTTTACATTTATTTTCTCCCTTTTGTCTTTTTGCCTTTCTTTGTAAAATTGCCTCCTCCAGCTCTTGCTTTAGCCTTACCCAATACCTTTTGAGCCATTTTAAGATTCGAGGATCCACCCATGCCCCTCATGTCGGCAGCTCCATTCTTTCCCTTCGTCGTCAATCGCCTCGTCTGTTTCCGTTTCCCGGGCATGTTTGCTTTCAGTTGATCGAGGTACTTCTGCACATCTCCCGCTTTCCTTTGATGATGGTCGACTGCTTTCTTCTTACTTTGAGTCTCCTCTACGTCATCATCATCACTAAGATCATCTAACGATATAAGGGATGTGGTAACCGTGACACGGCCTCCCCACTTCTTTTCGGCTTGCTCGTCGTCGTATTTCTTTTGCTTCACTACTAAATCCTCACTTTTTGCATCAACTGATTTTTTTATGATATCCACACTTGCTTGTGAGTTGTTATCATCGTCACCGTCCTTCAATACTCCCGCATTTAGAAGTTCCTCTTCCAACAATATCTCTTTTTGTCTCTCGGCTTCTTGCACTCTCTCTAGGTCATCTTTCTTTTCCTGTTTTCGTTGCTCAATTTTTTCTTTGCGATCCTTCACCCTCTGCATGGCCAAACCAAAGGCCCTCCGTTCCCTTTTCCGTTCTGAGAACCCTCGCAGATGGTCTTTTCTAGCATCAGGATCAAACACAATTTCAAGCTTTCGTCCTTTCTTCTTCTTTGATGACATGGTATTCTTCTTCGACGACATGGTGTGTCTCTTTGACGAGGTGGCATTCTTCCTTGACGTCATGGTATTCCTCTTGTCAAACGACATGGTATTCTTCTTTGACGACATGGTAAGGAATGTGTTGTCTGAAGTTTCTATTATTTGTTCTGTCAAAAAAGTTTGTGGCTACAGCATGGAGACGACGGGCAGACCAATAAAAGAACTAAGCCAGTGTTTTGTTCTCAAAAGAAAGGTTCGTGTTGACTGCTTTAGTTTGATCTTCAGATATGTTGGCACCATTTGCAAGGTCGTTGACGTATATGCTGGCCCTCCAGATGATGGCAAATACCAACACAACGAAAGAAGCAGTCCAGAAGCCACCGCCGTCGCTCTACAAACGAGTTCTCCCAGACTCTTGCACTGCCTTTTCTTCATCGAGTGGCAAGGTTCGTGCTGATTGCAATGATAATTACTTACCATTTGTTCTTCCACTGAACAATTGTCTTTTCAGAGGATCTTTGCGTCTGCTCTTGCACACAATGGTCTGAAGTCATTTTATTCATTGATTCAACAATTTACGACCCAATCGGAGCCTGCTTATTGTGGATTGACTACTCTAGTGCTAATCTTGAATGCTCTTTCAGTTGACCCTCTCATCAACTGGAAAGGTCCATGGCGCTGGTACTCAGAAGAACTTCTAAACTGCTGCTTACCCTTGGAAGAGATCAAAACTTCAGGAATAACTATAATGGATTTTGCCTGCCTAGCTAGATGCCAAGGCTTGCAAGTCGAAATGACTTATGCAGAAGAAGATGGTCTTTCCAAATTTCGGCAAGCAGTGAAAGAGGCATGCGTCGAATCATCACCATCTTCATTTCCTTCCGACGGTCTTTTTGATAGGAACCAGCAAGAATCAAGCATCAATACACCCAGCCCGGATGAAAAGCTAGACAAAGTGTTGGCAGTTTCATATTCACGAAAGGTCTTGTCGCAAACCGGATCTGGACATTTTTCTCCTATTGCAGCTTACGATCCAGAATCTGACCAAGTTTTGATTCTGGACACTGCACGGTTCAAATACGGGGCCCACTGGACCAAGCTCGAGCTTCTGTACGATGCTATGAAACCTATTGACACAACCTCTGGTAAGAGTCGTGGGTACGCGCTCTTATCCTTTCCAGACGACAAGTTTGGATGCTGTCGTCTAAGTAGCAAATCTGAAGCGACGGCTGTTCAGCCAATGTCATTGTTATTCTCGACAAAGCTCTCTCAAAGTCCAGCGCGCAAAAAGTACAAAGATTTCCTCAACAAGTTGACTCAGAATGTCACCCTTGACATGGTTGTCGACTACTGGACTCAATCACCAGACACCTCGGTATGGGACATCCTGAAGCCATTATCTGTTCCAGAGAATCAGGATCAAAGGGAGTCAGTAAATGCTCTACATCGACTGATAGACGACGCCTGGGAAAACATTGATGGAACCCACGAGGCCCATTACGAAGAGCTGATACAACAAGAGTCCAATGGAAAAGCTGCCAAGGGGCACACTAACATTCTTCACTCAATCTTTGTTGTTTTTCTTGCATCATTGGAGGAAAGAAGTCGTAATGCAATTGTTCGGCAAGCACAACATGACAAAAAGACACATTCAGATCTTTCAATCGAACAACTCTTGAACGAGGCATCATTGATTGCAACGGAGATAGAGACCAGTGATCAAAATGATACTGGATGTCCAAAGAAACGGTGTTGCAAAAAACGGAGATTGGAACGATGGGAAAGCAAGGCTACAACATAAAAACAAGAAGAAGAAAGTTATTTTACTATTAGTTGGCGTGCTTTTTGTGTTCGATGGTGTGGAGTTTTGTATGCTGTTTCAATTTTTTCATGATTTTTGTCCGAGGACAGGAAATCGAATCTCTTCGCGACGAGATCGATGATGCATCCGTTTCGTCAAGTAGGAAATCGTATGATGTGGTGAGCCTTACAGAGTACATTCATGGTTTCTCGTCTTCGTCAGATGTCCTAACCAGATTTATTCGATACTGAAGGAATTGTAGTCTCTGACTTCATTCACGATTTCTAGAGCCTTGCCCAACAGGTCTTCCATTTCTTGACATGCTTGTCTTCGCTGAGCAACGTCTTCAGCTTCCTTCATCAATATATCGATTTCTGCTTCTCTGTACAATTCTGAGACTAGTTCATTTTGCATGGCATCCTTGACATGGTTTACCAGAAAGTACATGATTGTTTTTGGAACCATATCAATAAAGTTCTTTCGAACAACCTTGAAGTAAGAATCGATGAGAGACTTAATGACTTGCATTTCAGTGAGCTCCCGGTCAGTTGGTGGCACGTCCGTTTGCTTCATTGTGTCTGGAACTTGAGGAAGGTGCACAATAGTGGGCGGCCCACCTTCGACTCGAGACCTGTCTGGTGGAGGAGTCTTGCCACCCCGGAAAATGAAGTTCATGATGCCATTCTTTTCACCATCCCCATATGGTGTTTCTTGACCATCTTCATCGTCAGCATTATAGTAGTTACTGGCTGTGGATTGAGGAGTGGTTGCAATCTCCATAGGCCTTCTAGGTTCTTGAGTTCCTTCACGGTTCATCAAGTTTGCAACAGCACGAGATCCACCAATAAAGTCTGGGTGGCTTGTGTTTATGTACTAAAGAGAGCCAGGAAAAGGAACGTATTAGCAATGATGAAAGGGAAAAAAATTGACTTCATCCTTAGATGAAATGCACTTACAGCCAGTTCAATCTTGACAAGATTTGAGACCATCATTTGTGTTGGAGCCATGCAACGTTTTAGCAAAGCCGACACAACTTCCACCATCCGGTCCTTGAGAACAGGGAACCGCGTCAACTCCTTCGGTTCGGATTGAGAAGCAATGCGTTGCAACTCTTCGTAGACAAGGTCAACGCATTGGCCGCCTGGTTGCTCTAACCTTGTGATTTGTCTTCGCACCAGAATATCAAAGGAGATTTCTGGCACGAATAGTGCACGTCGCGTACCGTTGGCATTTGTGATGGTAGTGCGAATTTCGTCATCCGTCAAACCATCAAAAGCGCCGACTGTCATCAGCGAAGTGGCAAAGATCTCGGTAAAGATGTAGTTGACACGGGCACCACCAAATAGTTCAACCATGGCAAGGTTTCTTGAGTTGCCATTATTCAATTCACCTCCCCTACCGTCAATGATGGAGGCAAAGTTGGTTGCAAATTTGGAAAGTAATCCAAGCAGAGTTCCACCTAGTGAAGATCGTGATTGCTGATTTGATGAACCCAATGCTTCCATTTCTTGCTGCACGTCACCCATCATCGATGAAATACGATTCTTCACTTCTGGAAGACACTCCCGAATGTGGTGCATAAGAATGGTATTGAGAGCTTTTGCAAGCGTCCCAGTTCCGCATTTCTCACGAAGAGTGCGGTCGTGAGAATAGACTGGGTGAGTTTTGAAGAATTCCTCTTCCTTCTTAAGACCTTCACGAATACTGAGATCTGCATTGATATCCTTTTGTCCTCTGTTGACAACACCAATGTATCCCCGCTTCAAGGGAATCAATTGGTTCTTGAGGACTTCCGAAGCGTCTGTGCCAGGGTCCATCAAGTCAAGCTTTGTCAAGACTCCAATAGTTCTGTTTCCATACGGGTCAGCGGCCTTGGCAAGTTGTAGAGCATCGCTGTTGGCAATATCTGTGTTTGCCGCAGTAACAGCCAGAATGATAGCGTTGGGATTCGAAATGAACTGAAGGAGCATTTCATGAATTTGCTCCTCAATGTTCTCTGGTTGATCGCCAACAGGAACCTTGGTCATTCCTGGCAAATCTACCAATGTCAAAGCAAGGACACGGGGAGAGTAGATCTTGAGGTGAATTGGATTGTTGCTGATACCCTTATTGTTTCCGGTAAGACGATCAGTTTCTCGAACAATTTCCCTGCGAATCTCTCCAAATTTGTGGAATTTTTGACCAGGCATGTGCAGAAATTCTCCCCATTCCGCTTCGGAGTCGCCTACGATATTCTCAAAAGACTCTTCCGAATCTTCTGACATTCCCATAGCACGAGTGTTGTAAAGTTGCAAGACCAGTGGCCTTCTTGTGACAATACCAGTTCCACGAGGCAAGAAGGATCGACCTACGATTCCCTCAAGGACACTGGATTTACCAGAAGACTGTCCTCCCACCACAACAATCTGTGGCAGGTCGAGTTGCGTGTTTTGACCGACTGCGCCAAGCACATCTTGGAGCTTGGAAGCAATTGGAATCAGCTGATCCATTTTTTTTCCTTCACAGCTTTATAATAGCGAGTTTTGTAAGAGTTCTGCAGTGCTGTACCTATGACAAGGAAACGTCTATAGGCTGCAGGCTGTTGGCTTTGTTGTTGTCGTGAAAAGATGACAGCGATTCTCCAAGAAGGAGCACGGCAGGACACAAAAAATTCAAACACTCCGGAATTCAAAAATTTGCCGCTTTCGTACACTTGTGTGTACGTGCGTATCGATTGTACAGCAAACTTTAGTCCGCTGGGTCCAAGTAGCATTGGTTTGCTCCGAACGAGTTCCAAAATCTCCCCCTTAGATTCCGGGGAACATCGTCACGTTTCATTTCGTTGTCAAATCAGCCAAAATTGTTGGTCATTCATCAACACAAGTTTCAATTGGCATCTGTCAGTCGAGTACTTGTACAAAGAGTGTCATCATCCAAACCGGGTTGAACGTCACCCATAATAGCGGTCCACTGGTACCTGATTCTGTCATGTCTCGTCCTTTCAATACACAAGATTCTGGGAACCTCCGTGACGACGGAAACTATACGGCTGCTGGAAAGGGCCAGATCTGCATCCCCACCAAAGAAAAGAATTTGCAATTCAAAAAGCTAAAGGCCATAAGAGACAATCAATTATGCTTTGATTGTCCTGCTCCTAGACCTACTTGGGCATCTGTCACATATGGTAGGTTGATTGCATCGCAACAATCTCCCTATTCCTGTACCGATTGTTGTCTAACCTTTGCCAATCGCAATTACTACTTATTTTTTCTTCAGGTGTTTTTCTTTGCTTGGATTGTTCTGCGACACACCGATCTATGGGTGTGCACACTACTTTCGTGCGTAGTGTCGACCTTGATGAGTGGACACAACGTCAAATCGATGCCATGAGATTGGGAGGAAACGGCAATGCTAGAAAATTCTTCCGATCACATGGTGTATCTGATATGCACGCTAAGATTGACAAAAAGTACACCTCCAAAGGATCACAAGTGTATAGGGCGGAACTTGCTAAACTAATTGAAGCTGCCGCAGTGCAGCGGGGTGAAGGAACAGGTAATGATGCTGTGGTGGCAACTGGAAACATTCTAGAGAACCTTGCCTTGCAGCAGCAACAGGAGGCTGACCAAGCGGGTACGCAGTCGGCAAAAACATTGAAACCAGCAACTGTTGCACAACCTAAGGCCCAGCTGGCTTCTCAAATGACTGGAACCAGAGGAAAGCTAGTGGTGACACCTCCAAACAGTGGAGGAGTCCCAGTCATCCGCAAACCAACTGGGTCTCTTCCAACTCTCCGAAAACCAGCCGGAAAGCCCGCTTCTACAACAATGCTGATGAAAAAGAAGCCCACCGGGGCAAAGCTACGTATCAACAAGCTGGCGGTCGATGATGATTTTGGTAGCATGGACGCACCAGCCCCTGCACCTGCTCCAGCACCCGTTGTAGCTCCAGCTCCCGTTCCAGTGATCGTCCAAGCCCCTGTTCCCGCACCAGCCCCAGAACCACCAAAGTCAAGTATGGAAACTGGAGTCAGCAAGCTACAGTCGATGAATGCAGATTTCTTTTCAGGGCTTTAGTTTTGTGACGTGGATAATTAAGACTAGTAAGAATGTGATTTGGCATGTAATTTTGTGACTGTTTACATCTTGCACTGATATTGTGGAGCAGAGACTGTGCTTGCAGTTTGAGAGTTGATAGTTGAGCGTCGGATGCATACCGGAATAAGGTATAAGGTACGATTTGATTTTTGAAAATTCGAAGTACTTCACTAGTTCCACGTGACATCAAGAAACACCAACCACAAACTCACAAAAACGCACGTAGTGTCACATTCAATCGAAAAAATGAAGTTCGTTGTCGCTGTATTTGCTGTACTCTCAGTGACACAAGCATTTGTTCCGCTATCAGGCGTGCGTCCAGCAATTGGATCCAGTCGGGATTTCCTTCTAAAGGCGTCTGATGGAGATGAGAGTCCAAAGCCACCAAAGTGGTCTCGCATCGAAGGAAACCAATTGGAGCCGACCGCAAAGGACTTTGAAATTATGGATGAGATGATCACAAAACTTGCCAACGCAGCGCCCTATGAGCTACCAAATGCTGTCAGAAGAGCCTTTCGAGTCATTTCTAGTCCCAAGTTCTTCATGCGCATTGCTGAACGAACAGATGCCACCGAGGATCCAGTTGAAAAAGCAAAGCTTGGAAGTCTAGCTTCCAACTTGGTTTCAACACTTGAGGTCGTTGTCGAAACAACTGAAGAGACGCTAGATGAACGTGCCAGGGAGGTAGAGGCTGTTCTCAAGGCAGCAGCTGAACCAGAAACGGGCGAATTTCTCGTACCTCTTCTCCCAACACAAGTTCAAGGAATGAGAAAGACATTGGAAGCTTTGGAACCTTCCTCATTGGATGAAGGCTTCTTGTCAACAGTAGACGCATGGATGAACAAGAGTCACCAAGATGGAATGGACGGTATGGTCGGAATTTTGCAAAAGGTTCTTCAAATGTACAGTGGCATACAAATTAAGAGAGCAAAAGAGAACATGGAAAGCGCTGAATCAACACCTGCTTCTGAGCTATTTGAGAAACTACTGCAGACGGATACCGAGCTTTGGGATGTTGAAATCAGAAACGGAACAAAAGAAATTAAGTGTTCACCCCTCGTCAGAGAGATCCAGAAGACAATGGAGAGTGTCGTTCTTGGCCTGGAGAATGGATCTATGGCGCAAAGGGTCCAAGCAGAGTACCTTCGCGAGTTGATCACGAGAGTTGAAGCCATTCAACAAAAAGAGTAAATCAGTAGTGAACCAAAAACAAAATGTTAATTGCTAGAAAAGTTGAAGTTTTTGAGAGCAAAGAAAGTCATCACTCTTGCCAAAACCAGATATAGTGCCAAAACAAAAATGTCTTGAAGGAGGTGATCTGGGGTGAATCGACCACCAAAGAAATTGTCAACATAGTCCCCAACAGTACCAATGCAAGCATTAGTGCTGTTGCGTCCGTCGCATCCCAGGTAGAGGAAGAAATCACTGCCTTCAACAGCCTCGACCGGGCGCCGATCGTCACTGAACTGTGTAATCACAAGTCCCTCGTAAACGTAGTGTCCAGGGGTAATCCAATAAGTGAAGTCGAATAGACCTGTGAGAAATTGCGGCCGAACAATGAGGCCAGAGAAGAAGTTGTTCAACCCGATGAAGACGCTTGCTAGAATTTGTGCAGTGGTCATGGAGTTCACAAGACACATGAACGCCTGCCCAAAGTAACTGTAGATTGCAAGATTGAAACTGAAAAAACCCTGCAGGAGGAGTCAGCGCATTGGGAAACGATAACAAGAGACACCGTACTGCAGTCACAAAGCTTACCCAGTAGCCAATGCCACTTCGAACTTGAGAAGTGTCTGTTTGGCCTGCGACCGAAAGATACACAAAGGTAAAGAGAAAAGAGGCTGCAATAATAAACCACTTTTCTGCAATACCTAGCGACCAACCCAGGGAAATATTCTCGACCATCCCTGCCGCGCGATGCCGGTAGAATACATCGCGAATATTCAACATCACTGGCAGCACTGACGTGATCGAAAGGATCCCGATAATGATGAAGGACAGGAAAGTTACAGACAACCGGGCTCTCATTTCTGATTCAGTAAACACGTCTGGAGTGCGGTTTGTCACAAATACAGCTCCCATTATGCCTGCGATCGCTATGCACACCATCAAGCGGGCTCGGTTGTAAGCTGGAGATCGCCAATATATCGTCTGCAGGCGCTTGTTCATCAGCCGTTGTCTATTATCTGCTTTGGTTGCGAATCGAGATCGGAAAGATATCTCTAACGCTGGGATCAATGTTTGTTTGACTTCGGATAGTTGCCCCTTCAATGTTTCATACTCAACTGAGTCTCTGTATTTCTCTGCTAGGTCCATCGTCTTGTTGCATATGTCCACTTCTCTCAATACCCAATTGGCTGGGTTGTCACCAATAGCAATTCGGTTTGCTCCCTGTCGTTCGAAGTAATCTATCATGGTAGCTGACTGATCACCAAGCTCGCCAAAGTAGACTACTTCTCCTCCGCTTTTTAACAGAAGCAGGTCATCCTAGCTCAAGAGAATTAGCAAAATGAGAAAGAACAAAGCCGTGAAAGAGAAAACAGGCAAGATACTTACAAACAAATCGAATACAGCTGAAGAAGGCTGGTGAATTGTTGCACAGATAGTGCGGCCTTGGTCTGCGATTTTTCTCAATAACTTGACGACCAAGAGAGCACTCCGAGCATCCAGACCAGTCGTTGGCTTATAACCACAAAAAATGGCGTCAAAAGTATGCGGGGCGCATCAAAGTCATTGTAAATAAGAACTTACCTCGTCCAAAAACAGTATAGATGGCGATGCTGCTAATTCTACTGCAATTGACATACGCTTCCGCTGCTCGAAAGTTAAGCCGCCTTCGTCGTGACTCCCAACTAATCTGTCAGATATTCCTGTTAGCTCTAGTGTCTTCAACACGTAGTCGCAAAATTTCTCTTTCTCTTCCTCTGATTTCACCTTTCTTTCGTCTAATCTCAGCCGAGCAGAAAATAGAACTGTTTCCCTTACTGTCAGCTGTGGTGTCTGCACATCGAACTGTTCAACGTAGCCAGAACATCGACGAAAGACTGTCTCATCTTGGGAGTATCCGTTCAATAGGATTTCCCCTTGTACGGTTCCCGACGATTTTCTCATTGCAATGACATCCATCAGCGTTGTTTTTCCAGCACCTGAACTTCCCATCAAAGCGCACATTCGTCCTGTTTCGATGGGATGCGCAATCATAAGAGTGGAAACAGCATGTTGTTTCAGTGTGGCCACCTCAACCTACCTGATCTGAATGCTCCACTGACACTTTGCAGGAGTCGCAGCTCTCCATTGCCTTTTGATGTCGCAACATCGTAGCAAATATCTTCAAAGGATAGGGTAACTGGCTTGAATGACATGGTTACTGGTGATTCGCTCTCGTCGCTGACTTCTACGACATCACGTTCTTCAAGACCTGTTCCAACGCTGCTCACCCTAAATCTCGAAAGACCAATAGCTGATAGCAACACTGTTATGAGAATGTGTATCCCCATGTAGAAGAAGCCGAAATGAATCCATCCCGTATCCATAGCTTTGCCATTACTGTCGACTAGACCTATAAACTCAAGAACAAGATCCCCTTCCTCTTCGGAATAGAACGTGCTCCTATACTCGTTGATGAGAAGCGCTCGATAAGCCCAAGCAAGAGGGTTGTACCAATATATCCATACAAAGTAGCTTGGGATCACATTGGGTGGAATGATGAATCCACAAAACAAGATGAAGAATAGGACAATACAGGCACTGACAACCTGGACACTCGATTTCGACTTCGCAACTGTCGCGAAGGAGAAAAGTAGTTCATTCATCAAAACACTGAACGTGATTATGATCCCCATAAACAGAAAATAGTTCTCTATGGTTCGAGACAATCCAACCATAAAATACAGTATCGTACCAAAAGTGAAGCAGTCCATGATTGTCTGAAAGTAGTAGTTGTTGAACAAGAGATGAATTCAACAAGACACGAAGGCATAGGACCACGTACCTGGGGCAACTTGGATAGCGCTTTTCCAAGAATGAAGGGATATGACGAAAAGAAGTTTGCGTCCGCATGTTTGTAAAATGTCGCTCTCTCTTCGACAAAACCAGGGGCGGTTGTCATTCCTCCCAGCATAATGAAGAGCATGCCCTGAAACAACACTCCAAGAATAGAGATGACGTCCTCTGTTTGGAAGAACACCCCACCGACGCTTATGCCCATGATCGAATTCTTCACAGCGTTTGCAATCAGCACCCTTCTATCACGCTTCCATATTATCAGGCATCTCTTTAGAACCAGCCACATTGATCTCAGGATGGAGTTTGCATACTTCTTGTGGAATCTTCGAGAGTCCAGGTATTTGACGCCGCCTTTGGTCTCCATCGAGCTATTGTCACTCCACGAGTACTTCGAAGGAGTCTTCAGAGAAAGTTGAATTTGATTGCCGGCTTCGCTCTCTTGAAACGCAGCAGCCAGCTCGCTAGCTGAGTGGGCGAAAGCTTGACCAGCAGACGGTGTGAAGAATTTCTCGCCATCTGAGGTAGACAAGAGTTGCAAAAAATCAGCAATGTCGAGGTAATCTGGTGCGGTGTAGCCAAGCGATGCAAAGTATCTCTCGACGTCATCGATGGGACCAGCGTAGATCAGTTTCCCTTCGGCAAGCAGAATGATTTCGTCAAACAGGCTGACTGTTTCGGGACTTGGTTGTAGTAAGGATATCACATGCGTCCTCTTGTATACCTTTCCAAGCTGCATGAATGTTTCTATCATATCAAATGTGACAGCGCTGTCCAATCCATTCGATATCTCATCCCCACAAAGAATCGGTGATCCGTTCATCATCATTTCACCCACTGTCACTCGCCGTCGTTGCCCTCCACTGACTCCTCGAACAGTATCATCACCGACAAAGGTATCTTTGACGTGATCCAAGCCCAAGCATTTCTCTGTTGATTCCACAAAGATCCCATCTTTGTCTGCTTGCACAGCCTGCTCTTTGGCTTCGGTATCATTATTGACAGCGGTATCTAGATGCGTTCCACCTTGCTTGCATTGAAAGGCGAATTCAAAAGTCTCATCCACAGTCAGTCGTGGGGCATGTCGGTCCAGTTGTTCCACGAAGGAAATCGCGTTTTCAATGTGAAAGTCGTCATTTCCTTCGAGTGTTCGTCCATTGTACATGACATGACCAGAAATCCCCTCCCCATTTTTAACCGATAACCTGCTAGCGATGGCTTTCAGCAGAGTGCTCTTCCCACTTCCGGGTGGACCCATCACTAGATACATTTTCCCAGGCTTGAGTGTGAAGGATATGTTCTCCAGAATATTCTTGGTGATTTCCAGGGATTCTTCCTCGCATGCCTCCTTCTGTCGATTCTTCCAGTACTTTACCATGTAATATAACGCGCCAGTATTGTAGACTGTTTGAATTTTGTTGAGATCACGTGATAGTGTTGCCGAGTAGTTCAATTTGTCAATTCGGACTTCGATTGGAAATTCTTGTTGGAACTTGGTGTACTCCGCCAGTTCCTTCTTTAACGCTCGCAACGATCGGGCTGTTTTTTCAACATCTTCTATTTGGTCCTTGTCCAGTTCTAAATCATTTACTCCAAAGTCGCCATCAACGTCACCATCACCGTTACCGGGGGACTTTTGATGTAAAAGTTCCAAATTGTCAGTGCTCGGTCTTGTGATGATTCGTTTCATGCGATTCTGCCGTGCCTTTTTGTTGGCAACAAGAAGTCCCAGGTGATCTAAACGGGTAACATCTCTAATCGACTTCAGAAAGGGAGTTTTTTGCTGATGATTCTCTTCGTCATCGTCCGGACTACTCGTCCGTTTCACCATCGCTTTCTTTGTGATGTGAATGTGCATGTCTGTGAATTCTCTGTGAATCAATCTCACGCACGGGATTAAAACAAAAAGGACTATAGTAGCTCGCATTGGCACGTGGATCAGAAGGGAAGGCCAGCTCGCTAAAGTCGCCGTTTTCCGTTTCATCAGAAAGTGCGCAGCCTCGGCAGAAAGGTCCAACGAGGGCGGCACCAACGAGAAGAAACTTTGAACAACAAGGCAACTTCGGCGGAGATTATACTGTAGGAAAATGGCAAAATGGTTTCGTTCAGAACCGATGGAGTACATCTCCATCATCATGAATGAAGATGCCTCTCATGATTGTCTCGCTGATCTCGGAAAGCTTGGCGTAATTCAATTCACGGATGTATGTTGGATCTTTATCTTTTGCATTAACTCGTGCTTCTTCCTGGCTTGATATCCTCACAGTATCTTTTCATTCACTCTTTAGCTCAATCCCGAACTGACACCATTCCAACGTAGATACGTTTCTTATGTGAAGCGATGCGATGAACTCGAACGCAAGCTTCGATACTTTGGACAAGAAATTGAAAAGTTTGATCTGGAAGTTGCCTCGGCCGGAAACGTAGATACTTTCTTGGCATCCCCTCCCACTGTTGGAGGTGAATCAAAGGGAAGTGGAGCTCAACTTATTGAGAGCCTGGAAAACGAGCTTGTTTCTTACGAGTCCCAGCTTCGCGAATTGAACAACTACAGCGAGAAGCTTACAATTGAATACAACGAGAAGGTCGAACTTCAGGAAGTTCTGGAGAAGGCCCGCAGGTTCTTCATGATTGATGCTCCAAGACTTGCTGTCTCCGAGTTGACTACTGAGGGACCTGGGGGTAACGAGCAAGGTTTGTTGGATGCCGGAGGTATGGAATCTAGACCTGACTTGGATATGCGTTTCTCCTCTATCACGGGCGTTGTCGCAAGTGAAGAAAAGTCTCGATTCGAGCGCATGATCTTCCGTGCCACACGTGGAAATTGCTACGTCCGCTTTGCTCCAATCAAACAACCCATTACCGACCCGGAATCTGGTCTATCAGTTGAGAAGTCTGTTTTCATCATCTTTTACAAGTCTGAGAGTATCGAGGTCAAACTGAAGAAGATCTGTGATGCTTTCAGCGCTCACCGTTACAGTCTTCCTGATATGGATGATGCTTCCTCTGTGGATCAAATGCTAACAGAAAACGCACAAGAACTTGTTGATTCCAGAACAGTTCTGTTGAAGAATCAAGACACACGCTACCGCCTGTGCCAAATGCTTGCAAAGCATAATGAACGCTGGATTTGGATTGTCTTGAAGGAAAAGGCAGTCTACCACTCTCTCAACATGTTCAAGGCTGATGTCTCCGGAATGCTTCGAGGTGAAGGTTGGGTTGTTGCCGAAAACCTTGACGAAGTACGCGAGGCCGTTGAGAAGGCCCATGCCAATATGGACATGGCCATGCCAAGTCTTGTGGACCATGTTCCACAACCCTGGCCAACTCCTCCCACCCACTTTGTTACAAACAAGTTCACATATGGGTACCAGGAATTCGTCAACACCTATGGTATTCCTCGTTATCGAGAAGCCAATCCCGCTCTTTTCACTGCCGCCACTTTCCCATTCCTGTTTGGTGTCATGTACGGTGATGTCGGGCACGGTCTTTTCCTGCTCAGTGCCGGTCTCTTCCTTCTGTGGAAGGAGAAGGAGCATGACAACATGAAGCTTGGAGAAATGGGTGAAGGTATGCACGCTGGGCGTTACATGATTACAATGATGGGATTCTTTGCTGTTTACGCTGGTTTTGTCTACAACGATTGTTTCTCGCTCGGTCTGAACTTGTTCGGTACTCGATGGGAGTTCGATGGACAAGATTCTGGTTCAGTAGAGGAAGGCACAATCGCTTATACTACTGCCCAATACGGATCTTCCGAATCCGTCTATCCATTCGGTCTCGATCCTATCTGGCACGTATCCACGAACGAGCTTTTGTTCTTTAACAGTTTCAAGATGAAGCTATCTGTTATCTTTGGTATTCTTCAGATGTTTATGGGGACCTGTCTCAAGGGCCTGAACGCAATCTACTTCAATGAGAAACTGGACTTCTTTTACGAATTTATTCCTATGGTTGTGTTTGCATCATCTCTATTTATGTACATGGTCTTCCTTATCTTTTACAAGTGGACAATTGACTGGAATTCGCGAATGCTTTCCGCAACCTGTCTGGATCCTAACGGAGACGGATGGGGAAGCGCCGACTACGCCGGAGAATGGACTATTTGTGACCAATCTGGAAATGGATACTGTACTCCAGCCGGATACAGCTGTGTAGATGGTGACGACACCGCTGCCAAATGCCCTCTGGACTTCGGAGGATCTGGTGATGGTTGCCAGCCACCAAACTTGATCACCACTCTGATCAATATTGCCCTGCAACCTGGAACTGTTGATGAACCCATGTACTACGGACAAGCTGCTGTCCAAAACGTTCTTTTGCTAGCTGCTTTTGGCTCTGTTCCCATTTTGCTTCTTGCCAAGCCATACATTATGAGTAAGCAACATGCGTCGCACAGTCATGAAGGTGATGAAGAGGGACACGGAGATGACGAGGAGGAACATGGATTCGGAGAAATCATCATCCACCAAGCTATCGAAACTATCGAATTCGTTCTTGGTATGGTTTCCAACACGGCATCATACCTTCGACTGTGGGCCTTGTCTCTTGCCCACTCTGAATTGGCCACTGTCTTCTGGGAAAAGGCCATGTTGTCGACTTTGAACATGAACTTTTTTGCCACTTACATTGGTTTCGCTGTTTTCGCTGGAGTCACAATGGGTGTCCTTTTGATGATGGATGTGCTTGAATGTTTCCTCCACGCACTCCGTCTTCATTGGGTTGAGTTCCAAAACAAGTTTTTCAAGGCTGATGGTGTCCGATTTGCACCATATTCTTTCCAGCAAATTATCAAGGAAGCATCATAAGCTGTGTTTAGTGCAGATACAATCATCTTCTTTATTTAGTGTGTATCTTCGTTTAATCACATGCTCGTCCCACCGATTCTTCTTCGGTTCATTTTGACAAAACGACGATTCCCTTTATCGGAGTGCTCTCTACAAAAGGTCTGATAAGGGACCATTTACTGATGTGTGCAACTTTTTTGAGGACAAAAGTATATGGCGTATTAGTAGAACGCAAGCATCATATTAGTTTGAAGCACATATTGGTAATGTAGTCTATGATTTATAGTCGCAATCCAGTTCTCTGGCAAATGGATTGGAATCCCGAAGCAATTTTGGGATCAGAGCTCACGCCAAGTTGGATAATTGGGGAAATCACTCCTGGATTTGCGGTGTTGAGTTGCTCCAAGGACTCTTTGAACATCGCCATGGGATCCGCGATATTTGGGAAAGGATCGTGAGCCTTTTTAGTGGCAAGACTCAACTGAGAATACGAAGCATCATAGGCAATTTCCATCTCTGGTTCATCGCCAATGATTTCATTGGCACTGAAAGTGTTGGAGCTGAGAATTCCCACAAGAGACGCAAATGTTTGTGCCCAAATCTTCTTGACATTGTCATCAGCAAGGAGAGCAGGAGTCTCGCACAACAGTCGAGTGAGACCGACAGCTTGAGTCTTCGCCAAGATGAGGCTGTGAGCGGCAATCTTTGCCTTTGGAGACCAAATTTGGACGAGTAAAGGCAACGCGGCCTGGTTAAGGTAACCAAAAATGGCTTGTCCACCATGAAGCCCGGAGAAAAGGGCGAAGTATTGAATAGCGAGGACGGGAAACTTGTTGGACTTTCCTTGCATCAGCTTGTGGAGCGTGATCCTGAAAACTTCCGGAAGATATTGGCTCAATTGATCCATTGGAACATAGATCGTGATAGCAGTGAGAAGTTCGCATGCACTGGCTTCCGTGGCCTTCGAAGCAAGTAGTTTTTGAAAAATTCCAAGAAAAGGAACAAGATGACCCCCAGCCACAAGATCAGCTGCAGCCATCTTGAGGTATGCGGTCAAAAGGCGAACCAAACCTGGAACATTGCCTTTTCTTTCCCAGAGAGACGCCGTCAGAAGAGGTTCGAACAGAGACGTGTAGGCCTCCCCAAGACCAGTTTCCTTCGGTCTATATTCCAACAATTGAGCAAGGACCTGGAAAACATACGGCGTGAATTCTGAAATATCCATTTGAAGCACTGTTTGGAAAGGTGGGAAGAGAAGAGCCTCTAATTGCGCCGTTTGTGAAGGGTCCTTCGAACAAACGTTTCTTACAAGAGCAGCAATGGATTCAAACAGGTAATGATTGTAGGAAGGATTTCTTGGATTCTTGCATACGCGTCCGAGCGCAGCAGCAAGCTTGTTGAAGACGATGTCTGTGATTGGGACGACATCTTCGCCAGCTCGAGACAATGCTCTCATTGTGCACTTCATTACGTGCTCATTTTCGTTCCACTCGGCGTTGTCAATGATGCCGAATAGCCCGGTGAACAAACTCTCAAGAAGAGGCTGAAGCTCAACACGTGAAATCTTGTAGCGCTTCTGCTGGGTTGTGGCATCAACTTCGGATGTCATCATGATACGCTCAATAGCATACCCAGCAAGGGTATGTACAACAATACTCGGAGAGCCCAAGTGGGCAATCAATAGTGGCAGCAAACCGATAAGCTGTTCCCTAGTAAACTGCTTGCGAAAGGTGCAAACGAATTTGAGACCTGTGGCCTTGACCATTGGGCGGTTGGAATGATTGGTATCTTGCAACTCAGAGAAGACTTGGGTAGAAAAGAATTCGAGCATATTGACATTGTCGTTTAGTTCAGAGACGCCTTGATGACTCTCGAGACGGATAGCAATTCCTAGCATGAGATGAATCTGAAATATTGCAACGAAGACAAAAAGGTGGTTAGTCAACCATCACGATTGCAGAAAAATTGAGACCTGTCAATACGTACAGCGGCATCTTTGGCAGCCCATTTGCTCGGATCACGAGCAGACTGCGCCAACATGTCAGCAATATGTTGCTTGCAAATTTCAGAAGTTGGAACTTCGAATTGTCGACACATTGCTCGTAGCAAGTCCCGCGAGCATTTGCGTCTGGATTCACTATCACTTCCTTCAATTTCGGTCAAAATGTATTCTTGTGGATCATCCTCGAATTTCTCCTCATCAGCCTCTCGGACCATGAGATTTGGAATAACAATACTGGTGACAATTTGTTGTAGTGTTGATTGCTCTTGGAACAGGGCATTATGCATCTTCTTTTCAACCAGCGAACTCAAGAAGTTAATGCTACCGACGGTCAAACGATCATGCTTGGGGTGTGGAGTCAACCCAATGAGGAGGTTCCAGACCAATTTAGTAAAATCTGGGAGGAAAGGGAGGAAGGGTTCCTCGTCCTTGTCCGCATAGATCTTGAGATTCTGAATGATGGCCGCTTGGAGCTTATCGATTGGACTGGGATCAGTCTCCTCATCGGGGTCCACTAACAATGGATTGGTGTATTGCAGGTATTTGGCAAACTCATCCATCCACTCCTTGATGTGATCCTCAAAAAACTCGGGAAGATCTTGAAAATTCAAAGAGAAGAAAATACGACACATCAATCGAAGAGACTCGAAGAGTTGGATCAACCTTTGGGGATCGTTCTGGCTCGCTTCGACATGTTTTCCAGTTTGGGCAAACATGATCAGCAAGGGTTGTTGGAGATGATTCAAGGCAAAGATCAAGTCGGCGTAAAGAGCGTCACTTCGTTGGACGTATCGGAAGCGCTTGAGAATAGCATTGACAGTCATCAAACATCCATTCACCACTGCAAGATCTGGAGACTGCATCTTTTGGACGAGCTCTGGAAGCAAGTATTCCCACTTTTGAGGAAAGTCGACACCAGCAATGAGACTAATACTCTCCGAAACTTGTGCTTGGATTTGTGGTGGCACTGTGCACATGAGTTCGACAAGGTGTTTTTTTACGGTGGTTCGATCATCCCCAGAAATTAAAATTCCTTGTCGATCCACTTCCTGTACAGAAGAAAATGGAGGACTTAGTGTGAGGCAAACTTCCGAAATAATACTGCAGTATCTTGCTCTGTCGACGTACATCTTTGGATTCATCCCACCCCTTCTTGATTAGATTCTTGAAGTGAACAGCAGCTGATTGTCTCACGGCTGGGTCTGTACCATCAGCGCTTGCCACTAGACGAACGACTTCCATAGCATGCCCAGGTCGTTTGGATGCCTGGATCAATTGAGCCTCCGCTGTCAATGACAAGGATAAATCAGAATCAGTTAGTGATTGGTCAGCAAATTTGGAATAGTTTGTTCATGTCTTTGCGAATCTCTCATCACGCATACAAAAAAACATTTTTCATCGCTGCCTCTTCTTACCTTGTTTGCGGGCATCCGCATAGGGCGAGATGGTTTGAGAAAGCACTTGTGCCAAGTCGAATTGGGCCATGGTTCAATCTTGGTGTTTGAGCGTACAGCGCTTTGAACTTCGAATTTCGAACTGTGCGATGCAAATTTGACCGTTATTCCAGGATGATAAAAAAATAGCTGAAACGTCTGTCATTCTCCCGAAGTGTGTACAATACAGCAGTACCTAGTTCAGTACGAGCAGTAGTACCCAGACATGCCACTTACCGTACACTTGTACCGTACCTCCCTATATACATATGTCTCCCTATTTTTCGCAACAAGTTTATAGAAGGCTTGCTAGTCCTAGCTCAAAATCTTCTATTGGTTTTATTCAAGTGTCAACTTTCTATCATCTATAACCCGTTCCTCTTTGTCCACCCGTTGAAAACAAAAGTTGTCCCTTGCCTCCTCCTTTTCCCTTCTTTTTGCCTCCAGGTGTTTTTTTCACTGGCGAAGAAAGCGCAGGGAAACCTTGTCTCTGCAGCGGTTTCGCACCACCCCAGGACGGTGGGGCAGGGTTACTGCCACTACTAGGGATAGATGTGACAGAACACAAGGTAGGAAAGGCCTCGGTGGATGAGACTACCAAACCATTATCCCTGGCCGCTGCCATGAAATTCAATTCTTGGTTTTGTAGTGGAGCCTGGATTCTAGGCGAAGCGCTTAAAGGAGGGCTAGCTCCTAGAATATCCCTGGAACCGTCTCCTCCCAATGTCGCATCAAAGTCTGCTGCACCGAGATTGAATTCCTCGGGAACGTACGGTTGGAAAAAATCGTCCCCCGGATCAATGGTTTGGAATCTTGATCGTCGCTCGTTGATTCGTTGCATTTCTTCTCTTTCCTTTGCTTTATCAGCCTTCTTCTCTGCTTTGACTTTGGATTGGCGTCGTTTGCGCCGATTGGCAAATTCGTTCTTGAATTTTTGCTTTGCTTGCTCTGTCAAGATATGGTTAAGATCCAATTCCACAAACATAAAGTCCACATACAATGGTAAATGGGACAAAAAGGGTAATCGCTTCTGTAGCTCTGGTGTCATGTTCTTACGATCAATTTCGAGGACCCGTCCCTTGATCCTATCGGGTAAAGGGAACCGAAGTTCCTCTCCGGAGACTTCTGGTCTCCCTCTTCGAAAGTCAGCTAGCAAACAATTCATATTGAAACCACACAAAAATACCAGTTGCCCGTCTTCGGCTTGATAGTACTCCAAAGTGGATGCTTCATCCATGTACAAGCTACCAGCGTATCGTTCCAATTTATTCCTTTTTGGTTTTCCACCAGCCAACTGCATCTCGACATTTTCAGAAGCCTCCTTCTCGTTACCAATCGAGCTACATCTGTGTGTTGACGCTAACAATGGATCTGGTAACAGCTGCTGATAAAAGCCACTGGTTGGCTTCACCATGTCTTGCTGGAAGGTTACCTCCGTCGGTGCCTCAATTTCGGCAGTCTGAATATCCTTCAGTACCATTTCCAAGGCCATTTGGACAAAGACCTGATCCAAGCAGTTTTGTGGTAGTGACTTGGCTTCTTCTTCCACCTCGGTTCGGTTTTGGTAGAGTAATGACAAATACACCGACGAATCGACATAGTTAAAACGAGAAAATTTTTCGTCAGCATCCCCAATGCAAGGGACACAAGATGGATGGGAATGTTTGGAATAGCCTGGAATGGGAATATAGGGTGCTGAACACGTCTTTTCCCGATGTAGTTTGACCAAGGTGATCGATTGCTGTACTTCTGGTGCTACCACATTTTCCAACATGACCGGCTTCAAGTCTTCCAAATGAATGGGAATTGCACAACAGGGACACCTGACTTGATGATTTGATTGGGCCGCACTGTTGGCATGAACATGGTGCAATAGACAAGAAAGGCAAAAGCAGTGTCCACACTTGGTAATGCGGGCTGATACAAATTCGCACAAGCAAATGGGACAGCTTGGTTCCTCATCCACTTTGTTGCTAGACAATGCCAGCATTTGCTTGACAATCCGGACCGATTCCCAGGATACCGGAGAGTCAGAGCCCTCAAAAGAATACTTTCCCTTGGATAATTTGGAATGGGCCTGCCGCGTCAAGCAAAATTGGTGCTCACTTGAAGAGTGTAGGTAAAACATGGCGGTATTTGCCTTTCGCCGACAGGAAGTTCGATCTTGCGCCGATGGTTTGTAGGCATTGTTCTGTTTTCGTCTGTTGTTGTAGTTTTGGAAGTTGCGATTGCGGTTCCGCTCAGGCTGTTGGGAAGGTGCTGGAGTCGAAAAGTGAAATCCCAACAAGTTTTGTGCAGACTGTCCCCGGTTGTTGCTACTGTTATTTTGCTGGCGACCCATCCTTGCAATTAGTAAAGAATGATTGGCAGGTTTGCCTGTCTGTCAACGAATCTCTATGTTCTATTTGCTGTCCTTGCTGTGAGAGGTGAAAGAAGACGACTCACTCTATCACTCCTATCAGACAATTCTATGCGTGGTATTTCTCTTCCGCAGGATATCGATGATCTACCTGCCTTCAATGATGTCAACGAAAGTTGGACTGATTCTTCTTGTAGGATGTCGTGTTCGTGAATCCGAATCGTCATCATGAATCCATTTCATTTGTTACCCACCACGAAAAGGAGGAACAGGAATTGGAATCCCCCAAATATGACGTCTGTCCACCTGCACGTTGACCGTTTTTGCACTGGCAACAAGCCGATCAATAATCGGTCAACATTCATTCAAAGCAATGATGCAATAGCGGTGAACGACAATATAGGAGACTACATACAACACTACAAATACTCCTGAATTGTTCTTACAACACAATCAATTCATAATGGTTGAAATAGGCCTCGTCTATCCCCACATAGTGGAGCGACCGCGGCGTTACGTGGCCTCTGTCAAAGATGGCAACTTCCAGCGACAAGAGAGGGTCGAGGAGTCTGTTTCCGTGCTGGAACAGGCTCAACCTGGGTCCGCAAGCATCTCTTCGCCAAAATTACAAGGTCAAAATGTCATGATTACCACTTGCGCCAGCTTGACGCATGAGGACACCTTGTGTGTGGCACTATCCTGGACTACGGATGAGCTGGAATCTCCCGTGCAAGTGGAACTCGACCTAGGAGAGTTGGAATTGGGACCCTTAGTGGCCGTCAAAACGTTTGAAGGAGGCTCCCATAATCAACTGCTACTGATTCTAGTGGATGTCCAAGGAAAGATTCTCACTCTGGGCTTGAATGAAAATTTGGTGCCACTATCCGGGTTTGCCATGATGGATTTGCATGATTACATTGAGTCACCCGCAGTCCTCCAACGAGTAGCCGGATCGGAACTGCAATCGACAATGGTCACCTTTTTGGATTCTTTCACAATTATCGTTGCCCTCAATCCCTTTATACTGACTGTGGACTTGGCTGAGGGAACCAGCCACGTTTGGAGCGAACTCCAATGCATGGAAGAAATGAGATCTCGGGCCTCCAAACTTGGCAACCTGTTGACCAATGTGAGCGACTTGTTGCTAGGAAGAGAAGAAGAGAGCTTGGATATGGCTCCTACGGCAGCCATTTGTTTGGCTCCCAATTCCACGAACGGTTTGCAATATTGCTTTACGCTGCATGCAGATGCCAAGGTTCGCAAGTGGAAACTCAATACGAGTGTTTCGTACATGCCTGTTGAAGTGCACACACTCTGTCCCTCGGATGAATTGCCACTCCCATCGAGCTGGAGTGATGCCCGGAATGCAGTTTGCATGTCCACCAGGCTTTACAACGATGTTTACGTTTTGGCGGTTCAAATTCGCACCGCAGGAGTCATTGATATTTCGCAGCCAGATTCTTCGGATTGTCATCTATTTGTGTTTTGGGGCAACTTGATGGTGGACGCTAACAGTGCAAGCATCAAGCTACGTGTACCTCTGGAAGCCATGGGATTGGTGGGGATGGACTTTGTTCCCACCCAACAACGATGCACACTTTCCGTCTTGCTTGAATGTTCCACGGAACAAGGGAGTGCCTCCACGATGCAACTCACCTACCCACCAAGCAACATATCTATTGTTAGTTGGGAACCTATCGTCGAAAAAAATGGAAATTTGGATCAAATTGCTGCCAAAGAAAGGAATCGAATTCGATTTCTGTCTTATGGGTCGATTGTGGCAGACAAAATGTCGATGGACAGCGATCAAGAGACCCTGGAAGAAGCCTTACATGAGCTTGATTCCTTGTACCTAAAGTACCTTTTCCGTCCGATGTTCCCAAGAGGGACTGGCACTATTTTGGCTCCTTCCGATGCTTGCGTTCGGAATGCTCTTTCCAAACTAGTCCAAGGTGCTACCAAACAACAAGAACCTGGGATTAGTATTGAACTTGAAACCCTCAAGACAATACACTATTGGCGACAAGTGGAACACAAGCGATCCATGGCACTGGCTACCTCTCCACGGAAACCACGTCGATCCGTGACACCAGTTGACGAGATTGTAGCTGCTGCTCCCAGAAATCTTTCGGTGTACGATTCCTTTGTCCAACAGGACATGGAGGATGAAGAAGACGACCAAGTCATGGAAGTCGATGATCATTTTGGTACCTTGCAACAATTGCAACAAGAACGAACCATTGAAATTGAAGCTCACGAGAATCGATGGCGCCGATTCTTGCTCCAAGTTTGGGAAGAGGAACAAGTCTACCGTGTGCCGCTAACAGTCAGTTGGCTGGAATCGATTCCACTTCAAGTCATTATTCGTGCTGGAGTGACATCGGCTATTCCAGATACATTGGACCAGCAATCCTCCAGATCCCAGTTTGCGGCCCTGGACATTGTCGCCTCCAAGTTGATGAAATATGTTGAAGATGACGAGGTATATCAAGCCAAGGTCAACCACTTAGAACAACAGCTCGTCAATCTAGTTTCTAAGGGCGAGGTTGCCATCTCTCCAGATTCTTTGACTCCAATTCGTCAGGCGTTACAGGAATTGGGAGCTTGGGCATGGTCCAGCGACGACGACGTCATTTCAGATGAGGAACATACTTCTTTGGAGGAAGCTGCCAGCAGAATGTCATCAAAGCAACTAATCTCTTGGATTGGAACTATCCAGGCGAATGGCGATGGTAGCCTACCCGGACTGGGGATAGTCACTGCAGGAGATGCTTCGAAGGGTGCTGCTGGTTTCACGTGGAGCCAAAGTCGAGTCGCCAACTGTCAACTTCGGCACAGTGCATGCTACTTTACGACTGTGTGTCTAGATTCAGTCCGAAGACTGCAATTGAGTCGCTGTCTACTTTTAGGGGATTTGATTGAAGGTGGACATGCACGGGAAGCGGCGTTGGTTGCGTACGTGCATTCTGTTTCTACCCTTTGGGCGTCTGCCCAACGTGTCCCAATGCCATCTACAGCACTGCAAGCAAAACGTGTGAGAATTCAGATTGGGACTGATAGTCCAACTTCACCACCAAATAAGCGCCTCAGTTTTGGTGATGACTCTTCCAGCATTCTTGCACCTGCTTCGAGAAATCAAACAACGTCAATGGACGTCATGATGGTCGAAATCTCCCAAACCATGAACGGGACTCCTTCCAGCTTCCCTTCATCACATGCTGGCGCAGCCTTGCTTCTGAGCCGAATTTACTTCAAAGCCCTTCTTAATGGAAAAGAAAAGGGAAACTCACGTGCATTGCCAGAGCTGGGTACTCTACCAAAGCCACGAGACGACTCTGTCGCAACAGATTACCCTCGTCTCGCTCTCCGGCTTCTTGCGCCATTCGTTGCCTGCACTCTGCCAGAAGATCCAGTTGACGTTGTATTGTACAGAAAGGAGGCGCTTGCAGAATGTTTGTTGATCGAATCACATTCCGATTCACTTAGCACTGATTCGAAGAACCGTATGCGTGAGATGGCTCGCCTGCTTCTTGATCCGTCGCCACAAGACTTTGTCAACCCATCTGAGTTGAAACAGATTGAAACTGCCTTTTCGGGATTGAATTCAAGAGAGATGCCTCAAGTTTCGCTAATGGAGCTTGCCAGCACCATGGGTGGCATCATTCAAACCGCGTCTCGTACAGAGATCAATCGATTGTGCGAGTTGGACACTGTGAAGCAGTTGTTCGCTTCGATTGCTTCCGATCGTACAGCGACTTTTGACGATGATGAGAAAGCAGCAATCACATGTCTGGCTAAGTCAATGCTTCACCTTTCTCGAGTAATTCACAAACTCAGAATTCTCGAAAGGCATGTCGGTGCCAGCAGAAAAGAAGCAGATGACGGAAACTCGGAGATAATTCTCAGCCTTATTTCTGATGCTATCAATCAAATGGAAAAGACATTCCCAAAACACATTTGCCAACAAATGCCTGAATACAGCAACCTTTGGTCAAGTTTGTTCCACCATTCAGTATCGGCTGGCAAATGGAGAAAAGCTTACGAAGCTTGTTTGAAGAACCCCTTGTCAGGAAGGCGCGAAAGCAATTTCCGGCGTTTTGTCCGTGCCATGGTCGACTGTGGCGCTTTGGGCCAACTCATTGAATTGTGTACGGAACTCGGTACTAGTATTTCTGCTATCCCAGGCTCAAAAGCCACCTTCCAGTCTGTCGACTTGTATGAAGTTGCATCCGAAATTTTGGCAGATACTCAACCATCCGACCTCTACATGCTTCGCGCACAATCGACGGACCCGTCTCAATTATCCGATTATCAAGGAGCACTGTATGCTCTTCATGCTTCCCAGGAGCGATGGAGAAGAGCAGCACAATCCATGGATATTAGATATGTCAATGCCAGAAAGGCAATGAAGTCCGATGCAACGTCTCTAGGATTACGGCCTCAAGATGCCGAACTTCGGGATCATCTAATTGTTGAAGATCTTACTCTTGCATCTGTTGGCGCCGTCAATGCAATGAGTTTGGTAAGCGACCCTGCTCATCGCTTTCTCGTCTCTGGTGAACAAGAACGATATACCTTGCTACCCATCGCCGGCTTCGGGGACCGAAAAAAGCCAGTGTCCACCATGAAGAGAACACGAAAACCGGAAAGCGTCGCAATGGATGAAGAAGAGGATGAAGACGACGAGGAAGACGATAGCCGTCTTTCTCGGTTCATGTCTCTCATTGACATTGAAGGACGATCACTGAGAACTATTGCCCTACGGACCATGTACCTCGACATGACAAGTACGCGATCTTATGCAAAGGACGCCTTCTTTCGGGATCTTGACTCCTCTCTTATCGATATCGATGAACTTTTCAACAGCGGATACTTCCGATATGGTCTCCTTCTTTCTAAGGCCTTCGCAAAGAGCAGAAAGGCTAGGACTGGAAGCTACAGACCAAATGGCGAAGACATATTTTACACCTCTATTGTCAATCTATTGGAATCCTGTTTGATACCTCTATCAACAAGGGGTATCGCTTCTGAACAGCGGCCATCAATACAGCAACTACTTTCAGCTCTTGATGGCACCGGTGACTCTGACGATTATTCGTTGTGCACTGTCGCGAATCGAAACACTACAATCGCTCAACTGGAATCTACTTTCTCAAGGGCTGCTGGATGGGCTTTGATCCGCAAGATTACACTAGCCTTTTCTACTGCTGAAACGCCAGTCGCACTAGATGTTGCAGGGGGCACGCTTTCTCAACAAATAGAAGGCGCAAGGCTACCATCGTGGCTCGAGAGCCTCATACTTGGTTCGGAAATTGCTGCACCTAGCGGTAAATTTGCGCCAAGGCCAAGTCCTGAAGATACTGCATACCCTGGCAACCCTCAAGCGCTTCTTTCCCTGTACACAAAGCTAGGCATGTTTGTTCAAGCTTGTAAGCTTGTGTCGAAGGTCCTCTCTGGACAGTCTGAAGCAACTTCTCGTCTTCCAGAAACTGGAAACATCGACTACGTTCCATACGAAAACATCGATCTCCTTTGGAACCTCATCGATGTCATGTTGTCAAGCGGAGAGATTCCAGTCGCTGCAGAGAAAGAAATTCTTGCCGCACGTGACGAGATGGAAAAATCTCTGGAGCGGCACTTCAATCTGCTCCGCATTGGTGAGATGGGGTTGAAGAGTGCACGAGCACTGAAAGGGAAACCAATGGTATAATAAAAGCGTTCGCTACTAGTCGAATTGCGCACACTAGGCTGCAAATCATGCTACATTTGTCATTTTCAAAACGAAGATATTACATAAGAGAGGAAGAACAATCTACTCAGCCTCTACGTACAACTCGCTCAACAGCTCCTCGATCTTGTAGGGGCTGTACTTGGTGTATTCACTTTGATGCTTCTTTGAGAATCGAATCTTACTGTATCGTTCGAAAAAGTTACGGTACAAAGGCAAGAATACCTCGGCAACTTCCTTTTGCAGCAAGCCTCGCAATCTTGGATCCACGACTGCCAATTCCTTATGCTCGTCATAGATGCGCTCAAAATCTTCATTGAATCCACTGAACCGTCCCTTGATCAAACGGCCACTATCCAGAGAAAGGATGTTGTCATTCTTTTGATATTCCAGCTCGTCGTGCTCGACGCTTGTGAGATGAGCATTCAATACCTCCCAGTGACCAAGGTACTTGTTCTTTTCAGACTCAAAGAGCTTGTTAACCTTGTCAACAAACCAAGAACTCTCTATTCTGTAGTCGTTGGGATTGCCGTAGTTGTGGGCGTGAGGGCCGAGCTCGTCACGAAGGTAGAAAGAATTGTTCATCATAAACATACTACTTCGTGCCTGTCCAAGGTCACCAGGGTGTTTTGTGTAGTTGAGAGCCTTACCCTTCAAAGAGTTAACCAAACGCATGACAAGGAAACGAATGAAGGATTCCAATTCACCAGCTTCTTCTCCCATGTTGGGATCCCAAGGCAATTGTCGACGCTTGGACACGGACTTGTAGGCACTTTCGTAGTGAGAAACATTTCGCACAGATCGGACCACGTCGCATGTCAAGTTGGCAACACGTGCATCTTTGGCTCGATTTGCTGATCCCTTGATAGGATCCTCTTGAATCGCCTTGGCCAAATTCTCCAAAGTACGAGCAGTGTTCTTCACTGTTGTTCTATGGATAGCGATACAGAGAATAGAGGCAATACTCGGCTGCTCTTCGGTACCATCTCCGATAGGCATATCACAAAGCTTGGCAAGCGAAGGACCAAGCATACGCACACCATCCAACATTCTCAAACCAGCAGCTGCAGCAGATGCAGTATCACGAACACTCAACTGAACAGCGTTCTCGCCGCTCTTGGTTCCCGAAGCATGTCCAATGAGACCCTCTTTGAGAAAGACAGTCTCGATGATATCCATCGTCTTGTCAACGACACTCGCCACAACGTAAGAGTAAGATGCCGCACATGCCTTGCGGTAAAATGGTGAAATCTCTTCGTTTCCACCATCTTCGTCGCTCATCTTGGTCAGTGATGGAGTGACAACAGTGCGGTAGACATTTTTTTCTCCAGCCACGACTACCATGGCATGCTCCAAACAGCGCACAGCATCACGGGCAGCAGCATCCGCCACGTCCATTGCCGCCGAACCAGAGAATTTCTCCAAATTGCGCTTGCGCTCTTGCTTGGTACGTTTGTAGTAGTGGTCAATGGATGCAAAAGCAACATTCTTTCGCGCTTCTCCATAGGCATCAATTTGAGGAAATCCAGTCTTGAGAGGTCGTTGGACAATATTGGTGTATCCACCGGATCCGACCTTTTCTGTTCGGACCACACGATTGGCTTGCATCCCAAAGTGATGTGCCAAACCAGGAGGTTCGTTCTTGGGAGCGGGAACCAATTGGTGTCCGTTGTTACCCAGACATTCTAGAATACCACGCAACTCGCGGACCAAACGAGCTTCAACCGGTTGGTATTCTTCGAATTCTCCAATGCTACGGAGCAAGTCTCTGTTTTGCAATGCTGCAGACAAGCGGTCTCTTGTCTGCAATGATCAAGATGGAAATCGAAGAAGAAAAGTTGATGTAAGTGCGCTGCGTGATCGTGATGAATCCAAAACGCACATCTGCAAAATAGATTTCCTACCTGTTGCGCAGTTTCCATTGCTGCTCTCGCCTTGGCTGCTCCCTCTTGTTTGACAACGCGCTTTAGTTTCACAGCTTGTCCCGAGTCAATCAAGTGAAAGGAAGATAGAATACACATGCTAGATACTCCCATTTGATGAACCCGTTCCAAACTTCTGAGCGCGGATCCAGTGGATCTCCAATGCTTACGTTCAATAAAGTATTCATAAGCATCCCGGATGATCTCCATGGAATCCGCAGCCGCATAGACGTCTTGCTCAGTCAAAGTAACAGGCTTGTTGTCTGCGTCCTTGTCGTCGAAAGGATTACGACGGTTATTCTTGGCCTTGCCCGCCTTTAGATTTTGGAGTTGCACCACTCCACGATGCAAACGTTCAATTGCTGGTTCGCAGTCTCGAACGGTATCAAATTTTTCTTTGGCATCCTTCATTAGCAAAAGAGTAGCTCCAAGATTATTCGAGGCCTTGGAAAGCATACTGGAAGCGTCAGAAGCTGGACTTGTCAAGGAATCTAATTGTCGAGCACGTCTTGTCAATTGATCGCAATAGACACAGGCTGCACCAGTGGAAGTTTTCATTTTCCCTAGCGCACTTTCCAGCGCGTCAATTCGGCGCTGCGACTCACTGGCTGCCCCCATGATTTACAATTCAATAGCTTGTGGGCCTGCACAGCAGAGAAGACCAACAATGCAACTCAGCTTGATACTAAATCCAAACAATTCTGAATGTGGGTCATGCTACTTTTGCTTCACGCCTCCGTTGAGGAGTCGAAGTTTTCGATTCTTCGGATATAGAATTGCCGAAATGTACCAATCCGCGTAGGATGACACGTGAGGCACTTGTGTGATATTTCTGTCCGTCGTTCCAGTCCATCGAATGAATCATAAATCAAAGTCGATAATCGACGACCATGCCATGTCAATGCAAATAAATCCCTAATCAACATCACACACATTCAATCACATCCCTGCTGCCATCGGAACCGTTGAGTCTTTCTTTGGAACTAATTTTGCCAATCGCAATTGCCAAAGCCACAAACAATCGAGAGACAGTAAAATGCCCTCCAATAAACAATCGTTATATGAGCTGATCGCAAGATATCCGCAGTTGCTCCATCATGAGGAAAACGTTTCCCGATCCCCGTTTGCAGTCTCGACATGGATGGTTTATTTGGATGACATTGACTCTCTGATTACGGATCGCAATGACGACTATGCTGAGCTACTGTTAGTACGAGATTTACAGGCCCGTCGAGCTGTCCAAATCTTGCCCAAATCCTACAAGTTATGGAAAGTCCATTGGGAGTTTTGCACCTATCACAAAGACAAGGTGTTTTCACATTCCACACTCATGAATATGTGGGAACAAGCCTTGCAAACACTCCACAAATTTCCAAGAGTGTGGATGGAATATCTTGCTTATGCTCATGCTTCCAACAAGGTGCACCCAACAACCCTTCGACGACTGGCGAATCGGTGTTTGGAAGCCTTGCCAGTGACACAACATGGCAAAATTTGGCCAATTCTATTGGAATACTATCAGACACCAGGCGAGTACATTCCCAAAGAATCCAAACTAGCAATTCTAAGAAGATATATCCAATTCAACCCCAATGCTACCAAGGAAGTTGCCGAGTTCTTTTTTGAAACCTTGGGTAACTGGGGCGAAGCTGCTTTGCTCTACGTGGAGCTCTTGAATCAACCTTCTTTCTCTCCGGTGGAACGCAAAGATTTGTGGATGGATTTGGCCAAAATATGTTCTCGTCACCCCGTCTCGCAGGTGGGTTTGGACTTTGAGGCCATGACAAGAGCCGTTCTCAAAACCCCCAAGCATTACAATCTGCAAGAGTTGGAAGGAGTGGTTTGGAATCAGTTAGCGGATAGTTGGATTCGACAGGGAGAATTTCAACTGGCGCGAAGTGTTTACGAAGAAGCGATTGAGTGTGTGTCCAAAGTCCGAGATTTTACTATTTTGTTGGATGCTTATTTGCAATTCGAAGAGGGCTTGTTGGAAGCCACAGTAGAGGCTCAAGCTGAAAACGAAGAGGACGAAGAGGGAGAAAATGCTGATGGAGATGATTGGGATCTTTTATTACAAAGATCCACTGGGGAATCATCAAAGTCGACGACCACTATGGCAGATTTAGAACTTGCTCTGGCCCGAGCCGAGGATTTGACGGCAAGACGGCCAATTCTACTAAACAGAGTATTGCTGCGGCAAAATCCAAGCGATGTTGGTGAATGGTTAAAGAGAGGCCGGTTATTTATGGAAAATGAACAAATACCCCAAGCTGCGGCAGCGCTCGAAGAAGCTCTTCAAGTAGTTCATGCCCGTCGAGCTGTTGGAGGAAAGCCATCACAAATTGTATTGGATTTGGTGAACATTTATGATCATGGAATGAACGAATTGACAAAAGCTCGAGATTTGCTCGATCGTGTATGTGTTCAATTCTCGTACGAATTCAAAGATGTGGATGATTTGGCAGAATGCTTTGCTGCTTGGGTGGAACTTGAATTGAGGCATGAGACATGGGATGATGCTTTGGATGTCATCCGAAGGAGTGTGGTCGTGCCACCAAAGGCTCCCAAAATGGCCCGGGGACTGGCCAAATCACTGCGACTATGGGATTTACTTTTGGATCTGGAAGAGTCGCTCGGGACCATGCAATCGACAAAGGACGCCTACAGCAAAGCAATAGAGAATCGAGTTGCGACTCCAATGCACATTCTGAACTTTGGGTCTTTCCTTACCGAACACAAGTACTTTGAAGAATCTTTTTCTGCGTACGAACGCGGCGTCGAGCTATTTGAATTCCCAGGAGTTAAGGTAGTGTGGAAGGCATATCTAGACGCTTTCCTAAAGCGTTATGGAGGGGACAAAGTGGAACGAACGAGAGACTTGTTCCAACGATGTCTGGAGGCAAGTCCACCGGAAGAGAGTGTTGAATTCTTTTTGATGAATGGCTCGTTCGAAGAAGAACACGGGTTGGCACGAAGAGCACTAGGCGTGTACAAACAAATGTGCGAAAATGTTCCGCCATCTGAAAAATTCGAAGCCTATCAGCTGTTCATCGCCAAAACTATTAAGTATATGGGCCAGACCGCTTCTCGAGACGTATATCAATCCGCAATCCAGAATTTGGACGATGCTTCCTCTGCAAAGCTTTGTCTCGACTTTGCAAAAATGGAAACTTCACTTCAAGAGATCGACCGCGCCCGTGCCATTCTCACGTATGGTGCACAAATGGCAGATCCAAGACGAAACGACGAATTCTGGACAGGCTGGAACGACTTTGAAGTTTCGCATGGTAACGAAGAGACGTTCCGAGAGATGTTACGTATCAAACGAAGCGTCGAGGCATCGTTCTCGACAGTTAATTACAATGCTGCAGAGATGAGTGGTACTGATGGGAAGCCGGAAACCTTGTCGAATGAAGAAGCAATGCGTCTGATTGCAGAACGTGAAGGTGTAGAGCTTGAAGCGGACCAGACAAAGGAAACGGTTCCTGGATTCGTGGGTGCAAAACGAAGTGCCCAAGATGCTAGTTTGGACGATATGGAAGAGCGTGTGGCCAAACTGCGAAAAGCAACTGGTGCAGAACCAACGACTAATGATGACGAGGACGAAATTGATCTTGACGATCTTGAAGATGATGGAGAGGAGGAGGATGAAGCTCCACCATCAAAATCCATTCAGGATATTTCTACAAAATTAGTCCCCGCAGCTGTATTTGGTGGATTGGCCGAACTGAGCAGTAGCGAAGCATAACAGATAATCAACAAAATGATGTAACACAGCATGCCAAACTTCACCACTCTACCTACTCCATATCAAAAAGATTTGACTGGTTCGAATGCATATTATTGACACTCCAACTTTCACACAACTGCATAAACAGTGAGGCAATGACAGGACGGAGTTTGAGATAGTAGTTATAGAAATCACGCAATCTGCAAGAAGAAACAATTGTTGACAATGGATTTGTCGGTCGCCGCTGCCGTAGGATCCTTCGTGGTGTCCGAAAGAGTTTTGAAACCAAAGGCCACAGCTCTTGTCATTCTGGGTTGTCTCCTCGCGTACGATTTGAAAACGAAGACGCACGATGTATCATCATTGCGTGTATATCGTGGTCCTGCATTGCTTGCTTTCACATTAATGATGGCTGCCTACTCACTGCGTACATGGAGACGAAATGGGGTTGCATGTGATGAATTACTGTTTCTGCCGGGGACAGTTCATGGTCACGAAAACGGTGTCGAAGGTCCACTGATTGAGATGACAACGCCAAGCGAAGACGAGGACCAGGCCGAGGCCGATATGGCTGCTGGCGGATCACAAATGGTGGGAAAACCAAGATGGAGCACTATGAGAAGAAGAACTCTTTCGCAGGACGAAGATGACTCTACTGAGGAACTACAGGCTCTGGCCTCCTCAAGTTGGACTGAAAACGAAGGCAACCAAGGAAGCTTCGATCAAGGTGACATGGACGGTACCGATATTGATGGTGAAGGAATGGGGATTAGAATGGATTCGTCGGAAGAAACAACGCTGCTATCTGAACCCCGAGGAATCATTCAACGGTTTCGCGAAAATCACCCAAAATTAGACAAACTGTGGACTCTCTTTTTCGACCGAGCGACATCTGCTGGATCACCAAGTGCAACTTATGCTCCTTCTGGTCCAGCTGTTTTCGGTGCTGGCTTGGACTTGAGTATGCCAGTTTTATTCAATTTTCATCTATATATAGAGGTAAGTCAAACGCAAATCAATGAAAGAACCATGACAGAAATGTTCGATCAGCTAATTGAATCAATCGGATTTAGGCATACAACCATATACAAGGTCCAGCAGGCGAGACCCCAGCAAAAATTCTGCCAGTGATTTTCTTGAGTGTCTTGATGGTGCGAACCGTTGTTCCACCTAGTAGAAGGTTCAGGTTTTGGAATACGCTGAAATTCACTTTCACAGCACCACTACATTATGTTCGGTTTCGGGATGAATTTATTGGGGAGGTGATGACATCATGGATTCGACCAGGGCAGGATCTTTTCTTTGCCATTTCGTACTACCTGACTGTTATTTGGGGTACAGTATCAGGGAAATACGGACTTGAACAATGTGGTGCCATCCTCGAAGATTCATGGCTTTTGCACAACGTTATCCTGCCGTCCTTGGCAATCCTTCCATTATGGCTCAAATACTTGCAAACGCTTCGTCAAGCCTATGACAATAACAAACGTTGGCCGTACCAAGCAAATTCCCTGAAGTATTTGAGTGCAACACTGGTAATCATCTACGGGGTCACCCATCCTGACGAAAGGCACCACCCATTTTGGGTTGCCTCATTCGTATTAGCCCTTTTGTATCAAATCCTTTGGGATGTCGTCGTGGACTGGGAGCTATTTGAAATTCAGCGGGACATTCCCGTTGAGGTTGATTCAGATACTTGTCTTTCTCGAATCAACAGCATGACATCTTCCTCTCAGATAGTTGTCATGCTTCAGACCCAAATTCTCCAACCGGTAGCGAATGCATACCAACGGATTCCTAGCTTTGGAAGGATTCGTTTACGACAGAAACGCTTGTACAAGACCGAAAACTTCTACTATAAGATTCTGGCGTACAACATAATCATGCGATTCACTTGGATGGTATGTCTAATTCCTTCTTACCACGTCTCGAGGCGGAAAGAGACAGTATTGACAGACACAAGCGATATCAATAGTTACTGGGGTGTTTTGCTCCCCATTGCCGAGATCGTGCGACGAACTCTTTGGGGATTTCTCTTTGTGGAGCGAGAGACCATTCGATTGATGGAAGCTGATTCCAAGTACTCTGTGGAAATAGAAGAAGAAGAATCTGACGAAGACGAAGAAGGATCGAAATATAATGTTCGATCACAGCTGATGCCAACTTGGCTAGACAACCAACAACAAGTTGCTCACAATGCAGCAACATCAAGGGCTAAACAAAGAGCCGAGTGGATGCAGCGGTTGTTTGTTTTGGAACTTTATGTCTGGGCAGCTGCTTTTGTTATTCTAGGATGCTGGGTAGCTAGTTAGTAAACATTCATTGCCATTGCTATTGCTATTATTTAAAAAATGCTACGATGAAACGACAAACTTACTATTCGTCAAATAACACCATCGACTCATTCGACACACCCACGACACACATCAAGAGAAAAAAGCCAAGCAAATTCAAAATACATATTCTATCCTTCAGCCGGCCTATTAGACGTCTAGTTTAGCAATGCAACGAAGAAGGCCAAAAGCCAAAGTCGCTCAGAATGATGTAGAGAGATCTCCTGTCCGTGATGAGGAAAAAATCAAACGGCGCAAACGGCGTCGAAGCGGGAACAGTCTTCGTCTCAGGGCGGCCGTTTGTCTGGTTACGTGCCTGGCATTTACTTTGACTGCGGCTGCAGTCAAGATGACAATGTTCGAACATGCTAAGGAAGCACAAAACATCCCGCTAATTTCTTCAGCTCCTGAAGAGGAGACCGAAGCCACCCCTAAGGCACCAGAAGACTCAAAAATTGTTGAATGCGAGATATCGACAAAAAACTGGAATAGTGATGAAGCTGCAAGTGGCATTTTGAGAATTGCAGTTCATAAAAACGCCCCGTCATCAGAACTATTTCTCTATCTGGTTTCGGAAGGGTACTATGATGACAACTACATCTTTAGAGTGATCAAAGGATTCCATGCCCAGTGGGGATTCCATACGCCAAGCGACATGAAGCAGTGGTGGTCAAGAATAGAAGAAAAAAGAGGCGACTTTGATTCCGAGAACGAGAAAACTGATCTGAAAAATGTTAAGGGAACTGTAACAATGATCCGTGGTGGAGCGCCGCAAGTATTTTTGAACCTTGGAAGTGCCCCGTGGCTGGATGAGGAAGGAACACTGCCCCTTGGCGTTGTAGATTTGGACAGCCTCCTTCTCGCGGACAAGATTTACACTGGATACACACCAGGCTCAGGCCAAATCCCTGCTATGAGTAATGGAACTATACCAGAGCTATTTCCAAAAATGAGTAAAGTTGAGAAGTGTTCCTTGGTCTAGTAGTTCTTCGGGGAAACGAAAGAACTATTCACGGGAGCCGATTCCAAATACCCAAGGACATGATAGATGTAAAGGATGACAAAGGAGATCTCGAGTGCAGTGTCCGATCGAAGCTGTTCTCAACTTGGAAAAGTTGCTCACCACAATAGCAAGATCAGAAGCAGTCAGACAAAGCACGAAATGGATGTAATACACTTGGAACCCTGCCGCTTTAATTGTTGTTAGACCGGGGCAGCTAGTTGGTAAAGCAGTGCACTCAATGGGCGACCAATAGGATCAGCTTACAGTGGTACGTACCTAGCCGACTATAGCTACTGTAGCTATCACACATACCATACCTACCTAGTCGTAGTTGATTTCATTAATGGACTGACTCATCCGATTCGTCGAAGATTTGGACAAGGACACAAAAAATGCGATGCAAAGATTTTATGATAAGACGATCGAGGCCAGAAGTGAAGCGGAGTGATCCAGATGGACCCTCTTATCCCTCACCGAATGGAAAACGGGATAAGAGAGAAAAAAGACCAGCGACAGGTGCTTTTCTGGCCTTTGCTTTGACGCTGGGGGTGATCTACCTGACAATCTTCAAAAGTCGTTCCTCAGTACGAAAGCAAATTTCTCCTGCTGCTGAAGTCATTTCTGGTTCTTCAGGTGCAGGTACTCCAAATGCTACGGAAATAGACAAGGATTCAGCGATTGTGGAATGTATTGTATCGACGGCTAATTGGAAGAGTGACGAAGCTGCTAATGGAGTCTTGAGGATAACAGTAGACAGGCGCGCTCCAGATTCCGAGTTGTTCCTCTATCTAGTTTCGGAAGGATACTACGATGAGACTCATATTTTTCGAGTAATCAAGGGCTTTGTCGCACAGTTTGGGTTCCATCCAGACAAAGAAATGATAAATTGGAAGGCAAAGATTGAGAACAAAAGGAAAGTGCATCGATCTTTTAAGGCAGGCAAGATAAATTTGCAGAATGAAAAGGGGACTCTGACGATGATAAAGGGTCCGTCGCCACAAATTTTTTTAAATATTGGAGATAACCGCCGTCTTGACAAGGATGGTACGTTGCCGGTTGGCTTTGTGGATGATTATAGCATATATCTCGGTGAAAAGATATACAGTGGATACAAGCCTGGGATTGGTCAGATAGCTTCCATCAAGAATGGCACTGTGTCTGAGTTGTTCCCAAGAATGAGCAAAATAGAGAAATGTTCGTTTCGAGAGTAAGCACAAAAGTCTTGTGTGCTTTGTGGTATTGACATCTTGATGACAAATCACAGCTGGTGGCAAATCGAGCCTGGTGTCAAGTAGTCCTTATGAAATGTGTATTATCATAGCGCCCCCCCCCCCCCCCCCCCCCCCATGAGTTGCCAACGTTCCTGTGCCAGTTTTCACGATAAGACAGCGAGAGATGTGATACCACTCTTATCCTCCCAGCCCTTTGGAACAACACATGGCATGTCTGTTTGGAAAAAGGGCTAACTAATGTCTTTGGGATCCCGCAATATATCAATACAGTATTCCCACAAAATATAACCATGACAAGCTCCAACGACAACCCAACCGAGCCAGACCCCTCGAAAGAGAAACTAGACCAAGTCTTTGCTTTAATCAAAGATGGAAAAATCATAAGAGAGACAGACCTCTGGGGTGCGGCGAACAAGTTCAGAGAGGCGCGAACGCTACTGGAACTACTCGCAACTGAGCATCCTCGATCAACAGATGAAGAGAAGCAGATTGCTACACTCTACGAACGACAAGCATGGGAATATCTGAAAGAGTCACGTCAGTGTCTGATAGAAGCCATGAAGGCTGAAAAAGAACGGGATGAGATGGAAGAGAGTACCACTTTCTTGACTCTAACTGACGACGAATCTACTGCACGACTAAACACATTTTCATCCCTATTCTCGCGGAAATTGGAAGCTGAGCCAGAAGAACTTACAATGGAAAATCAAGTCTCTCTTGAAGAACGATTGAGAAATCTGAACCAGTCATTGCCGAGTGGCTTCAAGACTTCTGAAGAACGTATGAGTGACCTCAACAAAGGGTTAAACAGATTAGGATTGTCAATGTATGAGCAGAAGACTCCATTTTCACGATTCATTGAAGATTCTATTCCAAAAGATGAGGATGATCAAGTCGCAGAGATTATGGCTCAGGCCAAAGATGAAGTCCATTTTGAAAATGTCTTGGCTCAGAACTCAACAACTGGGATGGTCAAGAAGTCGAATGACGATGACAGCATTTCTGATGTTGAAGACGACAGTGACAGCGACAGCGATGGGGACGAGTTACTGAGTGATGAGCAGTTAGCGATGAAGAAAGTGAGAAGGAGAGTGGTCTTGGCACAAATGAAACTCGCCGAATTGGTTGCATTGATTGATGAGGCAAAGGGTATCCAAGCAAACGAAGAGAAAAAGGAAGAAGAAGCGGCGTTGACGGTAAACGATGATTCATCGGAAGATATATCGAAGCCTGATTTAGAAGCACACTTTGCTTCAGCAAAAAAGAAACTGAGAGCCGCGCGAAAAGATTTGAGAAAAGCAACAGAGGAATGGTTTTGAATTTTGAAGACACAGACTGCTGCATGTACCAAAATATTTTGACAATTGAAATTTTAAAAATTCACCTTCTCATATGTATAGGACTAGTAACTTTTTACTGTGTAAAAGAGTAAAAGAAAGGCATGAAATTTTTCGATCACAAGAAGGCTACCAGCCAGATACTGTACTGTACGGTGCGATTAGCAGAGTACGATATGCTGGACTTTTCTGCACCCCCTGTTGACGAACCCCGATTGGACCCTTCGCTTCCCGTCCCCCGCCCACCCCCACTCTGTAGTAATCGTGTTTATGTCGCACGACAGATGCTGTCTGTACTTCGTTCCTGCCTAACAATGTTTGAGTTGCGCTCACAACAAAACAATTATCTGCTGGAAAACTAAAAAAGTCTCAAAACACGATACTACAGAGTGGCCCACCCGTTCCTTTCTAGTGATTATTGATTCAAACGACTGAGTACCATCATTTGTGATGATGCATCCATTTTGAAATTGTGTCACCATGGACATCGAAGGTGCTGCCAGCAACGGAAGGCGACGAAGAAGAGCGAGAGCAAACGATACACCCAGCGGTATCCAGTGTAGTCCTGTTCCAAATGGGGACTACTTTGACGATTCTGATGAAGAGAAGGACAAAACATACGATGGTGCATGCGCCATGGGCCAGTTCTTTCTGAATCCTTGCTTGTGTATCTTTATGAGTGTCCGCTATCTACGCCGTCGTTGTTCCCACCGGAAAAATCAGTCATCGCATCAGGCCATATCGAAAGAAGTTGAAATCTGGGATGTCTTATACATCATTGTTGGAACAATTTTGGTATATTTCTGTCTACTTTTCTTTGCAAGACGACGACGACATGGTGGTTCAAGTATACGTCCAGCAACAGATTCCGACCTCGGTCGCATGAATATCCGAATTCCAAATCTAGATATAGGAGCCTCAAAGATAGACGTTGGTGGGTGGTTGTTTTTTCGGCAATTTGCGATGCCTAGCACGCCAATTGACCCAACGCAACCAAATCGACTGTTCGATTTTGAAGGCAAATTTGGCGATGCACGAAAAATCCTGTCATCAGATGAAAAAGCTGCAAAGAAGAATTGGAATGAAAAAATTCTGAGCAAGAAATCGCTGCGGAAATACTACGAATTCAGTGCGGATTTGGAAGATCAGGAGAATGAATGCAGAAGACCAAACTGGACACATCTCTACAAACCAAATTGCAACAGCATGCACGAGATTGATATCTTGGCCGACTTTCCATCAGGTAGAACAAGACTGAAAGATTTTCAAGATCTTGATTCGTTCTACATCAGTCATGGCTACTTTCGTGATGTTTGGGTTGTGGATAGCCAAGATCGAGGTGAGAAGACCATCTTGAAAGTCTCTCGATGGCGACACGACTATGGGGTCGATTTGCTCCACGAGATCATGCGTGACGCTTTGATCATGGAAAGAATGTCAATGTCACCGAGAATAGTTGACATGTATGGTCATTGTGGTAGCGCCGTTCAAGTAGAGGCAATTCCTTACGAGATCGAAGAGGTTATAGTACCAGGAGATGGCTACGCCAAAGCGGGAGACTTGCGTGACGAGTTAGATGTTAGACCCCAGAATCAATATACCGCAACCGAGAAATTGGAAATGGCACTGGAAATGGCAGAGTCTCTGGCCGATTTGCACGGCTTTGCAGATGGTATTATGTAAGTTTGTGATGCGTCCAAGAGCGAGCATAACCACAACTTTGGTCATCAACTAATATATTTGTGCCTTTCGTGAAGTGTTCATGACGATGTTCAGCTTTGTCAGTGGCTACGAACGAAAGACGGCTTTTTGAAGCTTGGAGATTTCAACCGTGCGGAAGTAATGAACTTCAACTCGACCAGCGGCGAGTACTGCAAGTACCAGAACGGTCCAGGTTTCGGAAATGTAAGAAAACTTTCGACGGGGCTGTAGGACTTTTTCGCTTTCTTCATGTTGATATGCTCATATTTTGACTCTTGCTTAGTATCGGTCACCTGAAGAGTTCGCCGATATGCCACTGAATGAGAAAATTGACATTTGGAGTTTTGGTAAGTGGCATCTTGTGTATTGATTCCCCCTTCCATGGCTGGGACTCTAATCTGTCTGAACCGGTACAATCCACAACCAAAGGAAACAACATTTACGCTTTGGTGAGTAAGAGCATTTGGTGATTGATGATTTGTCTGAAAATTGAACGGGCCCTGATCCATTCCCTCAATATTGTAGCTGACTGGGCTTTGGGTGTTCTATGAAAATGAGGATGACGAAGTCGTTCACAAGCAGCTCATTGATGGAAAAACTTCGTTCATTGACCCACGGTACAAGAGGCGATCGTACCCAGAATCGCAATTGGTGAAGCTTTTAGAACAGTGTTGGCAGTATAATCCAGATGACCGGCCAAGTATTTTTGAATTGATTGATCAGCTGCGCAACGCTGTGTCAGAAAATATTCGGTTGAAAGGCCCGGGAATGGACGAGGCCCCACCATTGGACACCGATTAGTACCGCAGCGAAGAAGAGTAATGAATAAAATTCAAAGTAGGATTTTGCCAAAGTAGTGGTCAAACTAGTCATGCGCGCCGAAAAAATTTCCCGCTGAAAGTTTGCCCGTACCGGTACGTTTGCCCGCACCAAATGAAACAACCAAAGCTGTCAATGCATCAAAGTCTGCTGGTAAAGTGAATAGCAGCAGTTGCCTCCGCTCCCTTGAAGATGGGATCTCTCCTCGATCAACAGTATGAGATCTATGGTCAAGGTGGAGGGCCACCATTGCTCCTAGACGCAGACTTTAAGCCACAGCACCCTCGGAAAAGACGGAAGCTATCAAAGGAACCGTACAATGCCTTAGAGCAGTTACTGGGAATTGCTTCGCAAAACAAGGGGAAAGCGGCTTCACCATCTAGGCTTCCTGGAGGCTTTCCTCCAGAGTGCTCGTTTCGGGCACTTGCTGTCTACTCGTTTCTAAGAACGTTAAGCGTTCAGCTTCGGCTGTCACCATTTACACCGAATGTCTTCCTACGTGCGCTCTACCTTCCTTATCCCAACAAGCTACTCGGGGAAGTTCATGTCAGCTTGTTGCGTTCACTTTTACTGAACTTAAATTTGGGGTACGGTTTCAAGCAAAAAGGCGCTGCAACGCACTACCACAAGAGACGTCTGATTGACAATCTTCGGATGCCGCTCCGCGGTGGCGATAATCTAACATATCTTGACGGCTTGTCCTGGCCATTGTTCTTTGATGATTATAGTCACTTGACTGCTGATCGACTTTGGAGATCAGTGGTGGACACCAAAAGTTACGCTGATATCAGGCCAACAGAATCGGACACACTTGGATACCCGGACTACGAAGACGAGCAATTCGCCAAAGTGAAGGAGACCACCATTTTGCATTCGAAAACATACACACTCCCTGCTTCTAGTTATTCTCCTTCAACAGCAAGTGGTTCAATGGCATCCGGGGCTTCGAAAATGAGCGTACAATCCAAAGCCTTGGAAAGTGCAAAGTCGAAGGTCCACGATGCAGGGCAGCAGTCGTCGAGCTCACGAGAACCTGTGAAGGCGACCATAGATAGTGGAAGTGATCAAAAGGAAGCCATGAGTCCTTCTACCCAGCAGTCAAGAGGGCGACGCTCGTTGCCAATACACAAAAGATCGGGTCCAAGTTCAAGCGAAGCTGGCGGGCCCTACAAAACCCAAGCTCTACAGCAAAGCAACTATACATATAAAGCGGAACACGCCGTTCATGCTGGAACTCAATTGCCTACAAGTTTTGGCTATAAATATCCTGGAGTGCACCCACCTCATGCGCAATCTACAGAGACTTCATATGTCCCAGAACGACCTTTGAATGTGGAAGATAATGTTGCTGATGCATTGAGAAGCTTTGTGTCCAAGATTCCATCACGTAGCGAAAATTCTATTGACCAAGAAGACATGAACGTCTCGTTGCTTCAATTTGGCAATGATGACGAACTTCCGAGCGGTGATCGTCACTTCGTCCACTTCGAGCCTATGAAAGCGATGCGTTCCGGAATTCCATACCACCGGCTTCGACTAAGCCAGAAACTTGATATTCTTGAATTCCTGATGGACGAATTGTTAGAGGTAGCAGTGGTAGCAGCGGAGTTTTCCATGCGCCATGGAAGCCTTTACGTCTATCCGTACTCGTACGCTGCTTGGCCGAAGAAAAGTGAGTTCGAATCTCTCAACAATGAAGACCAGTGTGGAGTCTGCGGGCTGGAGGGAGATTTGCTCTGTTGTGATGGTTGTTCAAGAAGCTATCACAAAGAGTGTATTGGCATGAAACCGACAGAAGAACTACCAGAGGGAGAGTGGCTTTGTCCCGAATGCCAAGTTGCCGATCCTTCTAAATTTGGTCCTCTCTATGGAGGACAGAAAGCATCCGTTGACTGGGTCCGAGTCAGGGACGTATCGAGTAGAATACAGGCCGACGCTTTGAATCAAAGTCATGATCAGCCTTTGCCTTCGAATGGAGAAACGATCCCAAGTATTACGCAGCTGGATGTAAACACAATTCAACAGTCTACGCTCATCGGTAATTCAAATCAGTCGCTTCCGGCTGGGCCAAGCGTTGCCTTATCAAATATTGCAGTGCAACCCGACACAAAAAATCACTTCACTGCCGCTTTTGGGCAAACACTTCCACAACAAATGAGTGCGAATGCCCTTGTTGGGCCGAATCAGCAAACGTTGCCGCACACTAGCATGGGTGTTCCAAATGAATTGACCGCTGTTCCAACTTCAGCATCGACTCAAATCACACAAAACATGCAACCGAATAGTGCAGTATTTGATCAGTTCAGGTTTCTGATAGTCCATGGCTTTGTTTTTCAGCGCAAAGACTCAGATGTGCCTGGCACTGCTCCATATACAGCGCTCTTGGAAGCTGAGGTGAACGACTGCATGAGTCGTTTTCAGTTGCCGATTGCCCAAGAGTGGCCTTTTCGGCAAATTCCAACTGCTGAGAATACTGGAAGCATGCATTTTCCTTCTTTCCATAACTATTTCCTTTCGTCGGAGTCATTCAATCCATCCAAATATGTTAACAAATACACTCGAGCACTTGTGCCATTCTCCTTCAAGGCCAGCGTTGGAATTCAGGATTTTCCATTGCTATCAAAAACCTTTGAAAGTGAATGCAACTCAAGCACGGCACGGATGCTTACAGAAGTAATGCAGCGGGATATGTCTCTCGACAGCCACGTTGCAACATGCCTTCGTAGACAAACTAAACTCTTCAATCCATATGAGCTTGTTGCTGGCTACATGCTGAAGCTTGATGCGTCACTGCGGAAGGCATGCCTTATGGACAGTTCTTGGGAGTCGGGAAAGATCAGAGCAGTCCACGAAGTTTGGTCCGAGAATGTCAAGAAATCAAAGTCATTGTATAGGCTCGCCAATTTACTGGTGAAACTGGTTGACCACATTCATCCCCGAGCTTTCTTGGAAGGCTGGAATCATAACTCGCTTCTCAAGAAACAAGAATCGGAGCACATGTCTGAGCGGAATTACGAAACGCTACCAGCTGAGTGGGATAAAAAGAAAGAATGCAGAAAGCGCCGTTGGGAAACAACCCCTTCAAATCTGTTGATGACTCTGTGTTCGCGAGAAAAAGTCAAGCTTTCCTCGTTTGTCAAAGGCATCAATCCAGCTAGCATTCAGATTACTGCTGTAAGAAGTCACCGAAAGAAGGCTAGAACGTCTGCTGACAAACATGCTGCCAAGATGATAGAAGAACATCTAGTGCGGATGGCCAAGGCGGTTGACACTAGTGGCGCTGCTATGCACGTGGACAGGAAATCACCCGAAGCACTGCCTAGTTATGTCGACACGAGCGACATTATCCCACCACAGAAGCCATATCCAGCATACTTTCAGTTTGCAAATCGGCGCCGATTGGAGATGAAGGAAAAATACCCAGGTATCAGCAGTGTTGAGATTTCGAAAATGCTATCTGACATTTGGAAAAATGAATCGGACGAATTCCGAGAAAAATTTTCTATAGAAGAAATGAAGCAAAGAAAAGAATACAAGATTGCAATGGAAGAATATCACAAAAAGGTGAAAGAAAGGGTTGCAGCTGTACAATCGGGGGCTGGGGAGAAAGAAGACGCCGCCGATGCAGACGAGAAGTCAAATGACGCTGATGATACAGCAACGAAGCAGTCGAACCCCAAGAGTCCTGCGTTAGATAAAAACACTTCACGTCGATCAAGGAGGTCTGGCAGAATTGCAAGGACTTCCGATCACAACGAGCCTGCAGCAGCCCCATTTACATCTATCGCCTCTGGTCAGGCACCTTCGAATACCTTCAGTTCAAAATCGGTCTTCGAAAGCAAGAGGAAACACATGATTGCTGTTGAAAAGCTGCTCAAGAGCGCGACGCAAAAAGAGACCTTCTGGCCTATCGCAGGAAGGATTCCTTTTTCGACTGTTGGAGATTTGCCACCAAAAGTAATGCAGAGGTTAGGTCGTAACGGTGGAGCGGCAATAGCACCACACGTAGCTTACAACACGGCTCACGAGGTTGGTCAAATCTGCAATTCACACATTTGGAGGAAGAAGACTGGTGCTTGTAGGACCTTTGAAGATCTTATCTACCAAGCTCGGAGACTAGAATCGTTTTTGGATCGACAGGTGAGCCTTGATTGCTATTGTATTCTTCTTCTATTGCGTATACTAATTGTGTGTAGGCAATGCATTCTTTCGAGGGTACGGTGAGGCGAGGCAAGTCACAGTTCCTGAAAGAGGTGCGGTGTTCACAAGTTGATCCGGGAACGGGTTTGCTTCATCACTTCATCGTCAACAAAAAGAGCGGCAGAGGGTGTTGGATGTCTGAAGATATGATGGATGTGGCGTCGTCAACCCTCGAACAGTTGAGGCGCAAAACTAGACAAGTCGAACTTCGCCGCGAACGTGCAAGAGTCGCACAAATGGCGAAGAAAGCGAAAATACTAGCAAATAAAGCACTCGCAGGACAAACGAAAGTATCCAGCACGCCGGTCCAGGAAGCTTTCCCCAGAGGTGCCCATGACCTGGCCTCACTTGCAACATCACGACAGATTAATGTGCCTAGTCGTACTACAGCAAACGTAGGGACCGCAAACTATGAGGTTGCTGCCAGGCATGGGCAAGGCAACCGTCCCCAACCGCAGAATGGCCTTGCTGGAATCCAAATGCAGCTGCAATTGTCTTTAAAACGGCATGAAATGGATGCCCGGCAACTATTTCAAACCTTTTCAATGGTCGGTATGAGACCAACAGGAGAAAGGGGTCTAGCTCTGAGGCAAAAGAACTTTCCAACAGTGAAAGCTTCCGCTACACAGCTGCAAAAATATCAGCCTGATTTTCTTTGTGGGGATGCACATGTCATCGGGATGATGAAACACGTCGAGAAAATTGCTATTGGAGTGACGCTAGATTCGTTTCCAAAAGGTAACCAGGTTCAGAATAGCGGTGCGAATGATCAACAGGGGCAGGCAATCGGTGTACATGGGACCAATGCAACAGGATTGTACAATCTCCCTCGGGAAGGATCCAAAGGTCTTCAATTATTCAACTCGTCTCAATCGAATCCAATGGATGAGTTTGACCCGACACCAATTACAAATGCCCAACTGAATGGACGTGGTAAGTATAGAGTTCGCTGGCTGACGTGCTTTCCCAGGTGCCATTCTCAAGCCCTTCGCTTTCAACAGGAGGAAAAGTATCGTCACTTACGGGGAATTTACAAAGTTCGTGCAACAGACAGCAGAATCCTGTACCAATTAGGCAAGGTGCTAGTACGGGAATGGTTGCTCGCCAGATAACCCCGAATATTTCAATGAAACTGGGTTCGCATGGAGCACCAGCGAATAGTCCACCGAACTCAACTGGTCACGATCAACGGGGACTCGCACCAATCACCTCGCGAGTCTCGGCGGTTGGACAGAATCAGGGGTGGAATGGAATGGGGAACTTCAAACACACTCCGCAGGCCACTGGTATATCTCAAGCACTTCTTCAACAAAGCCTTCAACAAAATGTTGGACCTAATTCCCAGAGTCATGTTCCACAGCAATTTTCACACCAGATGCTGCAGCAGGCAGTCAATTATCAGAAACAAAATTTGATGGGTCAGCAGCAAAACACACAAGCTCCAGGGCAAGCGAACCTGGCACAGCATATCGCCAATCAGCGGGCGCAAAGTTATCAGAAACAGAATCTAATGGGTCAGCAGCAAAACGCACGAGCTGCAGGGCCAGCGAATCTGGCACAGCATATCGCCAACCAGCGGGCGCAAAGTTATCAGAAACAGAATCTAATGGGTCAGCAGCAAAACGCGCAAGCCCCAGGGCCAGCGAACCTGGCACAGCATATCGCCAACCAGCGGGCGCAAAGTTATCAGAAACATAATCTAATGGGTCAGCAGCGAAACGCACAAGCTCCAGGGCAAGCGAACCTGGCACAGCATATCGCCAACCAGCGGGCGCAAAGCTATCAGAAACATAATCTAATGGGTCAGCAGCAAAACACACAAGCTCAAGAGCAAGCGAACCTGGCACAGCACATCGCCAACCAGCGGGCGCAAAATTATCAGAAACAGAATCTAATGGGTCAGCAGCAAAACGCACAAGCTCCAGGGCAAGCGAACCTGGCACAACATATCGCCAACCAGCGGGCGCAAAATTATCAGAGGCAAATCTTAATTGGTCAACAACAAAGCGCACAAGCACCAGGGCAAGGGAATCTGACACATGACATTGCATCCCAGCGGGCGCAAAATTATCAGAACCAAGTTCTAATGGGTCGGCAACAAGGCGTACAAGCTCCAGGGCAAGTGAATCTGACACAGAACATCGAATCCCAGCGGGCGCAATATAATCAAAGCCTTGGGACAGATCCACAACCCCACTCTCACCAAGGAAGGAGCGCTTTGAGTCAACAACAGATGCAGCAATTACAGCAGATGCAACAAATGCGACAGCAACTAAAGGGGTGGCCACAGCAAGGGAACTTCTTTCCTCCATCGAACGGTATGCAATGAAATAACTAGGGGTGATATAGTTTTCATAGATACATGTGTGCTGTATTTGACTTTATCTTTTATAAGAATTCTTTCGTCAATACCTTGTTAGAGGAGCTACATTCGATTGCTTCTACCAAGTTGTCGTCAACTCGTTGCTATTCTTGTAGGCAGATAAAGCAGCCAGTATTTGATTGGTTTTTGTGTCAGTGCTTTCCCATTGCGATACAGATCGAGAAGTCAGAAACGCTCTCCGTCGACTCGCAAGCTTCGCTCCAACTTTGGAGATTGATGCTTGGTCACGAGGGTCAATGAGAATTGGCTCGCGGAGTTCAGGAGGAATCAAATCGACTCGAAGATTGCGTCTCGTTGCGTCCTCTGATACAAGGTTGGCAAACCATGGATGCTGTACAACGTCCCTCGCGCTCAGTCTCTTTGATGGATTCAGCAAAACCAAGCTTTTGAGTAGAATGTGAAGATCGTTGTCTTCTGTCACTCGTGGGAATTTTGATTCCCACTGCTTCGGTTCCTTTGACTTGAATGCCAGCTTTCCAAAGTCCGGAAGAGACTCACAAGAAGGCCAGCTGTCTTTGGTAGGTGTTCCTAGAAAATCAAATATGACAGAGAGCTGATCAATGGTATTTTGGCCCCGAAATATCGCCCCTCCTGTCACCATCTCAGCAACTACTACCCCGGCACTGTACATGTCAACCCCAGCATGATTTGCACTCCCTCCGAGCAGCAGCTCTGGCGGTCTGTAATACAGTGTACACAGCCCTTTGGTCCCTGTTTGCCCCTCAGTCGGTTCTATAGGAGGCTGGTTATCATCGGTCGCCACCTGCTTTGCAATTCCAAAATCACATAGCTTCACCACGCCATTGGAACATACCAAAAGATTCCCAGGCTTCAAATCGCGATGCAAAATTCCCGACTGGTGACAGTGTTGCAATGCCGAGAAGATATCTTTGGCAATCAGCTTGACAATGGCCAAAGGAAGGAGTGGAAGGAAGGATCGCCGTCTCCATTCCAGTGATGTATGCAAGTCACAAGGATAGTATGGAAATGCCAATGACAAACTTTTCTTGCCATGCTTGGCAGCATCCGAATATAATGCAAGCAAACTAACAATGTTCTCATGTCGCGGCAAGCGTCTGAGAGCAGATACTTCGTTCACGACATTCTCGGAAAGCTGCAATTGGCCCTCAGCGGATGGCACTAGAGCCGCTCTAAGTGTCTTGATGGCAACGAAACGAAACTGGTCTTCGTCTCCTCGAAAGATTGCAAGGGAAAGCTCTCCAAATGCACCTCGGGCAAAGGTTGGATTGCCATCTTGTTTGGTTTCGAAGATGGCCTCTTTGCCAAATGGTGATATTTTGTACTCCTCTGTGGATCGTTGTCGCTTCATGTTCGTTTTGTGGAGTGTGCTGTTTTGTGGTGCAAGATGCGAAATTGAGTGATATTTCCAAAATGGCTGGCGGTATGCAACACTGAAATCCTGAGAGTCAATGTATGTAAATTTAAAAGAAAAATTTGAGGATTACAGAAGTGATGGTTATACTATTGGATTGTAATGATGCCTGTTATCATCGTCTACATCACGAATTCCAAATATCCTACAATACATGAGAAAGTGAGGCAAGTTTTATTTTTCTTTCTTAGAATTTAAGCTTCAAGGACATTCTCTGTTTGCAATCCCTTGAATGAAGAAACCTCTACAAGTTGTGCAAGAGTGTATAGACTTTCATCGGCATCTTCATCTTCGTTGCGCTTTCGGGAGAGACGAACACGGATTCTGGTGGGTGGGTTCTTCATACCAGTGGCCCAGACCTTCTTGTTCAAGTTTGAGTCAACTCGTACATCGCTGGTTCCCATAGCCTTTTGTGCAAACTTCTTGATTTCCTTGATGGCTCGTGGGGCGCGTCTCTTGAATTGTTGTCCCTTGATACGCTTCGAGAGTTGGATAGTGTAATCCCGAGTCACCAAATCAGTCTTGACCATCTTTGAAATAATATAAAAGAGCTGTATGACAAGAAAGAATGCAAACGAAGAATCAGTATTGATCAATGCTCAATGCAGCGTATTGTATCTCCAAATGTAAGTGTGCGTTTTCTAGGAATGACAGAATTAATAAACGAATTGGCATTCATCGATATTGCCCAAAGTTAAAACGCCACCCAGACTTCCAAAACCTCCATCATTGACCTTCACTGAAAACATGACTACATAAATGTGATCCTGCAATCGTTTGTGCAGCTTCCAATCCTCCCATTGTCCACCATTGTCACGCATGGGTCTCGCTCACCTTGAAGGGGGTTGTTTCAGTTGTTACGTAATTTCGAAGCCTCGAAATAAAGCGCTTTTCTAGTTTCTTTTTCAATCTAGTAAGAGGTAAAGCAAAGAGGGGAAGGAAAGAGACCCCTCGAAAATAGCATCCCTCCAGTATTTTTAGACTAAAATAGAACAACCAGTATTGTCGAACGTCTGGCGAAATGTCGCATTCTTTCAAAAGGCGCCTTATGACTTTTTTGAATTTAATAGCCAAAGTCACCAAGAAAATTTAGCAACTTTGGACAGGCCAGCTTGCTTGAACGTTATTATCGAGGATTCATTCCGCGCTATATCGGCGGTGCCAAGCGCAGGGCAACTCGTGCTTTGAAAACAGAAAGTTGATGTTGCTTGACGTAGCGAGCCGAATTCAAACGATTGAGACCTTTCAGAACACCCTAAAGCAACTACAGCAGCAACCTTATCCTCTCTCTACTCAAGTACCTTTTAGCATTTACTTGCACGAGAGCCAGTTGCAACCATCGGCTTTATCTGAAACGGTTATCTCAAATTGTGATTGAAACTTGCTTTTTGCAAAACGCGCATTTTTTCCTTTGCTTGATCGTAACCTTCCGTATTCTTTGAGTAAACAGAAGTCGCTACTGTACTCTAGAATCAAGAAAGCATCTTGTGCTCCAAGTCAATCATTACATCAGCATCAGCAGCAACATCAACATGACGAGTCCTTTCAAACCAAACCCTCAATATTCCTACAATGGATCAGATGCAGATGTTTCCATGGACACATCCGACAATACTGCAGAAACTGTGTTATCATCGCCTCCTCGAGCCCCAAGATCTATTCTTCGCAACAATGGAGGATCACTGCCACACCGCTTGTTTGCGGATGACGTTGATGAAGAAGAAGAAGAAGAAGAAGACGAGAAACCTGTTCCCAGATCTCCTGTCCTCAAACCATTGGATTTGAATTTGGATTTAGGCGACGTATTCGAAGAGTCTGCCAAGAACGGAAAATCAAAACAGCGCAAGAGAGTTGCTGAGCACACTGTATATGGACGAGACTTGAGCTTTGATGATGTAGTAGATAGTCCTGTGAACATGAACGATGATGATTCACCACATATTTCGCCATCGTGTTACAAGTCACCTGCGAATGTAAGAAGTGCCATGCACAAGTCGCCCTCGTCCTTTCGAACCTTGGATGGTAGGATGGTCACATCCAAGAATCCATTTTCCCCCATGTTGACAGAAGACCACCCAGTCCAAAAAGTTCCTCTGATTGGAGGCAACCTATCCTTTCCTGTGTCTTTGGATGATGCTGGTTCCAAGAAACTAGCCCCGAGCTCAAGTGATCTACCAGTATTAAGTCAGCGTTTGCAAAAACGCGAGCCACTTCCAGATTTTCTTCGAGATGGATACCCTGCCAAGTCGGGTGAGTTCCGAGGCTTTTCCGGATCTCCAATCAGAGAGGTATCAGAACTGGCAGACTACAGCAACATCAGCTATGGCTATAACACCCACAAAGTCCGCAGAATAAACCTAAATGATGATGTCGTTGCTGCCAAAACTGAAGAAGTCGCATCATGGAAAAAGAAACTCTACGTAAAAACAGCCTCACAAGAAGACAGCATTCACGACAATATCAGTCCAACCGATGTGCTGAGCTTTCCAATGCAAAGTCCTATACCTCCGACTCCAACCAAACCACGACAAAACAGACGACCTCATGTCAAACGATACACTCCTATTAGAAAACAGACACTGCCAAACACGCCAATGCCACAACGACGAACGAACAAAGCCAGGTCGTCTCTCGACTCGACTGATTCTAATTCGGAAGGATCTCCTGAACAATCGTCCCGATTTCACTCCGACTTTGATGTTATCGGAGAACTCGGTACTGGAAGTTTCGGAAGTGTCCTTAAGGTTCTTTCTCGATTGGATGGTTGCATGTATGCCATCAAGGTGGCGCATCGAGCCGCCAAGGGAAATTCGGACCGCGATCGCATGCTAAAAGAGGTGCGTTGGTGGATTACGATTGTCGTGTTGTTGCTTGTATGTGCCAAGTACTTGTTCCTCAACTCGTTTGTTTTTGTTTCTGTTTCCTTTGTCTCTAGGTCTATGCCTTGGCAGCTCTCTCTGATCAAGGAGACCCCGCCACATTCCACATTGTTCGCTATCATCAAGCGTGGATGGAAGAAAGTCGGCTATATATTCAGACTGAACTATGTACCACTACACTTGCGGCAGAAATGAAGCAAGAGAAACTTACCACACAACGAAAATACAAGTTCTTGCGCGAAATCGCTGTGGCACTAGAATTCATTCACAAGAATGGAATGGTACACTTGGATATCAAGCCCGAGAATATATTTGTTAAGAACGATCAGTTCAAATTGGGGGATTTTGGGTTGGTGAGCAAGGTGTCAAATCATAAGGATGTGGAAGAGGGAGATTCAAGATACATGTCCAAGGAATTGTTGTCGGGGGAGCACGCAGATTTGACGAAAAGTGATATATTCTCCTTGGGAATTACGTTATACGAAATATGCCTTGGCGGAGATAAAGACCTACCACACAATGGTCCCGAGTGGCAAGATTTGCGTGCTGGTAATCTTCCCATAATTGCGAACACTCCTCTCGAAATGTACAATTTCATGAAGATCATGATGAATCCGTCCTATGCGGCAAGACCATCGGCGAGCGATCTACTGAAACGTCCTCAACTGTTCAGTCCGGAGCAATTAGCTCTCCTTATCGAAAAGAACAAAGTCAAACAAGCAAATCTAGCGCTAGCAGAGCAAACGGATCGCCTTCGCAAGCTTGCCCCTCCCGCTCCCAGCATGCCCAGGAAAGGTGCACTAATGCGCCGCAGTACTTGGAGTGGTGGAAGTTAAGGGAGCGAAATTTTGAAAGCTGCTGATTGATTGATTCTTCTTCAGTGAATCATCAATCGATTTCATTTGTACAATTACACACTATCGATCGGCAACAACAATGACAATGATATAAAAACACAACCCTACACGCGCATAAAGATAAAGCAAATACATTCATCATTACGGCATGTCTTCTGGTAGACAGTTCTGTAGCACGACAGCCTTCATGACAGCGTACGGCGCTGTTCTCTTGGTCCATGCTTCAAATTGCCCAACTCCTTGTTCCCACAGCATTTCGGAACCTCGCACAGTCTCCAATCCTGCTCCTTCGGCTTGTTCCAAAAGTTTGGTGTGATATGGCTTGTAGTTGACATCAAAGATGACTGGTTTGACGTCCTCCTTGGCTATCAGCCAGTCTGGGAGAACGAACTCAGCTCCAGCAGGGAGGGTACTAATGATCACCTTTAGTGATGTATCTCCAGAGAGTACATCGCCCAAACAAATCTCGTCGGCATTCTCACTCTCCATATCCAAGCTTGTAATGACACTTCCGCCAAAGGATTCGACAAGTTGTTCTGCTTTGGACGGAGTTCGATTGTAGTAGACCCTCTTCAAACCGAGTTCAGAAGCAGCAAATGCTGCAGCTCTAGCTGTACCCCCGCCACCCAAGATGAGTGCAATTCCTTTGGAGTCCTCTCCTTGTACACCAACCCGTCTCTCGAGTGGATTGAAAATACCCTTCCAGTCAGTATTGTCGCCGTAAATGACCCGCTTGAAATCGTCATTTTCGTATTCGTTTTCGACAATCAGAGTATTCACACTGCCAATGGTTGTTGCTGCCTCGCTCATAACATCCACATACGGCATGATTGACTGTTTGTGTGGGATGGTCACACTGCAACCACCCAAGCTAGGATCCTTGAAGAAATCAGATTCAACAAATTCCTCCACGGTCTCAACATCGGCACGACCGTATGCATGAGGAAGCACGGTCGCTCTAAATGCAGACCCTTGCATTTGTGGACTGACAGAGTAGGCAATGTTGTGACCAAGAATTGCGTACCTCTTTGGCTCAACGATTTTCATGAGCAACCGAGTGGCCATTATTTCTTTGGCAGTCAATTGACCAGGTGCAGCCTTGACTGGTAAGGACTCGTGCGTTACGGGTGTAAAAGGTAGGTTCACGATTCGAGAGAATTGACCAATATCTCCAAGAATGAGCGAGATATTTGGGATTACTGGTTTGCCTTCTTTGGCAGCAAGACTGGCTGCAATGATTGCGGCTTCATGTGCCATTCGATCTTTTTCTTCCGATTCAATGGATAGAACCACTTTTGCTCCATGTGCTCGGCCGTCAAGTGCGCACTGCTGAAAGAGCTCTACGGCCTCTTCGCGAGATATCTCCTGCCCGACAACATGATGACTTCCAAGCACTTGACTTGCATACCGTTCTTTGGCTCCATCAAGGAGGTCCTCAGTCTTCTTTTTGTCCCAAGTACTTTCAACGTCCAATACTTCCACGCCGCCACGTAGTCCCCATCCTAACATGTCAAACATTTTCGAGATACCAGCTTCATCGTCAGGATATGTTCCAGCTTGGTTTTGAGTACGCACAGTGTAACATATTGGCATGACATCTTCCAATACGTCTCCGACGAACGGCAGAGCGGGCACTCGAAGCACATACGGCCGACAATACCGTCTCAAAAGCTGCATTCCGTAGATCAAGTCAAATCTGCTGTCTCTGCAGTCCAACAGATCTGTGCGGTATTCCATAGCATCAACATCCAGACACATCTCTTCTACATACGGCTCCACTTGAGATATTTCTGGGAAACTCAATGACAGGAAGAAGGTGTTCTCTCCCATTGTCAAGTGTGCAGTGTTGGTAGAAGGTGCCTTCTCTCCAGGTACTGCTGGTGCCAAACGAGCGCGGGCAACTAGTCGGGTCAGTTCCCACTTGATGTGATCCCAGTTTGCACTTTCTCCTTCGGTCCCTTCTCCCTTAATGCATAATTCATAATCAGAATACTTCATGAACACGCTCTCGTCGAATTCAGATTTCGTCTTTGCACTATCAGCTGACATTTTTCCTTCCTCGGCGTCTACATTCACATAGATCGACAACATGTCATTATCTTCGTACAGGCTTCGCGTGACTTCGGCAAGATCCAGATCATCGGATGTTTCGGCGCCGAAATCGACAACTATAACACTGGGTGAAGCGAACGAAGAGATGTCTGCTAAAACTAAATCTGTTGTAGGCTTGATGATATTCATAGGTACTTGTGGGAAATTTTCTTCTAGAAAACTCTCGGCTAACCTTTTCAATTCATTTCCTTCACCCGAACATCCGACGAGTACGATTGGTTTGTCGTAGTTGTGGAAAATGTTTCTCTGGGAACCATCAGATATCATATTGAGAGCGTTAGGTCGTCGGTGGTTGAACCCATTGGGCACAAAGCCAAGGATCGCAGGCACGAGTGCAAAGATTAGTGTGATCCCGATCATCTTGGATCTTGTGGCTTGATTGATCGATTGGATGTAAACTGCGAAGCCATTCGTTTCAGTCGTTCTTACGTCACAAATTTTTAAAACGCGACTCGCGAAGTTGCGGGACTCCTGCAAAGCAAACATAAATGACAAACAACCGATGAGTCTCAATTAAATACAGTACTGTACAAATTTCGGGAAGCAGTGTACTAGGATTGATGATGGCATAACTCGAAATTTATTTTTGGACACTTCGCTCCAGTATTTGCAGCAAGACTTTATTTGGAACATCAAAGGATTTCCATAGGGCTTGATTGCTTTGAATGTGAGATAGCGACATATCAGGAACAGAGAATCCATCTAGGTTCGCATCGTTCACTGCCAGTTGAGGAATTGATTCTGGCGATATTGACTTCACCATCTGCACTAACTTCACGACGGCTTCGTCATCGTGATCTTGTTCGTCGACAAGCTCACAAATTCCAGGCAACAAGCTGGCAAAGAATGACAGGACATGGATATGAGGGAAAATAGTAGGAATCAATGACGAGGACAGAGCGATTGGTATGGATCGATCATCTTGACCAAGACCGTACGATAGTAGCATTCCGGATTGATACAATAATTCTTGTGCTGTGGCATGATCACGGTCCTTATCCGGATTTCCGAGCACTTCGACAAGATTCCGTACCGCTTCCAACAATATCGGATGAGAACTTTTTCGGTAGCATGCATCCAGTACTATTGCCAGAGTTGCAAATAGGACGTGAGATAGTTCTGCCGATGCTAAGTACGATGGTTCCAAAGAAATGATATTTGTGTTGGTTTGTGGCGTGCCCAAAGCAGACGGAAAGGGAACCAAGGCCTCATCAACACTATCAAGAAACAGAGAATGTGAAGAGCTTGCCGCCAGCATTGCAGCAGATGTAGACGGGACCAGCATTAGATGCTCGATTTCTTTTTGATGTGGAAGAACTTTTGACAAATCAATGGCAGCGCCTGAACCCACTGCAACGACACTTGAGGCCCCGGTCCGTCGAATCAGCTCTAATCTCTGCTCCAAATCATGTATCGTAGGAAATGCCGAAGATATCGAAGACTGCACGATTCTGAGCCCCATTTCTTGAGTGAGTACATAATTCACAGCTCGGCATGCATCTTCAACCGCCTTTAGAGTTTTCACCCCGTGATCCGCAGACTCACTCGCGATGACGAGTACTGGAGATTTTCGAAGCGTTGGTGTTTCTTCTCGGAGGAACCGACGAAACGCACTCAAACCTGAAGGCTTTAGAAGGTTCTTGGATGCCATCGTTGTTTTGGTTGTTTCGTTTTTGTTTTTTCAACATGACATGACATGACACCTGACAGACTGTTTGGTCGAATGACTCGACTGCACGTTTTAATCGCTGTTGATCATACAAGTATACATATCTGTTTACATTTCATTGTTCGTGTCTTCGTCGACATGCTTACACGGCCAACTCTCGGCTCGAACAAGTTGAGAGAGACAACTTCTTGTCGATCTCCTCCGAGCATTGGATCCAAGAGCATACTTGTAGCTTATCCAGAGGCCACACTGCAGGATTTCAATAAATAAAGGGACACGTTCAATTTCGTTTCGAGTGGTTCTTTGCGAAGAGAAAAAGTCCAAAAATTGGTGAAGAAATCGAGAAATGAATGAAAGCTTCCTGGGTTGTTTTTATTTGTAATGGGAGATTCGAGTGTGTATTCGGCTGTCAATGTGACTGAACTAGGAGAGTCAAAGATTGAAACTGATTTTTTATCAAGCAATCAGGTATCGCCGGAGATGTGGCAACAGACGGCCTCGCTGGGCTCACAGAGCTCTGACGATAAGAGGACAGACAGTACAACTTCTACAAGCAATCTGGAAGAAACTGAAAGGACACCCGCTCATCAGCAGTCAGATTCTTGTGAATCCACAAGGGTAGAAGAAAAAAGTCCTGATAGTGCCTTAAAAAGTGGGCCCGCAGAAGAGTCCTTGGCTAGTTCTGGCAACAGGGCTGCAGCCGTGACTGCCTTTAACAGTAGCATTGAAGAGGTGGAAACAACTCCCAGTCATCCGTCAGATGCCGATGAATCTGCACCCATAGAAACGTCATGTCGTAGAGATTCCTTGAAACTTGGCTCAACCGAAGAGGTCTTGGCCTCTGCCAATTCATTGCTCCAACACCATCGAATTGAACGGTTAAAACAACGATCAATAGAAATCGACATGCCATACGGTGATATGCCCACAGAAACAGAAATTCGTTCAATATACTCCGAAAGTAAAAAGGACACAACTCCAAAGTACGAGCAGATTTCCTTCGCAGCTAGTAATGAGGAACCCCTGCCTTTTTTTATCGATCAAGTCAATCAACGTGGTCAAAAAAACAGTCCAACGTTTCGAGGAGAAGTAGAAATCTCAACCGAAGAGCAAGATGCAAGCTTTAGCAATGACGAGAAGAATTTATCAAATTCTACTCGCAAGGGGGTTACACAAATCGAAGATTCTTCGATCAATGCCATCGAACCAAAAGTGATTAGGTCGCTAGTTGCCAAAGAAGATTCCAAGGAAATTCAGAACTCAAAATGGTATTCTATCTTTGGCGATCAAATGAATCCTAGGAGTTCAATGAATGGTGGAGATGATACAGCGAAACACGTTGATGTAGGATCATCAAGAACACAAATGCCCAATTCCATCGTCAAGGCCATCCATGACAAACCGGACGATAGTGTTCACACCCAGATGCCGGATTGGATAGAGAATCAAAGTTCGGGATGCAACGATGAAACTTCTGCTAGCACATATGCCCCTGGGCAATCAAGAACGGTGATAGTGCATGAGATCATGAGAGAAGGATGGACTTGGGGTAGTGCATGGTCACCAAGCGGAGATCGACTTGCCATAGCTACGGAGAACCACCATCTTGCCGTTATTGATACGCGCTCATCGCCGATTTGGAGAGTGAAACACGACAAGCGTATGAGTGGGTCCCTTAACAGGGGAACTGGTTCCATTCGATGTGTTGCTTGGGGTAGCAATTTCATTGCTATTGGAGGCACTGGTGATGCTGTTTCTATACTTGCACCTACCGAGCCATACCCAATCATTCACACACTTTCTGCCGGGACATATGTCGGTTCCTTAGATTGGAGATGTAACAGCAAAACGTTAATCACAGGGAATCGCGATGGTAAAGTTCATATTTTTGGAATTGGCTCCTCAGAAGACGACGATAGTGCTTCAGCAAGCACCGAATACAGCAGTGGAAGGAACGCGATACAGAGTAAAATTCTCAAGACAATTGATCTGAAACCAGCATGGGTGAATGCTGTAAAGTTCAGTCCAGACGGGTTATCATTTGCTGTTGGGGACGAAGACGGCATACTCGGCGTATACTCGTTCCTGGAACGGCAAGATGGAACACAGATTGAGATTTCTAATGTTGCAAATTTCAAAATGGAAGATTCTATCCTCGATATAGAGTGGTCGCCCAATGGAAAATGGCTCTACTCTGGAGGAGAAGATTTCGCAATCACTATAATAAGGACAGATGGTTGGGAAGCGATTCATAGAATAAAACGAGAGAAATGGGTACAATTCCTTACCTGTTCGAGCAGTGGTTCGCATTTGGCTGTTGGGGGTCTTTCTTCTGAGATATCGATTCTTGACGCGGAAGGCACATGGCAAACGGCAATCATTTTAGACCTCAAAGGAATGAATCCACTATCCGCAAAATGGCACCCAAAAGATCAATTCCTGGTGATTACTGGACAACACAGCAATGTTTTGGCTATAGAAACAACAAAATCACGTTACGTTCAGGGCCATTGCTTCCACTCCATATCACCAATTCTCGCTGTCGAGTTTTCGCCCGACGGCCGAATGGCAATCGTTGGTAACAAGGAGGGAGTCGTCACCATATTCAAGGTTGCTGGTTCCGCTTTCTCCGTTTGTTACGAAATGGTCCTCGATTGCCTTGGTACGCTTTCTATCAAATGGAGTCCTAACGGAGCATTCATTGTGATTGCTTCTGAGAGCAAGATTGTTGTGCTTTCGAGAAGAAATCATGATGAATCCATGTCGCTTGGTGCATCAGGTTTCGCTGTTGCAAAAATCATTCGCGGCATTGGGAATATTTGCGGCATTTCGGTTGACCCTACAAGTCAATTTATCGCTGTTTGCGGTTCATCCCCTTCGATCCTTGACGCCACAGCCGACTTTACAAAATCCTGCGGTATCAATTCTCTGAAGAACGACTCACTTCCGCTGCCCAGCTCGTCGAACTTTTCTAGCGTCCTCGAGATGGGAAGCTCAAGTCGATCGTTGTCGCTGGCTGCTTCGTGGTCACCAGATGGGAAATGGCTAGCCTTAGTTGGAAGGAACCAGAACTTGGCGTTCTTTGACACTTCATCTGATTCCCCCTCGAAATGGCGACGACTCTTTGAGGTAAAGACTAGCCAAGCAGGCCTTGCACTTGCATGGGGTCCGCCAACTGAAACGGGATTGCAATATTGCGCATATGCTGGAGAAGATAAAAAAGTATGCATTCTAGAAATCCGAGATACGGAGCGTAGTTGGGAGATGGTGCTTGAGGTCCCAAGGAATGGCGTAGTGTATGATCTTGATTGGGATAGTGATGGCTTGCTTGCTGCAGCCATAAGTGATGGAACTGTGACTATTATGGACTTGTCCTACCTAAGGTGTGGTCTTGCTGTGAATGAGATGGATTATAATTGGCAAAGGCAGGCTTTGACATGCTTCACTGAAATACAAAGAAACAAGGGGAAGAACTGCATGCAGACGCTGCGATGGGTCCCAAAAGCTCCCGGTTCGGATAGCTTGTTGGCAATCGGGGGAACAGATGGCGAAGTTGAAATTCTAGATCTCACTGCAGAGAGACACATCTAACTCTTAGATACGTCCTCTTCGGCAGCCAACAATAAAATCAACAATGTACAAATAAAAGGGCCAAATTTTGGCTGCAATAGAGATTCAGCAATTATTCGTCTTTCTCTTCAATTCCATCGTCGACTTTCTCGGCATTTTCCCCTGTTTCGTCTTCCGCGGATTCTGCTGCTTCATCTTCGTCGTCGGAAATATCGTGTTCGTACCAAACGCCGCCACCACCGTCAATAAGTTCAGCTTTATTGTTGTCATCTTTCGCGTAGATGCCGATACTGTGCATTGAATGACTTCCCTTTTTCAGAGCCTTCTTTGTTGCTCTTTCTTTCAGGCTCGATACATCAGTTGTTGATCCTTCGCCCACCTTAACAACAACAGCAGCTGCAGGCATCAACTTGTGTTCCTTCAGTGACTTTTGCATCGCTGCTTTGTCGGTTGACTTCAACACCAATCGCTTGGCAACACATGTGATTTGGAATTCCTGCGATTGATCAATCTCTAGGAGATCTGCGACTTTACTAATAGGGTCGTCTTCACTCAAATCCATTTCATGTACCTTCTTCTTGCCATCTAGTCGCACCTTCAATTTGCAAATGGTGGAATCAACCTCTTCTTCTTCCTCTTCCTCTTCAGCTTCTTGTTGTTCAGCAGCAGCTGCAAGCTCTGCTTGCACCTTTTCTCTATCGATTAGGTCCTTTTGCCTTCGTGCTGCGGCAACCATCTCGCGCTCGTTCTTTTGAATCCAATGATCAATAGCATCTCTTGCAATCATGAGTGGTGCCAAATTAACAATCTTCTTATCTTTGCCAATGATCAATCCAGAGCCGGATTTCCCAAAACCGACGCTTTTTAAAATCGAAAGGCAGATAGTGCTGCTTCCAATTTTTGAAGCAACGGCCTTGTTTTCCAAGTTCACGGAACGGTACTTCTTATCCAATGGGTGCAATACAATGTTATTGAATAGCGTACGCATGAGTCTTGCTGCTCCCTCAACGTCGCTGATTGAATCGCTCTCCACCAGCTCATTCAGTCGCGTGTTGATTCGTTCCGTCAAGCGCTCCCGAGCCGAGAAAGGAAACGATGCGGAACTTGCAGTCTTGATGAGTTTGGCCGTCAACTCTTCGTATTTCAAGGTTTGCTTATCTGTGACTGCTGGTTGGAAAGGTGCAGCATTGAATAGACCCATCATGAAATTCTTCATCATTTCTTCTGATTTTGGCATTCCTTCGAACATGTGGATAATCTTTCCGTCGCGAATTCCAAACACTGTTGGAAGTGCCTTCACCTCCAAGGCTGCACTCGCGGGCTTTTCATTATCCGAGTTGAGCTTCACCAATCGAAAAGCGCCACCAGATTTGACAGCCATTTCTGATAAAGCCGGGGTCAGTGCTTTGCATGGGCCACACCAGTCTGCATAAACGTCCAAAAGAACGGGAACAGGGGACTCCAAAACGAGTTCTTGAAGTTGTGCCGTGGTCGCTTCAAAGACAACAGATTCCTTTGCTGCTGGTTTGGGCATTCCCTCTGGTGCCTGTGGTTTTGCTGGTGCGGCAGTGGAGTTAAGGGGAAGTGTCGTTGGGTCAAAATTTGCCTTGACCTCCACGACATCATTATTTTTCTTTTCGTCACGCAGTTGAGCTCTGATTGCCGCTTCGTCGTCTTCTGCTTCCTTAGATTTCTGCTCCTCTGCTTCCTCTTCTTCTTGGTCAAATTTGTCTGCCAATAGGATGGCTCGAGCATCGTCCATGTTCTTTTCTGCAAACGCCAAGGCTCGTCGACTCATGAACGGATCGAATCCTTCGCTAATCAACTGTTGAGCCTCCTCACTCTCTTCTGGAATGTTGGCAATCAAATCCAATTCTTGTTGAATCATTTCTCTTGCTGCTTTTCCATTGTAGAGTCGTTGGTTGTTTGTTCCAAATGTAGATGTAGCACCGATGGCAGCCATGGCAAGGCTGGGATCCACATTCATTTCTTCCGCAACTTCCCTGGCAAGTTGGTTGGGATCAACTGCACTTGCGCTCTCTGTATTCACATTTGCATTCGGTATCGTGCATACGCCATCTTTGCATGCCATTTCATCCTCGTCCCCAGCCGAAATTCCAAGTTTTTTCATGGCAGATTGCACTTTCTCGTCAAGAGTTTCTTCTTTCGTCTTCTCGTTAGTGACACTTTCACCACCACGGGGAATAAATGATGGAACAGCAAGTCCGAAAGGAGACCTGGATATTCCAGCTGCCACATTGGCCGCAGCGAGAAGCAGTAAGATAGATAAGGAAGATGATGATTTCATCGTGGGTTGGATGCTTGGAATGAAGTTGTGAATACGATGAAAAATTGGAAGCGTTCTTGAATTGTTGATGCCTCCACGTGTTCGAGTTGATGGATATCGGAGGATGTGGATAATTCCAACCGGTCGACCCAATCGAGTATTTGAGCTAGTTCAGTACTATTGTGAACGCAAAAGACGCACAATAATCCACAATCTCAAATCTGCATTCATTCCACACCATCATGGTCAACTGATGCGACTGAACAGGTTCCACCTTACGGTGATCGCATCTTCCTTTCTTCTGCTCTATATTGTAGTATTTTCCTGGTCTATCTACAATTTGCAATCACGATCTTCCATTCAACATGAACCGAAACAGACAGTGAATCCAAAATTGGAAGATCTTTCATCTGTTGATTACTATGCATGCTGTGGCTTAGGCCACCGCTTAGTTAGGATGTCACTGGCAGCGTACGTTGCGAAACAAAAGCGTTTTGAACTACGTGCTTTTTGGGGTTGGTGTGGTGAGAAGGCACCAATCGAAGTCTTCTCCTATTTATTTCGGCCGTATCGAGAAGAAGAGTTGTCTCACATCGAGTCTCGAGGTCTATTGCTACCATTCTACAATGAAATTTCTGGATTCCTTGCGATATCTCGACAGCCTGTGACTGATCAGAGTGAATGTGCCTGTCCAAGAGACAAGATTACTTCGGATCTTGAGTTGTACACATCCCTGAGGGATCGATTTCGGGGAAAGCCCGTCGTAGATGCCTTTGTGCGAGAGAACTTTTCCAAAGCTACTGTTGTTGGGATCCATATCCGAGCGGGAAACGGCGAAGGAGGCGACTTTGACAGAAAGGGTCGCTCGATAAACAATCTACAGGTATGGGTGGGGGACGTTGTAAAGTTAGTTCTCCAAGAAGGCTTCCGTAAAGCAGGATCCAACGAACTAGTGGTGTACATTGCAACTGATACGCCGTCGACGATTGATATGTTTCGGAACCAATTGTCTCCCCATCAAATCAAAGTCTTAGACTTGCCGCAAACGAGGATGGAAGAGGGGACAGGGGTCATGTTTGGTGAGGCAGCCAAGGTGCACAATATGGGCGACGAGACTGATGACTACTCGTCTTGTTTGAAAGGTTGGACAGATACTCTTTCCGACATGTTCCTTCTCAGTCACGCGGATGTTGTGATTGCTGCCACTCCTAGTTCTTTTAGCCAAACTGCTCCAATGTCACTAGCATTCGGAAAGGAATCACAAGGTGTGGAGACTCCTTATTGCGAGGTCATTCCAAAGTTTGAGCCCCACAAAAAGAAGGAAACTACTGAATGGAAAGAAGTCGCTCCAACAATGCAGTGCTACAAAAGCTATGTTGACTGGTGCTGCAACTACTCTACATGGATAAAGTTCAAGAAGCAAGGTCGTCAGAATCGAACGAAAATTGTTTCGAAGGAGTTTCTTCGGTTTCCACTTCCTAGCAACGAAGGCACCGTGAAAGATTATCGTGGTTTGCGCAATCGTACTTTCGATTGCCGTCGTCCTGGTCGTGGTAGAGCGGCAGGCGGTCTCAAAGACAAATGCCTGCCGCATGCATGGGTGGTGCAATAGACATCATCTGGATACGTGGCTTTCAGCGAACCCCAAAGGTTAGCTATTCTAGGGTATAGGAGGGAAAGTTGCTGTAATATACTTCCGATATTACCCGGAATTTATTTAAATATTTAATTGTCGGATGTAATCTTGGCAAGCAGTACAAAGTCCACAATCTTGAAATCTTCATTGGAATCCTTGAGAATGGCATCGGTGCCATCAATACAGACAAGTTCACCTTCGACACCAACATCTGCGCCTCCGATAACCAAGACCATATCCTTCTCTTTGGGGTTGACACGAGAAACTTCGTCAACTCTTACGGTTTGTGTCGACCTGTCATCCAACTCAACAACCGCCGTCTTATCAGCATTGATCTCCTTGATCACAGCACTGCGCTCGTCACTCTTCAATTGAACACACACACGCTCCATGAACCAAACATCATTATTGTTGTTTGTATCTGTGTCGGTAGCCATTGCCGGTTCTTCATGCTTGACTGCAATTTGGTTGTCAGCTGGTGCAGACTGGTTCGGATCAACACCAGGCTCTTGCTTTTCCCCTGAAGGTTGCCATGTATTTCCAGCTTGGGAGCTTCCCCATCCATCTACAGAAAAAATGTCATTAGAATTTGTCTACAAATATAGGCTAAGTCCAAAGCAATACACATACCATCTGCATCGTTAGCTGGAGAGCCAAATGTATTTTTTTCCGATGAAGTATCAGCTCCCCACACGCCCGAATTATCTGCAACTTGTTCTTCATCCATGGCACCTGGGCGCCAAACCTCGTCACCACTATATCGACATGTTAGCGAAGCAAGAACGTGATAGCAAATACATTTCAAAAAGTACGTACCCTGATTCGTGCATTGGCGTTGCACCACCGTGCATTGGAGTAGCGCCACCGTGCATTGGAGTTGCTGCAGCAGCATAAGCAGAAGCTGCAGCTGTATTCTGACTATTGGGGTCGTTTTGGCTCATGTCCTCAGTAGCACCAAACTTGTCGCCAACAACAGCAACTCGTTCTCTGATAACCATTACCTTCTTCAGTCTGGAATGTAGCTCTACCTGGACGTGTGTTGCAGTAGCATCACATACAGCACCAAGATACCCTTTCCATTGTCCAGCCTGAATACGAACAGTCTTTCCAACCAATGCATCATCGCGTTTGCCTCTCCCACCAGCAGGACCACGAGATTGTGACTGCGGTGTTGCGAAAGGAGTCGAACCACCATCGCCAGCCCCGGTGCGGCTTTGGTTTCGGGAACCTGATAGGACACAGCTCCGACTACGCACCACGAAGATACCAGCGTGTTCCAGCCTTGTTTGGGAATAAAGGAACAGCTGAGCACGGCTCATACGTTTGATCGTTGCAGCCTTGCCCTTGTGAGGCCCTTCTGCAACGTTTACAGAGTCACCGCATCGCATTTGGTTTCCCTGCACGTCCAACGCAACTGCCCTATTTGACATTGTATTTCGTTTTCCTCGAAGTTCCTCTGGTCGTACATCTCGATTGATTCCGTGGTTGTTGACTACAGTAAAGTCTTCTAGACCAACACGAACGATAACACCAACTTCGTTAGCAGATCCGCCTCCACTCAGGACCACCAAATCGAAAAGCTCATATCCTGCAAGAGAGTTTTGACCAACAGAAACCTCGGCAGATTCTCGCAATTGTGACGTTCTCACTAAATACTCGTTGGTTAATATTGGGAGGGTGGTGGTAAGGGCATAAAACATTGAAAAGCTTACCAGAAATCTCTTTTCTAGTTGCATCAGTGAGAACCACAGCCGTCAAATCTGTTTCTCCGTCCAACTTCTCTACAGCAACGACTGTACCGGTTTCATTGGCGTATCTTCCGTCCATAACCTTGACGTGGTGACCAACGGCAATGAACTTTCGGACTTGGCTCGCCAAGAATTCGACTTCTCCCGTGCCTCCGAGATCCAGTGATTTGTCATTTGGCTTCACTTTAACTGTGGTTTGATCCAAACTCATGAGTTTTCCTCGCATTCCGACAAGATCACCTTCGATCACTTCAACAGTGTCGCCAATGAGAAGTCCTCCAGACTCGGGAGCCTTTCCAAGACCTGTTTTACCTTGCAAGTCAGAAAGCTCATCCAAAAGTGATGCAGCAATTTTGGACCCTTCGTTTTCATCCCCATCACTGTCACGATCATCCTTGCTGCTCTTTCTTCGGAATCTCTGAAGTTCATCCAAAGACGGAGGGTTTTCATCTGTAGTGGGCTTGATCATGGAACCAACTGTCACTTCTTTGATTAAATAACCATCGCGATAGAAGTTGTTCTCAAAGAAATCGCAATGGGCATCCAATGCACGGTGGTATTGTCTAATACTTTGTCTTCCCATTGAAGCAACTTCTTGTGGATTGAAGAACTTTTGAGGAGGCTTGATTTTTCTTCGCACTCGGGCCTGCTCAGGAGGCAAGTCAAGCAGTGACAAATCCAGACGAGGCACTACCTGCACAACGCACTTGAGACCAGAATCGCGGACATCCAGAACCAATGCAAGATCTCCCTTGTAGTGTCCCCGTGTCATTCGTACCCATTCGTTTTTCTTGACTGCAATAGGAGAAAAATAGTGGTAAGTCACAAGCAAACCGAAAGTATACTATCCTACCGCAAGCACCTACCAGGCTTCTTTTTTGGCACAACAGTCATGACTGTCGTCATGTCCTTAATAGGGACCAGCTTCATTGTGTACTGAAGCAAGCCACGAACACCCTCGATTGCTTCGACGACTGCGGGTTCGCTGAAACTTTCGACATAAATCCGTCCCTTGGATTGAGCTGCAATGACACCGCAAATACCAAGCGGCCGACCTTGGCGTGCATGGGCCACACACTTGTTCATGATTTGGAAAACCATCTCTTGCTCTTTTCCATTGCTGCACGAAATCATCCAGAAACTTGGATCTGAAACCGATGGAACCAAAGATTGCTGCGAAACAGCGGTGTATACTTCAGGGCCTCCTGGAGCATCCTCATCAAAGCGCTGTCGTGATACTGCACCTCTGTCAAGAACACTTCGATCGACGCGTCTATTTTGCATTCGGTGACGATCTTCGATCTCTTTTGCCATCTCTTGCACCGACCGCTCCTGGTTTCCAATACCATACCCCATTCTAGAACGACGAAGATCTTGTTGCCTCATGATTTCCCGTGCTTCTTCGTCCATCTGTTCTTTTCGGATATCGTCTGCAGTGTAATGCTTGCGGACAACATCATCTGGATCATGATGAGTGCCATATACCTCATCATCACCTTCTTCATCATCGTCATCTTCTGCTTCCTCGTCAAAAAAAGATGACATCTTGGCCTTTTTCGTTTTCTTTGGCCTTTCTTCAGCCTGCAAATTGGTAGACGCAGCGAACACAGAGTGTGAGCACAAACCTAGGCGTCTACGTTTTGCCTTTTCCCTCTACTTACTTGTGCGGCTTTGCGCTTTTTCGGAGCTTCCTCTTCTTCCTCCTCCTCCTCGTCGTCGTCTTCATCATCATCGTCTTCGTCGCTATCATCAGAGCTTAGGTTTGCATTAGCAGTACTCTTTTGCTTCGTTGAGACTTCTTCCTCCTCCTCTTCTTCAGAGGAAGATTCTTCGTCATCATCATCATCGTTGGCGACGGGGCGTAGAAATTTCTTACCACCACGGAAAAATTTCCCTCCCCGTGCTCTATCAGAACAACCAAGGATTGATAGGACATTCGAGACATGGCAACACAAATGAGTTTTTCCACATTTCAATACAGATCTACTTTCAGTGGCAAGTTCTTGAGGTCTTGACCCAATTTACTTACGACATTATGTTTCAGACAATCGAATCAGCAACGAATTGAACTATAAGCAATGACACACGGCGCCTCTGCAAAGTTTGGTTATCAAGAAGCATACGATGCTCCTTACGTTGATTTCAAACACACTCAATCGGTTGTGCCGATTGAAATTGTTTGCGCGATTTCGCGCAACACCATTGACTCATCGGACCAATTACAGTCCAGATAGAAAGACTGATCTTGCACAGACTGACTCATCGGACCCGATCTCACAACACCTGAAAAGATCTTTTAGGGCTGCCAAAGACCCGTCATGTTTCTATTGAAACTCTTGCTCTGCTTGCTTCTACCTACTAATGCCAATACTATTCGACTACAGACTCCACATCCGCTGCTGTCTCCTTCTGAGTCGATGCATCAGATTGCCACCGAGTGCGACAAGTTGGATGTTGGAACGCCTGACCTATATGGTGACTTCCACCTTGAAAATTCCTTCTTGAGACAGTTTGAGGCTGATCTTGCAGAAGAGTTTGGAAAAGAAGATGCTGTATTTCTGCCTAGCGGTGTAATGGCTCAACAAATTGCCTTGCTTGTTCACAGTAAAGAAAAGAAGAAGACCAGCTTTCTTTGCCACAAAACAAGTCATCTATTGATCCACGAAAAGGAAGGATACAGTGAACTATGTGGACTGCATGCTGTTGATTTACCTCTTACAGAACAAAAAATGGGCATCAGTGGACCACCGCTTCTCTATGATCATCTCCTGGAAGCCGAACTCGATGATATTTGTACCCTAATAATTGAGCTACCACATCGAGAATTGGGAGGCAAGCTGACCCCGTGGAGTGACATCATGCAGATGCAGCATCTCATGAAGGAGAAAGATATTTCCTTTCACTGTGATGGAGCACGAATCTTTGAAGCCAGTGTTGGGTACAAAAAGTCTGTTCGAGAACTTGCAAGCCCGTTCGAGTCCATCTACTTTTCCTTCTACAAAGGTCTGGCAAGTCCCTATGGAGGGGCCATGTTGATGGGAACGAATTCGTTCTGTGAAGAGGCTAGAATATGGCTACGTCGATTTGGAGGAAACCTCTATTCCTTGCTACCATATATCGTGGCGGGGAAGGCTGGGTATCTCAAGTACGTCAAGGATCAGTCGCACCCAACCCTGTCATTCGGTGACAAACACCAAAAACTACTTCGTATAACGGATAGCATTCAAAAGAAAGGGTTCGAGACGGTTGGGTGCTTCGAACCCGAAGTTCCAGAAGTTAACATGGTACATTGCTTTCTTCGTCTATCGTCGAAGGATTGTATTGGAATTCGTGATGAAATTGAAGACAAGTCGGGCGTTTCAATCTTCCATCGAATATCTGAACTAAAAGAAGGGGATAAAGGGTGGGATGAGGGTTATCGATGCAAATTTGAGCTGTACATGGGCCAAGCAAATGGCTCTATAGAAGATGAAATCTGGGTCAACACTTGGTCAGACTTTATTCATCTTGCGTCTGACAAAAAATAGAGATACTGCAAATGTACAGTAGGAAGAAAGCAATTTTCCATTAGAATGTGTTAATCGTTTTGATCCACATACAATGCAACCCCTATGCGATAGAGTCTGCTGTTCGGCATCGAGATGATATGAGCGGTGAATGGGGCCAGACGACTCGTTCGATCAGCTGTATCGCGATCATATATGATGAACGAGGTCTGCAACTCAACGCATTCTAAAAAAGGTCAATGAGACTAGAGTTCTAGTGATCGGATTGTATTTTGGAGGCATCCACCATGGCACCTTCACGGTCAAAGAGAGAGAATAAAGATACTCAAAATGGGGACACGAAAATCACCAATTTATACAAAGTGAGAATGTCACATCGGTTCGTGATAATGAGTCTGTTGGCATGTTACTTGTTGGCGTTTGCAATCGGAAGGACGGCTCGGATGGTATTCATCGTTGAACCTCAAAAGAGACTCATCGAAGAAAACCAGGCATTGAACGAGCTGATTCAAAATACCCCCCAGTTGAAATTGCCTAATCCAATCATGAAGGGGGGCTTAGAACCACCCAAAACTGCATACACATCAAAGAATTTTGATACTGCAAGGACAGCCACAACGATTTCTCGCTTCATTGTGACAGATGTCGGGGCAGAAAGTGACGAGAAAGCAAAGGAATGCAGAGTTCCAGAGATCAGCAACAAGGGCATAGCAGAAAATGAGGACCAAGAAGTGCACGAGCCAAAAGGACAACACCTTCTAGTTGACATTGCAAATGTCGAATCAGCATTCTTGGGATCAGAAGAGAGGTTATCAGTTGCCATGCTAGAACTTGTCAAGCGGTGTGGTCTAACTCTATTATCCTACCACTGTCATGGTATGATACCAACCGGAGTCTCTTGTGCTGGGGTTTTGCTGGAAAGTCATGTGTCATTTCACACTTGGCCGGAGGAAGGTGTCATTACATTGGATCTCTACACTTGTGGAGAAGGCAGCCTTTTGCCTTTTGTATCCATTGCCAAAGAACTTTTCGCTATTCCATCTGCAACTGCCGACAAAGTACCCGAGTTGGTATGGTCCCATAAATTCCGAGGTTTCACAGATGATTTGGAGAGTGAGATTGCGGTTCGAACGGACTTTTTCAGGTTCCCGATCGGCGTGATGATGGACTACAAGGAAGAGGTAAGCAAAGTTGGAATGTGCAGCCTATTCCTTGTTCATATTATAGCGCTAATATGACGCATCGCACGATAGATATATTCCGGCGAGACTGAGTTCCAAAAGGTAGATATCTATGACGTTTTACGTCCACACTTTCAGAGTCTTGATGAATATCAGAAATCACTGCTTGGGGATGGGTCCTACGCATCTCAAAATCCGGAGCTGTTCGAACCTGATCGCATTGTCTTCCTCGATGGAATACTGCAATCTAGACGGTCCGGAGATGCTGCTTACCATGAGTCTCTGGTGCATCCTGGAATGTTTGCTCATCCAAATCCGAAACGAGTTGCAATTGTCGGTGGTGGAGAAGGAGCTACATTGAGGGAAGTTCTAAAGCACTCCACAGTAGAAGAGTTGGTGATGATTGAAATTGACAAGAAGATGGTTGATATCTCAAAGCAGTACTTGCCGTTCTGGAGTGATTGCAGTCAATTGATTGGAAGTGCGGACTACTGTTTCGATGACCCCCGTGTGGATGCTTACTTTGAAGACGCGTTCAAGTGGTTTATAGATCGGTTCTCTTCTGAGCCTACGATCGAGGCAAAAAAGTTTGATGTAATCATTATCGATGCCTTGTACGTTCAGCTCTACCGGTGTCGGAAACACCGTTGCATCTCACCTCTAATATTTTTTCTGTTGTTCTTGCAGAGATCCACAAGTTCAGGTGGACATTGTTGATGCTCTATATGATGGAGGACCTTTCCTCACATCGCTACCAAACAGTCTTCGGGATGATGGTATCTTGATTGCGCAAGTCGGCGAGGCAGCAAGACTGGAATCACCAGGAGAAGAGCATTCGTGGCACCGTAATCGTGTGAAGTTCATTAAAACGCTGATCGACAATGGGTTTGAAAGCGTCCGTGACTATGAAGAGGTAAGCAAGGGGCACGTAAAACTATCATTAACTTGAACCCCGATTGACATTTTCCTTTTCCACAGAGTCATGCAGGATTCTACTATCCCTGGCAATTTGTCGTCGCCTTTAAGAGTTTCGAATCTCGGAAAAGTTGGTTCCACCATGAGGCATTGACTTCTGTCGATATTCATGAAAGAATTTTGCCAACAAAGACTGGTGAACTTTCATTGAGATATTTTGACGGCCCAACAATGATGTCGTACAAGTTTCCATCCAAAGCAAGTGAGACAGTCTTTTGTCTACGTGACTCGAAGTCAGAGATGTGCAGTGAGGGTCGAAACGAGGATCATCATGACTGGAAGTCGCCCGTTTCTGCATTGGTTATGGATGAAAACAAAATCACAAACAAAATTTTCCCCTCGACTATTCCAGATAGTAACCAACTGTCATCTCGGGAAAGAATGATTAGCAAATACTTCACTGGGAAGAACGCCTACAACCCTCTTGCAGAGCGCGACCCAACTTTACTCCCCGACACCATTTTGAAGACGAAACCAATGCACTGAATGATGAAATCTGTACAAAACATTGGATCCCATGTACCGGTGTCGCTCTGTTCACAACTAATAATCACATACGTTCAAAACCAATAGATTAGAATTTAACTAGTGAGCGATCCTTGAAAGCTGTAATGGTAGCCTGTCATACCTGTTCGGCAACCGTTTCTTCTTTCTTCTCTTCGACTTCGGGCTTTGGATCCGCACTTTCATCTTGCGGGTGGTCGACTCCCTGTCGCCGGTTTATCTCAGCTTCATGCTCTGCCTTTTCTTTCTTGAGACGCTCCACTTCCTCACGAAGTTCACTCGCTGTATGTTCATTCTCCTTGGACTTATCCGTTAGCGCGACTATTTCCGAGTTGCATTCATGCAGACGCAACCGGAGATCCGCAGTCATTCTCTTGTTGGCATTCTCTAGCGATGATATTATCATTTTGGCATTTGCTAGAGATTCTTTCTCTTCCTTCAGTGCCTTGCTGGCCAGCTCCTTCTCACCCAAGGCTTTCAGCAACTCTTCTTTGAGAGTCTCCACCTCATTGTTAGATGAATTTCCAGGACGACCAATCTGTTGCAGAATATTTGAAAGACTTTGCTGGGTTGGATAATTCATGGAAGGCGGCGGAAGTATGGTACCTGAGGCTGCTTCGTCCTCATCACCACTCTCGTCGTCAGAAATGTATCCTCCGCGACTATTGTTATCGTCTTCTGGCAAGCTTGATCGGAGCACTGCCAATTCACGATCCTTCTTGGTGAGTAGCTTCTCGTTGGAAGAGCACTTTTCTTTGAGACTTTGAATTTCTGTCCGCATCATTTTTATACTTTCAAGGCCTTCATTCTTTTCATCCACTTGTTTCCTTAGCCTTTTCATTTGCTCATGTTGCTTTTTCAGTAAGTCCTTCATTTGCTTCATTGATACTTTCTCCCCATCTATAGTAATTTCAGAACTATTTTTTGACTCCTCTTTAGACGACGATGCTTTATCCAGCGTCGATCGAAGAGCAGCTAGTGTTTCGTTGAGGATTTCTCCGATTTGGTCGACGTTGGAAAGATCTGGCTGTCCAGTAGCGGCAGAAACTTCGTGGACTACAGAGGCAGACTGAAGACCCGACACGCTCTTTTCCAACAGATCTACTAAATCCTGATAGTCCTGAATTTGTCCTTTGAAGCCTCGCTGAGAACGATCCGAGTCACCTTGCCTCACCTGCAACGCACGGAGCTCAGTGGCCAGAATATCGAGGCGGTGTTTGAAATCCGCACTCTCTGTCTGAGCAATGTGTAGTTCTTGCTCTTTTGCCTTTAGTTTTGCTCTCAAGTCTACTGCAAGAGCGTTATTGGCATTTTCCAGAGAGGCAATAATCTTTTTGGCATTCTCCAGCGAATATGTAGTCTCTGCCAGACTCCGTTGCAAGGTTTCCACTGATTCCGCCGAAGACGCAGATTCTGCGTCGAACGAGTTAGAGCTGCTCACCCCATACCTTGGCGGAGTCATGGACTGCGAACGTGGGATTCCTCTTCTGTCGAGACTACTACTACTATGATCTAGACCCCTGTACTTCAGATTTGCAATTTCGTCTCGTGCAGTCTCAAGCTCTGTTCTTAACGGGTTGATTTCCTCGACCAGCTTTTGGTTTTCAACCTTGGCTCCTGCAAGTTGAGCTTCTAAAAAGGAAGAGGTCTCCGAGGCTGTAGAATCCGTGCATCCATCCTTGCCTTCATACTTCTCAGTCAGACGCTCAATTTCCTTCTTCAGATTTCCAGTTTCCTGTTCTCGCTCTTCAGTCATTGCGGCCAGTACCCTTTGCATAGCCCGGACTTCCCGTTCATGGTCCGCTTGCTTGGATTTCAAAGTTGTTTCCAAATCCCGCACTTGGACTTCCATGTGTGTGGATTTCGAATTGGACTTGGATTTTCCATTCGTGGCCACCAGTTGTCTTTGTGTTGTGATCAGCTTGCGTTCAATTTGTGCCTCTCGACGTGCTGCATCTTGTAGTAATCGCTCGAGAGCCCGTTTGTTTTCCATTTGTTCGTTCCGAGCTGAATTGAGGGAAATTTGAATGGATTCCCACAAGACTCGTTCCTCTGCTGTCAGGTGACTGGGCCGTGATTTGGATCGATGTTTTAATGCTCGAATGATATCCCCAATTCCGTTTGGTCGATCTTCCACTCCACCCAGACTACTCACATCGTCTGCCCAATCTTGAGACAGATTAGAATGAGTTCGTCGGTGAAGGCCAATTTGCCCCAATTCCGTGCTTCCCCAATCCATGGATTGATTCCTCCGATGATTATTATTGTGACCGGCAGAATTATGATCAATACTGGAACTGCTACGAGCGTAGGAATTAGCATCGGCCCAATCGTTGTTGGATCCCGATCGCGCTCGCCGATGATTGACATGAGTGCGTCGAATGGGAGGCATAGACTGGACACTCAAGCTGTCTTCTATCAATTCATCCATAGGAATCTCTTCTTCCATTTCCACGTAGGATGTGCTCACCACAGATCGATCCGAAGATTGCGTTCTAGAACGACTACTTCGAGGAAAGCTATTACTCCCCCCGTATGGATCTTCATCAAAGTCTTCCCAAGAGGGTGGTGCCGCGTTGTTGGTGGGTGTGACAGTTCTTGGAAGATTGTGTCGTCTATGTCTGGAGACATGATTCGCAAAGTTCGAAGTCTGCTGTGAGTAAGAACCCCGAGGATGATTGGAAGAGATTCTTGCCGCAACCAAGTTCCTGGGAGCTCGAGACCCCATGCTAGGTGCTGCCGTCTGCTGCAAGTTTCGACGGCTTCGTGGTTGTTGTTGCTGCCCTCGATTGGATGTGAAATAGGACGACGAGGCTGACATTCTTCAATTTGCCGTTATGTTGTTTCTGATTCAAGCACCTGTGTCACCGCTTGGCTACTGTCAAGCGAAAGATTGCAACCTCTATTCCACACCAAAACCCCAAAAGGCTCAGACGGAAGTATTGCAAGTGGCCGGAAAACGAAATGGAACAAAAAATTGAAGGCCAAAAATTTAAAAGGTCGGAGTGGCAGGACGAATGCGACATTTAAACCTCCAATTACAAACACAATAAACACAACGGTCCGGGCTCCTTATGTATACCACACAGGCCGGCGAAATGTGTGACGATTTTGATTTTTCCTCTTACTCGTCAGTCGTTATAATAGGTGAAGGAAGTTATTTGAAGTCTTCCAACGAGCTTGGACCAAGTTAGTAAAGTGTGTTGAATGCTTCCCGGTAGTAGATCCTACAAGTACCTTATTACAATGACTCGTTATCCACAAGTGCCCGTAGGGCTTTTTTCAAACAACCAATGTTGTAGTTGATCAAGCTCTTTTTTCGAAAGTTTTCAGATCGTGTTATGCAAACCAGCGCAAGCATTGTATCTACTTCTTTCAAATATAGAACCTACAAGATACCGCGTACAAGACTTTGTAAGACAAGGCAAATGCAATTTCCATCTCAATCAATCAGTGCGTTTCATACCATTCCATTGCTCAGCCGAATGACACTGGCACTCTCACTATCATACGCCGAATCAGGGTCTACCATTTCTTCTTCCAAATCCTCTGCTGGTGCTTGACTAATCAGAGTACCCACCAATTCATCGGGAACGTCAAAGCCATCCTTATTTTCGGAAGTAGAATTGGGATCTGCACCTTCCACAGAATTGGATTCGGCTGCTGCTGCTGCATGACCCAGCTCCAGTTGGGAAGGACCAAGACCGTAGATTCCACTCACATCCAAGACAACATCAATCATGTCGGAACATAATTCCACACTCTGCATATCCACTGGTCCAGGATCCGTACTGATGAATAGCTTGGAAACAACATCAAACAAATATGCCTTTTCCATGGAACACTGACTGACTAACACATTCAGCAAGCTCTCCAAAGTTGGCAATTGAGGAATTAGTCGTTGGACGACTCTCGACAGACCTTCGTATATTGTATGATCATAGATACTGGTCAAGTGATATCGGATGTTTATGTTGTCTGGACTGATTCCAGCATCCTCCAATTCATAGTTTACTTGCGTGTAGACATCCCGTCTACAATCGTATTTGCTTTCGTCACTCAGAAAGAGTTCTCCATCGACCTTGTTGATGAATACCTCAATCACAATATTCGGATTCAGTTGAATCGCTTTCGTGACTGCGTCAGTAAAACTTTGTAGCACATGGTCGTAAGGTTCATCTTGGGCGTCCACAACAAAAATCAAAGAGGCAGCACCTCCAAACACAGTCTCATCTCCTTCGTAAAAATCACCAGGAAAGTCCCAAACTGTAAAGCGACATAGTGGTGTATGATCCACAATGGCACGTTCTAGAGACTGAGTAGCTTCTAATCGAAACAACGTTTCATGTGGTGACATTTTTTGAAAGATGACACGCTATCAAAGGAAGAAAATAAAGATTGGATATCATGAATGGATTTCAATATTGGATGGATGGTGGATGTGACCATGGGCTCGTTAGAACACCATTAATTCTGTGTGATCACACAGACGCTATCGATAGATTTCACTCACCTGAATACTTGTCTTTCCTCCTCTTCTAGGGCCCATCAACAAAATCTTGGGCATGCTGGCAACCTTTGGATCATCAAAGTTAGCATCGGTTGGTCGACCCGGTTGTCCGGGTACCAACAGCATTCCTTCGTCGTCATGGGCATCTCCAGTGCCTACAAAGTCATAGGAATCGACGTAGCCTCCATATTCGTCAGACTGCATGTTGTTGATCAAGGGAGGTACCTGGTACTGTACAGTTATTGACGATTGGATCCATTGACCGCTGTACTGGTACATATTCAGATCTGATCTGCAGTTTTGGCTTCAATCCCCCAAAATGGACATTCTTTGGGGGTGTCTGGCCGCCGACGTGTGACCATCATTGACTCATTGATTACGTCACATGTATCGTACTGTATCCAAGAACTCAATACTGTATGCATCACATGCACCATTCGAAGGGGGTTGTCAAGAGTCAACTCCATACACCATGAAGTCTTCCACAACCTTTCAGTATCTGCTTTGCGCTACACTGGCTACCAGCCTTTTATCGAAAGCCTTTACGCTTGTACCATCGCGGGGAATTACCATTCCCAATTCACCCACTATCGGCACCTCTTCATTGTCAGCCAAAAAGTCAAGGAGAAAACGGAAGGCACCCAAGCCTTCAGAAGATCTCCCTGATTTCGAACTGGACGAAGACGATGGTGCCTTACCAGAATTTGATTTGGGAGACGAGGATCAACCCGTCAAGCCTGCCGCCAAGAAGCCAACTGAAACCACCGAGCTTAACTTTGATGAAATTACCGACAACATGATGGGTGATGCTTCTGCACCTACAGCCTCCATAGAAGCCTTGATTGCGGATCGTAAATTGGAATCCAAATTTGTGTTTGATAAAGAAGTGGAAGACGATACCATACCGGACTTTGTCGACTTTGCTGCACCCTCCACCAACTCCGAACCGGCTGCGCCTGGGAGTAAAGCTGAACGACGGGAACAACGAAAGGCAGCGGCCATCGCCAGGCTAGAGGCAGAGCAGCAAGCAACTAAGTTTGAAATCCCTTTCATTCAGGACGAAAAAGGAAACATCAGCGGTCTCAAGATCCTTGAAGCTGGAGCATGGGCTGGCATTTTCTTGTTGGTAGGTTGGGAAGTCTACATCAACTCGCCATTCTTCGACCGTGCTGCACCAATGGCTCCCGTTGTGTTTGAAGGAGATGGGAGACAAATTTGAATACATGAATAATACAGATTGCAACGCTTGAAAGAAAATGTTGCAGAAAAGATGCCGTTGCCGCTGAAAAACACGACAATACAATTGGAGCAGAGGAGACGGAAAAAATATGAAAACCTAACATGAATAAAATATAAGCAGCAGAGACTAGAAACAGCTAAGCCAGGCATTCCGCTGCCATTTTCAAGAGATCGACCCCGCTTAGACTCTTTCCATTCAAATAACTGCTTTGCAACTTGCTCTGTAGTCTTGGTTCACGGGCTCTCATGGTTCTGAATGCAGGAGAAAGGCGAGGCAAGCTGCCTTTCTTCTCTAATTTACAGGTTCTTCTAGATCTCTTTTTGTTGCCATTGAGCATCGATCGAGAATCCATGGCTTGTGTATCTTGAATGTTATTAGATGGTGAAAGGAAGACCTCAAAAAGTCTCTTGGTTGCGTACTTGACGCAGTCTCTTGCGTTTGCCATTAGTGTCTTCAGGAAGGACGAGGTATCGAAAGCAACCTTTGCCCGAACAATCTTTGCTGAAGGAAACGGTTCGATCATCGCTATAATTGTTCCTGCGGCTTCCAGCACAACAGAAAGCTGCTCCCCCATAATTTCAACTTCAATAATGGTTTCCATGAGAACTGGAGCACTAATCTCCCCCCCTCTCGGGCAGATGCCACCTTCAACGACTTGAGTCCTACTACTGGCCTTTGTAGGAGTCACAATGCTGTCGGACATTGTAGAGAGCGTTTGTAATATCTGCATTAGTCTTTGGGATGAGTCGTGCTGTGCATGTTTGTACAAGGCTTGAACCGTGGATCTGACACGAGAGTCGACCAATGTCATGAAAGACTGCAAGATATTGCGTGTAATGGTTGGCCCTAGCGCTTGCATATCCGATGTCGCAAATTGTAGCTCATCATCGAAACTTGTGGCTATGTCAACAGCCAGTGATTCTTTGGATAGCGTGCCAGAATGATGTTTTCGCTTCTCCAAGCCGAAGGATGACACGGAGCAGAGAACGTGATTGTCTGGAAGGGTTGTAGGTAACAAGGCGGAGGCCCTTGCTTGGCTTGAAGGAAAATCCCAATCATTAGGATCTGTGGATAGGAACAGCAAAGCGAATTCCGCCAATTGATGGGCACTGCGGTTCATGGTAGAAGTTCAAAGATATGAGAAAGGAAGGTTGCGGTTGGTCTCTCTTGGTTCAGATTGGTTTCCAAGATATGCAGTGATATTAAATGGAGAGAGTCAGCAACGAAACGGATTGCTGTTGAAGAAACTTTTGCTTGCTGCTTTGTTGTTTGCAAGATTACAGATTTGGCCTTTTGGATCTGCTGATAGCTGCAACTTCGATTCTGGTTGAAGTTGGGATGGGAGGTTCAACTCTGTCAGTTTGGTTTCGATCACGGCCACGGAAACATTAATTGTGTTCATTTAATACTAGTTTTTAGACTATTTATCTTCCTATTTATCTTCCACAGCTAGCTGGCCAGTGACAAATACGTTCGTACTTGGAATAATACTGACGCCAAGTTGGTGGTACAGTGACGAATTTTTCGACCAAAATTGATTCCGAGGCGAAACCTTCTTGCTGCAAGTAAACTCCATGTAGTCTCTTTGTTGTTACAAGAGAAGGGAAATCGGAACAGAAAGATCCAATCGGGAAACCTAACTCTTCCATTGATACCGTTTTTTCTCACAGCTTCAGTTAGGGACGATTAGTTCTTCTTTTAGAACATTCAATGCTGAATGCTCTTTCTTGTGGATTGACAGAGGACCGATTCGTGCCACCGAATGAATGAATGGATGAATCAATCTGACGCCAAATGACATCAGAACAAAGCCTTGATCATAAATGATGCTGTTCTTGCATGGCCATTGAGTAATTTTGAAACATCATGCAAACAATATTTTTTGAAGGTGGCGATTGATTTACAAACAACTTGTTGGAGGTATGTTGGCTGGTTGACAAAGGGATCCCGAAGGGGCAGAACCTTTTCATGGATCCTAACGCAACCAATTCCGATGGTAGAACCATCGCAAGGACCCTAGAATGCCAGTAAAACAATGTGTGAGATTCAATATTTCCACGTAAACAGAAGCATTCAGATCTCAAAAAATGTCAAGGCGAGGACTGACGAATTGACCGTGGGAAGAGTCAAGGGCGTTGCCTTGATGGCAACCACTTCAAAAACTGAAGTGGCTACCAGCACCACCCAAGACCCCCATATAGACTGAAAAGTCGTTGGCCATGCCGCTAATACTCATTTAATCATTCTTGCATCCGCATGAAGGTCATGTACGTAGAATTCCCAAGAAGGGAGCGGCACATGACCGAATAAGGATGCGTGGATTTGGGACCGAATGTGAAAACTTACATGTGATATTGTCCCATGACGTTATCAGGGCAGGGGGACTGCGAGAGTGGACCTATTCATTCATTCATTCATCACGTGCGGCCACTTCCACAAAACTTTAATAGGTAGTCTTAAAATGATGACAAGAAATGAATCCGTGCGATGAGACCGTGGTCATATATAAAATGCATCATACAATGTGTTTGAAATATATGTGCAGGGCCTACTAGCTCTTGACAAATGGGAAATCAAATCAGAGCTAACGAACCCCACTGTATTCGTATGGCACCCGAAAATTGTGAAAAAGTCCGCTTGATTGATTGCCCAAACCAAGGGATACACAGGATGCTTGGCAGAACGATAAGTGTTCCTGACAACAAGCTAAAACGTACTTTCTGTGCAAGTCTTCATGGCGGATTCATCATGGAGAGACATCCATATTTACAGGTTGTTTTTGTTGTGTTGAGTTTCCCATGGTTGCAACGCCAATCAATTTTTTGGGCGGTGCTCGTACACGAACGGACGTATCGGGTTGATCAAAAACGTTTTGATTCTTAAAATCACGATGTTCGAATGGTATTTTGAAAACTAGAAAAATAAACTAGACTATGGTACAGTACTTAGACTTGTTCTTGTGAATCATGATGCATGTGATGAGGCGCATGGGGCAATCCAACTGGAGCTGGGTTGTGTGGTGGTGGTACCATAACATCATGGTCTGCATGTGCCTCAGGAATCCCATCGTGTGGGTTGGCCCATTCCTTGACGGTCTTCTTCTGAAATCCAGGAGCTACCCAACGGAAACCAATCTCATTGAGTCGGTGCTCGCGCTCGTCTGTGAGCTGTGATTTTTCACCACGAAGCTTGAGGGTCTTTTCGTGTCGTTGCTTATTGACCCAACGGCCAAGGCGGCCATGCTCATTGACATAGTTGAAAGGAACAAGGGTATCACCATTAATACCTTTGTACTCGAGAAGCTGGTTGAATCGAGCATCCCCTACAAAAAAAAACAGTGTTAGTCGATAATGATTGCAAGAACACTGCACTTCTTGCTACAAACAAAATACACTCACATCCTTGGGCCACTTTCTTTACTCTCCATTCAAACCCAATCGAATCGAGCATGTCAATACGATCTTGAGACAGCGCTACGCAGTGCTCACTAGCGAGCTTTTCACCCTGAAACAAGAAATGGAGTTTGGTGAGCATCACGAATAACACCAAATGAGTGAGTCGCAACACAACTAGGACTACCAGCATGTCGCACCTGCTTTTGTTTTTGGGCATGTGTGTAATTCATACGTTGGACTTTGACCCAACTGGACAAGCCGCGAGCATTACTCTTCTGAGGTACATTAGTATGTCCATGCTGGTTCTTGAAGGTAACGAGTTCGTCGAAGCGTTGCTTCCATCTTTCGGCAATGGACTTTTTGTAGGGGTCCCAGCAAAAATCAATAGTATTCAACACCTTGATATGATCATCTGTCAGCTTGCGTGTTCCTGGATTCTCAGTTTTATTGTGCTGTTGTCTCCACTCCTTTTGGCGCTTGTTCTTTCGTTGCGTGTAGACCCAAAAGTAGATTGGGTGATCTTCAGGAACGTCCGTGTGGCCATGCTCGGCCTTGAACTTGAGCAGTTCAAACAAACTGTCATTCCATGACATTCGCCCCTCCCTGGAGTCTCGTCGTGGCTTTTTGGGAGGCGGCTTTCGAGCATTATTATTAGAAGGAGCGGAGCGTTTGAGAGAGTCTTCAGTCACCACTTGTGCCGGTGGTTCTCCCTGTGGAATCTGTGGTGCTCCCACCATTGGTGGAGGAAGCACTTGACCTTGTGGAACCGGCTGAACTACCCGCGTCATGGGATCTGGAAACCCCAATGCTGATGTAGCTGTCACATCAGATGGATGAGGAGAAGCCAGGCCGTGTTGATGGGGCGGAATCTGGTCCACACCAAGGTCATGTGGAGCCATTTGGGGAGCTCCCATCATGTGTCCTTGATTCTCGGGATTGGTGGCCATTTTGCTACCACAATGCCGCTAGATACCTTTACAAGATTGTTGCAAGAATGGTTTTAGTTTCGAGAGTGATGGGAGCCTCACTCGTTCAACATTAGCTCTTTGCGAAAAGGTGCTCTCCTTCGAACTGATCTGCTGAGTTGCATTGCCATGGAGCGTGCCGCAGTACTGCAGTCTTCGTAGAAACAATTCTCATGCCGGCAGCCCGGTCGAAAAATTCACCCTCAAAAACTCCAAGGGATCATCTATTCAAACGAGTCGAATATTTCTAGTCACGTGAGTCGAAATATCAACGGCAAAGGAAAACGACACCATACGATAATACGATACACTACAGGGTCCACAGGCACAACCCTCAATCTTTTCCAACCTCTCAACATCCAGTGGCGAGCGACGTAATGTCAGATAACGATGATGCGAATAAAATTGCAAAGAACATAGAAGAATGGAACGTCGAAGATTCCTTTCTTTGGTGGACCCAACATCCATTCTTGCAAAATCCATGGAATATTCTGGGCATCTCGGGTTGTACCGTTGTTGCAGGAGCCTTTTTCGGATACAAGAAACCCACCAAGAAACTTCAAAAGTTGGTAGATCTCAAAAAAGTAGATGCAGAAAAACTGGCGGGCCGACGAGAAATGGGATTCCAAGCAGCGTCAAGGGCACTACGAATAGCCACTATTGGAACAGTCGGTACCTTTGGAGTAGTGGCTGTTGCAGGTTTTTATGCGAGTGGGTATCGATCCTTTGATGCATTAGTGAATGATACTAGGGCTTGGGGTGAGCAGAACCGGCAATCGTTTGAAGATTGGCTGGGAATTGAAAATAGACCGAGCAAGACTGATCCAGAGGCTATAGCAACCAAGAACATGACAGAGGAAGAAGAGTTGAACTATATCTATGAACGGCATCTAAAGGATGCTGAACGGATTCCAGATAACAGTTTTCAAAAGAGAAATTAAAGAAGTAATAGAATCACTTAGTAATGAATATTGCCGTACCGGTATACCATTTGGTGGTCCAACTTTTCATGTCTTCAGCTGCAAGCAGTATGCTGGCTTCCCAGCAGGTCCACGTCAGCAACCAGTAAAATAATTTTTTTCTCTGTCATCTTTTATCGTTGCGATTCCGTGTACTGGTACGATGAACAAAACACTCCACACAAGACAAAGCCAACAGTATATATTCAAATTTGTAAATGTAAAGTGAATGCCAAACTAAGAAGGCATTCGACTATTTATTAACAGGAAAGCTACAGGTATTTTGCCATAGTTTCATCGCGATCCCATTCATCTACATTCGAGTAGACGAGACTGCGCAACTTGTTGGCGGATCTCGATCGGATAGAACTGACATCCCGCGCTTGCATGACGCCATCTGCACCCAGTGGTAAAGTCTTTCGTTTGCCCATGGCAACAGTGGCTGCCTTGACGGCTCTCAAGTTAGTAGGCACATCCTCTCTGATGCGCCATTCCAAAGCCGCGACTGGAACTGGACCTTTCGGTCTAACATCCACCTCATAAGATACGACACTTTCGATTTCTCCGTCAAGGCTGATTTGTTCCTTCACTCTCCAGTCGCCGTCAAACGTGCTAAAAAATTGACTGTCCACGCACTTGAATCCAATCAATCGCTCTTGAGGGACAAATTTGTCGTCGGAAGTGCTGGCTGCTTGAACAATGCCCTCCGTCATGTCCATGGTGACAGAGGCCGAAAAGTCAAATCCAATAATCTTTTGAGCACCGACCTGATAAAGTCGACAGCGAAAGTTACCATCGCCTGGTTCACCACCACTATTGCGTGAGCGAATCTTGCTTTCCATCAAGTTGGGAACGTGTATGGATAGTCGATCGTAGTCTGTCAGTATGGACCATACCTCTTCCAGTCTGCAGGGGACAACAATTTCTCCTGCTATCCGTCGTGAGTTTGCTGACGTTCGTTCAATACGAACGGCAACAAGCTCACACGAGTCATCGTTTCCAGAGACTTCCCCATGCTCATTTCCACCAAACCACCAAACGTTCAATGCTGATGATGATTGAGATGGTCTGGGGAGAGTGCTTGCTTGGCTTCTAGATGGATGGTGTAGTGGGCTCGTCAAGACAAAGGCGTTTGCTCCACAAACTATTGACAGGGCTGTAATTCTTCGTATTGATTTCATGAATGCTGTATATTGAATTTATGAGATATTGTATAATGTGATTAGAGGTTTTCAGATCGATTGGTTGACACCTTTTGCTGACTTTGTCGTTCGACGATGATGAAATTCCGGCTCTACCACCAACAGATTGTTTTTTCTGTCCTTCCTCTTGCAAACCACCTCATCCTCCTTCAACTGCGTTGGACGTGTCACCTCCCGTCATGGTACTTTGCCTACGTAGGTTGAAGCACCAATAGAAACAAAGGATTTTCTGCTTCAGCTGCTCATGCTCTCTTATCAGTCGTCCGGCTTTTTCGTAACAGTCACGAATGAATTATTGGTCACGAGTCACGACTCGGCTGGTCGATGCACCACATGAAGTGAAAACGTGTCGTGAGATGTACTTGCATCTACACTGGAAACTTGCCTTGACCGACTCATTGTTGCATTTTTTAAAGTCAGTCAGTCAGTCAGTCTCAGTCAGTCAGTCAACGTCCGAATTTCAACATGATAGGAGTAAATGTGATCGTAGCTTCTATTCTTTAGTACACGTATTTTATATCTTTCGGTGTGGTTGTGGCCACGCATCCATATTGGATTCTTTCCTCTTGACCAACACAGCGTTCTTCTTTTTGGTAATCTTGACCAATAATCGCTTGGCCTTTGATACCGCTTTGACTTCGGAAGCATCCCCATATAGTTTCGGAATCTTTAGTTGGTAATCACACTCCTTAGACTCCACTTTTAGTAGCATTCCCTCGCCTGCCAACTCGGCTGTAATATTGGTGACGGTCACATCCTTCCAATCCACTGACTTTCCATGCTTGTCGGGCAAAGTGTCTATTCGAATAGTGGCTATACCATTGGAATTGCCCGGATCGTCCCATAGGTACTTGGTAATGGTTCGTGTTGGTCTTAACGAGGTTGATATTTCCGGTTTCACTTCTATCTCAGTTTCTGTTGGTTCAGCTTCTTCCCCACTGTCGTCTTCAAGATTGCTGCTTCCCGATGATTCCACTGTCTTTCCACCCTTGGAAAGCAATCGTGGTCCATTCATCACGTAGTCTTCCATTTTGAGTCCATCTTTGTAACCACCAGTAGCATTTGGATTGTTGTGTGCGTAATAATACTTGCTTCCAAATGGTTTGTCGTCGTGATGTTGTTTGGTGTGCGATGTCTTGGAGTTTTTCGAAACGTCCCACACATTTTTCAGTGTGGTACTGGTCGATTTGGATTCATTGGATTGCGATTTTGAAGTCGCGTCTTTTCCAGTTGCCTCGGAAGGAGTGACTTTGTTATAGAAAAAGTAATAGAGAACGGTGGCCAGCCCGGCGAGCCCCGCAGCGATAATGCCAAGGTTGATGTCCTCCATTGCGGCACTTGATGTTGTGTTGTCTTTTCTCATCACACGTGGATGTCGTACGACATGACGCAGAGTTTGGAGGAACTTTTGCAGTCGCAATCTGTAGTAAAGCACAGCCTTCGGTCTACAGTCTACAGTATCAGGTACCTTGTACTATACTGCACAACAGAGAAGAGGACACATCAAAACATGTCATCTATAAGCACATCATAGTAATCTACCCCAGTTGATCTCTCCACAGAATAATCTCCTGTTGCTTGAAGTACCGGCGATCCTCTTCGTCTACCAGAACAAGATTCAAATAGTATCGGACCGAAAAGCGGTTGTTCACAGCGGAAAAAGTAGGAGTCAAGTCGGCTGGAATACCACGCAATGATAGTCTGACAGGAATCACTTCACCCTTGACAGGTGCTCCATCCATAATCTCGTATTTGACCAACGTTTGGGTTTCTGTGAATACATTTTGCGTTGCATCTCCATTTGCATTACCGCCAGGTTGGCCTCCTTGCATTGAATTGGACATGCCCTCACCACTCGTTTCTCGTCGAATGACTGCGAGCTCCATATGCTTGATTTTAATTCGAACCAAAAGGAAATGAATTTTACCCAAGATAGTATCACGAAGGTTGTAGATTCGGCGTTCGTATTGAAACTCAATGTGGAGACAGTCTTCAATTCCTACTTCCATCTTGATGGCTTCATTTTGAGCTGGTGGTCGCCCCATTACTTGGACCCAAACGTCGTGCTCTTTTTTGAGAGGCGGCAAAAATTTTCGTTCCATTACAACCTTCACAAAGTAACGCACAGCGACATTGCGGCCTCTGTAAGATTCGTGCTCTTTGTCCATATTCCGAAACATGAAAGGAATTTGAATCTGTGGCTGGTAGAGGATCCCGGGTGGTGCTAACTCCTTCGACAAACTAATAAAATCATATCGCGGACGGCCTTCATTCAATCCAAAACCCTATAGATAAAGGAAGCAAAAATGTCAGCACTACCCCCAATTCAGCAAATAGACCAAAACGCATCATGCAACGCACCGTATCAATGCGCCCAATGAACTGGACCTTGATTCCCAAATGCTCCACCTTCTTTCCAGGTGCAAGATTCAAGGTGACAACCCCGGCAATATCTTGATGTGATTCGTATGCATACACTTGTTCTTGTTGTTGCATTTCTCCATACGGTCCAAGTGGTGCAATACTGGCAGGTTTGGCGGCATTTGGATGCTTCACTCTCCAGAAAGGATTTCTGTGTAGTTTCCAACTGGGATAATGTTCCAGTGGGATAGCAAGTACACCATTTTGAGGCGTCAACCGAATATCAATTTTGACACCTCCCTGGCCAGTCAAGGCCGAAAACATTCCTCCCTACAAAGCAACAAAAAAGACAAAAGACAAAAGACAACCGATCCGGTTAACGACCATGCAAAGGATCAAAATCAAAACGAGAGTACGTACGATATCCATTTTTATCTATTGTATCCAACTCTCAACAAAATTTTGCGAGCTTGTGTGCACCAAGGAAAAGAAATGGCTGAAGATCCACTGCGTACAGTAAGAGTATGACTGAATCTTGTTTCATCGTTGCGCTTTCATCATTGCAGCTTCATTGGGGGCGAACAAAGCCGAAAATGGAAACAGGGGATATTTCCTTCTCCCTATTTTGTACTGCAGAACGACAGCAAGACGCAGACCACAGAACCATTTTCTGCAAATCAATTCAAAATCCACATCAGACACATGTCCAGTTGTCATCATCCGACAACTTGAAACTCTGCGCTATATCTTCTTTCGTTCACAATGCGCCATAGAGTATCCAAAATTCTAGTGAGATGTAGAGCGACCCAAGCGTCCAATCGAATAAGGGAACGAGGCATATCCACCTTCCATCAGCTATCAAGGTGTCGAAGCTCCGATTGGCGACGTTCTCTGGATCAAAGAAGGTGCATATGGCCTTTCGCGGAAAAATCCGAACAGCCATCAACCGAAGAAGAAGTTACTATTCAAATGCCAAAACAGTACGAGAGAAAAAGCAATGAAGAGAAGATGAGGGAAAGCGTCGACTTGATACTGAATGCTCCGATTGGATCACTTCAACCCAACAGTTGGCTGGAGGCTCACAAAGTCATTGAGCATATAGCAGAAATCGAAAAGATCTCCGAAGCCTTTCGAATACTGGATAGACTTGCAAAGGAACCAACTGCAAAAACAAAACTGAGTCATGACGCAATCTACACCGTCGTCCAAAAATGGTTCACAATGTGCCATCATCAGAAAAAAATGGTTTTCCCGCCGATGAAAGTTTGGCAAAACATCGAAGCGTACGAAAAGGTCGGAATCATCATGGAAAGTAGGACATACCATCGAATCATTGAAGCGTTGGCAATTGGAAAATTCTCGAAACCAAGCAACAAATACGGCCCCGTTGGACCTGTCCTTGCGGAAAAGATTTTGGAACGAATGATGGAGAAATCAAGTCACTCTAATCCTGTCGTCAGGCCATCAACTTATACATTCAATGCTGTTCTAGTTGCGTGGCAAAATGCCGCTTCCAGGTCTTCATGGGCAAAGAAGGAAGCACCACAACGGTCCCTTGCATTGCTCAATAAACTTAAGATGCTATACGATGCAAGATGGGGACCAGAGCTAAGTCCGGACAAGGATGTGTATCGAAGAGTCATGAACATTTTCGCCCACCGTGGAGAGGGCGATCAAGTTGAAGCACTTCTAGAAGAAATGTATGAACGATATTGGGATGAAGGACAACCCGCAAACTTGGTGCCTACCAATTCACATTTTTCTTTGGTCCTTTTTGCTTGGTCCAAATCGGACGATCCTTCAGCTGCCGAACGAGCTAATCAAATTTTGGAGCGCATGTTGGAAATGGAAACAAGTGGTGAGATCCCAGGCCTTCAAGTTTCTGCCTTTTGCTTCAATATTGTCATGATATGCATGAGCCGTGCAAGAACAAAGGAAGCGGCGTTGGAAGTCCAAAAGCTGTTTGAACGAATGTTAGAGCTTGCGAAGACAGACAAAGCCAAGAAACCAGTGGGTGGCACATACACTGCATTAATAGGCAATTGGAGTAGTTTTGATGCTGCCAAAGCTGAGGAAGTCTTTTGGACATGGAAGGAAGAACATGAGAATGGGAAATGCGGCATGAAACTGGATTCCAGGTTGCTTGGAACCCTCATTGCAGGTTGCTACAAATCCAAGACCATCCCCGATACCGCCGAACGGTGTGATCGCCTCTTACAATACGCTTTGGGCGCCGACCTGAAAACCTTTGAACCTTCCGTTGTACTCTTTAACATGACAATAAATGCCTATTGTCGAAAAAAGACAATGGGTGGTGTAGAACGAGCCGAAGAGTTGCTACGTCAAATGGAGGATTACAAGGACATCCTTAGTCCTACCATTTTTAGCTATGTTCCAATCATTCAAACGCTGGCAGGACTTGGTCATGTCGAACGAGCTGAACAACTTCTGCTGGAGTGGTACAGTAGCGAAGGCCGAAACAAAAAGTCTAACCATAGCCCCAGTATGAAAATGAAGAAGAGGCTTGACACACAGACCTTCAACAGTTTACTGCGAGCCTGGCTCTCAAAAACAAAGATCAACCCCGAGGCTGCTGCCCGAGCCGAAGAGCTCTTGCTGACCATGCGCCGGTTGGGGGTCCGAACAAATGCCCTCTCCTTCCAGTTGGCCCTCCAATGCCGACAACGAGCCAACCACGACTCGATACAAACAACTCGAGACTGGGAACGTGTGGACGACATTGTTTCCTTCTTGTACGACGAGTATAAGAGTGGAGCTCCCATAAAAAACGATACTCTCGTCAAGATGGTCAATGATTGGTCTGTGCTAAAAATATAAGCTAGAGAATAAATAACACGTATAACAGATAGAGTTGTCAAATCGACAGTGCTGTTGGAATTCATAATAGTCATCAAGATTTGGGAGAACTACTTTTTCGTTTGGTCTTGTCCCCATCATCACTTTGTTTGGTCGAAGCGTTACCACTTTCCATGATTCCTTGAAACAGCATGCTTTCATCATTTGGATTGTCCTCCATCATGTTGCCATTTGATTCGTCCTCATCCTCGTCATCGTCTTCTTCCTCTTCTTCGGAGGAGGAATAGATTTCCAGTGACTCTTTCCCCAGCAGGTTGAATTTCCAAGCCTCAAGCGGGCGCTGAAGATCACGTAGCAATATTGTGTCATCTTCTTCGTCTTCATCATTCTTGTACTTGCGGTCCAAAGAACCTGGATCCTGATTTTTTCGATAGTATTCTTCTTCTTCGTCTATTGAATCATAAGATTCGTCATCATCGTCGTCTTTGTTGGCTGAACTTTTCGTGGCACCATTAGTAGGAGATGCAGCTTCGTCTGCCTTTTTCGTTTTCTTCTTTTTCCGTTCCTCCGCCTTACCCCCTTTCTTGTTGAGGGCTTCAGCAGTAGCAATAGCAGCGAGATGCTCTTTCTCGCGATTCTCTTCTGTTTGCTCTCTCCGTCTTTTTCGGTCAATAGTTTCTTCGTCATAATGTTGAATGTGACGCTTGCGCTGGTTTGCAGCTTCCTTGGCTAGTTCTAGCCCCTTTAACCGTTGGTCTCGGCAAGCAATGCCTTGTTGGAGTACTGTAGCCAAGAATCGGTCGGCCGAAGCCGATATTACAGCCCCCACCGTGTCGTCCAGATAGCCTACCCCTTGCCTGTGCAGCATCCGCCGTGATAGTGCCGTGGGTACTGTAGGGCCGGATATCGATTCAAAGGATGGATGACTGTCATTCCGACGCTGTAAACGATGTATGAATCGTTGCATCTGAATGTCTTCTTTTTGTAATTTTCGAAGGGCGGCATCTGCAGGTGATAATTTTTCATTCGCCTTTGCTTGTTGCGGCTGAGTGCCAGCTCTCGGCGCTTGAGTAAGGTTTTGCGGTTGTCCAGTTGGTGTGCCTATGGAAGGTGGTGGTGTTTGGCCCAAGAGCTTTGCCCGGTGCATTTCAATCATACGCTCGCTCATGGTGCTTTCTTCTCTGAGCTATAGAATAGCCAGCCCTTTTCCCTTGATGAATTCTCAATGCCGAGAGCAAAGTCTCGTGCTATGCTGTGCTGTTATTGGATGTGAACCGTGTTTCACGCGTATGTAGTTGATTCAATTCAATTCAATTCAGTGATGTGTTGTTGTTCAGTATCTATCTCTTCATAATCCGGATTCTATTCTTCGTTCGTACGTATTGATATTGTTGTGTTCAAGTGCTTATTAAGTTGCAGCTGGCCCGAGGGAAATGGAATTGTTTTCAGTTCAAAATTGCGCTTTCAATGCTCTTGTTTCTTGATTTGTGATCGTTCCAAGCTTCAGATTTCCAATGAGGTTCCCAGATTTAGATGTCAAGTCTTCACCGATGAAATATCTTGCTTCAGCAGTTGTGTAGCAGTGCAAGGTTAATAACTGATGATGAAACCCGTGTGAGGACGTGTGGATGATCCGCTTTCGTGATGATGCCAAGGGCGCGATGGATCGGATCCATTCGATGAGCAACTTCCAGTCGTTTGCAATGCCTGTAGAATTCTACGCAACACGGCAGCCACGAGATCGAACTCAGGCAGAGCGCGCACTTTTGCGCAAATTCTCCTTTCTCCACTCTCCAAGAATCTTGTCATAAATGGGCACTCAAATGAAATGTACCCTGTCCATGAGCATTTCAAAATGTGGTTCATGTTCTTTTAACATTTGTCTTAGATCTAAAAAATATCAGGGTCTATGTCTTCTCCATCAAAGGCATCACAAGGTAGCATGTTTTCGTTCCACTCTTGATGGTGAAATATACTAGCCAGCCGGGCCTCGTCCTGTCCACAGGCACTCATCATCGAAAGCCACAAATCTTTGGCGGGCGGTGGATCCGATTTATCGGTGGACGGCTCATGTTCGCACGTTCCACTCAAAGCAATTTCAGCGGGGCCTCTACAAGGTATCCAAAAGCCGTGGGCCATTTCACTTTCCAGTTGACCAGGTGCCCAAGTGGAAGCTCCAACAAAGAAGGACATTTCGTCTATAAAGGTATTTGAAAGTGAGAAGTGTGAATTTTAAAAACAAAAAAGTTTATATGATGCAATCAATGCAAAACAGACTCACTCTTGTCCAACTTGCCATCCTTGATTGCTGTCATGGCATCAAACACGTCCCCTTGAAAGTAAGTGGCACAATCTGTATATTCGGCAGTGCTACCGTCATGTGGCTCTGGGATTGTTGGAATCAAGGTACCATCAATTGTGTTTTCTTTGGATCCCGGTAGTGAATACAACATTTGTAAGGATGGATGTACGGGACCTCCGTCCTTTACTGGCATGTCTCCAAAGATATCTGCCATTCTTTCGGGCAGCATATTGTCATCAAAGGCTTCCCTCAGCGTTCTCTTTTCATTCGTATCACCCTTCATGCTTACTCGATTCACAATAAGTCCATACGTTGGACCCAGGGCGTCCAAGTCAAACCGCTTTGCTGCCGATTCACTTTTTGCCTCGTTTTCATAGTCCAATATACATATTACACTAAACATGATGGCAAGGAATAATGGAATAATGGAATAACAATCAGCAACGCATAGTGTCAGTACTCAATAATTCATTCTTCAGACAACTTTCGTGATCGAAATGGCATAGCTTACGTTCGAGAAAAGAAAGAGTCACTCATGTGTGGATGACTCATAAGAAATACTCCTGGTTGTAATATGGCTGATGGTTTGGATATTGGTAGAGAAGATACGTGCCAGGCAGCCTGGTTTGGAGATACCTCGCTGGAATCGACACTCGCCAATACGGACAGTTTCTTGTTGAGTTCTCGTAGTGCTGTAAAGGCCACTTGCCGTCTTGTCAAATCATTGAAATAGGCAGACATGGAAGAGCCCTTTTCATTGCGAAATTCTCTCTTGATGACTTGTTGCAGTCTCGAGGTGTCCACTACTGAAGGAACAGGCATTCGTCGTAATCCCTTTTCTCCTGTCACCACTTCTCTTAGTAATCTTCTGAACAATAGTTTGTGATCTCGATCATCGTCTTGGAAACGTCCTCCTTTTTTGGCATCCGCATAGCTATAACTCAGATCGCTCGCCTGGTGTCCCTTTTCCAATCCAGTCGCCTTGACAAAGGCCTCCCAATCGGAAATGTCGTCGTCCAATCCAGTTCGATGCAACAGGCAGTGCAAGACTTTGGCATCTGGTGATGAAGTGTATGGCTTGATGGTTCTTAGCATGTTTCGATACAGTCTTCGTATGACCAACGAGGATTTGGACGTTGAAGAAGAAGCCATCTTGAATCTTGTTGTTGTTGAAGTTTCAGTGTTTGTTTGGTTGTGGGGTATGGGCGGCTTCTGATTTTTTGAATTTCTGCCAGTAGATTGACTGATTCGACTACGGTAGAGATTGCAAAACTTGAAAACGAAGAGAATAAATTCAAAATAACGAATTCTAGTACAATAGGCTATTCCTAACGCCACCAAATTTGGGTTAATATAGCATCTTTATGATTCATTCATTGCCGCTTGTTGTCTTTTCTTTTGCTGCCAGATTTTCTTGACAATTTTCTGATATCGTTTGTTCATTTCTTCTGCCGCCACACGGTATGGATTTCCTGCCGCGCTGTTGTAGGTTAGGGCATTCTGAATCATTAGATCGATGTCCGCAAAGAAGGATTGCAAGGTAATGTACTTCATTCCATGAACCTTATCTTTGATATATGTCAAGTTCATGGGAGTGGTAATGATATCAAAGTAGTCCGGAGCTCCAATGGCAGCACAGTTGTTGCGATCAATGACTGTACGGAACGGATTGGTATCTCCCAGAATCTTAAAATTCATATCCCACATTGTATTGAAAACCTTTAATATCAGTGTTTGTTGCGGAGTCGCCGCTGGCTTGCGTTGTTGAACCTCGCGTTCCCTACGCAAGCGCTCTTCTTCTTCTCGTTTGGAACGAGCCTCTTCCCACTTGCGAGCTTGTTCTCGTTGTCGGTCTAATTCTGCCTTGCGGCGGGCCTTTTCGGTTTGTTCCATGGCGGAAATAGGAGCCCCAGTTGAAGTCCGGATCTTTTTGGGAGCCGCGTTACGGGATTGCAATCCCATGGCAATCCCATCCAAGGCACGTTTCCGTTCCGGGTGCATCATGGTTTGCGCCAATGTGGCTTCTAATAAGGGCTGTTGTTCGTGTGCTTTGGTTTCTCGAAGCGTAAAGGCAGCTCTCATCTTTTCCTCTTCCAGCGGTTGTCGTTGCGAAATGCGATCAAATGGATCTTTTCCTTGCATCTCCACCATGTAACGTTCCACTCGTTGCCTAAGACCTGAACCTATTCGCTTGTAGAATTTGTCTTTTGGGATTGTGGGTAATCTACGAGTGACAGTGCCATTCAACAAGAGTCTTTTGTAGGAAGGTTCCAGTGGTTCACGACGATTGAGGCTTTGGAGTGCCGCACGTAGTTGTTTGCGCAATTCATCTTCGCCGGCAGACGAACCAGTAGTCTTTCCACCAGGAGAGGCGAACGTTTCCGGCGTTGCTGGTGTCCCTGGGTTCGAAGACATCATTCGTTTGTCTTTTTGTTATTGATGTTGTTGTTCTTATTGTTGTTGTATTATCACTTATGATTGGTGATTGGCAAGGGTGCTTCGGGGATGATTTGGATTGTGTCAAAAGGTTGTTGTTGTTGTTGTTGTGTTGCGGCATCGCATCGAAGCGAAACCCTAGAGTTGACTCATTGACTCATTCGATCCCTTTGAAATTCGCACCAAAATAAAAACCAAACCACAACCACACTCAATCGATCCATCTGCCACAGGACAGCGCGCTCTAACAAATACGATACAGTGGAACCTTGAAATGCACACCACGCTTATCTCTCAAGCAGTCTAAAGCATAGTTGAATCAAACAGGATTTTCTTCCTTAGCAAAATCGAAGCAACAATAGACAATGCGATTCAAAGCCAAAGTGCTGAGCGACCAAGTCTCGCTTTTGTATTCCATCGTCAATGCAATCGCCAAGTTGCAAGACAACAACAAGTTTGCGATTCTCTATCTAGATCGAGAATTTGTTCGAATATCCTGCAAAAGCGAAAGTGGCATCACCTGCTTTATGGAACTCTCCAAAGACATTTTTCTCGAACACCGCATCGAATCTGCCGCCGAGAATGTCATTGTTTGTCAAGTGGATTTGAATTCCTTGAAACTGGCCCTGCAAAGTGTTCACGGGCAATATAATTCACGAAATTACAGCAACTCCAGCCAAAATAATCGACAAAATCAGTCCGTTCTCCAATCGGTTATGGCAGGTCAACAAATGGTCATTTTGAAATTGGCCAAACGTAATCAAATGCCATGCTTATGTTTGGATGGACAAGACGATTCGATCGAAATCCATCAAGCAATTCCAGTCCGAGTGTTACGGCAATCGGAAATGCAATATCATTTGCCGCCTCAAATCAATACGCCGGCGGTGCAATTGGAACTACCCCTGGATCGGCCGCTCAAGGCCATTGTGGACAAATTACGGCAAATGGGCCCCCACTTGTATCTAGAAGCCACCATGAGGGGAGATTTGACGGTACGACTAGACCATGATGGGGCGTCCTTAGCCTGCTTTTATTCCAATCTGGTGCCACGATGGGACGAAGAAGAAGAACAGGCACCGAATCCTGATTCGCATTGCGTCCTCAAGGTGGATGCCAACAAGTTTAGTACTTGTTTGCAATGGCAACAACAGAGTCAACTGCAGGTTTCATCGTGTCTTTTGGGGATGGTCCACAATGAGATGCTGGTATTGCACATTCTGTTGAATCCAGATCACGTTGGTTTCTTTACCTACTATATACCGGTCTACTTTATGCACGAAGATGAGTTGGAATAATAATGATATTTGAAGGCTACCTCATACTGTAAAGTACTCATTGTAGATTTTATTCACTATACACTATAGAGTAAACTATGCTACGAAGTAAGAGTAATGATGGAGGACGATACGGATCGTGAGACTTTTCTTCGTTGCTCTTCTTTTCCCTCCAACAAAGTCTGTCCTTACTACGGTCACTTTTCTTTTCATCAATTGCGTCATCGTCCCACATCACGTCACATATCGCCTACAGTAGGAGGTATTTCTCAACACATCATTACTATTTGTAGTTGCACATCATGCGAACAGCTTCCAACTTTCTCGTATCTACCTCTCGACGAGGACTGGCTCATCACCTGCGAGGTTTGCCGTCAGCAGGATGCCAATCCATCAAGAGCAACGCTCCATTATTGTGGCGTCAACAAGTAGTAGTTCCTCCTCACCAAGCGGCATCCTTCTCCACCAATGAAGGACCCAGTGGGATTTCAGGATGGATGGAATCACGAAAGGAACGACAGGAAAAAGAGAATTACATGGAGCAAATGGAGCGTCTTTCCAATATGGAAGAGTTGACTTTGCTCAAGTACCGAGAAGAATTGGACCGAGGATTGGATAGCTGGGGTGCCAAGCTTTCCTTTGGACTAACAAAGGAAATTAAACTTGCCAAGGAAGTTGTTGCATGCATCAACTGTTTCATTGAGGTTTTGGGAAACGATGCAACTGCCGATGACTTGATTGAAATGGATCGATTGCAACGTCTCAAGGTGGCAACGGCAAGCAACAAGTCTATGGAGGACATTCAAATCATGATTTCGCAGGTTCAAAACATGGACTTGATGCAACGGACACTACGGAAACGAAAGGCAGAAGGAAAACCCATTCCACCAGACTCTAATTCCATGCAAGCTGCGATAAAGAAAGATGCATTATCTGTCATGAGCAAATCACAAAAGGAGATGATGATGAAGCGACAAATGGAACTAGGAAGGCGAATGGCCCGAAAGCGAAGATAGATTAAAATGGACAGACATTGGCATTGGATGCAACAGCTATATGAATATGAACCTAGATTGAACGAATCAATGAATCTATAAAAATCGTACAAAACAAGGAGCTAGAAGTGGAAGATGAAAATATATACAGTATGGATCTTTAGAAAATGTACTAGACGTTACTTGAGCCAACCAGTTGTACACCCCACTGCAAATCATCCACTTAGGCATTTGTTGGTAGGGAGAATTTTCCTCCTTGCGATTTACTGTAGTGATTTTCGAAGAAATAAGGTTCAAGAGTTGGTGAGTGGATCAGTCGTTTCCTACTTCAACAAACAGTCTCCCGGTGTAACATACCTTTTGAAGTAGTAGTAAAAGAAATCCGCATACAACAACGTTTGGATCACACCACAGATATACACAACCCAATGGTGTCTGTATCCCTTTTCAGTGTTTGCCCTGTAAACCCAGTTTAGAATGTAAAGAGCACGGTAGGCTCCCATGAAGAAAACATAGTTCCCCGTCAAGTTTTCAATCTCCCGGTAACGTTGAATGACAATCAATTGAGGAAGGATAGCAATGGCTTCACAGTAAATTGAAAATGTCCAAAGCAACTCGAGCAGATTGAAGTCGGCAATTCCAGACCCGATCAAGTGAGTCAGGAACGCCAAAACACCGCATGGAGCAGCTGCAAACTTCCAGTGCAAGAAAGAATCTTGGCTCTTGTCGTAGGTGCTCTTAATCGGCTCTTGAAATTTGATGGTGTAAACAATGGCAGCAGTGGAGCCAATGTATATAATCTTCATGCACGAGTTGTATAGCGAGTAATAAGTGGTGAACAAATCCAAGTATCGAGTAACGAAAACAGCCAAGAAAAGTTCGTGTGTTCGGACAGAGATTCCTAAGAAGATGCAAAGAATAGAACAGATGAGCCACACCTGAATTGAATTGCAATATATGCAATCAACGAGTTGTTTGTTGTCTAAACCAGTTCGCAAGATCGTTCACCAATGAGAATCCAAGACACAAACATACCCTGTGCATTTTTTGCCACTCGCAGCCGTAGCAGCAAAACAATAATGCTGAAAAGATGCGACATGTCGCCGCAGAAACGAAAGATATTCATGATTGTGTTCAAGGGGTTTGGTCAGAGTGTAGTTGTTAGCGTGATAAACAAGATGGAGTTGCACCTTTTGCCCCCGATCATTGCAATGCCAGCAGTCACGTTCGGCCGTCGTACTTTCGCACGTGTACATTTGAATTCAACGGGTATAAAACGGGATATGGACGGACGCCACTAAGATCGTTTTTGACAAAACCTGAACCTCAAACCTGTCTACTACTCCACGCACTTCTATAGAAATAATGTACTTTCATAGATCGCAATTATCAATTAGTAAAGCTTATTGCCTATTACCTACGCCTCAGGGCTCTAACCGCTGCAACAGCTGCAACAGCTGCTCCCATGGTTAAGGCAACTGAACCAATTTGCTTCAACTGCTCACGCCTGTCCAATCGTCGCAACAGCTCTGGGTACGTACGACTGCCCACATCATCGTAATCACGTAGACCATCCTGTCGACGAGATTCTTTCACCAGGTCGAATAGCTCGGTCAAATCTTCTCTTTCAAAAAACTCCGACGGTTGGAAATTCACCTGTCGCAGTGCTTCAATCGTAGTTGGTCGCTTGTAAGCAATCAACGCCAAGAATCCCAGTGGAGAGATAAAACCAGCCATAACTTTCTGCCGCTTAGCCATATCCATACGCCATTCTTCCAACCTGTCGTACAAGCTAAGTTGCGACGCTGTCCACTCTGGAATCTCTCCTGTCTTTGAAGCAACAACGATGGACTGAAAATCTGGATCCTTCAAATGTTTTTCGGCCTTGGCCTTCGAAAACTTTGCACACATTTCTTGGCTACGCGATATAACTTGCATCAGAGCTGCGTTCATCCGCAATTCGCCCGCGCCGAAATTTGATGATCTCTCAGTGGTTTCAACTGCAGTATCATGATAATCACCACGAACTGCCTCTGCCGTACCGGCTGCTTCGTCAGGCGATGATATGGTATTGCCGAAGTCATCTTCATCTTCATCAAAGTCATTCCACATAGAGGCCATAGTATCCGCAACAGCCTTAGCTTCAGCGTCTGAGTCCTTGGGATTTGATTCATCCCAACACTCTTCCTTTGCCAAGTCGCGCATCATTAACTTGCGTAGTAATATCAGACAATGGACATCATAGCGAGCATATATGATCATATTCTCCTCCATTGGTCGGACAGTCCAGTTACATGTCTGGTAGACAGCCTTGAGATCTTCATACTCTACTGAATCCTTTAGACCATAGGCCCCGCAGACTTGAGCAAGGCCCAATCTCTTTAACTTTAACGCCTTTGCTGCCTCCTGCGTGTCAAACGCGTTGACGACGAAAATACCGAAATCGTGCTGCAGGCATTGCACATCCATGCCTGCAATGGCATGACCAATCTTGACAATCTTTGGATCGGCAAAAATTGGAGCCAGCTCACCAACACTTTCCCAAACACCTGGAGCTAATGTATCAATCACGTACTCCTTACCGCTTGATGTAGCAAGCTGTATTAAACATGTGATCAATTGAAGTTTTGACCTGTACAAGCACTCCAAATCAAAAGCAAGCTCCGTAATGTTGTCGGCCTACAAGGTACCACCAAGTGAGACATATCCACTGCGATGCATAACTTTAGTTCCATTTTTCCTTACCTCTATTTCTTGAACGCATTCGCGTATTTGCTCTGGCGAATCGACTAGCGTCCAGTACTCGTCCTCTAATCGTGGTGGAACCGTATTCTCCAGACTTAAATCTTTGAGTTCTTCAAAGTCCAATTCGTCGATACCATCGCGCAGACTATCTCCAGGTTGATCGATCAACTTGTAAACAGCATCGTGTCCCACTTTGGTGGCTGCAGTAGCTGATTCACCTAAACGTTTTAGCCAAGGCTTCAAGTCTAGAAACTGTACTTTGGGATCACATTCCGATTGTTGGACAGCGTAATCGAGTCCATCACGAAATATCGAGATTGCAACGAAACTTTCAATTGGTGACAGTTTCACACCCACATGGTAGAGATTCGCAAATACACAAAGGTGATGAATGATTTTTCGCTGTTTTGCGTTTAGCAGCGGAAGTGCCAAATATGGTTGTCTCAAAGCATCCTCGTCCAAGGCGGGAAAGGTGCATCCTGCGATCACGATTGGATCGCCACTATCCGACATTTGCAGCTTTCTCGACCTGCTCTTTTGGAATACATTGCCGCTGTAAAGATCGGTGCATCTCTCGTAGTATTCGTTCAAATATTGAATGAGGAGCTTTCTATCCTTCACTGAGAATGCTTCGTTCTTGTTGCCGTATGATCTTGCTTCATTTGAGAAACCCATCTTCTTTTTGCCATATCGTCCTTTCTTGTACCACTTTCTGCGTCCCATTTTTTCAGTGGTATGCAACCGATAACCGAATCGAAAAGAATATGTGCATGTCTGAAACCAGATAGTTGTGGTGCAGGTTTGATCTTGTCTTTTGGATCATGAGATCGTCTCAATTCTAGTCGAATGGGTCGATTCATGTTTCTGAGCAAAAGTAAGCACTGGTAAGTGAATGAATTCCCGATGAATATTAGACGGTTCGTACTCTAGTAACGAAGTGGCTGCCAATCGAAATCAATGTCGTCGTACTGAACACTCTCGAGAACAAGTCCGTGAGGCGGAGCGCATTGGAATTGGACCCTTTTGCCGGGGGTCTCTGGAATGTCCCAATTGCCGCTTTCTATGGCTCGCTCGAATGTGTCCAAATCTAGTCTATTACTTCCGAGTGCAACCAACGCTCCCACAATCATCCGACTCATCTTGTACAAAAATCTATCACCAGTAATCACAAATCTGAACATTTCCACCTGCAAGCCAGGGAAATAAATCTTGTCTATTGATGGTTCTTGAGGGACAAAATCAACATGAAAGAGTGTGCAAGTGGGAAATTTCTCCTCCTTTTGCTTCTTTCTATCTCCTGCACCCCTGGCAGAACCCTGGAACGCAGAAAAGTCATGGGTTCCCCGGAGCATCTCGCACCCCTTTCGAATTGTTTCCATTTTCCACTCTCTTATGTCCTTCAGGAACCAAGCCGATCGGCGAAGAGTCGGGTCCTGAAAGTCCCCAATCGATACACGGTACTCGTATGTTTTTGAAACAGAGCTCAGTGATGCATGGAATGGATACTGATATGTTGGAGCAAGGAACGGCGCGGGAGCAATTCCTGAGATTTGGACATCTTGAGGACGCATTCGGTTCAGTGCAAATGCCATTCGTGACAAGTTGGCATCCTTTGGGATTGGCTCGAAATAGCTTTGGTCGGTAGGAGACGTTGGGTGCGGTATCCGCTTACCCTTTATTGTAGACATGGATCGATCGGGGTTCTCAGAGCCGGATGACTCTTGTAAAGCGTTGAAGGCTTCCTCGGTAAGGCAGTAAATGTGGGCCATCATGCCTGTGGCATGCACTCCCTTATCTGTTCGACTACATCCCTCGACAATTACACGTCGAGGGTCAACATTACCGTAAATCTGGGCCAAGTTGGCCCTTATTACCCCCTCAACCGATCTCACATATCCTTTTGCTTCTCCTTCCCTATCGACCAGTCTTCTTCTCCGCTTTCGCTTTATCTTTGGCGAAGGATCATTCAAGGGGAGTGAATCTTGTCGCATATCATTATCATAGCTATTGTCGTTGGCACCGCTCCATCCTGTGAACATCCTTCCGTCAAAGCTGACTCGAATGACGGCATTCGTAAGCACATCCTGTGTGTCATCGGTTTTGTCTTTCCCTCGAGTGGCAACAACCTTTTCAGCTGTAGCTGAATCTAATGCATCGCAAGTATCTGATCCAGACGTTTTGCCATATAAGCGAGACTTTTGCCGAGAGGAATCGGATTTAAAGAAGGAATCATGTTGTCGAAAATTATCTTGACAGCCATGGGCGTGACACGCAGGGGGGAATATTCTTGTAGGAAGAAACGCCACTGTTGGTTTGGAAAGAGATATTAGCCACATGCATTGTATTCCTAAGAAAAATAATTTCAACTTCATTGCTCTCTGGACCCATTAGCATTCATGTACCCGTAGCAAATGCGCACAAAAATTTCCTTGTTGAAAGTATTGTTTGGGTGTTGAATGCATGAATGATGGCCGACGTCTGTCCATTTCTCCCCAGTGAAATCTATTCGAGAATTTTGTGCGACTGGAATTGTTTCTGTTGGCGGTATTGATAGTGGACGAAACTTACTCGAGATGACGACAATTGTACGGTATTATTCTGCTGTTCTTACGAACACAGTGTACCTTACACACCGTTGAATTCGATGTGATTACTTAAAACGTTCCTATTCTTCGTTGCCTTTATAGTGATAGATTTTCACCCGAAGAATGGTTCATGTTTTCCATTCCATTCAGTTCTTGGCTCTTGGATCACTCTTGCCAACATGTCTGTCCTTCTCCCCAGTGAAAATCTAAACAGATCTTGCACAATCTGATGTCGAGCGACTGGGATTGTTTCTGTTGGCGACTATGATAGCGGACGAAACCTACTTGACATGACAACAATACGTGTAGTAGGTACTCTACCGTTCTTACTACACAGGTGTACCTTCTGGTCCTAAATACCGTTGAATTCGAGGTGGCAACTGAAAACGTTCCTATTCTTCGTTACCTTGCTAGCGGTAGATTTTCACCCGAAGAGCCCACTGATGGTTCATGCTTTCCATGTAGTCGAAAGTTTTGTTGGATGATACAAGACTCACTCGACTCTTGGTCCAACCATGTCTGTCCTTCTCCCCAGTGAAAATCTAAACATCTTGCACAAATTCAAAATTCAAATGTTGAGAATTTTGTGCGACTGGGATTGTTTCTGTTGGCGACTATGATAGCGGACGAAACCTACCTGACTGTGCACGTGTAGGTACACGTAATCTACCGTACTTACTACACAGGTGTAGCTACCTTCTGGTCCTAAACACTATTGAATTCGATGTGACTGAAAACGTTCCTATTCTTCGTTACCTTGATAGTGGTGGATTTCCACCCGTAGAGCCCCCACAGATGGTTCATGCTTTCCATCTAGTTAAAAGTTCTGTTGTTGGATGATGCAAGACTCTTGGAAGATCCAAAATGTCTTTTCTCCCCAGTGAACATCTAAAAAAACCACAGATCTTGCACAAATGTCGAGAATTTTGTGCGATTGGGATTGTTTCTGCTGGCGACTATGATAGCGGACGAAACCTACTCGAGATGACACCAGAAAAGTGTAGTAGGTACTCACTCTACTGCTGTACTTATTACACAGGTGTTCTTCTGGTCCTAAACACCATTGAATTCGATGTGGCAACTGAAAACGTTCCTATTCTTGGCTACCTTGATAGTGGTAGATTTTCACCCGAAGAGCCCACCGATGGTTTATGCTTTCCATCTACTGTAGTTGAAAGTTTTGTTGGATGATGCAAGACTCTTGGATTATCCATGTCCTTCTTCAAGTGAAAATCAAGTGCGAACAAGAGAGCGCACTTGCACAATCTCGAATTTTGTGCGACTGAGATTGTTTCTGTTAGCGGCAATGATAGCGGACGGAACCCACTCGAGATGGCAACGACTACTGTACATACTACACAGGTGTACCTTCTGGTCCTAAACACCATTGAATTCGATGTGGCAACTGAAAACGTTCCTATTCATCGTTGCCTTTATAGTGGTAAATTTTCACCCGACGAGCCCAAGGATGGTTCATGCTTTCCTCCCAGCGAGGTTCATGGTGAGCAATAAATACTCCACCAGAATGACAGGACAACAGCTATGCCAAACCAACCGGGTTGCACAGCGCGGCGTTGTGGGTATCGCTCATTCTAGTTTCCTCACGACGCAATTATCAGAAAAGCCTTTAGGGGAAGATGGTGTCGGAGATTCCAGGAACGCAAAGGAGGAAGAAGGTCAGCATGTTGGTGGGAGTCCTTGGATTGAGAGCCGACAAATCGATGATTATGGCCTCATCCTTGGGGATATTCTTACAATTATTCTTGCCTCCCAATTAATGGGTCTTCTTGATGCCTTGAATGCCCCAGACTTTGCCCAACAGGGAGGTTGGTTCCAACCCATTCCATCAGTTCCATCGACGCTTGGAACACTAGTCGAACGCATCTCAACGCTGAGCTTGGTATGGCTCCTGTCAGCATTTTCGGAAGAAGAATCATACACCTTCGATGCCATTGAAAACGAAAAGTCATCTATTTTCGTCGCCTTGACTATAGCAGTCAACTTTGTGGCCCTGCGTTGCATATTGGCAGTGGTCTTGGCGGCGACTAGTGGAGGCAGCACTTTTGACGGCAACATTTTCGACAGCAAACAACTGGTACTAGTTTTGCGTGATTGCTATTTTGTGGTCTTAGGTTTGCCTACCTTTCGATTCATATATACCAAATATTGGCCTCGATGAAGCCATTTACTTTCAACTTAGACTTTTAGCTATAATACAAATCTTTCCATCTATTTCCATTGAATTGGCAGCGTTGAAACAACTCCAAAATGGTCAGACAAAAAGTCCAGCTTTGATGTCATGGGTTTATTTCCAATCAATCCAAAGGTTACTGGCGAGCCATTATCAGTAGGCATAAGATCGATCGAATGATTTTCATGATGAATGTAGATTCGATCATATCGGGCAGTATATTGACGAGTACTTTGTCCATAGTACTGATTGAAATATCCTTCCTTCGGGTCAAGGTCTTCTTGGCCATTTTCTGTCGCATCATTGCGATGGTCTATCGTATCCCAGGTAAACTGCGTACTCGGATTGCTTCCAGCCAACTTCCAAACATCCAAGAGTTGCAAGTCTTCCTCCATTGCAGTGTCTTCGGTTGGACGCATATTGGTGTCCCCTGCAATCACAACAGGAATGGCAAGGGACTTGGCCTTTTCTACAATTGCTTCCATCTGTTCGGCGCGTTTGCGATTTCCTTGTTTGAATGGTTCCAGGTGGACGCTTGCTACCAAGATCCGATGAGGCTCAGCAGTAGTAGGCTCACCACCACCACCATCACCAACGTCGAACACGGCCATAATCACTGGCAGACCCGGCATGGGAATCAACTTGGATTTGATGTCTTTCTTGACAAGCAGCACCACTTGATCTGCATGACTGTATGTCGCCCCAACTGCTTTGTATCCTTGCTGGCCAAAGACTTGATCGACCAGTTCCACACCACCGGGGGATTCTTGGAGTGCGATCCAATCGGGGCGATGCGAGATGACTTCAGATCGGACTGCATCAATAGAGTCCTTTTGAGTCCAAGATTCTGGTGCCATTTGCGAAGGTACGCATCCCGCAACGTTCATGGAAACTAGAGTCGTTGTTGTTGTTGTTGTCGTCGTCGTCGTCAAAGAGCCGTTGGTTGATTTCGAGACACCACTGTGTGGTGCTTGCTTCTTGCTGACTCGAAGCGATTCTGATTCCATTTTTCTTGACGTCGTTGACTTTGTATATGATTGAAATTGTGTAGATGCCGAGGCGTGACTTTTGATCCTTGCTCCCCCAAGACCAAGATCCCAATCCAAGAAAGCGAGACCCGCCACGACCAGTACTACGAATGTCAGTCCAACTATAAGAGCGAAACCGAGTTTGAAAAATATTTTGTTCGTGTTGTTCCAATTATTTCCATTCGAAGCTGGTGATTGCAGGGTCTTTCTTTGTGCTGAAAGGCTCTGTTTGGAAGGTAGGACCATCCGTTCACCAAAGCAGTGAAACTGTGATGATGATCAATTGAGATCATGATGTTTCACGACCGAATGTGACTCTGGTACACCGGAGAAGTGAAGAATTGGGGAATTTGTGTACGGTTCCATTGTTTTAGACAATTCAATGATGGTCGGCATTCTCGATTTTGCAAGCCTTAGTGTTTTACAGACTGTGGAGCAGCACCATGTATTTGCCTTTGCGTAAACTGCCTGACGATACAGCAGCTTTTGGAGCGTGCATCCATCATGAATTGGAGTACTAGACTGCGTCCTCCAAAATAGCGCAACATTCTCTGCTCCTGCTTGGATCGGGACATTTATCTTATGTCACCTCACCAAACCCCAATCACGACGCCACTTTCGTCTTATGAAATCCAAAGAGCGAATTGTCATAATCGTCTTGATAAAACTCGTCCACTTGCTGTTCCAACTCTGGATAGTAGTAGGATTGCATTTTCGATTTGGCATTGGTCGTGTGTTTTTGTTTTTCCTGGGATGTGACAAACATGGATCCATTTCCATGGGGACCCCATCCATCTTTGCCATACTTGTCCCATGCTCCAATATGTTTCATGAGTCGAATACCGTCTTCTGCAAGCGCGTCCATTTGTCCTACAAAATTAATGTACTTCCAGTATTTAGCATCCATCCGCTTTGATTGCAATTCCCAATGATCGTCTCGACAGGTATGTATCAATTGTAGAAAGGAGGACATGTTGCTTCTCCCATTCTCCAGACATTCCTTACATTTTGGAATGGTGAGGCACTTGGGGCGATCTTGGGGAGTCTCGGAGCAGCATTTGTCCCGCAAAAAGTGTCCATTGTTGGATATTGCCTTGTCCAAATAGGCACTCAAGAATCGTTGTTTTGGATCTCGCACAAACATAGCCTTGGTCCAGTTGGGATCCAGAAACATTTGTTGGACTTGCGTCAAATTGAAGTGGTGCAAATATTTTAGATTGTTGAGTTTGGGATTGTGTGGCAAGTATTTGGATCCATCTTGGGCTTGCCAGTCTGGAGCACCCATGATCCGCCGAAAGACCTGTTTCCATGTCGTACAAGCCACCTTTGGTATGCTAAAGAATATCAGTCGAAACTCTTCAATGACAATCGGACTCCGATCCCATTGACGAGGATCGGTACTCATGATACGGTCGGTAGGCAAGACCTCTAATGCTGAAAAATCATCCTGCTGGGGATCGTTACTATCACCAATCTTGGTCGCTTGCATTTGATATCCTTCGCTTGTAGTGGATGACTTTTTTGACGATGATTGTTGTTGTTGTTGTTGTTGTTGAAACCAAACCACATCCAAATTCAAGCTGACGCCACCCCGCAACGATGAACTCGTGAATATATTCAACATGGCAAGGACTCCAGCAAAAATAGCTATGACATAAATCCACTTCTTGGTAGGTTGTTTACCTTTATTGGATGATTTTACATGAAGGGTGTCCATGGTTGGTTGGTGGTTGGATCCTCCTCGTGCATTTTTTAAAAAAGCAATGGGTGGAACAACTCGAAAACGGAGATGATGAATGGAATCGACCCGTGACTGGTTTCCATCCAATCTGCAATTCGGGACTCATTCAAACTTTTTTCAAATCGTGGTCGGTGTCGTTGTTCCGTGTCAGATTTGATTCTACGGGCAAACACGTAAACAATGTACCACAAGCCTCCATGCATCACGACGGACGGGCCATACGGAAATTGAAAATGATCGAAGCATTTCGACGATCCAAAGGTTCTGATCGTCCTCCACATTGCTGTTGTTAATTATCATTGAATCAACTGCAAACAAACACTACGATATATAGTACCACTGCAATAGCATCAACCAATCAATCAATCAATCAATCCATCGCTACTGAACTGAACACATTTCCACAGATTAATTACTAAATAAATTAACTTGTGTGGAAAACGAACGAAGAAGAAAAAGAATGTCAACCCCCGAATTGATTGTGGAAAAAGGATCTGAATCGGACAGCGTCGTCATGGTCGATCATACGGATATCAACAGTGTGGAATCCGAAGATGCGAATATTCCCAGTGAACCTCATGCCATGCAAGTCATTTCCATTGGAACCGAAGAGGATCAATACGCCTTTACTTTTCACGAAAAGAAACTCAATGCGATCATGAGCAAAATTCCACCTGGCTGGAAGGTTTCAGTGGTGAGTGTGGTGGGAGCCTTTCGAACAGGAAAATCCTTCTTGTTGACTTGGTTTTTGAGATACTTGAGTCACATTTCGGCCACCACTGCTACTGGAGAGGCTGTTACGGACGATGATGGAAAGCCTTGGTACGAACAGATTAATTCTCTGGGCAACGATGCCTTTCATTGGGCGGGAGGAGCCGATCGTCATACGACGGGAATCTGGATGTGGAGTCAACCACATTTTATTAATCGAAAATTGCCCAATGGAGAAATGGAATCCTTGGCCGTCTTGTTGGTCGACTCACAGGGAATGTTTGACAATGAAACCACCATGTCGCTGACGGCTTCCATTTTTGGAATGAGTACTCTATTGAGTAGTTACCAAATTTACAATGTGGAAAAGAGAATTCAAGAAGATAACCTTCAACAGCTTGCGCTCTTTTCCGAGTACGCTCGTTTGGCCGTGGAAGCGGATCAAGTGCATCAAGAAAATGTCAAACCATTTCAAAAGATTGAATTCCTAGTACGCGACTGGCAGAATTTTGAAGACGAGGACGATTATGAACAAATGGAAAAGGAAATGGTCGAATACTTTGAAAAGGTCATTGCTGATCGAGATGCCAAGGACTTGCAGGAAACTCGGGAACAAATCAGTAGCTGTTTCGAAAGTGCTTCCTGTTATGCCTTTTGCCATCCAGGAAAAAATGTCACCAAAAAGACATACACTGGGGATGTCACTCAAATTGATGAAACCTTTGTCAAACTTTTGGATCGATACTGCAAACGAGTCTTTTCGTTTGAAAATTTGCAACCCAAGTCCATTCAAGGACGTCATGTGACAGCCATTGAATTAGGATCCTACATCAAGGCTTATGCCGAGATGTTCGCCAGTGGCGCCAGTTTCCCCGAGGCATCTACCATGTTGGAAGCTACTTCCCATGCCAATAATATCAATGCGGTCAACATGGCCATTGGTCAATACAAGGACACTATGAACCGAATTGCGGGCCCCAAGTGTTCCAACTACATTCGAGCAGAAGAGCTCAAGGAGGATCACCGAATGCTTTTGGCCAAATCGTTGCAGTTTTTCGATAACATGGCCACATTTGGTAGCAAGCAAAGTATTCAAGGGGCAAGAAAGACTGTTGTGGATCAGATCAATGATGAATTTGATGTCTATCAATCATTGAATGTGGGAAGAAATCCATTGGCTGGATTGGAAACGTAAGTGCATTGTACTTGGGCACATTGGATTTGTATTGGATTTGTTTTGGATTTGTAAAATGCGGTATCTGACAACACTTTCTTCCTCTCTCTCTTTCTCACGCTCTGATTTGATTCATTCCACAGCTACATTATTCCACTTTCGGTCGCATTCATTTCCTTTATGTTCCGATTTATTGCGGATTACACATGCTCTCCATACTCGCATGTCTGCCGAAAGAGTTCGGAATTCTTTTCTCATGTATACGCAGTGGTCCTTTGCTTTATGCTAATCGTGGGCATGACAAAGGCACAACAAATAAAGGAACTCGTACAACGGGTCAAGTCGGTAGTGCAAATGATGAACGAGGGACCTTCCAAAAAGAAAAAGGCTGACTGAGCTTTTTCGAAACACAGTTTTAACATGGGATGATTCACTACTTTGATACACATTTACAACAACAATAATGATGACTAATTCTTGGATGAGAAAGTGCTAAAAACTTCTAAAAAGCGCTGAGTACTAGCAATATTTTAAGAACAGTAGGATAGATTTTTGTCATTCTGCGAAGCAACAAGGAATGTAGATCTTATCCGAGACCAGCCTGCCTTGCCGGCTACAGTGCTTCGGCATTTCCTCCTCGCGTAAAAAGAAACGAGGAGCTTCTAGACAACCACGAATGATATATTTACTACCTACTCCAATATAAAAAGGAAAAAAGGGAAAAAGGAAATTCTTTTGGTCTATCTACAACAACAGTATGACTGACTTCGCAGCAACAACTTAGCAACCGCATTTGTTGGCTTCATCGAGATTGGCGGGTGTCGCTGACACCTTGATATCAATAGTGTTAGAGGCTCCCGGCGCTGCCTTGGAAGCATTGTCGGGGCTTCCTGGAAGTGCTGTAGCCAACTTGCGAAACAGACTCTTGACATTGTATCCCGCCTTGGCACTGCATTCCATAAACATCAAACCATCCTTCTTTGCTTTCTCCTCTCCTTCTTCCGTGCTGACTTGTCGCTTATCATTTCCAAGATCAGTCTTGTTTCCTACAAGGCAAATAACAACATCATTCCCTCTTTCTGCTCGAACATCCTCAACCCATTTGGAAGTATTGGTGAAGGAAGCCTTATTACTAACGTCGTATACCACAACCGCCACGGAAGAGTCGCGAATATACGAAGGAATCAACGAGCGGAAACGTTCTTGTCCAGCAGTGTCCCATAGTTGCAGACGAACGGTGCGGTCTTCCAGATACATGGTCTTTGACAAGAAATCAATACCGATAGTGGCTTGGTAATGGCGGTCAAAATTGTCGTACATGAATCTTGTAATAATAGATGTCTTTCCCACAGATTGATCCCCAAGGAATACCAACTTATATTTCGCCAAAGGTGCCAAGTTTGCTCCACCTGCTCCAGCACGACCTGGGATCTTTCTCTCTTCAGACATATTTTACGGACGGATATATCTTATGAAACTGGGATGAATGAATGAATTAATGAATGGCAAATAGGACACAGATAGCGAGTGCGAAGTGAGCCTGTCCAATGGATGCAAATGAGAGATAATGTGAGAGAAGTCAGTCCTTGTAAAGTTAGAGTTGTAGAGTGGCAAGTCTCCGCAATAGTGTCGAGAGCATTGTTACTTGGATGACCCAATTTCAAATTCTTATTCAAGTCAAGTTGTTCGAATACTGAAATTCGTCTTATGAATAAAGGAATTGGGAATCGCCATCCAAGAGATTCGATTCTATTCCAATAGTAAAAACGACTCCAATAGTCGATGAAACGAAACCCCAAGCACGATATCACTTGAAAAAGTCTTGGATATCCTCCATGTCAACCTCTCTTTTTTTCGCTACCGAAAATTCCAATAACAATGCTTGTTTCCAAGTCTTTCGGAACCTCATTTCCACGTACCACTTGTCGTTTTGTTGTTTTTGCGTTCTTGCATCATTCGAGTTGAAAGAGAGGCACATGTCTTTTCGCGTGTGCCGGGACGAAATGCATCGACTCGCTTGCACGTAGAATTCGTACCAGCTCAACGTTAAATACGTCCGTTGAATTTGCGCCGTGGCACAATGCTCTCACAAATTGCAGAGGTGGTTTGACAACGACACTACTGTAGTTGCTACTGTTAATAATGTCTATATTGCACCAAACATTCTAATATATTATATTTAATTTACAAGTTGGAGTTTCAAAAGTGCGTCAGAGAGGAGACAGATTGATTGATTCCCTGAAATTCAAATCACCTGTCCTTATCTTTTCTGCTGGTGGTTGCTATTAGCTAACACCGATTAGAGTTTTTTCCCTTCTGCATTGAATTCCTGCAATCTCCAAAATCCCAGAATTAATAATAAATGATTCGTCCAATCACTATTGTTGTGCAGATCATAATGAACCCCTCACTTCATGACCAAACCAGGGGAAGACGACGTTAGAGAGAAAAAGCCACCTCCACCGCTACCACCGCTAGTAGACTTTTTCTGGAACTTTTTTACGGTTGGGTCGTCCAGAATGTCAACAGTATCGTTGTACTTTTTGATTGCCATGTTGATGCCCTTCTCAAAGTTCTGACATGGTTTCTCAATCTTTGATCGGATGGTAGTAAATGGATTGAGTGTGTATCGAACGTAGCAATCATGGACCACTTTCTGTAGTTATATATAGATGTCGAATTCAGATTTGACATGGTGAAAACATGGTTTAGAAAAATGGTCATGAAAGTAAAATGGCAACCAATTTGATGAGAATGACTTACAAATAGCATCCGGACGTCACTGTCATTGCGTTTCTGAAGGGGCATAATGTCGTCCCTCTTGACCAACGCTAATATTTTGATGTTACTTGGTGTTACATAGCCAAAGATTTCGCAGTCTTCCATAACACAAAGGGATCCCATCCAGTGTGAACTTCGCAGATGTTTTGGGATCTGATAATTCTTGGGCGACCCCAGAACTTCGTCTAGGCGATCCAAAGCAGCATGAATCATGAACTGCATTGATTCGATAAGACAGATATATATATATAAATAGGTTGCAGACGCAAGTAATGAGACAAAAAGATCCAGCTGCTGATAGCGTCATATGGAATTTACAAGCAAGGAATGCATACCTCGTGATGTATCGCTTTGTCATTTCCCTCCATGGATTCCAGAAATCCAAAGCCGTCTAGATCCCCTTCAGGCTCACTTGCCTCGGCTAGCCTAATCTTTGGGGGTGAACAGGAATACAAAGGCTCATTCTTGCTGCCTAGGATGGAAAGGCACTGTAATGCCATAATTGTCGTTACAAGGCCTCAGCGGTTTCTGAAACGCTTGTACTGTACGATACAGTTGGTATCCGTTGTTTGGCAGTTCATACAGCATCATATCATTGCTGTTGTTTCTGGATAGACCAGTCCGACTGAGAAATTCAGAGTACTAAGCTAGTACTGGAATAGTACGGATATAGTGCTTTTTAGTGACGTTTAACCACTAATATGGTACCTAGTGGTGACGTGGTTGACGAAGTAGAAAGTTGTCACGCAAGTCTCCAATCGATCGTGATGCATTTTGGGTCAATGTTTCTGCGTAATCATTTTCTGCCACCTAAGCCACGTCTTTTTTCCTTCGCTCACGATCTTCACATATATTCTATCTTTGACGTGTTTGAATCCCAAACACAGTCAACCTTCATCGAATATCTACAACTGAGCAATCAATTGAAGAAGTAAAGCCACAATGGATCTATCAATGAGAATGGTCAAGAATATTCCAGGCGTTATCAGCCATCACTGGAAGGAAGGAAACATTAACTGGCCAATGCTAATCTACATTGCGCTGGTCCATGTTGCCGCATCATACGGAGTTGTAAAAAGCTTCCAAGCTTCCTACGAAACCCTGTTGTGGGCTTTCGTCTTGTGGCCTTTCAGGTAAGGATTCGCAAATTGAACTGAATGGCGATCGTCTAATGAATCTTTCAATTGGAATCTTCTCACATCTTTCTTTGCGACCTGATTTTCACAGTGGTTTTGGAATTACCGTCGGAGTACACAGATTATGGTCACATAGATCATACGAAGCACACTGGAGTGTCCGCTTTCTACTGATGCTTCTGAACTCTATTGCCAACCAAGGCAGTATCTACCACTGGGCTCGTGATCACCGAGTTCACCACAAATTTTCGGAAACCGACGCCGATCCCCACAACGCCACCCGTGGATTTTTCTTTGCACACATGGGATGGTTGTTTGTCAAGAAGCATCCCGAGGTTGTCAAGGCAGGACGTGAGATGGATTTCTCTGACTTGAAGGCTGACCCTGTTGTCGCCCTTCAGCACAAATTTGACCCTTGGTTCGCCTTGTACATGTGCTATGTTTTCCCTGCACAAATTGCAGTTCGCTTCTGGGGTGAAGATTTCTGGACTGGTTTCTTTGTTGCTGGAGCCTTGAGATACTGCGTTGTTCTTCACTTCACCTGGTTTGTCAATTCTGCTGCCCACCTCTATGGAGATCACCCATATGATGTCATGTCATACCCTGCCGAGAACCCTTTCGTCTCGTGGTGCTCTTGCGGAGAAGGATGGCATAACTGGCACCACAAGTACCCCTTTGACTATGCTGCATCTGAGTACGGAATTTCTTCCCAATTCAACCCCAGCAAGCTGTTCATTGACACTTTCGCTTCCGTTGGACTTGTCTGGGGACGCAAACGTGGACACGCTGCATGGCAAATGGGACGTGCCCGCAGAGACCGTGACAAGGCAGCCGGAGTTCCACTTCCTAAGCCTGCCCCAAGACCTTGGGAGGTTGATGCCAAGAAGGATTAAGAGTTCCAGCAGGTTCAAATTGATCTGATCTTGTCCGATACAGTTCATGCGTGCATGTCACAAGGACACACGCACATAAATACATACACACAAGCAACATAACGCACACACACACACACACCCACATACCGCAAATAGATTGCATGCTATCAAATGAAAAGTTTCTTCCTCTAGCAATTATTGTTTATAATAAATTGAAATCTTGTTTCCCAAGCTGTTCGGTGGTTGGGTTCTCATGGAGCTCTTGCAGTGATGTCTCACTGAGGGGTTGCAAACATGCATTGAAAACGATTCAATCATTTCTGCATGTATCGAAGCAGCATGGTGTCTGGCAATGAAAAGACGCAGTTCTTCCATCGGTCGACACAAAGTACCCAGACAACTGGACGATTGATTGATTCGTCAGTTAGTGTCAGTGCGTTCATTTTTGTTTCTTGAGCACGCTTGGAGGATTAGTTTGATAGTTGTTGCTTGTAGAGCTGTACTTTTTCTTTTCTGATAAACTTTTTGCCAGTGTTTGTAGTCCGGCCAGCTGACTCTTGACATCGCGTTGCATCTGCTTCATGTCGTTGAGTTGAGTCACGATCTCCTCCTTGTATTCCTTATTGTGCCTCCTCCTTATTGTTCCACCAAATGTCTCATTAAAAAACGATTCGTGGGGGGTTTGGTTGAGATGCAGTTGTACTTCTCGCTCTTGCTGCTGCTGCTCTCTTCTATGTTGCCGTGCAGCTTTCAGGCGTCGCCATTGAACAGACAGCGAGACGAATGCAATCGTTATCAAGAAAAATCCAACAACTACAACGGACAAGGAAGCGTTCCGAATTTTCGTCCTTTCCTCATCTATGAACAAAGGTGTTGAATGAGTTTCCTCTGTGGTCATCCAATAGATCCTTTATCAGAACACGATGTTATCTACGTCGATAAGATTGAAGATCATTTGTCATCTTTGTCATGCCGAATGAATCGATTCGATCGATTACTTTCACGATTCAAGTTTCACTGCATTCATTCATTCCAACACAAAACAACTCACAATGGACGTCGACGAACCATCTGCAAGCAATGGGCAAAAATCCAAGAAACGCGCACATCCAGATTCATCGAACGAAAGCGTTAGTCGAACCTCGTCTGAGGTGTTATCACTGGTTGAGAATCCAACTTTCGAAGAACTTGCCCGCCAATATCCTTCCTTTCACAAAGCTTGGGATGAGGCACGGCAAAAGCAGAGAGACTCAGGATCCAGGATGAACTTTTCTTCCGTTGTATCCCAGGAGTTCACAGTCAGTCTTACGCAGGCTTTACTGCAAGCTTATTTCAACCTTCGATTGCCATACCTCGAATCGAATCACCTCTGCCCGCCCGTACCAAATCGGTTCTTTTATGTGCATTGGATCTTTAACCATTTGTTGAAAAATGAGGGGCCTAGCATGTCAAAATTGGGAATGGACATAGGAACTGGGGCTACTTGTATTTATGGGCTACTCGCCGCCAATTTTTTTCACTGCAACATGGCCGCATCCGATGTTGATACCAACGCGATTGCTTTGGCAAGGTCGAATGTTGCAGCCAACCAACTGGAACGAAAGATTCTCTTACTAGAAGTCCCACCTTCGCACTCTCAACAGCCATCATTACCGCAAGGTGGACCACTAGAACGCACGTTGATGGCATATTCCAACGCTCGACAATCCAAACGGTTTGACTTTACCATGACAAACCCACCATTCTACGACCCCAATTCAATGGAACAGCAGACATCGAGAGCTGGTGATGGTCGAAACCGCACATCAATGACTGTCTCCGAAGGATTCTATCCTAATGGTGAAATTGGATTTGTGACTGACATCTTTGCGGATTCATTGAGGCACCGCCAATCGTCTCTATGGTTTTCATCCATGTTGGGCAAGAAATCATCGCTGGTCAAGCTTGAGAAGTTATTGATTCATGTTCTAGGACAAACGCATGTTGAAACTACTGAATACGGTCCCGGGCAGTATACTCGCTGGTTTCTTGCTTGGACATTTCGACGCCCAACACTTTTCGACGAACGGGCGTTTCTGAGTCATGGAAATAATTATTTCGAAGTCAGGATACCTGAGGTAATGAACTATGAACGAGCCATCAGCGAAGTGGCATCACGGGTATCTGGCTTTTGTGTGTCTTCTCCTGGGGGCTGGGTGTTGAATTGCCAGGATGTTACGCCACAAGTTCAGCCATCTTCACATATCGTCCTCCAGATTCAGGAACAAGGCCATCCGCCTGTCAAACATTTCGCGGACGAGTGGTCACACGACAACATTGTCGTTCCAGATGTTGTCAAGCATGCTCTCAACGGACAGGACAATACCCACTTTTTGCCACCTGAAGGACACTTTGCAATCCAGGTTGCCATTGACGCGCCGAAAGCAAAGAGTGCTGAGGGGTTCGTCGTCCGAGTTCACTTGGCCTGCTATCGGCACTCATCACGCGGACTGAAGGCTGTGGAAAAGATTCGAAGCGGAATGGAAGGGGAAGTTACTAGGACTAATCGCAAATGGCGCAGGATCCTACAACGGCAAGCGAAGGATGGTTTAAACTAGGACGAACAATTATTTTGTAATCTAGAACTTTATTGGCGGCATCTTTTTTTAGTTTGCAACAGGTTCGCAGAGTGTTCGAATGTCCTTGACAAAGTTGATAGCACTTGTAACGCCAACTTTTGCAGCCAAAAGCTTTGGGATTGATGGCGAATAGACGTGGGTAAAAGCCGTCATGAGACATTCATTTGGACCGAGATCTTGGAGCAAGTTCACCCCAAGCAAAATGTCATTGCGAGGCAAGTCAGCAATTTCTGGGTCAGGAATTCCCGGCACGGCCCTACTGACTACCAAGAAGCCCTCCTTGTGAGGCCCCTTAATAAGAGGAAAGTCTTTCTCCTTCAGCGGTCTTGAATGCATCATTGTTACAGTGACCATGTTCGACTTTGTCATGGGAGGTTTAGTCAAGTTTCGAACAACTTTTGTATTTTCTCCCCATTGAAACACATCCTTCCTTCCCACACTCATCTTGTTGTACACCTTGACTCGACTGGAATCCATTAACAACTCGGCCATCTCTTGGGCTGACATTGGAAGGATCGATTTCGTCTTCACAATTGGCAGCTCACTACCGTATCCTACTTTCTTTGCTGTGCCAACATAAACCATAACCTCGCCATCGTCGAGCGCGGTCATCATGTCTCGTTCGGCTAGGAGTTTTGTTGTTCCTTTGTGCTCTGTCCATTCTATCCATTCGTTTTTGTCTTCTGAAGCAGCTAGTTTGAAAGCCTGGTCAGAAAACCGGTCTACGGCTTCCGGGTCTTTGAACTCTTCTCCTGTTAGATTGTCCCAGACATCTTGAGGAATGATTGGACTGCTCACTTCACGACTCAAAGAACCTGTGCTCTTTGCAGTCGAACCAACAGTTGATCCAGCAGAGACTGCTCGCGTTAGAGAGGTACTTCGAACTTTATCTAGGGGCACACGTGGACGAAGCCCTGACTTTGATGGCGGTTGTCGGCGTAAGCCCCACGGTTGACCGTCGCTAAAGAGTGGAATCCTCCCTAATCGAGTGTATGATTCGTTGCCATCGTAGCCTCTTCTACCTGCAACAACATCTCTTATCACTAAAAGTAGCACAACTAAGGAGAGAAGAAATTCTTTGAGCAATAGCATTCTCAAAGGCGAGTGTGTCTATTGCGGTGTCAATCTGCTACAATCGTGTCATTTTCAGATTTTTGTAATCGTGCGTTTGAACGAAGAGGTCGAATCTTCATTTCGGGGGTGATTTTGGGGGTTGCAGGTGACGTCATTCATGGTCTGGCGGCAAACTGGCAGATGAGAAATGAGAAAACAAAAACGCATCACTTGCGTAAAATTTGAACGACTACAATGGAGGTCACTGTAGTTGGACTCGGCGCTATGGGAGGAGGGATGGCAAGATCACTCCTCCGATCCTCTACAATCACTCGAGTTTCAGGGTTTGATCTTTCAGAAAAGCTTGTTTCCAGCTTTTATGAAGAATCAAAAAAGGCGGGAAAGGCAACGGAAAAGCTCCCATCCGACTTGAAGCTTCAAAACTTCGTATCAAGCGATACTGACGTCGTACTGATTGTGTTGGTGAACGAAGCACAATGTCAGTATACCTGTTTCGATGGTGACGCAAGCTTGGAATCCATCATGAAAGAAGGTTCTTGTGTCATTGTTTCTTCCACCGTTTCGGCTGGTTGGAGCAAAAGTGCGTTTCAGCGCTTCTCAAAGAAGAATATTCAATTCTGTGATTGTCCCATCTCAGGTGGTGCGGCACGTGCACTAAAGGGAGAAATCAGCATCTTCTGTTCCGGCGAGCCATCGTCTTTGAAGTTTATCGATCCGTTGCTCCAAGCCATGGGCAAGGAGATTCATATTGTCCCTGGAGGAGCAGGAATGGGGTCTACAGTGAAGATGGTTCACCAGTTGCTAGCTGGTGTTCATATTGTTGTAGCTGCTGAAGCTCTTGCGCTTGCTGCAAAGGCTGGGCTAGATGTCAATCAAATGTATGATATTGTCAAAGGAGCCGCCGGGAATAGTTGGATGTTTAGTGATCGTGGTCAACGAATGATCGAGAACCCAGACAAGAAGGTTTTGAGCGCGCTTGCAATTTTCATTAAGGATATGGATATAGTGTACAGCGAAGCTAAGCGATTGCAGTCCCCAATCCCACTAGCATCAGCTGCTTTGCAACAGTTTATCAGTGGCGCTAGTCTCGGCTTGTCGAAAGAGGATGACTCTACAGTTGTACGGGTCTATGAAGCCATCACAGGAGTATCTGTTAATCAATCTCAAAGTAAATTCAAGGAAGGCGACAACGTTGGAGAATACTGGGTGCTATCAGATGGAACGAAAGAGAAGATCGTTGAAGTTGGCGAGGAAGTACGACACCAAGTCGTCCTCTCAAATGAATACACTAGAGTCTTAAAGGTCAAATTCCCACCGAATGATACAACTTGGGCCCATCGCCATGCCGAAGATAGCTTGTATTTTTTCTTGGTGGAAGGCGGATTGAATGTGGTGAATCATGTGAAAGGCAGCGACCCAGAGTGTGACTGTATGGAATTCGGAGAGGTGCGATATGGCACTCACAAGTCTGATAAACCTCTGGTACACAGAATTACAAACAAGAATGATACAGACATGTTCTGCATTGATGCAGAGATTTTGAAGTCACCACCTGTCACAAGTCCTCTTCCATTGATTGCGGATCACCATTCTCTGATAAAGACTCGTGATCGATGCAGAGTCTACAAGCTCGTACTAGAACCTGGACAATCAGTGACAGTAAGCTATCCCTTTTTCCATCTGGCTATTGTATTGAAGGGATCCAAGATTGAAAAGAGAATTGGTTCCAATGCACACTCAATATCATGGAATAAGGTTATGGAAATTGGAGACGAAGAATGGTGTACTCCAACCATCGATCTTGCAATTTCAAATGTTGGGGAAACCGTATTCGAGCAGTTCATTGCCGAGTGGCGATGAAGACGTAACGTAGCGTTAGAAATTACTAATCTATCGATGATAGCCAACTGGCACCTTCTATTCGGATTGCTCTGCTTGGTGTTTCTTGGAGTGACTCAGGTGGGTTGCGGTGTGAAGCTGGTCCTTCCGTACCTGGTGCTGGTACTCTGCTTTGAGCTTTTGACTTCTCGTTTTCATTTTTCCGTCAATAAGTCTGGGTGTCGCACGCATCCCGACACGTGGAATGAAGTAGTCGCAAAATGTGACATTTTGCATCATCTCATTGGAATCCAAACACAATAACCAACAATGAATCGCAATCACAGGCCTCGACGATCTCACGATTTCAAACGGACTGTATTAGCTGTTTCATTGTTGCTTTGCTTCAATGCACCACTCTGCAGCGGGCGGCCCAACCATCGTCTTCCTGTCGCAGGGATCTTCGGGATTGGTGGAAACAAAGATGCTGAACAGCAGTCACAAAGACGACCAGTTCCTCCGCAATACTGGCAACAACAATCCTCGATACCACCTCCGCCGCCAGGGAGGACACAAGGTCCGCCCCCGGGCACATCTAGCGACAAAGGAATGCAATCCAGAGCTGAGGTAGGTTCAGGAACCATCCCAGGACCTCCTCGTCTTGTCAGACAAACAGCCATAATTCCACCGCCGCCACCGCCTCCAAAAATGGTACTTCGGGAAGAAGAAGTCGAGGAAGCATCAGTTCAGAATTTCACCGATGCTCAAAAGGTGACAAACAGTGCAGCGGAAAAATCAGATTTGCCCGAAGAAGAGCTTCAGGATATACCACATCAACAATATGAGTATGAAGACAACTCATACCAATTGGGACCGCCACCCACGCAAGACTGGTATCCACCACCAGCTGCGAATCAAGACGTATGGCAGCAATCTCAAGGATACTATGATCCTGGATTTTTGCAAAATGAACTGGATCAGTCACTAGCACGAGAGAACAACTTCATGATGCAGCTTGATAATCTAACCGCAGCGGTTGCAGTCATGGAACAACGTGAGGAACTTCACCTTCGACAACTTGATGTACTGACCGAAAGAATCATTGATATTGAAACTCAGGCTGCCGAAGAACATAACAAACTTGCTGAATACGAAGCCAATTGCACAGCTTATGCCTTGACCGTGGAAAGTCTGAACGATGATACCGAAGAATGGCAAAGGCGATGTTCTGAGTTGATGGAGCGTCAAGCAAACGATACAGCAACAATCACTGAATTGAGGCGTGCTATCAAAGAAAAGCAAAGTGAAGCAGAAGAGATTGCGATTGCGATTGAAAATGTTCGGCTGGCTGAAAAGAGAAGAGAACATTACCAAAAGAAGGGAGCAGCTGCGAGAAAAAGCATGTTCTCCAGATTATACAGCTTTTTCTTTGGTGGTCAAGAAGAGTTTGAAGAAATGTCCCGCGAGGTAAGCCAATATGTCGCAAGCAAACGAGTGTGCCACGTATCTCTCTGTCTCATGTATATACCAATTGAATTCAATTCTAAAGGATGCCTATGATATGGCAAAATCAACCCTGCTGCGAGCACTCCAATCGGAAAGAGGAAGTGTTCACGAGCTCGAAGGAGTAGTTGCATCTTTGCAGCAAAACAATTCTGCTATTTCGGAGATGGTGGAGTCCAGGGATTCGATAATCGATGAGCTTAACAACCGAATTTCAGTGTTCGAAGAAGACAAAGTGGTGCTAAAGGCTGCTCTTCGGCAACTGCAAAAAGAAATAAAGGAAGAGGCGCCCAAAGCCCAAAAGCTAATGGACGACCTTGCTGCTGCAGAGAGCGGTGAGTTGGCTTGCTGTTGTTTTGTTTCATCTGCATGTCTCGTTGCTCATAGTGGCAAATCTCTATAGATTCTGAACGACTGAGGAATGATATAAATTCTTTGATTCAAACCCACCAGGAGGAGCTGAATTTGTTGCAACAACAGATTTCAACGAAGCAAAAGACAATTTCTGAGACAGAGTCAAACATGACCGCGATTGGAACATATGTTGACAAACTAGAAGATAGACTAACATCATTTGCAGTCACAAGGCGGGATATGGAGGCAAGGGAAAAGAGATGCAAGGAAATTGAGGAAGCTGCAGTCCAGACGGAATCTGAGAAGAAGGAACTGGAAGCCAAACTTGAAACCTACTCACGTGAACAAGAAGAATTGAAAAAGCTTCTTGAGGAACTAGTGAATGAGCGTGCCAGTCTTCAAAAGGACAATCGCAAGCTTGCGACTGATAGTGAATTCCGTGTAGCAGAACAAGAACAATTGCAATTGAAGTGTACTTCACTTGAGTGTGAGGTCCAGAATCTCACCGAATCCTTGGAAGAGCTTCGTTCGAGGTCTGGGCTTTTGGAAAGCGAGTTGGAGGCTACGGAACAAGAAAAGGCTACTTTGAAGGAAAAAGTGGAGCAATCTATCACAACCAATGATGAGCTTGTGAATGTTCAATCGCACAATGCAAAGTTGCGGGAGGAATTGCAAGCCACAAAAGGCGAAAATCAGCGCCTTGAAGGGGATTTGGCCAATGTTACACAAAAAGTGCAAGAGCTTCTGGAAACGAAAAATCACGAAAGTGTGAAGAAAGAAGCTGTGGCACCTCCTCCGGAAACTGCAAGGGATGTTCCACTGAGAAACCTGCGAAAGCAAATTTCCAAAGCTACTGGTATCCACGGTGTGATCACGCCATCTACCACAATGCTGAAGCAAGGGGTACAAAGACAAAAGCTCAAGCTTCCTACATTTGCTCCAATCCGAAAATCCCCTGAGAAGGTGGATTCACCAAAACCTGAAGGAATGGCAAGGAGGCCACCAAATCGACCACCACCTCCACCATTTCAAAAGAAAGATGACTAAAGCATCATGCAATTGAAATAGTTATATTCTAAATATCATTTATCTTGATTACATAGCGTATGCCCCTCCAAGACTCTTTTCCTTTTTGACCTCTACCGTTCCTCCAGTGCCTTTGTATCTCTTGCATGCTGCAGATTTCTTTTCACCAGATTGGCCGTATTTGCACATAGCCTCATCCGGTGTCATGTCTCTCTTCGTTGAATCCTTAGCAATTTCTGAATTGACGAAGGCATCCATGTCCAAAGCATTGCTAATAGCGGGAGCGAGGAACACGGCAGGAAGAGCAGCAAACAGGTTCCGTCTTTGAGTGTCAACTGCTGGTGCTTTTTTCATATTGCTGTTGGATTGAAGTGATAGTCCATTGGCGGCGAATGGTAGGATCAATGTTACGAAAGATAGAATCTTCATGGCTGTGTTGGTTCTTTTTATATTTTTGGCAGAGTACAGTATTGAGTCTTTCTAGCTAGATTTGTGACGAACACCGACTGGAAAGTGATGCATTTTGAAAACACGTGTACTTTTGTTGCTGACTGGTCGATTGAGTCAGATCGACTGACTTGACTTACTGCCTGTCTGACTCACTCACTCCAGATCACTACGGTCAGGGTACAGTAGTTGCCAGTAGTGTACCAGGTTACGGTATACGTGGGTAACTTTTTATAAGAACAATGACTGACTGCTTTTAAAGATTCAAAGCATTGCCAATGCCAAGTCACCGGCAAATTTTAGAAGTATTCACTGCTCGATTATGATTTCACTAATGTGGAATCATGATACCTGTGTTTTTGGAAGTCAATCATTCGTTCATCCATTCGTCTTCTTCCGAACCTTTCGTTCGCTTCGAGAGTAATCGTGTCTAATCCCCAAAGAAAAAGCACAGCATCAGTGCAGCAGAGTGAGTCGTGGAAGATATCACGCTGCATCCATAAATTGACAAGCAGAGCTTGTTTCATTCAGCGATATCGGGGAAAGATCGACAGATTCCCGATTGCCATCGTGCCATCGTCTCAAACTCCCACCTGTTGGACACCTTGACAAGCATGGAGTAGCCTTCGCTTCCATCTCCTCCTCTACTGTTGGCATCCGCCCAAAACTAAACTGACATTCACCTGTTTCGTAATCCGGCACCATGGTCAGTGGCAGCCCCATATCTTCAATGAAGAAATTTTGGGTTGGGATTTTACACGCATTGACGCAAACTGAAGCACACCCTGACTCCTCCAGAAAGCGACATCTCTTGACTAGGAGTCCTTGGTCTTTGTATAACTTCCCATCTACTTCAACATCATTCAGTTCGCATTCACCCATCAACCATGTTCCTGCAACTCTTGTAGCCCAAGCATTCATCCGAGCAGAAAACTGGGGGAATGGGCGGGAGAAAAGAGATGCATATTGGCGAGGAAGCCAGCTTGGAAATAATGATCGTAGTATGTTTTGAGCAGTTTTCTGCACTTCCGTCCGATCACTAAATCTTGCATTCATTGCACCTGTGAGCTCCATCAGCCCCTGGTAGTCATCCTTGGGTAGAGATGAGTCGATACCCACTTGTTCTGCCATTCTAGTGCGGAATATCGTAAGGAACAATCGATCAAGCGTCTTTCCTAGTGGGCCGTGTATTTGTTCATAATCTGGTTTCGTGTCGGCATCTGGTCCCTTCACCGTTTGAGCATAAATAGCTGCAGCCGCTGACCGTCTCCTTTCATATTTAGAGGTGAAGAAACTAGAGCTGATGCATATTGTTCCCAGTAGGATAATACAACAAAGATTCATACGGTAATTAATGATGTGTTCTTGAAGGAACAGAAATTTTGGGGTTGGATTTGTATTCCAATGATTGATGAAACTGAAGAAAACGGGCGTCAGCAAGACCGTCTCAGATATTTTTGCAAAGATCGTGATAAATCAAGAGTATCGATATTAATAAATGAGCATTTTGAATTTTACTTTTATTGCTCTCGCACTTTCTATGGGCCCGTTTGTCACCAGAGCCTTTTAAAACCAGCGTTCACTCTCTTTCTCCTGCTTCGTTTAAGGAATCTTCCGCTTTTGGGACGGAGGTCATTGTACAAACGTTGTAAAATCTCTCCTTTCATCCCTTTCGTTGCATCAGCATCAGAGTAAAAGGTAGTGGTATGGGTGAGCAAATCATTGTACGCAGCTTGGCATCCCCTATGTCGGAGTACATCGTTTATCAACAATGGAAGTTCCATCCATCAGCACCGCTCAACTGTTCCATGTTGGTGAAGCTTTTTCCGCTTATCGAGCTTTATCGGCTGCCTTCTTCTATTCAGTTCATCAGAGAAATGTTTGATGAAGAATGTAAAGAAATTCTCTTGCAGCCTGTGGATCAATTTTCTCCACTGTATTGATTGCCATCAAGACTGATTCAAACCGTTGCGTAGAAATGTCATGGTTTTGAGGCGAAAACAATTGAGGAAGTGACGGGTCCGCCGTCCACTGAAAAATGTGAGAGAATATCCCTTCGCTGCTGGGATTCTTTCGGGCATACTTCTGGAATGCCCGGACAACTGCATCTACCCGCTGTGATAAGCCAATATCCAATACACCACCCTGCCGTCCTTCCATTCGTTGGTGCTGCAAATGATCGGACTGTTGCTCTGCCTTGTTCGAGACTTGCGCATCGTTCCTTTGCGGGATGGCAGGTAGGGTGGGTGTCACTCTCCTGGCTTCGGAAAAGTAAGGAAATTGTAGCAGTTCCATTGAAGAGGACCTAACACTAGCATCTACTCTCAAGCATTGCTCGATTATTTGTCTGGCGCCTGGATCGACCTGCCAGAGTTTTCTTTGCACAAACGGCTCGATTTCATCTATGTAATATAGTTTTTCCTTTTTTGTACAGGGGCAAGCAAGGGCAAGTGTGAGTTATATATCGTGTGCTTGGTTGCATTCGGACAACTGATGAAATCATACAATCATACCTTAATAAACTCGATATCCTTGAGACCCCCATCAAAGAATGAATTTCCAGTGGCCATTTCAAACATTACAATGCCCAGGCCCCATATATCAAAGGAAAAGTCTGGTTGGATGCTTGGTACGCATTGATATAAGTCTGCTAAAGGAAACTCCGGGGGCACCGTTTCGGCAGTGTACATTTGCAAATAATTCTGGTGGTAAATGACAGATTCCAAGTCAATCCCTTTGATCGTCCCATCCCTTTGGACAATGAAATTCTCAGCCTTGATTTCCGTCCATACCATTCCCTTGCTATGAAGAGCTTCAACGATGCGAATGACTTTTTGCATGGCGGATCGGAGCTCTGGACCCTGAAACCTTCCCAATCTTTGAATGTGCGTTCGGAGGTCTTCTTCGCCCTTTTCGAGGACAAGAGCACTTTTGCCAGGGATGCAATTCGGTTCTTCAATGAGATCATAGATTTGCACAAAGCAATCCCTTTCATCGTCACGAAGTTGACTTTCGATGGTTCTGTAGACCTCGTGTTCCACTTGGATGCTTCCAATGTTCTTGGAAAGCTTCACGATCATTGGGTACGCTTTCCCGTCATCACGGACGTGAAACGCTTCATAGAGTTGTATTTTCTCAGAGCCACATTCAATCTGACGATCAATCACGTAAGTGTTTTTGAAGAGTTTGCCAATCGGCGTTTCGTTGTTTGGATTGAACGGAGTCGTGATTGGCAAATCCCATAACAATTGTTCGTCCACTTCATTCTGAAAGCGCAACGGTTGTAATGATCTACGAAGTGTCCGATGCGCTGGTGCAAATGTTGAGCAAGATGCAAGCGTTATCAGCAGACATAGTCTCTGGAGTCTTTTTCCATTCCGTGTCATGATGAAGCTGAAAATTGTGATGTCACCTTCACAGTGTTCAATGGTCGAAAAACTGTGAGGTGATGGCGCAGATACCGAATTTATTGGCGCAAAATGGCGAAATTGTCGTTGAAAGTTCGGATCACATTTTTTTCGCAGTACGTGTATGCAGAGTTTCGATTGGTTGGAGACCAACTGACCGGCGCGGCTGTTCCGATGCGAAGGTCTTTCAGCTCTCCAAGAATCAGAACACATGACAGATGTGTGTATTCTCTGCGGCTTCGGATGCAAGTGCAGTTCCCAACGTTACGTACCGGTACTGCATACAATGGTCACCAATTGAATCAATTGATATAATGCAGCTACAGAGGGGTTGTCATCGAGACACGAAGACACCAGACAAAACAATGGTAAAACTTCAACAGAAACATAGTAGGAGGAAGCCAAAACAGTAGCACTTATCTACAAGTTACTAAGTTTGTTCAACCTTGGTACTTCATCATTGATTTTCCAGAACTTACTGGAGAAGTGCAGAATTGAGAATGAACTTGAGTACCAGGTACGGTATGGTACCGGTACCAGGTAACAGCAGGAGAAGGAACACTTTTCTGCAATTATGCACGTCACTTGAGGATCGTACCACAGCACCATTCATTCATTCATTGAGGGAATCGGAGTGGAATGACCCATAAAATTGCAAGGAACAATTTTCAGCAATTTGAAATTGCACACGTCACCACCCTTTGTGGATCCCCCAAATATTCCAAATTCAAAACCTCCCTCCCCTTTACTTCTGCCGGAAATTGGTACTGGCTTAGTATCCTCATCGGAATTCCAAATTTCAAAGTTCTGCTGCCTGACGAGAACTTTGCAAAGTGGTCGCACTGCTTCGCGGCACCGGTTCTCTCTCTTAAGGGATATTTTAAGCTACGACATGATTTATCCAATAGAATCAATACAGTTCCTTTCTGAGACACATTGAGTCTGTCATTTCGAACCTTGCCTTTTATCTGCAGCACAGCTTCGTCGGCTTCCAGAATTAAATGCGTTGCCTCCGACAAAAGTCGACTGGAATTTGAGCAGGGGAAGTCCCATTGGGCAGAACGTATTTGACGATAGGAATAGAAAATCATCCATCAATCAACGAACCGAGCAATGGTGAATTTCCCTAACTCGGGGGTCTCTTCGGCCTTTATGTCTCCTGGAGGAGGAATAATACAACAGCACCAACACCAACACCAGCATAGTGAGATACACTGCAAACAGTGTGGAATGCCGGGCTGTGATCTTCAAGTCTTAGACTGTGGATGCTTTTTGCATGCTGTAAGTTGCTCTAATTGCTTGATGAAACAGGGACTCTGAACTGAACACTCTACTAACTAATGCTTTTCATATCTTTTTGCTCTTCTTCTGGCTCCCTACAGCGTTGTACACCGATTTCACCTCACCAGCAGCTCACAATTTGCCCACCATGTGGATCGAGGGTAAGATCATTGATGCTGATTCCGATGAACTTTAACGAGATTGATGAAGCGCAAGCACAAGCTGCAGCCACGTCACCAAGTTCGAAACGAGGAAAGAAACGAAAGAATGCAACTATTGCGAGGCTGAACCCATCCAACTCGAGAGTGGATGAACCGGGAGATGGTTCCGAGCTCAGGACGGGAAGGTGGACTTCGGAAGAGACCATGTACTGTGACAAGATGATAGAAAAGTTCGAAGCGGGACACTTACCGATAGCTGATGGTGTCAAGCTGAACGACTTCCTAGCGGGTATGCTCAAGTCCAAGCAATCTCGTCTCACCAAGAAAATGAAGAACGCACGCCTAAGTGCCAAGACTTACAAGCGATCGATAGGATACATCGGGAATATTGAAGAAGCAAAAGAGGTATCACAACTAGAGCGGCTTTTCTTTGAATCGATACACTGCAACATGGAGAGAGCTGAGATTCGGTTTCATATGCAAAAGGAATGGCGAGAGCTCTTCAGCTCATTCTGTGTATCCATGGGGCAGAAACTGGATGCGGATGCATGGTTGTCTAGCGTAGAGGAAATGGATAAACGAGTTTCGCAAGCGAAGGATGCTGCAAGAATGGCAAGGCGTAAATTGTTGATGGGGTACGCGCTGAGCCAAGATGCATCCAACCGCGAACATGGTGTTTTCATAGAGAACAATGTGGCAAATGATCGTAACAACGAGATGCTCCCAAGCCATGCATCATCGAATAATCTGAATGGCATGCTACCCAAGGAAAAGAAACCAAGACCAGATCACTGCGCGACATCATTACGGGATTTTTCTTCTCCATTTGTGGGACGAGTTGTCCAGTACTTGCACAGACACAAGCTCCCATTTGAGTATGTTGATGCGTGGGTGCCATCGTTTGTTCCAAGTTCGGATTCACCTGATGCGGAGCAGAAATGTCGTCTCTGTTTTGCTGGCTTTGCCAGCTGTGATGTGGAAATCCCTGAAGATGGTGGTACTCCCGTTCCGATCAGCAGTCAACATCATTTCGATTTGCTCTCATTTGGAGAATATAGTGCAAAGTTCTCCTTCGATGTTGGTTGTGGGCTACCAGGCAGAGTATACCAATCATCAGTATGTTCTTGGGAACAAGGTGTAGCCAATGCACCCAGTCAACAGTTCGAAAGATGTGGCGGGGCACATCAATGGGGAATCAAGACAGTTTTGGGTATCCCGATATCTAGTCCCAACGTGGGTCGTATTGTCGTGGTTTTGTACTCACGGCATGATCGTCTTCGCGACCCAGAAATGGCAAGGCGGATAACAGAGGAGTTCACAAAGGTAAGCACAATAGGAAGCTTCTGTCCAAAGCAACTTGATTCCATGCAGGAGTATACTAACCACTGCTTTACCACAGTTGAAACCGACTCCAAAATGGAAACTTGTTGTTGATCTTGGGGAAGTAGCCGACGCCCCCAAGACAGCTAACCTCGCTGACATGAGAGTGTCAGAGTTGTTAAACTTGTTGGAACAGTTTGCACCATCGGATGACTCTCCATATGCAATGTACATGACGGGTTTTTCCATGTTGAGATTGTTGCTTGTAAAGCAGGTCAAAACACCACAAGAATCGGAGTTCATATCGACAATGTTGGAGTCATATTCCTCTTACAAATCTTCCGGCCGGAGGAACCAAGAAATCGCATGCTTGGTAGCGCGGGACTTTATGGTAGTGTATCAATCGAGTGGTGGTGTCGGCGTTCCTGATCAACAACAACAGCAGCAACAGCAGCAAATGAAATCAAATAGTCAACAGATAATGAACGTGCAAAGCATGCAGCAGCAGTTTTCAGCGCAACCATTGCAATCACAAGCAATGCAACAGCAGCAGCACCAACAGCAGCAGCACCAACAGCAGCAGCAGCACGCCAATGATCTGCTGCAACTGAATACCATGGCCCCAGTCACCTCCACAAACCTCGGCCTGAACCAGTCTGCGCTTGGGGGCTCCCAAAATTCGTTTATGCAAGGTGGTGGTCCGACTCAATTTCAGCTGAATCGCCTTGTCCAATCTCAGGCTCTCCTTGCGTCAGGACAGAACATGCAACAAAACAACTCTTTGCAACTGCAAAACCTTCACCATCCTGGGATCGAACAAATGAACCCTATCATGATGGGCACTGCATTTCATCCGCCTCATCAGCATTTGTAGTACTCTGTTGGTTTTGATACCTTGCTGACTTTGTATGTACCTTTAATTTCTGTTCAATTAATTCTGATAAATTATCTCAGTTTTCAGTCACCCTTTTTTCTGTTCTGACTGGATCCGCTTGCCTGTCTGTCATTCTGGAAGTCTAGGCTACCTATCTACCCGCACCAGGTGCAGGCAGCTTGAAATATTACCGGTACGGTAGAGTATGTATTCGAAACATATGAAACAATATTATTTTTTAAAATATAATAGCAAAATAGTGATTCAGTTTTGTCCACAGCCCCTGCACTTTTGAAAATTTGTGGTGAAGTCTTTAATTTGAAACAATGGAAAGTGCATCCGCAATCGAAATTGGACCCAGGGTGGGTGAGTTGTGAACGTCAAAAACTGAGTATCCGGACAGCGCTTGGTTCTGAGATGGGTTCTGAGAATTATTCAAGCCCTGCCCTACGCTAAAAAAACTGGGGGAAGGTTGAGTGGCTTTTTGTTGAGAAAGGAACATGTAATCGCGTGCAAGCATGACACCGATCTCTGCTCGTTGCCTTCCGCTTTGGGAGTAGGAAGTGTAAGAGTCGAGTGTGGTCCTTGCGTGTTCTTCTTCGTCTGCAGTTCGTGTTGTTCGAAGGAGCAACAACCGCAAAGACATAAACCCAGGCAAATATGGCGCCAGTGGTGAGTTTGGATCAGAGGGCATGAGTTCTCCAAGCAACGAAACGATCTCGTCAATTCTGTGATCCTTCCCGACAGGCATACTGGCAGCAAGATTTTCCTGCACAGGGTCACTGCTCGAAAGATCAAGAGTGCTTGAAATCGAATTCGATTGTGCATTCGATTGTGCAGTAGGGGACGGGGAAGGCATAAGCGGGTCGTCTTCACCAATGTCGACAACCAGCTTCCATTTGGGGGATGGTAGAAGCTGTCAGGAAGAAAGAGAAATGTGTCAGTTTTGAAGCATAAGCAAAGCATGGATTCAGCCTTGTCCATCTTACCTTTGTGAACTCGTCCGACAATCGCCCAACCAGCTCTTGGTCCTTTGGACGATCGTGGCAAGAATACAAGATCACCACGATGCGACCCACATTTGGACTGGCAATTGGAATACCAAGAACTGTTTTAATTCCCCATTGTAGTGCACCACCACATCTTTCAAAGTGATTGTGCGGTGCGTTCTGCACGCTTTGTTCCCAAGTAGGACGGCCACTTTCGTAGACACGGCCAGGAAGTCCGCACCCGACATCAAAAGAAAACTTTTGGCTGTAGTCGCCAAATGCGAAAAGATTGAAGTGGGCATCTGTGCTCAGAGCCTTTCTTGTCTTTCCATCAGCGCCCACACAGTCATCGACAGTGGAGCTTCCTGCAAAGCAAAGCCGACAATTGGCTGGAGCGCTCGCGTGATCCTCAGTGGGGATAAAGGATGGCACCCAAAGGTCAACATGTTCGAAAGGAACATTGTGGCGTTGCATGTAACCCATGACCTTGGACAAAAATGGAGCAGAATGTAAAAGACTGCTTTTGCCATTGATGTCAGAGCTTCGTCTAGCTTCCTTTGCAAGTGACTGAAGCATAGAGTGATGATCCGAAACATTCGTTTCGTCGAGGCCATTGGTGCCCTCAGCGACTCTGTCATCGGCCTCGGTTCTTTCAATAAAGACACCTTGGTCAGGATTCTTGGCATCAGTCCTTAATGCAAAGCCCATCATCAACTTTCTTCTTGCCATCTTGGCAGCATCCCTTGCTTCAGAAGATCGTCGATCCATTTCTTCGACACTGTTCAACCAAGCATCAGCATCCAGACGGACACCGGCAGCAACACAGTGGGCACTGAATTGTTCACGCCACTCTCGTTGCATGTGAAACTTGATTTCAGCACGCTCCTGAGAACAAGAAAGAGACTGAAAAAAAGCTTCTTCGAGCTCCGAAAACTCACGAGCCTCGTTAATGTCTACAAGCCCGGCGGCCGTAGATTGAAAGGTTCTTGAGCTGAGCTTGGCATTTTTCATTTTCTTGGTCAAACGAGACTGCTTGGACTTAAGCATGTTTCCAAGAAATTCGTTCAATTTGATGCCATCACAAAGAGGCAGTTCCCCAGACTCAAACTTTTGGATGAGCTTGTCACAGTACCCCATCTCTTCAGTGGTCCAACGACCAGTTCTGCGTTCAGAGACATAAGCACCAGAAGCATCAACCTCGGCATCTCCTGACTTCCTCTTTCGTCCCTTTCCCCGAGCCACCGATAGAGACGCAGACTTGCGAGCCTCGTCAATCTCTCGGAAGGACATGGGAAACAGAACAAGCCCAGCTGTCGGTGTGTGACAGCTTGCGCAGTGTGTCAGCTTGCCGCCTGCAGGAATCACAACGCATCTCTATAGAATTGAATAACAGACAAAGAAGTTTGTGAGATGCTTGTCTGAAATTGTCCGCCGGTACTGTAAGCACGTAGAAGTATACGCTGATTTTCGCTTTTTCCATGCACATCAAACAACATCCATTCCACGAATTAAGTCTAGACTTCCTTGATAAACGAAACCCAACTGAATGCAACGATCAATCGATCGCAAATGAAAGAAATCATATGAACAGAATATATTGAACTACCTACCGCATGAAGTGTGCACCCGCAACCTTGCGTCCGTACATCACAGCCACCGTATCCACAACGGTTGCATCGTACGTATTCATCGCCATTCATGGCGATATTGCCAAATACGGCAGCAGGGTTTGGAGCCATGACTCCAACATCTGCATCAAGAAGATCTAGACCAGACATGCTTTCCTTTTTATGTGTACTGTAGGATCAGCTGTGCAAATCTCGATCCGATGAAGAAAGCTCAAAAAATAAGTGAATGGATCGCATCGGTTCGTAATGCATGCTGTGCCCTTTTCCTGCTCCACCACTCCGGATCACCACTTATCGTAGTTTCAAGCCACCTAATCGTCACTTAAAGAGGTGTGCGAGACCACGTATGCCAAAAGAATTCTCAATTAAGGCATGTTCGAACAGCCATAAGGCCTTAAATACTGCTTCCGGTGTTTTTGATTCTCTGCATGTGCTCGGATTTCATCAAAACTCGACTTAACATCTAAGACATACGTGATACCCGGCAATTGAACCAGAGTCATAATCTCTACTTAACGACCTTGGAAGAAAAACACATTGGAGTTCGCTTGCCTTCTGAGCTTCAGGCATCTTACGTACATTCCACCTCGTCCCTGCTGAATCGAATCTAGTCGTTGTCACTGTGATCGTATGTTATCACAACTGTTTTATATCTATTGAAAGGCATGTAAGCCCTTAAATTTTCCGGGTTCGCCATCAACCTATTCGGGATATTGGCGCCTCCGGATGTCATTGACGGCAAATGAGACGATCTTTTGAGGAGCGAGCCCGAAAGAAGGTCTCTACTCGTAACGCCTCTATCATTGCTCCGTGTACGACACTCTTGTGCCCAATAACACAAGTCATATATTTTAAAATCATTTGATCAGCAGGGAGATGAGTCAAAATCGCAAATCCCCTGGAATTTTGATTCCCCCTTCAGGGTCCCGGAAATTTCGAACGAGTCTTCGCTGTTTATCGCCCGCTCAGCAATTGGTTCGTTGGAAAAATTAGGAAAACTAGAACAATGGTTTTGAATATTCGTAGGAATTCTACATACCTACATGAATCTTTTATTTAATTTTTTTTTCGATTTTGCAACACTAGTCCAAAATAAAAATACATTTTGCGACCCAGAACATTTTTTCTGTATGATGGCTAAACAGGTATTTTTCACTGATGTGTCAAAATGCGAATGGATCAGTTCGACTGAATCAAAAGATTCGTTAAGATAGTAATTACCGCGTATATTTTTCATTTTCCATTGTTTTCTCCCGACAAACTTATTATGGGGTCACTCGAGGGGAGTTTTCGATTTTGACTCATCGCGATAAAATTTCATATATAGGTAGGACTACGTATTATACATCTTTAGAATATTGTATTTCTGAGTTGAAAGGTTCGTTTTTCACAAAAGCGTCTTTCCTTGGGGAATGCAATCCCCAATCATCATACCGGTACCCTGGTACCGGTACTCGTGCGTACACCTGTATTAAAGTGGAATATTTGAGTGCTTTTTCTTGATCTCTGGCATCTTCTTTGTTCGTAGCACTCGAAGGTCGTTACAGATGATTCTTCTGGTATCTTGTGGGTCGATGATATCATCTACGAATCCACGTTGTGCCGCCACCATTGGATTTGCAAATCTTGCAGCATATTCTGCAGTGTGTGCCTCGAGGTCCTGTGTGTTAAAAATAACGCTTATGTTAGTACACTTTGTTCGCGACCACTAATAATGTGGCTTATTTCACTTACCTCGCCGTGGAACAAGATCTCTGTAGCTCCCTTGGCTCCCATGACAGCAATTTCGGCCCCTGGCCAGGCATAGTTCGCATCAGCTCGGAGATGCTTACTTGCCATCACATCATAGGCTCCTCCATATGCCTTACGAGTAATCACAGTTACCTTCGGGACGCTTGCCTCGGAGTACGCGAAAAGAAGTTTCGCACCGTGACGAATGATTCCGCCGAATTCTTGCTCTGTGCCAGGCAAGAATCCTGGAACATCGACAAATGTAACAAGAGGAATATTGAAGGCATCGCAGAAGCGGACGAATCGAGCTGCCTTGTTGGAAGCATTGATATCCAGGCACCCTGCAAGTGTCAACGGGTTGTTCCCAATCACTCCAACAGTGTGACCTTCCATTCTTGCGAATCCAGTAATGATATTACCAGCCATGTCAGGTTGGATTTCAAAAAGTTCACCGTGATCTACAATCTGGCCAATTACGTCCTTCATGTTGTAGGGCGAGTTCGGGTCGTCGGGAACTAGACGCTCAACTTCTGGAACTAAACGGTCCGCTGGATCGGTGGCCTCTTTGACTGGTAGGGTTTCCTTTTCGTTGGAACTGGGTAGAAAGTCTAAAAGACGTCTCATGGCACGAAGTGCAGCAACATCATTGGCAAAGTCGCCATGAGCAACTCCACTCTTGGCGGTGTGGACCTTGGAGCCTCCAAGATCTTCGGTGGTTACATCTTCGTTGGTGACAGTCTTTACCACCTTGGGCCCAGTCACGAACATGTAGGATGTATCTTCAACCATGAAGATGAAATCGGTCATGGCAGGGCTGTACACAGCTCCACCAGCACATGGTCCCATGATCACTGAGATCTGAGGGACGACTCCGCTAGCGTCAACGTTCTTTTGAAAGACATCGGCGTAGCCGGCCAAGGAATCGACACCTTCTTGGATTCGGGCACCTCCAGAGTCATTCAATCCAATGACTGGAGCTCCAACTCTCATTGCCATCTCCATGACCTTGACCATCTTTTGGGCATGCGTCTCACTCAAGGTTCCGCCGACGACGGTAAAGTCTGTAGAAGAAGTGGCGAATCAACGACTTCGTGTTAGCATACACAATAATACCAAACTTTGACACGGTCTTCTTTCATTGCCAATAGTGTGACGTACCTTGGCTAAATGCATATACATGTCTTCCATTCACTAGCCCATGTCCAGTTACAATGCCGTCTCCAGGGAAGTTCTTGGATTCCATTCCAAATTCCGTGCAACGGTGGGCCTTGAGTTGATCCATTTCTTGGAATGAGTCTGGGTGAATGTGCAGTAAAGCAATTATACGGTGAGGGCGGTGTCCTCCTCATTTTCAAGTAGAATGCAGTGCCACTCCGATGATTCTGACTTACCCTTGTCAAACAAAAGCTCGAGGCGTTCTCTGGCGGTCAAGCTTCCTTTGGCATGCTGCTTGTCAATTCTCTTTTGCCCTCCTCCCATCAAGGCTTGTTCTCTCTCCTTTTGAAGACGCTCTTGGAACTTTAGTTTCATCATTGCAGGATTCGAATCGAGATTATCTTCCACCGGAACGGCCGAAGCGAAGCCTCTTTTGGTTGGCTTAAGATAATCCTTGGTGACACTAACACATCGGAAGGATGATGTAGTGAGCCCCTTTCGGAGGGAATTCGTTGCTTGTTTGTTGAACACTCGAACCAACATTGTCGCTAGATAAAGTGTATTTCTCGTTTGTCAGTTTGCTTGGTTTCTATTTTCTATGCAACCAATCAATGTTCAATGTGTTTGGTTGATATCCTCTCAAAGCGAAGCCTGCATCTTGGAGTTCGTGTCCTTTGATTGACGGTTCTCTCCGAACAGACTTTTGAAGTCGAATTAGTCATGTGACATTGATTGCTTCGATTAGATTATTAGATTAGATTGAACAACATCTCCATAATACCGAGATTAGCATGCATCGAACAAAATGCATCTTATAGTCGTTTTATTGCTGTTTTGTTCCCGGTGTGCATCCTCAACCAGTGCGCAAGTCTTGGGATCTCATCAATTGGCAGTGGGAGAATGGAGAGTTACATTGCGAGGGAGGTTTGATCCGACGTCCATCTTTCCAAAGACCCTGTCCAACTTGCCATCAGAGATTGTTGCCCGTCGAGGTCTTTGGGGGTCCAGAGTATTGGATTGTACCTTCTCAATGTCGGACGATGGGACTTTTTGCTTGAGGCCAGAACAATCTAACGACAATCACCTGCCAGTGCGAGGACGATGGAACGTTTTGTCAAATCCGTACTGCATTACCGATCGTTTCTACGATCAACTGACCTTGAAATCCCATCCTCGACAGCATATTGTGAATGCAGACGGCGAAGAAGACGCGGTAATCGATTCCATTACGGCAGTCAATGTATACGCAAGGATGTGGGGGCATTACTCGCGAAACAAACCAGGCAGAGGGAAACTGTCACATGGCAGCCTGACAGTGTCCGCTGAAGAATCGAAGCATGAAAGGCGGCGGTGGCCGGTGAAACAATCTATATCGTTCTCTGCTGTGAAGAAATCATCGCAATCAAAAGAAAAGGATTGGGAAGATCAAGAATATTTTGGTTATTAGAGGTCACTTTGTTCTATTTTGCAATTCTGAAATTCTGACAAAAATGCCATGAGTGTCATGACAGCGCTGAAATTCTAATCTTCTTCCGGAGAAATTGGGGCATGTAGCTGAGACCAAATAGTTGATCCGTTTGTTTCTATCCATGATTGTTGTTGAGTGGCGTGCTGCGACCAATTGTTCAACAACGGAAGCCAGGCTTCATCGATGGTGGAATCCCATGGCATGACACTGTTTTCTACTGGCTCGTTTTGACTCTCCAAGGGGATTGCGTTGTGCGACTTTAGCAAGATGCGGTGCTTTCGTTCCAAAGCTGCGGCCTTCTTTTTTCGCCCCATTCCTCGCAAGCCATTGACCTGATTCGCGACCCCGGTGCTCTTCCATACCGCCTCTTTGTCTTTTTCGATAGTAAACTGCTTTGCTTCCGTGAAAACGTATTCTCCGATTTGCAACATACTCTGGTAATCATTGTGCTCCTCAGCCAACTTTAGCATTCTCGACAAAAGAAATGGTCTCAAGGAATTTCGAATCAGGCTCGTGTCAGAGTTGATATATCGTTGAAACGATGACACATGGTGAGATTGATGTTTTTCGTTACCCAACAATAGAGCTCCATCGAGCACCATGCAGCATCGTTGGTAATGAAAGGATTCCACTGCGAGCATTGTATTAGAGCATAAACTATCACTCAGAACATTTTCTTTCCGCGGAATGTGATCAAAGTCAATGGAATCAAAATAGTGCGAAAAGTCATTCAAGAACTTCATTGCTTGGTCATGCTCTTTTTGCAGTTTCCAGGATATTGACTTTCCTGACAATTGATCAATTACTGCCTTGCAATCCCCCTGAATGATGAGTTTTTGTGTCTGATCTGGTGTTGTTATTGTTGTTGTCGAAAAAACGTAATCTGATGACAACACTGATTGAGAATGCTTGGACAACCATTCCAATCCCAGTAGTAGACCTTCATACTCTGCGTGTGCCGAAGTCATATCCATTGTAATTGGTAAAAATCGGCTTCCCAATACAATGGTAACAGGATCGCATGCATCATGTAGGTCAGACACGAAAAAGAAACACGCAGCACAGGTTGCCATCTTGGCAGCAACCGTGGGATATCCTGGATCCTTTGGTGGTCGAAAGGATCCATCAAACTGGAGAACAAGGATCCACGCGGACACAATTTTCCATGCTAGTTCCAAATGCATTGTGCTAGGGCAACCAACGCATGACCGAGGCCTTGTACAACGAGTATAGGACTAAAGGGGACTGGTTCTTGTAATTATTGGATTCACCGTGAAATACTCGTACTGTATGTTGTAACCATGATTTATTCGGATTGGTCGTAGATGTGAAGATGTACGATCATTTTTGGAGTATATCCTTCCCACTTCATACTGTACCCTACTGGTAAAAGGGGTTGCTACAGATGCTGGTATGACTGCTTTTTATTCCACATGCATTCCTTTCTAGTCTAAGACTTGTGTGCACCCATTCCTTTGTTGACAAATGTTTCTATTTATGCTTTCTTGTTTGCACCGGTTGCACCAAAACCACAATTGCCATTGATTTACTCTTTCTGGACGACGACATTCCATTCTTCAATCGAATGTTGAGTCACAATACCGTTGCTAACATAAGGATCTCCCTCGACGAACTTCTTGGCTGCCTCCTCTGTGGTGAAAGTAAAAATTGCACCAGTTGGTACCTCCAAGCCCACAGGACCAGTTGGGCCACCAGCGAGGCAGGTTCCCTCTTCAATCAATTGTTTGGCCAAATCCAAATGACCCTCTCGGAAGGGACCTCTCTTTTCCAAAACGTCTGGAATGTAGTCATACTTGAGCAAGAATTGGGTGGCACTCAAAGCGGTGGTTGTCGAAACGGCTCTTGCTGGAAGGAGCACTTGAGTTGGTGTAGATTTGGTCATGAATGCCATGACGGAAGCTCGAGCAATATTGGAAGCACCCCACATTGTGATGTCGTGTCCTTTTGGTACCAGGTACGGTAGAACGATGACAAGATGAAACGTTGTGATGATATTTGCGGCAGGAAGATCGTTTGGTTGTGATGTCTGTCGTTTTGCCCCCAGATTCATTTGGGGGAGTCAATGACTGAAGATTTCGATGATTCAGAGTAGTCGTTCACCATCCGTACTTTTGAATGCATTGATAGTTGTTGCAACCGTTTCCATTGCAACGAACTGTATGGTACCTTATCTCAGTCATTGCAATTTCCTGCCTCTTATTTCCATTGATACAGTGATCGATACAACATTTGAAGGCATCACTAAAAATTAAAAGACAAGCGCTACACTAAACAACATGGAAGAATCAGCTCCTGAAAACAACGCCAGTGGCATTGAGGATGAAACTCAGAACCCAGCACCGTCGAGAAATCTTGTAAAATCGGCCCTCTTTGCTCTAGCGTTCTGGGCCGCAATCTTTATGATGTTTGTGGGGTATTTTGCGGCGTCTAATCTACAAACGAGAAGTTACTATCAAAATCAAAATATGGACGGAAAGAAAACCAAGCGTCGAGCCAAAAAGGCATACAAGGTTTCCCCTCAAAGTTCCAAGCTTCTCAAGCATCACGAGGCGTTGGAAGATCTATTAGAAGCAATGGAAGATTTGGAAAGTTCACAGGCTGCTGAAATGGAAGTTCTCAAAGATAAGATGGCCTTAGTGCAAGACTTGCAAGAAAAGATTGGTGCCTCGGTCTTTCACTCGCATGAAAATGTAGGGAACGGTGTAGCACCACAGGCTACGCACATTAAAAAGATTCTCGGTACCCAGTCGATCAGTAGCTTGTCGGATGTTGAAACAGATGTTGGAATGGCCATCCAAGAGCTAGAAGCCATTATTGAAAGCATTGCAGCGGCCACGGACGAATCATCCCATATTGACTTGGCGGTGTTGGATGAACTTTTGAAGCAAGAGTTTCCAGAGCGTTCTCCTAGCGTCAATAATGTCAAGTGTGGTACGAAAAAGACGACAGAACCAAAAGCTTACGTGCCCGATGATGCTGCACGCAAGTCGCATTTGGAAGATATGGTAACTATTCTCTATGAACTGCTTGACCAACGAAGCAAGGAAGAAGGAAAGTTCTATCCCATGGATGGTAAAACACTGCAAACAAGCTCCCTGCAAACTATCCGACGATGGCTGAACTCGAAAACGAAGAGCGTTACTTCCGAGATTGTCAAGGTGGCAGAGGGAACTGCCGACAAGGATTCTAATGCCGATGGTAGTTGTTTGGACGAAGAGATGGTCCTTGATTTGTTGGAAGGTGCACTCGATGGAATGTCGCAGAATATCGACTTGAGGAATTATTTGAGACGACGTGCCATGGAATTGGATCCTTCGGCTAAGTCCATTATTCTGGATGCGGATCTTCCCGAGATTCGACCATTTGTTCCAGAGCCAAAGACACTTCAGTTGAGTCGCGTATTGGACAAACCGATATTGTTTGAAGTGGTTGACTGGATCGATAAGCTGGTGGAGGCTGTAGGGGGTTACAATGATAGCGTTGACAATTACCTTGATTCGGTTGCGGGATCATCTCGTGCCAGCATTGGAGAGTTGGTGATGGAAGAAGTCTTGAAGAAAGCAGATGGGGTAGAAATTCCCAATCCAAAACCCACAATTGAGAAGGTCGTCAAGAGGATTCTGAAAAAGCAGTAACGTCACAGCATTTTAACTTTTGGGTTATTCTATTTTCAAACATAACACTCTACCTTTTGAAGCTTTTTAGATTGAGCTTCTTCTTCACAGGTGCCTTTGCAGCAACAGCATATCCGCTCATGTCAGCACGAACTGCAAACTCCAAAACAACTCTGTCCTGTTCGGCCATCAAGCCCATGCTTGTTTTGAATGCAACAGGTGCTGCTCTAGTAGCAATGTGTACCATGGTTTGAGCACACATTCTTCCAATGGCTGGATCTGACAACTGACCATTGGGTAACGGGTGGTTTGGAAGTCCATTGTAGCGAACAACTGGGATTAGTGCCATAAACATAACAACCAAGAACTTGGCAACCTCTTCATCCGCGACACTGTCTGCTGTGAATTGCTGAATCGCTGCAAGTGAAAATTTGATGCATGCAGCGCAAATGGTGGTTCTGTGTACGTGATACTCCTTCTGTATTGTCAAGGTGCCATACATTTGCAAAACGGCCAGTATTTCTACCCCAATCGCAGCAGTCACTCGACCGATAACTGGGCTTGGGCAATTTGCATCCTGGACAAGTTGACATATTGCTGTGGCAGCATCGATCTGATCTTGATGCGAGGATCCCAAAAGGAGATGTTGCAGCGTTTCAAAGCTTGCCTGAGCAACCAGACCATCATTTGCTTGGACAATCACTGCCCAGCTGTCAAAATCACGGTGTTGTATCATCTTTGACGCAAGCATTGATTGAACTTGTGAAGAGATCGACTCGTGCTTCATGCACTCTCTCAGTAAGAAGTGAGTGGAGATCTTCACGTTTTCTGGAGTGTCCTTGCGGGACGATGTAACAACAAATTGCAACATGGCCTTGACCAGACCGCTCGGTGTTGCCGATTTTGAGACGACAGAACCAACAACAGCCAAACAAGCCGACACAACCATGGAAGTATGTGTGCCAGTCACACTGATACTGCCCTTTTGCAAAAGGTCAAGAGGAGCCATCAATGAAAGGAGTAAGGGCGATTCGCTGGAAAGCTCCAACGCAGAATTTTTAGCAACGTTTTCCAGCAACGCACACGACTCTGCAACAGTCCTTGTATTAGCAGCGCCAGAATCACTTGGAATTCCCGAAAGAGCAGGTAGTAGGATTTCCTTCGATATTTCTGTCATTGCGATTTCCACACTCTTTCTCCACTCGTCGTCGATAGAAAGGATGGCAGGTTTCGAAACTAGCATATTAATGGCTTGAAGACAGTTACACAAAACGATTTCCACATCCATGCCACTGATCCAAATGAGATCACGTCGTTGCAGAGCTGCGCTCTTGCCAGCTGTGATGGCATCACGAGTACCAGCGAATATTAGCGGGACAATCTTTTGGATCCAGGTTCTACAATCATCACTCCTCTCAGATCCAGACGTGATACTTTCAGATAGTTGACCCATGGCATTGCTAGCAAAAGCAGCCCACTTCTGGACTAGAGCCGCCTTTACAACATCATCAATGTCATCAGTGTGGTTGAAGGAGTAAAATGCTTGAGAAACAGCCATATCATCGTCTACCTTGTACCCTCCTGCAAGAGTTGCTTTTGAGCCCAAGAGGAGACGAGCCCCATCGACGGCCAAAGCAGCAGCATGGGAACCCAGACCTTCTGTGTCTGCTTCTATCATTTGGTCAAGTTGAGAATCTTCGGCTGAAAGGTTGCCTACAATCCCCAGCTTTCCAATCCGAGTCAACAAGATAGCCCGACCGTTCAATGACTTTGCCTTCGCACCGCTTGAGGTTAACAAAGGCATATTTTCATCATGGCGGAAGAATGGAACCTCGTTTGAGGCTGGCAAAGCAGGACGAATAACTCTTTTCAATACCGAAAAATCTTCGCAAATTCTCGATTTCAAGAATGAGTCCAGTGACTCGCATGCTACCATGAACAGGCGACAAGCGGATGCACCTTCGTCTTCGTCCACTGCTCCAAGCGCACTCTTGATACACGATGATATTTGAGGAATATAGTCGTGGAGGACATTTGTATCAGGATGGTCAGGATCAGGAATCGATCCAAAACAGAGTAGTATTCGCGACAGCAATGGTATTGCGCATGCTTGCAGGATGCGTAACTCTGTTTGATCAACTGTACATGTCGCGGTTGCACAAACCATAGAAACCAGAACATCGATGTGCAAAGCAAGCTTGGATTCTGGGAGCATGGTTGGATCGTTTACAGATTTGCGACATTCATCAAGACATTGCTCTCTTGCAAATTTCGGGTTGAAAATAGGCGATTCCACTACATTGCCGGCAGCTTGTGTCACAAGTCCTTCCAAAGCCATCATGGCCATCTGCACAACCATACACTTAACCTGCCATCTCATGGGAGTAGCTGTGTCCAGTGCCTCAGTTGCATCCAAAAGAGCTCTCCGCAGAGCCTCTTTGGCGACCTTTGGGGGGGTAAGAGCAGTATCATCGTCGTCATCATCGTCTTCGTCAGTAGCGCTTGCACCAAGAAGCAAAACTCTCGAAAGAAGTAGTATTCGAAGAAAGACTGTTTCACAGTGTTCGGACGTTCTGCCTTCGACATACATGAGTAATCGAAGAAGATCGACCATTTCCGGTTCAACAGGAGCCTCAGGCTCATACACCGTCTCATTTTCTCTGGCCGCTGCGATTCCTCTGTGCTTGGTCTCCCCACTAAACGATCTAGATGACGTTGCGTCTTCAAGTGCAGCAAAAAGTAGCGAAAGAATCCTCAGGTCACTCAATTCGGTGACGAGGACTTGCGAAATTGTCAGTTCTCTGATAACAATTTGTGTCGCAGCAAGAATATCGGGGCTTGATGAAGAACACGATGGTTGGATCATGGCATAATCAGGTTGTACCAAAGAACGACTTGGAGCTAGACTTTGCATCAGGAATGGAATACTGCAAAGGACTGCGTGCTCGCTATATTTGACTCCATTGAGATATGCAGGGAAGATATGCTGATTCTTTGCTGAAATCTCATAGAATGCTGCTGCCTCCATTGAAACTGTAGGGTGCGAACCAGCAATGGCAACGATTGTCGAAGCCATTTGAGAAAATCGTAAAGAGACTGTGGGATCAACAGATTGAAGGTGACGCAAAGATGGCATCAGGAAAGTCATCAGACGAAGCAAAATGGCAAGAAAGCACGGTTCGAAAGAAAGCTTTTCGACCTACAGCAAGAGCGATAAAACGTCATGAGTATTCGTACATAACTCCATCTCATGCCATACATACACTTCCGTACCTCATTTCCATTTCCTTGGTCCTTCTCCGTGGCCACAATCGTCCAGGAAGCCAAGAAATTGTCTTCTACGATGAATACAAGTTTCTTCAAGAGCTGCATTTCCTCTTCGCCAAGCGAGATTCCAATGAGTTTTTTTGAATAGGAAAGTAGCAATCCGAATGTATGTAGTGCATGTGCTCTAACCCCAAAAAATCCTCGGCGCAGCCCGCAGTTTGCGGAAGGAAGCACTCTTGCCATCATCTGAAGGGTCGGGAGAATTTCGTCTTCGTCATCACCTTTCTTTGCCTTCTGAGGCGAACCACGCAGTTTCGATTGTTCAACCCGAATCTCATGGATTTGACTCGAAGTGCGCTGTATGCATCCAAGTGCCAGGAGTGCGGTTGCACTTGCTGCAGAGATTGTCTCTGGTGGCGCTTGATTCGCTTGTCCTGCCATGTAGGTTCCTTTGAATATTTCGTCCAATGAGTGGATTACTTCGCTCTGCAAAAAGTGAGCATCCTCTTTGACGCCAAGCGTCGATAGGATTGCCAACCCTTCAGCTGCTCCCCTCCGTACAAACGGCGATTGACAAGGCAATAAATTGAGCAGCACATCTTTGGCCTGTGACATCCAAGTTGGCCCGATCCCAACAGCTACATTGTGAGTTGACTCATGAACTGGAAGAGACTTGAGACATGACAAAAGAACAGCTGTGACATTCGTGAACGTAGCGTCATGCTCCTTTCCCTAAATAAATCGTTAGCGACCATATGATCATAGGCAGAAGACACAAAAACGCAACTTACCCTTCCTCGTCGACCTTGATCATTGGCTTGCCCTCGTGTAACTTGAAAATGTGTTGGTGGCACTAAGGATTCAAGCATCTTCATTGCTCGTTGTTGCTCCTTCGGACTCTTCAAGGTGAAAGTGGCGGCAAATGCTTGAATGGATGCATCCACCAATCGAACTTTGGAAGAACAGGATGGAGTCACAGGCATGTGCCATGATCCAACAGTATGTAATTCCGTTGGAGGCTTTTCTTCGACACCCTTGTTAACAATCATACCAAGGACCCGACTGCCTAAGAAATCAGCGTTGCTCTCTTGACTTCCTGAATTGGAGTAAAACAGAAGAGCGGACTCACGATCTGTGTGGTGTGAGGCTTCCGCTACTCTGGCAGTGATATCCTCGTCTAGATATCGCAAGCCTCCAACTTGTCCCTGATGCCCCGCACGACAAAATGTTGATGCATCCAAAATCTTGTCCTCGTTGTTAATCAGTGACTGCAAGATTGAGCTCGAAACACCGTGGTCTACAGCGATTTGAATATGACGCGCAGCAAATGCAAAAAGTGGATCAGCCACCATAGGATATGACCCGGGGGGAAGCCACGAAAACGCTTCCATTATACATGCCTTGGCAGTGTCTAATCGGAGAGCTGCCACTGGATTGCCAGGAACATTTCGAAGGCTCCCATCGCCGTTGTGAAATCTTGGCAGCAGTCGTTCTAGAGCCATTGTGACCTGGGTCAAGGCATCTGGCACCAATAATAACAGGGAAGAACAATTTCGAAGAAATGACAAAATGGATGACAACATGGCCTCAACACAAAGGAGTTCATGATCAGAAGTGAATCTGTTGCCTTTGGTAGGAAGCTTGCTGAACTTTTGCCAAGAACCGAAAATTGTCTCAAGATGCTTGGAGATGGTATCTGGACCAGTAGCCAACACTCCACAAATCATTGTAAAGCCAGCGCGCACACAAGTGCAAATACCACTTGGACTTCCATTCACCAATACATCATTATCATATGCCGAGCACAAAACCTCGGTACTGGACATGACGTCGTCCAACAGCTCCATTGACAGACCACCTGGTAGACTTGGAAGGTCACGGAGAATTATTGTCACCATCAACGATATCCCATGAATTGCAAACTGATGCTTCAAGGAAGTGTCTGGTTTCTTTTCTTTCTTGTTGGGCGCGTTGCGACGGCCAAATCCAAATCTTCTCCCACCAACGTTTTCAGCAGCGCTCTCAGCTGCCCCAACACTTGCCGCCGCCATGAGTTCTGCGTGTTCCATTTGAATATCTCGAATCCCATCGTCTACAAATTGGCGTCCCATGGAAGGAAAGGCTGAAGTAATGGCGGCAAATACCACGGCTGCTTCATGTCGCACGCCGTGGTCGGCATGGCGAAGGCATTTCTGTAGCGCTGGGATAAAATCTTCCAAAGAGGATTGTGCAGCTTCTCCCAATCGGGCGTATAAGTGGGAAATTTCAGTCAAAATCACCTGCAGCTGGTTTCCCTTGAGGTCTCCTTGTCGATTGACACACAAATCAACGAATTCGTGAAGAATGGCAATCTGGGTGGTCTCGGGAGAAAAATCCAATAATCCCTCTCTCAAGACTCGACTCGTACACAAGCGAACGATCGGTGCATCCGCATGAGAGACCTTGGGTTGTTGTCCAAATAAAGCATTTCCCTGTGATTGTGCAGCATTTCTTCCCGACAGTGGCGGCTCCCGAATCGTCGACGCCGTCATTACAGAAGTTGCATCAAGAGTTTCAATTGATCCCAGTCCTTTTTCATTGCCCTTCAATTGAGCTTCCATATCATTTCCCACCATGCTCAAAATAATCAAAATAGCCTCCTTGTGAGTAATGTTCTTGCCATCTCCAATGGCCCTGATTTCCTGTTGCAGCTTCAAGAGTTGAATGATTGAACGAGTAAATCCTAGACGGACAGCACGTCCACCTGTGGAAAAGGTTCCCCCCGTTTTGTTGGCCACCAACTCGCCACCTGCCTTGACAAAGACGCTGACCAAATACTTGATTGTCTTTGGTAATGTGGAACAATTTTCAGCCGCCAGTACTCCCTTGCGAGTGGTATTCTTCTTTCCTTTTCGAGGAGTATTGCGGGATGTCTCTGATCGTTCGGCATCCCGTTGACTCGTTTGTTCGGCATCCTGTTGGGCACCCACTTCAATCGCAGTGCTCATGCACCGTGCCAGAGCTTCCGCCCAGGCGGCCGCACATTCCGCACTCGTATCGTCCAAATTCTTGAAGGCAATCGTCATGATATCCTCCAGACTGGCCGTAAAGGAGGTCGCTGCATCCGGTGTCCGTGGCGATTTGATGGCTGTGTGAATCACTTGGGGTGCTAGGAGCGCCGTCAACCGGGCCGCCGCCGTTCGGACTTCTGGTAGTTTATCAATGACAGCAGTTTTAATGAGCTTCAGCATTTCCATTATAGCCTTGTCATCCAGCGCTCCTTTTAGTACGAGTCGAGCACTTCCTTCCACGGGCCGTGTTTTCATAAAGGCATTTCGGGAAGCAATGACAACAGACATGGCAGTGTTGACTGCCACAATCCGAAAGGTGGGCTCGCCATTTCCACTCGACTTGATAGCCTTTTGACAGACGCGAGTAACATCGAAAGCCCATGATGCTAGCTGACTCGAGAGCTTTGGGTCTTTCATGATGCCTTCAATGGCTTCCAATGCGGCAATCCGAACGCCTCCGGCTGCCTTGGCGGTTCGTGGATTGAGAGATGCCAGTTGAATCATATTTCGTACAAAACCAAAGGTATTAATGCGCGCATTTCCTGATAATCCTTCTCCTAAACTGTGACATAACACAACACAATCCACCCACACTTTGCGCAGGGGCGTGGACAGCATCGGAGGGACGGCCACTCTCCTTTTGTTTTTCGGGTTGGGTGGGTTGTTTGCCAATTTATTAGAGACACCCAACAGTTTCATCAAGACTCCAGCTAGTAAAGAAGGTGCTGCTACCAACGGAGTATCTGTAGGAGCTGATCGCAGCAAGGACCTCAGCGTATGCAGTCGGACAAACAGTTCGGAGGATGGCACTGGTGAAATGGTGCTGAACGAGGAATGCGTGCCCTGTGGAGGCTTGATTAGCTTGTATGCGTCCGCAACTCCATATACTGTAATTGTTGCCCCAAGAAGGGCCCCAGCTTCCTCCACGGATTCCGGTGGTTTATCAACCTCCATGATGGCGATTGCTTTGACGTTGTCGTTGTTGTACATAATGGTCATCCATTTTCACAAATCGATCATGCATCACGACGGTCCCTAGTCAATCGATTCATTCGATTCAATGCAATTGACTACTCTGACCAAAGACAACCTCAAGCCTTGATCATGTGTGACAAGTCAATATCGTAGTATCAACCATGTTTCTTCCGCATAGATTGAATGCACTGCTACAGAATGGGGGACGTTTGCTCTTAAGACAACCAACGAGACGAGGATTTGTTGCCTCCAAAAATCTTTCACAAGGAGGCAACCAATGGGCATCTGATGCCTCCACCTCATCCGATCGACCAGCCTGGTCCGAAGAATGGAAGAAAAATAACCTCGGAGCCAAATTGCAGAATGGAACGTTCCCTTCCACCTTATTCTTTGTGGAATTGGGTTTTGGAGTGGACCAGCATGGTGACCGATCCAATGCCACCAAAGCTGCCATTCGAGCGGTTCGAAATTCCATTGAATTCAACAGCATCCCTGGAGTCATTGAACATATTCCCGGAGGACGCAAGGAAATGCTAATTCATGTCAAACTTGGAATACCGAAAGGGGCTATTGTCGATGTCATGGAGGTTGCCAAAGTATTTCCATATGGTAGACTCCTTCCTATCGAAACAACAGTAGGCGGATTGGAATTTGCCACTGGACGGGTAGTCGAAGAGTTGGGAGATAAAGATGATATTGGTGTATGTGTTGTAGCTTGTATTTCTATCGGTTATGATAAACCGGAAGACAAGGATAAAACGTCACACAAGACCTTCAATACAAAAGATGGGCACTAGAAGAATCACGTAAGAAACAAACACGAGAAACTTGCAACCAAGTAGGGTAGTACACCGTTGATCGACCGAAACGCCCAACAGCTCCTCCTACAATGCATCATCCTCATCTTCCTCAATTGGTGTGTCCAGTCTTCAGTTTGCTTGCCAAGAGATCACATGACGCGTGCAACGACGATCGAAATACCGCACTCGACTAGACAACTCTGTCGAAAAGCACGTGCTGCAAAATTAACATTTTAGTATCAGATTAACATGCTACAGTAGCAGACTATCTGAGATAGCCTACTGGCGCCTTCCGCTTGGTGTTCGTCTTGGATCTGTCTGCATGGAGTCTGACCGGTGGGTTGTGGTGTGAAGCGGGTCTTCCGGGTCAACAGGGGGACCGGGAAGACCAATCTCAGGAATCCCGTAAACAGGATTTCTGAGACCTGCTTGCCTACCACGAGGTTGATATTGGAGAGAATGAATTGATATTGATAATAGACGTATCAAAATCAAACCACTGTAATAAACTGAGCTGTCCTTGCCTCTCTATCGTAGGAGGGCAATGACTATTGGCGAAGGCCGTACGGCCTTCGACCGTATGCCACTGTAGTCAATGTGATCGAACTTTTGCTACGGTCTAATAGTGGATTTGTTGACTAATGCGACCCAACTGTTAAAAAATGACATGGCATGTTGATGATAAAATGTGCAACATCGATTGAATTCAAAAAGGAGAATCATCTTCGTTTGGTTCAACTTTGGAGGCAATCACGCGGTAATCCCGAAAGAAAGCGTCTCTGTTAGAGAGAAAGTAGGAAGCCATTTTTCCAGACCAACGTTCCTTTTTATGTGGTTTCTGTCTCCACATGGCCACAGCCGAGCAACGATGTCTCCCACCGAAAAATCCTCTCCGATATTAGGGTGCAACGGAGACGAGTCATTCCCGGCAATTTGATAATTTGCAATTTTCCCACTCGTGGATCCTTTTTGTTTCATCCTTGAGAAGGATGAAGACCTTCCCAAACAATCACTCAACGGGTTTGGAAGACGTTGCTTTTGTCTCTGATTGACATTGATTCCAACCGAGACCACTCAAGATGAATATCCCAGGCGTCACTTTCCATCAAACTACCAAAACTTTTTGTTTGCACAAGAATTATCATGGAAACGCGCATTTTCTTTACTCTAATCTGTTTGCAGCTGGGCATCGCCACAGCATCTCCCAATGGAAGAATCTACAAGGCAGCTCGTGGACACGTCCACCGTCGTCGCGAGCTCCAAGAACTAAATGATCCTTGTGCCGCCGAAGAGCTTAGCAACGATCAAGACATTTCCAACGACGAACGTGCTCGCTCAAACGTCTTTCGCCGTGGCAGCGGTCGCCGCCGCCTCAAAGTGGCAGGTAAGGCACTCATTGCAGGCAAGGCAAACATTGGCAAAGCGGTGGCCAAGGCAGACACTGGCAAGGCGGTGTCGTCATCGTCGTCGTCATCAAGCAAGTCAAAGGTTCCATCCGATGCTCCATCCATGGTTCCATCAACTGCCGCCCCATCAGTCTCCAATGGTGACGTAGGATCAAATGACTTTGGTATTGATAGCAGACCCACTTTGTCGCCTACTGGCGTGCTCCGGACTCCTGTTTCGACTTGCATTCCTACGAAGCTCCCTGTGGCACCCACTCCTTGGCCCACCAACAAGCCGTATATCACTGATTCGGATACTGCCGTGTCGACTTGCATGGGGGATCCAGATGAAGATGGCATTTTCGAGGACGAACTCTTGCATTTCAAGTACAATCTTTACGTGGCAACAGGAACCGATCAAACCAGTTCCATGATTTTGGCAGAAATGTTGATTCACTACGGGTTGGCCGACGAGTTTCTCACTTGTGACTTTGAAGATGATTTCTCTCCCGATATTTTCGCCATTGATTCGAGTCGCAATGCCACCGTGTTGACTGAAGAGTGTGATAAAACGGATGATCCAATTCCTCCCGTTGAGACAGATTGCGTGGTGATCCTTTCCGATGTCAATTTGACAGCCTTTTATCCATTTTCATCGTTTCCCTATTCCCTTCCGAACCCTGCCATTAAGAATGCCACTGGATTCTACTTGAACTCGTCGATGGCTCGTGGCGACTTTGTTTGGGGCGACGTCATTCAAACTGTATTCAAGGGTTTTGTCGAGGATGACAACTCAACCGGTGTGGCTGGCATCGTCGTTGGACGTGGAGCTGCAGCTGGTGGTGGTGGTTCAAGTGGTGTACTCGTGGGATCTGCTTTGTCTGGGATTGCAGCGCTCTGTCTATTGCTCTTTTTGTTGTTTGCCGTGCAACGTCACAGACGCCGAAGTGATCCCTACAAGGGGCCTGGAGAGAGTTTGGGTGGTACCTTTTCCAATGGCAGCGATCCTGGATTGGAGTCCTTGTCGGATGGAAGAGTGCAGCTCGTGTTGAACGAAGAGTTTGACTTTGGAGAAGAAGATCCTCATTTGGGCTTTCATGAACAGCCCGATGTGCACCACTGCAACTCGGCAATGTGTCCTATTTGTCGCCAAAAGAATGGCCCTACCTTTCTTAAGACTCAGACTCAACCTGATGACGAGGCCCGATGGCCACAACCTTCGACCAACACAAGATTACCAGCACGATCCTATGATTCCGTGGACACTGTCGACATGTAGAGGGAATGTCCGATTTTTACTTTGAAGGTGGCAAAACGGTTTATTATATACCAGCAATTGGCCTTTTTGAGTCGTCGCAAGTGGTTCCTAATACTAATTATTATAAATTTATATTGAATCAGCCCGCATGGTACCACGAACTGGGCTATGGAGTTAAAAGGAATTGTTTTGGTAGAAAGTTGTACTAATAGTGTCTGTGGTACTAACACAATGGACTGACTGTGGAACATTCGGAGCACCGTACTAGTGTGGCAAACATGTTAACTTTCAGATATGTCTTGCACCCCAAACACTTGACCGATACGAAGCCCGTTGGGATGCTTCCTTCTTGCGCAGCTTCTCCATCCACTAGATCTGGTGTGTGAGGAGCCCTTTGTTCCAAATACCGCCGATTGGGCCTGGGTGGCGGAAGTGGTGGCTCTTCCGCTCGCATCATGCCACTGCTGCTACCTCCCGACATGCTCTTGGCATCTGGCAGCATTTGTTTGGGTTTTCGGCTGGTTTCAAAATAATCCAATTTGGTCTGTTCTGGATGCAGTTTGCGCTGTTTTTCGAATTCTGACATGTCAAACCCGGTATTTTCTTTGACTCGAGTGCTAGCTTCTACATGGGCCATGATACTGTATTGTTCCAAGACTTCATCTTCGTCTTGATTATTGCCAGCCATCATGTTGACAACTGTTCGAATTTTGGGACTGTTCGAATTTTGGGAAAACAAAGGACACAAAAATGATTTAAGGGGAATATTATTATGCCATTGGAGGCACATAATATCGGATAAATGGGTACGTGCACATGTCGTCAGCTGGAACCAAATCCGGGCTATTTTCTTTCAAAAAGCAGATCAAAATATATGAGGGGAGAGTTTCAGGGGATATGAGAGACTTGCCAAACACCAGTGCTTAATAATAATCAGGCAGATCCAGTTCTACCGGTAGATTGGATGGTCCTGGATCATCAAATATACAGAATAAGCAAACTAGAAACATTCCATACCAGCCACTTGCAATCTGATCCGCAAACCTGCTTTTCCAGAATGGACGCAACCTAACTAAACCACTGCACAAGTTCTAGCCTTCCTAGATAATGTGACAGTATATTGGCCAACCGGAATGACTAGCGCTACATGGTGATGGAAACATATAACAGTAGAACGTATTGTTCAAGCTTCCAGCTAGATTCTCTATTGACTATAATTTTTGTCTTCAACAGTAGTATCCAGTTTGAGTGTCGTCTTGTCATTGTTTAAGTCAAGTCATTGTCTCCGCATTGGCGGAATCAAGTCCTCATTTGTTCTATTCTATTCTCTCGTCAGAATTTTTTTCACAAAGAACTCTGTAAGCGTCTTTCTATACGAAAGTAGACAGCTTCGTTCAAAACACTGACCTGAAAAAAAAATTGGTCACAACGGAGCCCAGTCGGGATTCTGCGTTTGTTGTCGTTTTTGAATCTTTCCCAACAAATGTTGATTATTGTGTCTTCGATCGTTGCATACACATGTAGTATATTTGCGATGAAATCGAGCCTTGCGTTCGCCAAACAACAAGCCGATTGATGCTTCAGGTCCAGATAATCAGCAAATTGCACAGGCTAGTTGTCGCAAGCCTCAGAGAAGTGTATACTTCACTAGAATCGCAGCGATAATCTCAACTGGTAGATTTGACTGCTCTCTCATGCCTTGATTGACCTTTCCAGGATGATGTCGATTCAATCACAATATGATGCGATCAACAAGCGCTCGATCGATTGCATGTCTCTCACAACAAAAATCCTGACTCCGAATCCACAATGCTGGCGCATTGTCGCAGCTCGCGTGAAGCTGATGATCCATTCTCTGCTTGTTGTACTGCTTGTTGCGCTGGAGTCTGCCACTCTCGCTTCAGGCGCCTGTCGTGTCGTCATCTTTATCTCACTAGGTCGCAACTGTTGTGGTGCTGCTTGTTTGTTTTCCTTGGCTTTTGTCTGCAAGCTTGAAGCTGATGTGATGTCGATGCAAAACAATGACACATATTACAAAATGCTTCAGACCAGTGCAGCTCACGACAAAAGAGCTAGCGACATATCCGGGTTAGAAGTGCTTTATTTTTGATTTTCAAAAACTAATGGTCTGCCCTCCGTCATATTCATATCTCACAACATTTCATGAGGAAAGCTGCCGACACGTAGAGGTGGTACGAAAAATACGGCGGTTTTCAAAAATACCCAACCCCATTTATGAAATATGAGCCCCAATGGAGCATCGAACGTGAAATGTATATCTTGATCGTATATTACTGCAGGTAATAATGGTCACACATTGAAAACGGCTTCTGCGTCAGGATGATATTTCTTGATCTAGTACCTGCAGACATAGCAAAATCTATCATTCGTTTGAATAAATGAAGGGAAATTATAATAGTTTACAAATTCAAGAATTGTGACCATGACACAGCCTATATACCATATCCATCTCGGATATATACATTTCGTTCGCTGGGGTGGATGTAATCAAAATCGTGTCTTTGGTTACAGCATGTCGTGCTTGACAAGAACAGATTGGATGCTCTCAATGATGACATTTCCCAAATCTTCAAAGTCTTCGTCTTCCCATTGCAATGGCATACGGCAATCACACGCAGTCTTCAACATATCGGCGGTCTCTGGAAGTGGTGCATCAGCGGGAGCAAATCCCCAGTTGACGAAGTTTCTGGCGTTGGTCTTGTGTCCGAAAAGCTCGACGGGAAGTCCGTGGTCACCGCACTCCTTCAAGAATTCTTCAATCATTGTTGGTGTGAACTTGGGGTCCAAGTTGAACTGGATAGAGTCGTGGACCATGCGAGTTACTCCAGGCGTCAATTGAGGAATGTACATGTGATCACCGACGGCGGCCTCCAACTTGGCCACCAAGTCGTTGTATCGCTTGTTGTACTTCTCGATTCTTGGCTCCAATGTCTTGATCTGAGGACGGACGACGGCGGCGGCCAAGTTGCTCATGCGGATGGAGTAGTTGGGAAGTGCGACGGACTTTCCTTCGAAATATTCTGGTCCTGGAACAGTCTTGTGCTTGGAGTTCAAGGATTCGTACGCACCGGCGATAACGGCGGTTTGGGCAGCAATTTCCTCATCATCTGTCAACAAGAAACCTCCCTCTCCAGAGTTGATCATCTTGTAAGATTGACTGGAGATGGCACAGGCGATACCCTTGTGTCCAGAGTGTTCTCCCTTCCAGTATACACCAAGAGAGTGAGCGCAGTCCTCAAGAAGGATGGCGTCGTACTTCTCACAAAGCTCGGCAACCTTGTCCATATCAGCTAGCTTTCCACGCATGTGCGACACAAGAACGTGCTTGCAGTCTGGGTTCTCCTTGAGCTTAAGTTCAAGGTCGACAGTGTTCATGACATGGTCGGCGTTGGACTCAACGTACACGGCCTTTCCTCTGGCGTGCTCAATGGCAGATGGGACAGCTCCGAACGTGAAGGCATTAGACAAAACCTTGCCTCCTGGTTCAAGACCTGTGGTCTTCAACAAAAGCATAAGTGCTGATCCGCACGAGTTGAGGGCTACACAGTACTTGAAGCCAGTGTAGTCGGCAATCTCCTTCTCGCACATGCTGACAACGCTGTCTTCACCCTTGGCGATGTTGTAACGATACAGCTTTCCAGACTTCATCAATTCGAGGGCCTCCTTTTGGCCTTCTTCAGGAACTGGGTCGGGCATCTTGATGTCGTTGGTAACGTAGGCGCGGTCCTTCAATCTAGATTGTTTGAAGAGGTGAAAAAGAGAGGTGAAAAAGAGAGTGTAAGTAATTGAAACATTGTAAAGCAAGACATTTGAACTCGGTCAGAAACTCGTCGTTGTCGTGGTCGACGACGAGCCAAAGCAGTACTTACTGGTCGGCAATTTTGGATCCAGTCTGTTGTGTATTGACGGTAGAGAAAGCATCGGCGCTGAAGGCCATAGCGGCAAGTGCAAGAAGGCTGATCTTCATTGTGATATATTGTATGTTTGTGTGTATTAATGAAGGGTTCAGAGTGACCTTAGTTGAAATTTGTGATTGTTTTCAAAGTCGTTTTGGAATGTGGTGGGATTGTGTTTTTGCGAACCATGCGGTGGGATGTACAAAATGTACCAGCATTGCCTGTTGGCATGAAGATCGGACCTCTCGCAATTCGGTGTGCGATTGATTTAGCCTGAAATTAGAAGTCCTTCAGGTCAAATTCGTGCTATATTTCTGACTCGACAACAGTTTCTAGGCAAGCCATAGGTATTGAAAGTACGAGGCAAAACTATGAAGTTTCGACCTCTCACAAATTCTGGGTTGGATGATGAGTCGTTGAAGTCAATTCGCAATTGAAGACAATCTATTTCTGTCATTATCATGATCGCAACAAATTATCTGCAAACAAAGCCAACAAGTAAAAATACTACAATCTGTAGGTGACAATGATCCTATTGAAGGCACATTCTCACATTCGTCGAAAGCAGATGATTGTTAGTTCTCGTGACAATATTTCTAGTTTTTATTATGTCGTAAACAACCCATTGCAACATTCGTCATGATATTGCATACAATCAGGCAAAAGGCAGTTGTGTCTCGTCTGAAAAAAACGTATTAAAATAATTTACAAGCTCTGTATGGCAATCAAACAGCCTTACACCATATCCACCTCAAGGATATTTCGTTCTTAGGTATGCAATCAAAACTGTGTTTTCCGAATTTTGCTTACAGCATGTCGTGCTTGACAAGAACAGATTGGATGCTCTCAATGATGACATTTCCCAAATCTTCAAAGTCTTCGTCTTCCCATTGCAATGGCATACGGCAATCACACGCAGTCTTCAACATATCGGCGGTCTCTGGAAGTGGT